CCTTTACTAAGGTGTTGGCGGCATTGGCCGCTTATCTCAGGCTTTCATCGATCAGGCTCCTTTGTTATCTAGATGACATTTTAATTTTGTCGTCTTCCACTCGCCAAGCTGCCCTGGATATTCAGTTTACTCTGAGAACATTAGCTGCCCATGGTTTTTCCATTAACCTGGAAAAAAGTCATCTGGTTCCCTCTACTTCCCTGGTTCATTTGGGGGCCCTAATTGATTCGCTGCAGGATAAAGTTTTTCTCTCCCCAGAGCGTCAGGTTAGTTTGAGAGATTTGGTAGTTAAAGTCGAGGGATCTCGGAAGGTCTCCCCATATGTTCTTTCCCAACTCTTGGGGAAGATGATTTCTGCCATAGCCATTGTTCCTTGGGCGCAGCTCCACGCCCGGGAGCTCCAATGCTTTCTTTTACCTTTACAGAAGGCGGGCAGAGGCACATCATCCAGTCAGATCCTGCTTCCATCCGCAGTTCGCAGATCCCTTCGGTGGTGGCGGTCCCCGGCCCTTTCGGCGGGTTCCCTCTTCCTCGAGCCCCAGAGGGTGGTGGTGACAATGGATGCCAGCCTCCGCGGCTGGGGGGCGCATTGTCAGGGTCAGCTCGCCCAAGGCGTGTGGAATGAGGTGGATGTTCGTCGTCCGATCAACTGGCTAGAATTACAAGCCATCTTCCTGGCTCTCAAAGCATTCCGTCAACTACTATCCGTAGTTAAGACATGTCCTTGTCTTAACGGACAATGTAACGGCCAAGGCGCAGCTGAACAAACTGGGGGGCACCCGGTCGAAATCCCTATTGTCAGTGGCTTTGAAAATCGGCCTCTGGGCAGAACGTCACCTCGGATCCCTCCGGGCGGAACACATCTTGGGCGTTGACAACATTTAGGCGGACTGGCTGAGCCGACAACAGGTGGACAATGTGGAGTAGCGGCTCCATCCTCGAATCTTCAAGAGCCTGGTCCTTCAGTTTGAGGCTCCGGTCGTGGACCTCTTCGCGACTTGAGCAAACGCACAGTTGCCTCGCTTCTTCACCCGGTTCCCAGAACCTCAGGCAGAAGCTGTCGACGCCCTCCGAGTTCCTTGGCCACGAGGTCTTCTATACGCATTCCCACCAGCATCCCTACTCCCCAGAGTGATCCGCAAGCTCTTGGACGAACGGGCGGAGGTAATTCTACTGGCTCCACACTGGCCTCGCAGGGCATGGTTTGCGGACTTGGTTTCCCTTTCTGTCGCTCCCTCCTGGCACATCCCGATCATAGCAGACACTCTGACGTAGGGGGCATTGAGCCACCCAGACCTCACGTGGCTCAATCTGACCGCTTGGCGGTTGAGCGGCTCTCCTTGAGCACAGTTAACATTCCGAGTGATGTTATACAAACAATCCAGGCCTCCCGTCGCCCTTCAACTAACAGAATTTATTCTGCCACTTGGCGGTCTTTCTGTTCTTGGTGTGACAGGAATAGCGTGCCTGTCCTACAGCCTTCGATCGTGGACGTTCTGGTGTTCCTGCAACGAGGATTTGCTGACGGCCTGTCACCTAACACGCTACGATGCCAGGTTGCGGCCATCTCTTCGGTACTTACCTGCGGATCCCTCTCGTCATTAGCGCAACATCCTCTAATTCGGCGTTTCCTTTGCAGGGCCACTAACTTGTCCCCTCCTGTTCTACACCGCTATCCTACCTGGGACCTACCGTTGGTTTTGGAGTCCCTCATGGGGCCTCCCTACGAACCCCTGCGAACAGCGTCTCTGCGCTTGTTGTCGTGTAAAGTCGCCTTCTTGGTGGCTATCACTTTGGCTCGTCGCATCTCGGAAGTGGCTGCTCTATCCACCAGGGCGGATCTTTGCGTGTTCCACACTGATCGTGTCGTCCTCCGCCTGGATCCTACCTTCGTGCCGAAAATAAACTCCGTGTTTCATTGCTCTCAAGAGCTTATCCTCCCGAATTTCTGCCCACGACCCTCTCATCCTCGCGAATGTCGTTGGCACACCTTGGACGTCTGACGTGCTCTTCGCATCTACATTAAACACACAGCTTCATTCCGACGATCAGAGGCTTTTTTCGTCTCTTTCTTTCCCGTCTCTTTGGGTCTTAAGGTGCCGTCTTCTACCATCGGCTGCTGGATCCGACAGACTATTGCTTCGGCCTACGACTTCCGTTCTCTGCCACGACCTTCTCATGTGACTGCCCACTCCACGCGCAGCGCAGCTACGTCGGCGGCCTGGGCAACTCAGACTCCACTGCTAGAGATTTGTCGTGCGGCCACGTGGACTTCTCCGGCTCCCTTTATTCGCCACTATAAAATTGACTCCTTTGCCTCTGCGGAGGCAGCATTTGGTCGGCAGGTGTTGCAGAGGGTTGTTGGTAGGGAGGTTGTTCCGGACCAGCCTGGCCCCTCCCAGGTCTCGGGACAGTAAACTTGGGTATGTCCCACACTGGCTGCTGTCTCCACCCACAATGGAGAAGGGGCGTTGGTTGGTATCCTACCTGGTACGCTCCTTCTCGTTGGTTGGAGACAGCAGCCAGACCCCCCCTTTTTTTGCCAGTCTGGTCTCATGTTTCTGTCTCTAATTTTCTCATATCTTGACCACACGCCGAGTCTGTCCTTAGTTTTCGCCAAAAGCTGGTCTACCCGGCAACAAGGACGGGATTTGGTCTTTTGGATAGACTCAGTCCTTCGGGTTGATTGGATGAGGGTTGCCCACACTGGCTGCTGTCTCCAACTAACGAGAAGGAGCGTATCAGGTAGGACCAACGCCCCTTCTTGATATACTGCTCAAAACAGTCCACCACAGAGTTCCATCTAACATCTTGTGGGAGCGTTAGCTTGGTTCCACCCATCCTTTTCAGAGCTGCTGCAGCAAAATGATTGTTACAGAAGTATTTAGCAATTTCAACAACATTAGTCTTTATTTCTGGAACACTTAAGTCTTTGGCTAAGAGGTGCAGAAAATGAGCACTGCAACCATATGTTATTAGCTTTGTATTCCCTTCCTGCTCTTCTAAATTTCTTCTCATCTTGGATACATTTGCAGCATTGTCTGTGACCAAACTGCGTACTAGACATTTGAATTTTTGTTCACGTTATTATAGCTTTTACTGCCACTTCTTGTAAGTATTCTGCTGTGTGTGCATTTCCTGACGTATCAATTGTTTGTGCAAGGAAGACTTTCCCTTCTTCTGTTGTTATACAAGCACATACAATAGGATCATTGTGGACATTACTCCACCCATCAATACTTAGGTTAACAATTCTACCCTCCAGAGCTGTTGCACATTGCTCCATTTCTCTGTCATATACTTTATCCAACAGTTTCCCTGCAACATCTACTCTGCTGGGTGGACTGTATCCTGGTCTCAGTGAATGAACCATATTAATGAAATGTGGGTTCTCAGTCAGACGGAAAGAAGAGTTCGTTGCATAAACAAACTGGGCAATTTTTTCATCAATTAACTCTTTTTCTAATCTGCTAGTTTTTATCACAAACTTATCTATGGTGGTTCCAGGAGGGAAGGGTTTTTTCTTTCTTTTAGGTGATAGTGATATGTGGCTGTGGGTGTCTGATGATGATGATGCTAATGAAGCACTCTCCTGGATGGATAACTCTGAAACTGTAGAACAGGAGGATGGTGATCTTGAAGGTGGATAGTTTCCAGAATCCATTAATTCCCCTAAACAAAAAAGTTAATGCTGTTATTTTATTGTTTATAAAATTTCTGCTTATTGTACACAGCACTGCCCCAAAAGGAATATTTGCTTTTCTTCATAACTGTACTAAATGACAGTAACATGCAGTAATAATATTTTGCTCAAACATGACAGTTCAAGGCAGTCTTTAGAAATATGATTCAATAAAAATGTTTACCAACCTGAAGATCCTGCCTGTTCAAATGTGTTTCTTTGGTCATCTTCATCACAGCACTTCTCATGATGTTGCCTCATTCGGGCCACCAGGCCTTGCATTTCTTTGTTGCAGTGTTTGCAGTTTGCACACATGCCTGCCTTACTGATAGGTAAAGGAACTTCATTAAAATATTGCCAAACTGGGTCTCTTTTACGGCCTGCTGCCATTATAGGTTTTTTCCTCCAAGGAAAGAATGTGATAAACCTCAGGTCATACACACAAAAAGATCCAAAGACTTGTCTGTCTGTGGCTGTGCAGTATTGTGCTCTGAAAGTTTCACTTTCATTTTGTACTATTGTCTGCTTGCCCCTTCCTGCTCACACTTAGTTTCACTTTCTTCTTGTGCCAAACAATCAGAAAAATATTGTTTCTATTCTATTCACTGAACTTCTTGAAACTTAGCACTGAAGGGGTTGATTCTGTATTCATAGGTTTGTAGAACAATAGGATTAAGGTCTTTTTCTCAACTCTGTTCATGTTATAACATTTTTGCTGTGAAGAAGAGGCATGTGATCTCTGCTGAGTCAAATTCAGTTTTGAGAACTGCAAAAGTAAACCAAGCATCTGTGATAATATCTTGTAGGCAGAGAAACTGCCCAATAATCTTACAAAAACCTCTGGAAGAGCATGACATTGTGAATGGATTAATGGAATTTATTTACCAAAAAAATTAAACATTATTCCACATAGTTAAAAAACTAATCTTTATTTCATGATGGAATAACTTTTGGATGGTAATATATTTTCCTCAAAAAGCATTTTATTAAAAAAAAATCTGATTTAAATCCAAAAAAATCTGATTTTTTTGATTTTTTTAAAAAAATCATTGATTTTTATCCACCCTGACATGTAGGGTTCAGGAGGCCAAAAATGGGCCTCTTTATGTCCTGCGAAGTGCTTCTGAGGGCCGGGGAGGGCGAAAACAGGACGTGCAGAGACCAAAAACTATTTTTTTCCCTTGCTTTTTTCCTCTAAATCTAGGCGCGTCTTATAGTCCGGTGCGTCTTATAGTCTGAAAAATACGGTATGTATCTTAAGTTTGTTGCTGTAAGACATTTCAGTTTAAGTTGTTCAATTTTTGTACTTTTTGCATAGATCAGAATATGGCTGCACATCCCTGCTGTCATGCAACACATTATACCCTTTAGGACCTATGTCATCAGGTACTTTTTGCACTTATTTCTGATTCCTGAAATTTATTTATATAAAATGCTAACCTATTTGTTTATTGAAATTTGGCCACCATATAATATTGTTTGAACTTATCATATAGAAGGTACCCAGAGCATGTCTACTCTGTCAGATTCGCAAGATGGACCGACTCAGTGGAGATAGGCCCATGTAATTCAGTGCTGTGTCAGGAAGGGATTATTAGGTAACCAGCACCATAAAATATACTCAGAAGCATATTGGGAAGCCAGTGCAGGTTGCAAAACATTGGTAGTATATGGGCATATCTGTAACTATCCTCATTGTTGCATTCTGGATGCTTAGCTTTAGTATTTAAGAAATCAATAATTATACTGGACAACATTTTTTTGGCAAAGTTTTGCTTCCTGAAAAACATTTGGTGATTATCATAGATGCCTTCAAACTAAACACAAACAAAATTTTGGAATGAGGAGGTGAACCTCTTGACTGCTGTATCAGTTGAATTTGTAATCATTTGGCATTAAGCGATAGCTGTAGAAATCAACCATACCCATTGTAATCTATTATCCTCCACACATGTTGAACTACAATTGCAGGAAAAAATTTTGGCAGTATAATCATGAGATACTAGGTTGGAGAGGCTATTCCAGAATATGAAATTTAGACTTTATTTCTGATTGTTGTACCTAAAAGCCGTTGTGCAGTGGATAGAAGAAATCTGGATTCAAGTACCCATTAAACAGAAAATTAAATCCTGCTTGAACCTAAATAAAATCAAATTACTTCTACCAGTCTAGTTCTGAGAAAAAAATGGAATAGTAGTATACAGTGGGGCAAAAAAATATTTAGTCAGCCACCAATTGTGCAAGTTCTCCCACTTAAAAAGATGAGAGAGGCCTGTAATTGTCATCATAGGTAGACCTCAACTATGAGAGACAAAATGAGAAAACAAATCCAGACAATCACATTGTCTGATCTGGAAAGAATTTATTTGCAAATTATGGTGGAAAATAAGTATTTGGTCACCTACAAACAAGCAAGATTTCTGGCTCTCACAGACCTGTAACTTCTTCTTTAAGAGGCTCCTCTGTCCTCCACTCATTACCTGTATTAATGGCACCTGTTTGAACTTGTTATCAGTATAAAAGACACCTGTCCACAACCTCAAACAGTCACACTCCAAACTCCACTATGGTGAAGACAAAGACCTGTCGAAGGACACCAGAAACAAAATTGTAGATCTGCACCAGGCTGGGAAGACTGAATCTGCAATAGGCAAGCAGCTTGGTGTGAAGAAATCAACTGTGGGAGCAATAATTAGAAAATGGAAGACATACAAGACCACTGATAATCTCCCTCGATCTGGGGCTCCACGCAAGATCTCACCCCGTGGGGTCAAAATGATCACAAGAACGGTAAGCAAAAATCCCAGAACCACACGGGGGGACCTAGTGAATGACCTGCAGAGAGCTGGGACCAACGTAACAAAGGCTACCATCAGTAACACACTACGCCGCCAGGGACTCAGATCCTGCAGTGCCAGACGTGTCCCCCTGCTTAAGCCAGTACATGTCCGGGCCCGTCTGAAGTTTGCTAGAGAGCATTTGGATGATCCAGAAGAGGATTGGGAGAATGTCATATGGTCAGATATAACCAAAGTAGAACCGTTTGGTAGAAACACAACTCGTGTTTGGAGGAGAGAGAATGCTGAGTTGCATCTAAAGAACACCATACCTACTGTGAAGCATGGGGGTGGCAACATCATGCTTTGGGGCTGTTTCTCTGCAAAGGGACCAGGACGACTGATCCATATACAGGAAAGAATGAATGGGGCCATGTATCGTGAGATTTTGAGGGCAAACCTCTTTCCATCAGCAAGGGTATTGAAGATGAAACGTGGCTGGGTCTTTCAGCATGGCAATGATCCCAAACACACCGCCCAGGCAACGAAGGAGTGGCTTCGTAAGAAGCATTTCAAGGTCCTGGAATGGCCTAGCCAGTCTCCAGATCTCAACCCCATAGAAAACCTTTGGAGGGAGTTGAAAGTCCGTGTTGCCCAGCGACAGCCCCAAAACATCACTGCTCTAGAGGAGATCTGCATGGAGGAATGGGCCAACATACCAGTAACAGTGTGTGCCAACCTTGTGAAGACTTACAGAAAACGTTTGACCTCTGTCATTGCCAACAAAGGATATATAACAAAGTATTGAGATGAACTTTTGATATTGACCAAATACTTATTTTCCACCATAATTTGCAGATAAATTCTTTCCAAATCAGACAATGTGATTGTCTGGATTTGTTTTCTCATTTTGTCTCTCATAGTTGAGGTCTACCTATGAAGTCAATTACAGGCCTCTCTCATCTTTTTAAGTGGGAGAACTTGTACAATTGGTGGCTGACTAAATACTTTTTTGCCCCACTGTATATAGTAGATAATGTAGAAATGTAAGAAATTAAAAATTATATAAAATTGTCAAAAGTCACATGGATTTTCACATGTATTTGATAACATATTTCAAATGCTTTCAGACAAGACTTTTTGCAAATGAAATTACATTTAAACTTTTATTTAACTTAAAAGTGGACTGGTTTCTTATGACTTACAATTTGCAATTCTGTAAAGCTATATATTTTCAATAGAAAATATGATGACTGGCAAAATTAATTTGACTTGTTTTGTTAATATTAATTTGATCTTCCTTGTATTTCTGCTTAGGTATTTATGCAAACTGTCGGACCAGGAGTTAAGACAGAGTGCAGCTCGTAATATGGCAGATTTAATGTGGAGCACAGTTAAAGAGCCATTAGATACTGCCTTGTGTTTTGATAAAGAGAGTCTTGATCTTGCTTTTAAGTACTTTATGTCACCAACCTTAACCATGAGATTGGCTGGACTTAGTCAAATAACAGTAAGAAGCTTTTGAATATATGTAGAATTTAGATATACAAGTAAATAAGTATATGTAAAAGTGTTCTGAGGCAATACTGGTAGTCCTCAACTTATGATCACAATTGTACCCAAATTTTCTGTTGCTAAATAAGACATTTGTTAAGTTAGTTTTGCCCCATTTTACGACCTTTCTTACCATGGTTAAGTGAATCACTGCAGCTGTTAAATTAGTAACATGGTTATTAAGTGAATCTGACTTCCCCATTGACTTTGCTTCTCAGAAGGTCACAAAAGGGGATCACATGACCCCAGGAAATATTTATGACACTGCAACTGTCATAAATATGAGTCAGTTGTCAAACATCTGACTTTTGATCATGTGAGCATGGGGATGCCATCGTAACTTAGAACAGTCGCTAAATACACTATTGTAAGTTGAGGACTATCCGTATCATTTTTCTTTTCTTCAAAAGTTATGATTTTACTGCCTAAGTAGAATTTGGCCCCCAACACAGCAGAATAAGATGATAGGTTATTGAAATGAGAGAATGGGATGTACAATTTAGGACTGGATATGGGCATATGACCTTCCAGTAAATTTGTCAAGGAATGGCTGAAAAAAATGAAAAAGAAATGAAGTGTTCTAGAATGGCCAAATCAAAGTCTAGATTTAAATCCCAGTGAGATGCTGTGAGGTGATTTAAGGTAATCTGGACATGAAAGAAATCCATCAAGGATAACAATAACACAGCTGGAAGGGACCTAGGAAGTCGTCTAGTTCAACCCCCTTCCCAAGCAGGACACCCTATATCCGTGATGGCGAAGGCACGCAGTGCCCTCTCTGTGGGCACACATGCTGTCGCCCCAGCTCAGCCAGCTGGTCATCGGGTTTCCAGCGCTCTAGTGTGCACACATGCACGCCGTCTGGTTTGGGCACTCTGTGCCTAAAAAGTTCGCCATCACTGCCCTATATCATTCCAGACAAATGGCTGTCCAATCCCTTCTTAAAAACCTCTAGTAAGGGAGCACCTCCATGAAGGAGTGGGAAAAAGTTTCTTCCGGACAATACCACAGGCTTGTAGGCAGTTACAAGAAATGCCTACCTGAGGGGGTTTCTGCCAAAGAGGGCAATAGCAGATATTAGAGGAAATGATGTACTTACTTATTACACAGAAAACTACCCTTGCTTAGAACTATTTGGATATACATATCATGCTATACTTTGGCTCACTATGTGATATCTGTGAAAAAATTAAATTACGCACAATGTAATGGAACCAAAACGATCAAGGGGCATTTTTATCACACAAACCCACAAAAATGGCAGTAAGGGTTATTTGTAAATAAGATGAAATATCTTCACAAATACAGCAAATTTAAATTAAGGCAGATATTCGATGAAATACTTAAATTTTGCAAAATTTATGAGAAAATCATAATGAAATAATTGCTGTTTCTTCAGTGTGCTAACTTTATATTTTTAAGGAGAGGGAGAGTAAATCTGTTTTAAATAAAATTGGTAGCAAAATGCATGTGATTTTGTTACTGAATTCAGATATTGTCATAATCCATGCAGGTTTAATTAAGTTTTTTAAAAACAATTTGCAAAATAGTTTAATATCATGATTCCAAATTTCAGTGGCTCTGTTCGCACACAAGAAGCTACAGCCAAATAATCCATTCTTTTACGTATTCACAGGCATTTTTGTTTGTAAAATAAATGGATATTTTAATATTGTATACAATACAAATGGTTTGTAATGATCAAAATAAGAAATTGCAATTATTGATGAAGTTTACTATGAAAGCATCAGTGTAGTAATTAGTATATCAGTATGTTCAGTTCTTCATATATTTTAATCATAATAGGAAAACAACCTTTTGCAAAAAATGAATAAATTTGAGGTAAGAACCTATTTTGATTAACTTGCTGTTCTTTATTGGCTAAAATGTATTTCTTTAGTATTTTTATTATAGAAATTGAGTTACTGATTTGATTAGTTAACTTTTGAATGATGCTTCATTTAAATCAATTGTATCCTTTTGCATTTATAAATTTAAAGTGTTTTTTCCTGCTTGTAGAATCAACTTCATACTTTCAATGATGTGTGTAATAATGAATCCTTGGTTTCAGATACAGAAACGTAAGTATCTTTTATCTTTGGAATACTTTCATTTAACCTAGCCCCAACTACATTGCAGTCAACAGTAAAATTTCATTAGAATTTGGAGTGAACTGTGATTTTGAAGTCATTCAATGCCAAATACAAAAATGATGGTTATTTTAAATTTTATATGTACATCGTATTTTAACACACATTAACTAAAAATCTCAAATCCTCTCTGGAAGGTTGAGTTGCCCCTCCAATCTTTCAAATACAAATCCTTTCTTTCCCATAAAAGTTTATTGATTTTCACCAACTGTAAATGGATATTCCATACACCGGTAGGAGAGGGCTTATGTAGTGCTAAAACTAAAGAAATTGCATGTCCCTAACCTAGTAGATAACAATTAATGGAAATTCTGCAATTACCTTCTTATGATTTTCCTCTCTTATATAGATCCATTGCTAAAGAACTTGCAGATTGGCTAATCAACAACAACGTAGTGGAACATATTTTTGGACCAAATTTGCATATTGAGGTATGTTTATTATAAAACAGGATTGTCTCTCTTTATCATGAAGTTTAAGTTTTAATGTTTTAATGTTGATTTAATGTTTTCCAGATCATTAAACAGTGCCAAGTGATTCTTAATTTTCTTGCTGCTGAAGGCCGGCTTAGTACTCAGCATATAGACTGCATATGGGCTGCAGCACAGGTATACCCTTACTTAAGAATTATGCCAAAAAGTGGTCTCAGGCAAAATACTATTGTGCTAAGAAAATAAAAATAATGGAAAGGCTTGGGTTTAGATGGAATGGAAAATTGATTGGCAGGTATACAGTAAATCCCTTCTTTTGAACCTGAAAGGTTTGTAGAGCTGCAAAAGCTTTATATGTTTGCATCTTATTCCCATAGCACTAAATTATGGTTTTAATTATATCTAAATTAGATGTGTTTCTTAAATATATGTGTACATGCTTATATGTATTAGTGTAGATGCTGTTTATTGTTTTGGGATTTTTATCATGAACAGCTACTTAGAATTAAAACATATAGAGGTCAAGTGATACCAAATCTAGTGCTCAGGCAGTAGGTCTCTCAACTCTGATGTGTTAAGTGTGTTTTTCTTCAGCATGCATGGCAAGTTAATTTAATTTCTCTGATTGTTTCAAGCCACCAAGAGTTGCTTGGAATTGGGCAGCCTCTATATTTAAATAAGTAAACTTCAAAAGGAAATGAATTTTTGGATAAAGCATGAAAAAGCAGCAGTTGGATATTAACTACTTATTCTTCAACATATATGCTCCTAGAAACTTTGAAGCATTTTTCATATTAAAGCAGTTTAATATAGGTAGTCCCCAACTTAAAACCATTCATTTAGCGACCTTTTGACATTACAGTGGTACTGAAAAGAGTGACTTAACCATTTTTCACACTTACAATCTCTGCAGCATCCCATGTTCACAGGATCAAAATTCGAATGCTTGGCAATTGGCATGTATTTCTGATAGTTGCAGTGTTTTGGGGTCATGTAATTACCTTGTGCAACCTTCTGACAAGCAAAGTCAATGGGGAAACCAGATTCACTTAACAATTATATTACTAACTTAACAACTTCAGTATTCATTTAGTAACTCTGGCAAGAAATGGGGCAAAACTGATTTAACAAATGTCTCACTTAGGAACAGAAATTTTGGGTCAATTGTAGTTGTAAGTCAAAGACTACCTGTATAGCATACTGGGGTTTATTTATTATTTAATACAAATTTTTACCATCATTGGTATTAGATGTTATGGCATTCAATGAATTGGTACTGCAAAGACTAGTATCCAAAAAATGGAAAGCAATCTCCCAAGTGCATAAAAATGTTTCATCCGTGTTTCCCTTTTCTATCGTAAGATAAAGGTAAAGTCTCTTTTTATTTGAGTTTGACTCCATGTGACTATTTTAATGTCTACTTTTTCAGCAGACATTAAACAAATCCTACTTGTATGTAGATCAGTAGTAGAAGGATTTTGAAGTTTGTATTTGTGAAGACTGCTATATGAAGTTCTAGTTACTGCTAAACTTAGTACGGGCAGACTTCAATTTATGACCAAAATTGTTAAATGAGTTGCACCCCATTTTATAACACAGTTGTTTGCCACAGTTGTTAAGTGAATCATGCATTTGTTAAGCAAATCTGGCTTCCTCCATTGACTTTGCTTGTCAGAAACCAACTGAGAAGGTTACAAATGGTGATCACATGACCCTGGGACACTGCCATAAATACATGCTGGTTGCCAAGTGCCTGAATTTTGATCACATGATCATGGGGATGCTGTAACAGTCATAAATGTGAAAAACAGTCACAAGTCACTTTTTTAAAGTGCCATTGTAACTTCAAAGGGCCACTAAATGAGTGGTTATAGGTATATATTGCAAATTGTGCAAATGATTATTTTTCACCAACTTAAGATTCCTAAAGATTCCAACCATTTTAAAAACAAGCAAAAACATAATATACCAAAGCCTTTGCATGGTGATGAATTAATATTGGGAAAAAAATCATGGTTTTGTTTTTATTTGATAATAAATATCATTTTCTTTCAGTACTAATCAGTGAACACTTGGCCAGCACTGTAGTTACTTTTCTGAATTAGATATTTCAGGTCTAAATTAATTTAGGTTTAGATTTACTTTCTCCGTTTGTTTAAAAAAAGTTTCACATCTCTAATTGCCCTTTATGATTTGATATTATTTTGTATATTTCTATTTTCATTATCACAATTTTGTAAAATATTTTAGAAGAGAGAGCATGGCATTAATGAAAACTAAAACTAAAAGAGACAGAGTGTTGAAAATGAAAAATGTGTTTTGAGCCTGATACTTATGAATTCTGAATTCAGTCAAACCCTGTCTCTTCTTCATCAGAAACAAAGATACTTACTTTTTAGATTGTGTCACTGTCTCTGCTGCATGGCCTCTGCACCTGTTCCTTACTGCAGCATCCATTATCCCACCACCCTGCTTGCTCCATTGTGCCACCTTTCTCTTCCTTCCCGCAACTGCTGCTCAGTTGTGATATATAACACAGATCTGCCCACTTCTTATCTTCCCTTTGCTGCCCTTCAGACGTTGTCACCAAGGAAACTCTTGTAACTTGGTTTTTTTATGGTTCCCTCAAATACTTCTGCTCAGAACAATTGCATTTTAGTCAGTATCTGGAACAAAATAGCCTTATTTACTTCTGCAAAACAGCCTTATTATTTCTTTCTACATCTGGGTAAAAAAAAAAATGTTTCAGTTTGGGCACAAACCACCTCAAATTTCTGCTTCATGTAAAGGAATCATTTGTGCATGAATTATTTTGCTGATCCTTAGAATATACAAACTGTAAGTTGTTTATAAAAACTGTAAGGAGGAGGAAAAGCCATTTCTCTTAATAAGTTGTCTTTCCCTTTCTTTTTAAAGTTGAAGCATTGTAGCCGCTATATACATGACTTGTTTCCTTCATTGATCAAGAACCTGGATCCTGTGCCACTCAGACATCTTCTTAATTTAGTTTCCATCCTTCATCCAAGTGCACATACCGAACAGGTAGAAATAAATGAATTTAAAGCAGTATTTTCTCTGGCTGAAATTTTTTCCGTATATGTTTTTTTTAAAAAAATTAAACAAAATTACATATGAAAGTAGTTGGGAAAATTATGGCATTGCTGATAGAATAAATTGGATGCCCTTGCTCTGAAGAGAGGGAGAGGAAATATATTTATGTGCATAGGTTTACTTAGATTAGAGGCCAATATTTATATCTCTTATCATTTTTAGCTCTTAATAGAAAAAAAATAAATTAGGAAGATTCCATTTGAGCCTGAGGTAATTTGCATTTGCATTGCAGTTGTGAATTTATGAATAACAGCATACACATTTACAATTTTATGAATAACAGAATACACATTTTTTGACATTGTAATTTATTATTCCTTTACAGACTTTATATTTGGCATCCATGCTCATTAAAGCATTGTGGAATAATGCTCTAGCAGCTAAGGCCCAACTATCAAAGCAGAGTTCTTTTGCATCTTTACTTAGTACAAACTTACCCATGGGAAATAAAAAAGGTGAGTGCACATTTGTTTCCTGGGCATCATAAATGATTAAGTAATAGATTTAAAGTTTTATTGGTGAGTTTATTATAGAGACTAATATATTTTCTAAACAAAAATCAATTTCTTTTAGTTAACCATAAGTTTCTTGTTTCATTTTTATTCAAAAGTAGAAATAAGAGTTTCAGGTAGAAAAGCCCAGCATATCTAGAAAATAAAAACACACTCTAGAAAATTTGGTTAGATACTGATACTCCTTGATTTATGACCCCAATTGGGACCAGAACTCCTGTTGTTAAATGATGCAGTTGTTAAGTGAGTCATGCCTGATTTTATGACCTGTTTTACTGCAGTTGAGTCACACAGTGAATTGCACAGTCATTAAATCATATGGTTGTTAAATTAATCTGGTTTGCCCCATTAGGTTTGTTTGTTGGAAGCCAGCTGGGAAGGTCACAAATGATGATTGTGTGACCTGGGATGCTGCAGCTGCCATAAATTTTAATCACATGACCATAAGGATGCTGCAATGGTTTTAAGTGTGGGGACTGGTTGTAAATAACTTCTTTCCATCACTGTTATAATTTGAATAGATAGTCATAAGTTGAGGACTGTCTGTATGTTACTATTGGTAATATATAATCATCACTATCTTTACTTCCCCCCCCTTCTTCAGAGGAAGAAGAGCTTCGAAGAGCAGCTCCATCACCATGTAAGTTATTGCAAAAAAGCATTATGACAATCATCTTATTAAGTAACCTTTATATAATTTTTCATTTTATCCATCTTTTATTTAGGTGGCAGTTGAACTAAGTTACATTTTAAGCAGCAGCTGCATTCTCTTTCTAGTTCTGGATCTTCCACATACATAATTCTATAATTCTTTCTTACTTTCTGTTACCCTTTGCAAGAACAGCAACGCAACTTGCAGTTATGCTATTGATGTTACTAGCTGCTAGACTAGTTTCAGGGCTAGTCAAAGGTTTACAGCAAGAGCCACAACAATACAGTGCCCCCCCCCTTTTTTTTTTTTGGCACCAGGGACCAGTTTCGTGGAAGACAATTTTTCCACAAACTGGGGAGAGGAGGAGCGCACAACCTAGATCCCTTGCATACACATTTTACAGTAGGTTCACTCTCCTGATGATCTGAGGTAGAACTGAGGCGGTGATGCTAATGCTGGGAAGCAGCTGCAAATACAGATGAAACTCCTCTTGCTCTCCTGCTGGACCAGTACCGGTCCTTGGCCTGGGGGTTGGGGACTCCAGGATTAATACAACTGAACATATATTAAAATCAACATTTTCTGAACAGACTTTTTTTTCTGAAATAGGGTCGCCTGCAGCAAGCCCTCAAAGCAGTGACAACAGCGATACTCATCAGAGTGGAGGAAGTGACATTGAAATGGAGGAACAACTGATTAGAAATAAGCATGTCCAACAGCGACTCTCTGATACAGAGGTACAATAGTAATTTTTTTCTATTATGACAACTTCAAAAGGCTAATTAAACTAACAAAGATTAATAAAGGATTTGATAATATGAAATACATATTTGTTTTTGTTCAATTTATATGGCAGGGTTTATACATTGCACTGAATCATTATTTGATTTGCTTCTCCATATACAATCTGTTGGGTGAACCAAGCCATTTTAGTTTATAAATCATGCTATGCTTATTAACAAATCAGTGAACCAAAATATTTAGATACTCTTGAATTTTACCAATATTTTGGACTAAAGATTATTCAAATGCACTTTAACGTGAAAAGTGCATTTAGATTTAGAATTGGCTACCTGTGTTTTGAAAGCTTCATTTGAAATTGTTCTGTCAGCACTCTCACCATCTTTCTTCAGGTTGGCAGCAGCCATTTCAGAGAATATGGTCTTCCAAAAGGCTCTTCCTAAGATGCCTGTCATAACTTGGGTTTTTAACCAAATCTATCTTGCCACCCTCTCAGCTTCTTTAAACCATTGTGTGGTTTATTATATATAGATCACTGATTTATATGCTGTTGTTTCCTTTAAGATGGAAAATGCATAATCTCTGAGCAACGTGTGACCTTACCTGATTATCTAATGATTCAGCATGTAGATTTAGTATTTTTTCATTTTTTTTTTTAGGAATCAATGCAGGGAAGTTCTGATGAAACAGCAAATAGTGGTGAAGATGGCAGCAGTGGGCCTGGTAGCAGCAGTGGTCACAGTGATGGATCAAGCAATGAGGCAAACTCTAGCCATGCAAGCCAATCTGCAGGAAGCCCAGGCAGTGAGGTGCAGTCAGAAGATATTGCAGATATCGAAGCTCTCAAGGAAGAGGAAGAGGAAGAAGATGAAGACCAGAGTCACAATTCCCCCAAAACTAGTCGGAATGTAGATTTGCGAAGCCGAAAAATAGAATCTCAATCAGGCATTTGCTTGGGAGATGCACAGGAAGCAACAGATAGGAATGGTGTAAACAATGGATCTGGGAATAGCCATGTTTTTAATAGTGAAGCTGTTCCATCAGTGGATAATAGAATTAGAATGCTAGATCCCTGTTCACACTCAGAGAATACTGATCATGATATAACTGGTGAAATGAGTACTGCTCATATATCCCAGGGTTCTCAAGATTCCTGTATCACACACACAGGGGACTTTCTTGGAGAAGCAATTGGAAATGAATTATTTAACTGTCGACAATTTATTGGGCCACAACACCATCACCACCACCACCATCACCACCATCATCACCACCACCACCACCACCATCATGAAGGGTAAGTTATTTTCAGTGTTTACATTTTTGGCAAAAGCAAAGTTTGAATTTGCTGCTGAATATTATGTCTTGAAATACTGAATTTTATCACATGAATATATTACGCAAAATAATCACATTTATAAGTATCTCTTGCTTTCTTTTATAATTCTTTTGCTGATTAAAGGGAATAAAAATTCAAGAAATGATTGTTCACTCAAAATTCTGCATCAGTAAAGCTTTGAAACAAAACATAGAATGTTCTTTAGTATGCTGAATTTCATTTTGCTGCTATATCTGTCCACATATGAACATAAGCAGTCTTAGGGACAATATTAAAATCTTGTTTGAAATAAGTAATTTATTGCAGTCTCAAGCACCTTTCATTTTTAATCATGCTAAGTAATTCTGAAATGTAATACAAATTTCTTGTACCCTGTTTTCCCCAAAATAAAATAATAAGCCCAATTTTGAGCATATGGCAATAAGGCCAAGCACTTCTTTCAGGGTTCAAAAAAATATAAGACAGGGTCTTATTTTCCGGGAAACATGGTAGTGTGTGTATGTGTATATATATATATACTACCATATATATATATTTTCTTAAGGAATGTGTAACAATTAATGTGATTGCATTTCTACAGTTGAATCTTTTTAAAAGTTACATTTGTTGTTATGAATGAACAAATTGTTATTTTTAACTTTTAGATGGAAATCTATCAGCACCACCTGCTATGGGGTGGAGGAAGGAGATACGTGCTATTGATACAGTGTATTGTTTTATTGCATCGAAGCATGATTTTTTGTGATTGCAAAAAGCAACAATATGTATTAAGTTGTTTGTGTATACTTAAGAATAGTTATTTGTGTAAATTTTTGCACTGTTTGTAGTATACGTTTTAACATAAATTCCTCATTGTGATTTGTAGTTCTTGGAGCTAAAAAGTAGTTGGATTCTCATGCTGCAGTCTTAATAAATCTTATCTTTGTAGATATGAATGAAAAAATATTTATATATTTAGTAAATTTATATACCGTCCATCTAGCTGCCTAAACTGACTATCCAAATTAGAGTTCTTCAAAGTACTCTTGAAGATTAAAATTTTTTGAGCTCTAAGTAGCCATTTCTGAGAATAGAACACCTTGCATTCAAGAATTTGGTTCAAGATTGGGACAAAATGGAACAATTAATTTCATGTTGTCTTCAGTGTTCTGACTTAAGAGTAATGTTAATGCAAAAGAAACTCTTATTTCCCAGATTTCAATAATAACATAACCAAGCATAAAAAAAAGTAAAAGATGGTACAGTGCCTAAATTTAATGGAATGTTCTCCCAAAAAACTCTATTCTCTTTTCATGTCTAGATTTAGGGTGAGAATTGGAAGCAGCACTACTACAGAATGGAAACATTCAAAGCACTGTTTCTCCTGCTTCGCTTATTTTTCACCAAACAGAGAAATACTTTTAACTTTTCTTATACAGATGTGGTAATTCTATCCTTGCTCAGGCTGCAGTGAACTTGTTTCATATTACTATTTCTAAAATAGTAATATGAAAAACCAAAAACCAGAACTGATGACCTGCTAGGCACTTCAAAAATGGCTGGAAGGGATTGCTACAATAGTTGCATTCGCATATATTGCATTCACATATATTACTGTTATCAAGAAAAATATTTTTTTCCTCTGGCTAATAAGAATTTCCTCCCTTTGCTTATGTAAACTAATATTCTTCTATAGTTTGCATATATTAAAAGGTGTAGTTAGCATATACTTGCTTTTATGTTATAGACACATGGTTGATGATATGTTAAGTGCTGATGATGTCAGTTGTAGCAGCAGTCAAGTCAGTGCAAAATCAGAGAAAAATATGGCAGATTTTGATGGGGAAGAATCAGGATGTGAAGAAGAGCTGGTACAGATAAACTCACATGCAGAACTAACTTCTCATCTTCAGCAGCACCTTCCAAATCTTGCTTCCATTTATCATGAGCATCTCAGCCAAGGTAAGAAATAATTAAGTCAAGGATAATATTCAATCAATCTCTGAAAAACAAAACAAAATTGTAAAGTACTGCATTGATGGAAATAGTGTCATAAAATTACTAATCTTTCTATTAATCATGACCTTCATGTTACAGATTTTACAGGCTTAACTGTAGAGAAAAACAATGAACATTGTTACATGAAACATTTGCTGCCTATTTTTTATAAAAATTACTGACTTAATATCTCAAAGTTCACACTGCTGGTAAAAGAATAAGATATGAAACTAAAACATATGATACTTGTACAGAATATTGTGGGCTATTGATTTGAGCAGGTTATATAAATGCTCTCAGGTTTTAAAACTTTTGCCAGAGGAGCTCAGACATTTAATATAAACCAGTACTTCTGATAGCAGGTTAAAAAAAATATTCAATCAGGCCTTCAGAAAATAAGCTGGCTTATTAATGAGTGGATATTGTTGGCTTTATTTCTATAAATCGTGCTATAATTGTTTTATTTTTTTTAATTTACTTGTATTAAAAGATAATTGAACACAATTCATAAGTAGAAAGGTGAATTATAAGAACAATAAAATCTATAAAGAGCTAAACTACTTTTATCTGATTTACCCAATATCTTTCCCCAGAATAGGCATTTCTTTTATTGGAATTACAAAAAAGTGCTTTTTCATGTGTGTTATTCCAGTTGTAGAGGATGGTCTCTAGAGAGGCATTCTCAGGCAGAAACTTTGTTTATGCAGGTATTTTAATTCAATATACCGTATTTTCCGGCGTATAAGACGACTTTTTAACACATGAAAATCTTCTCAAAAGTCGGGGGTCATCTTATACGCCGGGTGTAGTTCTCCTGTAACCAGGCAGACCAGCCCGAAAGGCTCTGACGAGCCTTAAATGGCTCTGGCGATCCCAGCTCTGGCGATCCCAGCTCTGACAATCCCAGCTGAGTTCCCTGCAACTCAGCTGGGATCGCCAGAAACCACGTAAAAGGGAAAAAGTTTTTTCCCTTTTACTCTGAGGATCCCAGCTCTGACGATCCCAGCTGAGTTCCCTGCAACTCAGTTGGGATCGCCAGAAACCACGTAAAAGGGAAAAAGTTTTTTCCCTTTTACTCTGAGGATCCCAGCTCTGACGATCCCAGCTGAGTTCCCTGCAACTCAGTTGGGATCGCCAGAAACCACGTAAAAGGGAAAAAGTTTTCCCCCTCCAGCTTGCTTACCTCAGCTGCTAATCGCAACGCTTGCCTTGCTTTGCTTGCTTGAATCTATTCAGGCAAGCAAGCAACTCCCTGCCTGCAATCAAGCAAGGAGTTAGTTGTGGACTTCAACTCCCAGAATTCCTCAGCCAGCAAAGCAAAGCTGGCTGAGGAATTCTGGGAGTTGAAGTCTACAAGTCTTAAAGTTGCCAAGGTTGGAGACCCCTGTTCTATTGGGTAAGATTTTTCCCCTTTGGGAGCTTTAAAACAAATAGTCAATTGGGGTTTTTTTAGTTGTTCTTTTTTAGACCTAGCCATTTAGGAAGCCGTTTAGGAAGTTTTAAATTTAGCTTTCATATAAAAATAAAAATAAAATAAAATAAAATAATATTTGTGCAGCTTTCTGAGATTTAGTGTGTTTCTGTAGTGTTTCACTCCAACTACACAAACGCACAAAATCTCACAAAGCTGTATGTGGAATTTTGTGTGTGTAAAGTGTGAAAGTTGGTTTTTTGGACTTTTTGTGGCTGTGTGAGGTTCCTGCTTGTTGCAGGGGCCATTTTGGGTCTAGCACAGCTGCTTTTACATTGTGGGTGAGCCAGTTGTGTTGTGTTGTGTGTGTTTAGAGTGTGAAAGTTTTTTGGGGGGGCTTTTTGTGGCTGTGTGAGGTTCCTGCTTGTTACAGGGGCCATTTTGGGTCTAGCACAGCTGCTTTTACATTGTAGGTGAGCCAGTTGATGTTTTTTAATTTTTATTTGGTGTGCATTGGAAGAGGGGCAGTCTTATATGGCAAGTATAGCCCAAACCCTATATTTTAACAGGAAAAGTTGGGGGTCGTCTTATATGCCCAGTCGTCTTATACGCCGGAAAATACGGTAGAATTTTACAAACTACTTATGTTAAGAACCAAGAATGATACATAGAATTATTTCTCAGTAGACAGAATCTTGCTGGCTACAGACAGGATCCTGCTGGCTTCTAAAGATAGACTAAAGCAACTATCTGCATAACTATAGATATACTCTGATCTGCTAGGTAGGAGCCAACTTAACCCTCTCCCTGCCAGCAGACTTTCCAAGTTCTTCTGCCTCTTTGCCCTCTGGGAAGCAGCCCCTCCCTCCTGGGACTCCAGACTACATTACACCACAGCTTCCTTTATTATTTATATAACAGTAAAAGGGTGTAAAAGTAAAAGTAACTTGTATTAAAATTTTAAAGAAGATAAGTATGTTTTCGATTTACCTTTTAAATAATAACATCAATACAAATACAAATTATTCAAAAAGTATAAGAAATGTATTTGGCTTCCAATAGTAGTACTTTGATTATATTCCAGCCTATTGCCAAATTTTCATTGGGTTAGTTACATACTCACAATTATAACATTCTTGTTCTGACCTAGGCTTCTTGAGTCAGTAAAACACACGAGCAGTCCCAAAAACCTCTTTTATTGCAACAACTGTGAATTCTGTTCATTCACAGATGAGTCCGAAATAGTTGTAAAGAGTCCTTTGGGATAAGGCTGATAATCACCCACCTTTATCTCACTTGACATGCTGTCAAAGACTTAATTGGCAAAGTCACACAGAGTCCAGAATCAAACAGAGCTTCAGACTTTAAACTGAACAGAATTAACAACGTTGCTTCCTGCAAAGGCCCACATGCCTTTGCTCCTCTTTTAAGTCTTATGGGAGGGGCCAATCATCTTCAAGCCCTACTCCTGAGTCGTCCCTTTTGTTTTAATTATTCTTGCCTTCTGGCAGCTCTGTGCATGCGCATACTGAGAACAGGCTCCCCCTGTTCCTCTGCCTTGTTGAGATCCGACTCTTCTGGAGGTTCCGAAGGCAGCACGTACCACCCAGATGGCCCTTTCTCTGCCTCCAACGCAGAGCCCTCGTCTGAGTCTTCCCCAGACTCCAGGACTGCCCATGTTCCTCCCCAACCTCCTTACTGTCAGACTCTGCTGCCAGCTCTGCAGGCCGCTGGCAAACCACAACAATTCTAGATAAAATTAAACTTTGAACAAATCAGGAATCACTGCAAGACCAACACCAAAACCTAAGGAGGCTGCATCCCAATAGCAAGCTTCTACTGTAAAGTATAGCATAAGCACATTTATGGATTGTAAAAATATACTTCTGTCTAAAACTACAGGAAAAACATGTCACTCAAGCATCTTCTTGGACCTTATCTAAAGGCTGGAGTAGTATCAGGTCTGCAGCTCCATAGTTATTGCCTTATTTTGAACTTCTGGATGTTTTCATTATGCTTGTTTTGATACATGCTGCCTCTTAATTGGAAAGGAAGGGAGGACTAGGTATGATTCTGATTAAACTGAAAATAGTAAAAAAGATGTTTTGTCATGCATCCTGTCTTATATTACGATTAAAGCTGTATGTAGGAGAGGGTTAGGCACAGAAAAAAGCCCTGTTTGTTGTTTGGATTACAGTGATACCTCATCCATTGATCTTTGTGGATAATAATTGCATATGACGTAATAGGATGGAGCTCTTTTGCTCCTTCTAAAAATGAGTTGTGCATAATATTTGTTACTTAAAAACTATGCAACTTTGCCAAGAAAGAAAAAATATAAGAACATTTCATATGTTTGTACCATAGTGATTCATAATAAATTTTAAAGAGGTGAAGAATTCCCAATTTATTATAATATTTTTAATAAAATTAACTGCACTTACCTGTAATTGGTCCCCCGATATCCCGACTTGCTTCAAGGTTATAGGGTTGTATATTAACATTTATTTACAGGTATTCATGGACAGATTCCACTCAAGTCAGGATACACATTCTATATTTTTAATAACACCTGTCTTTTGCTCAGGGCCAGCAGTTCATAAGCACCAGTACAACAGCAACGCAGTGACAGATATTAACTTGGATAATGTTTGTAAGAAGGGAAATACCCTTTTGTGGGATCTGGTCCAGGATGAAGATGCAGTAAGTTAAATATCACACAAGAATATTTTCCAAAGAAAAAGTAATAATAATTGTCAATAACTCTTCTCTTACTTGCTCTAGATACATCTTTCTGAAGGTTTAATAAATGAAGCAGAGAAGCTTTTATGTTCACTAGTATGTTGGTTTACTGATAGACAAATTCGTATGAGGTTCATCGAAGGCTGTCTTGAAAATTTAGCAAATAACAGGTAAATAAAGAACCCAGAGTTGCTCTGAGGGACATGGGCAATTTCTAAATATGATACATAAGTATATATAAATAAACAATTAGGCTTAAACTGCAGGTATTAGTTCTTCACCATTTTTTTTCTTTAAATATAACTATATCATAATGTTAATGTAAAGGCTATAAATTAAAGATCACCATGATGCCGGTGTTGATTTATATCTAATTTTCTTTCATTCCTTAGATCAGTTGTAGTTTCTCTTCGTCTTCTCCCAAAATTATTCGGTACATTTCAACAATTTGGGAGCAGTTATGATACACATTGGATTACAATGTAAGTACAACTACCTAGACATAGCAAAAGAAGCTGAATATGATTCCTTATTACTGGTAGTATGATTAGAAATTAGGAATCAAAGAGGCATTCCTTACAAAAATGCTAAGAATTTTAAAATCCATTTCATTTTATTTTGAACATTCTTCAATTTAGTAACTTCAAAACATTTGCTGATTTATTTAATTACAAATGGAGTGGCAAGAGTTCCCAGGAATCAACCCTGAACTAATAAAACCCTATAAATAGTTATTGTGATACAAATAATTACCATATTTTTCGGACTATAAGACACACCTGATTATAAGACGCACCTAAATTTAGAGGAGGAAAACAAGAAAAAAAAAAATTCTGAACCAAATGGTGTAGTAATATATTTAATAAAATATAGCAGAATAATATTTCAACTATGTAAAGTCAACAGCAGTATTAAGGACCATCATCACTGTCATTAACAAATGAGGAGAGTCTTTAAGGTTCAAGCACTCTTCTAATTTTCGGGAAACCCCAAGAAGTCATCATTGCTAGCGTCAGAATTTATGAAGCTCAGTTGCTCACAATCACTGATATCACTTTCTTCACTATATTTATATATGATACCATCTTCGGTTCCATCACATTTTTTTGAATGACTGTGCAACGATTTTGTCCTTCACTGAGTGCCATGATGTTTTAACCCATTCACAAACTTGAGTGATAGTGGGCCTCTTCATTCGTTCAATAGGTGTCAGATCATGATTACCAGTAGCCATCCATTTGTTCCACTCTTCTCGCATATAGACTTTAAATGGTTTGTTGATGGAAATGTCAAGAGGTTGCAACTGGCTGGTAAGACCCCCAGGAATTACAGCTAGACGAGTCTTCACTTCTTTAAATCTCTTCTTTGTGGTTTCGCTAATATGTGCTCTAAACTGGTCGAGCACTAATAAAGCTGGTTTTTTCAGAAGCTCTCCAGGACGTTTGGACCACACTTTTTCAACCCATACTCTCATTCCATTTTTGTCCATCCATCCTTTCTCATGAACATGCACGACAACTCCTTTTGGGATCACTTTTGGAAAGGTTTTCCTTTTGAAAATTATCATCGGTGGCAATTTGGTGCCGTCTGCACAGCAGGACAACACAACCGTGTAATGTGTTTTCTCATGTCCTGAGGTTTTCACGGCTGTGTTTTTGGCACCTTTCAGATCAACAGTCTTATTAGATGGCACATCAAATCTTAGCAGGACTTCATCCTTATTCCCAATCTGTGGTAATCTGCAGCCAGTGGCGGGATCAGTCGACTGTCCCAACTGCACACAACTTTAAAAAGCGGTTCGGCCGAACTGGCTGAATCCCACCTCTGCGTTGCTGCCTCAGCTGGGGAACGCTGGAGCCTTCACAGCCGATTGGCGGTTGGATCAGCCTCCCAGAATACCGCCAATCATCTGCCTGTTCCCGCCACACCAACTCCCTCCCCCCAGATATGACAAGCCCCCAGCTGATGCAACATTCAATATATAAGACACACCAAAATTTTCACCCACTTTTGCCTGTGGGGGGGGAGGGGAGTGCATCTTATACTCTGAAAAATACGGTAGGTCTCAGGGAAGAAATAATATAAAATTTGAAGCTAGGTTGAATCTCTAGCAATCATGTGTGGCACAATATTAATTTATTCCTCATTTATTTAATTACATCCACAAGATCTTTTTAAATAATGAAAGCGTTAAAACCAGTCTTGGTAATAGAGGAATAAGCTGTGATGAGGAATGTCATGAAGTTTTGTAAATTCACAGATTTTGATGCCAAACACCTCTTGATGCATTTTTTTTTCTCATTAAGAGATCAAACAACATTTATTTTCAATTCTTTTACTTTTAGTTATGTTTTCAGTATGATGTCTTGTTAAGAGTTATATTTACAACTAGATTACATACTATATTCCACTAACCTGCCAGGGCTTGACTTTTAAAATGTCTTGGAAAGAATTTTTTTTCTCTTCTGAATTGTATGCAGCATCTGTCTTGTTTATGTGATCACTAGAAGTCAGCAACAACTTGATGGCACATAACCAGTATGCAGCATTATTATTATTATTATTATTATTATTATTATTATTATTATTATTATAATTTGTATACCGCCCTACTCCCGAAGGACTCAGGGTGGTGAACAGGCACAGAATAAAACACGTAAAATACAAAAATTAAGAACAGAAATAAAATCTAATTAAATCAATTTAGCCCAAGACAAATTTAAAACCCCAGGTTAAGAACAAATTAAAATTTACATTAAAAAAGAATGGGAAAGGTTAGGCCAGACCAGCCTGGCGAAATAAAAATGTCTTAAGAGCGCGGCGGAAGGTGCGTAGATCCGGGATCCTCCATATCTCCGGGGGGAGCTCGTTCCAGATAGTAGGTGCCCCTACAGAGAAGGCTCTCCCCCTGGGGGCTGCCAGCCGACATTGTTTGGCTGACGGCACCCAGAGGAGTCCCTCTCTGTGAGAGCATACCGGCCGGTGGGAGGCCGTTTGCGGCAGCAGGCGGTCTCGTAAATAACCAGGCCCTAAGCCATGGAGCGCTCTAAAGGTGGTAACCAAAACCTTGAAGCGCACCCGGAAGACCACCGGGAGCCAGTGCAGCTCGCGCAGGAGAGGTGTTACATGGAACGCCATGTCGCTCCCATAACCACCCGCGCGGCCGCACTCTGCGCCAGTTGGAGCCTCCGGGTGCTCCTCAAGGGGAGCCCCATGTAGGGAGCATTGCAGTAGTCCAGGCGGGAAGTGACGAGGGCATGAGTGACCGTGTTTAAGGAGTCCCGATCCAGAAAGGGACGCAACTGGCGAATCAGGCGAACCTGATGAAAAATCCTCTCGGTCATGGCCGTCAAGTGCTCTTCTAAAGACAGCCGTGAATCCAGGAGGACGTCCAAGTTGCGAGCCCTCTCCGTGGGGGCCAGCGATTCGCCCCTGATAGTCAGCGATGGTGTCAACTGACTATATCGGGACGTCGGAAACCACAGCCACTCAATCTTGGACGGATTGAGCCTGAGCCTGTTCCTTCCCATCCAGATCCGCATGGCCTCCAGACACCGGGACATCACTTCAAGGGCATCGTTGGGGTGGTCCGGGGTGGAGATGTACAGCTGAGTATCGTCAGCGTACTGATGGTACATTAGTATAAATATTGGTACATCAGCATAACTATTCTCTACCTGTAAATGTATGCATTCTATCATGTCCAGTTTCGCCTAGTGGTTAAGGTACTGGCCTAGAAATCAGGGGACTGTGTGTTCTAGTCATGAGGCATAAAAGATGGCTAGATGAATTTAGGCCAGTCACATTCAGCCCAACCCACCACACAAGATTGTTGTGGGGAAAATAGGAGGAAGAAGGAGTATTATATATGTTTGCTGCCTTGAGTTACTTCTAAAGTAATAAAAACAGGAAAGAAAAATCTAATAAATATCTTTTTATCTAGTTTTAAGGTTGAAAGCTATACTGGAGTTACACCATCGGATAGGGAACTGCTGTACTTTGAAATTCAATTTAGAGATAAGAAAGAGGCTAAATATGCTAATCCAATATGATTCTCAATTGTTCAATTGATTTTCAAAACCTCCCATTCATAAATGCCGCAGAGTTCTTTCCCCTAAAGCCCTCCTTGAAAACCTCTTCAGCAAGGGAACACTGCCCAGTCCAACTTAAGAACACCACACACCAGTGCTTTTAGTACAACTAATAATAAATGATAGCCAGTGTTCCCTAGATCCTAGAAGGTTGCCAGCCTTCATACATCCTTGTTATAATTATATACCCAGCATATAATTTGCTTTTTAAATCACTTCCTTTTGCCTCTTAACGGCAAGCCTCCCTTTCTCTTGTGGGATATATCTTCCTATAGAATACTATTATTCTCAGGTTCTACTTATCAATTAAGCAAAAACAAAATCTTGCATGGATGTGTGCCAGACTCGCAAGAAGACATTGACTCTTGCATGCTGTCACAAGCTAAAACCTGCCATATCATGTTTAGTAGTGGATGTAATGTGTAATGAATGGAACAATTGCTGTGTCAAAAAGTGGTTAGAGTTATGGCACATCATACAGAGCAACCTTAAACCTAATATTTAAGAAATATTATGAACTATTTAAGAAATCGTATTAAATGCAGTATGGGTGAGTATGACTTACACAATGGTTTTTTTTTTCTATAATTCCCATTAAATGATATGAACTCTTACATTGAAACAGGTGGGCTGAAAAAGAACTTAATATGATGAAGCTTTTCTTTGATAATTTGATATACTACATTCAAGCAGTCAGAGAAAGACGGCATAAACACACATTGTAAGTATGATTCTGGAGGATAAGGATCTTGTCCTTTTTTGTCTGTTCATGATTTAATATTTTGTACTACCATTGTTCACCTTGGCCTTGCTAAACTCCATTTGCACATGACCACATTAATCACTTGACTGGTCTGAATAATTTCAGCATCTGACTTATTGATGCCTATCCACTTCTACCATTCTTCTTCAGAGATGTACTAGCTCTTTTGGTAAGTGGAAAAAGGAATAAAACAAAAGGAATTCTGATGCAAAATAGAATTTGACATTTTAAGATGGCATTGACCAAATAAAATTATACTGAGGCAGTGTATAACTCCAATATCCATCAATATTTGCCTCTGCCTGACTAATTTATACCATACTATTTTATGCTGAGTGCTGACTGTTGATTGAAGTTGTTTATGTTCAACAATGTTTATATTGGAATAGGAGAAAGGTAAAAAAGATAGTTTGAAAATTAAAACGAAAGAATAAGGCTTTTATCATTTGGGTATTAGATACACAGCAGATTCCATGTTGTCTTTTATAATACGAGATACAAATTCAGTAAATGTATACTGAATATATGTTCATCATTAATAACTGAAACTATTTTGAATAACATTTCTTAAAGTTTCCATATAGCACTAATATATACTTATTTAAAACATTTAAATATCCACCCATCTTGTATCCAACATTGGGTACCTCACAATCAAATCATTTACTTAAAATAAAAATATCAGAACCAAAATACCTGGTACTACAGTCAAAAGTTTCCCATGCAGCCCCCACGTTCATCTCACCTTAACCCAGCAAATGGAGGAAAACCTACAGTCATAGTGTGTTAGTCTTAAATTCATAAAAGGGTTATTTCAGATTAATATAGCCAGCATTTATATTCTCCAGTGTTATATGACAAAGAAACACATAATAATATTTTATGTATGCTCTATGGGGGGGGGGACTTCTAGGCCACGTTCACCTCCAGTGTTTTTTGTTTTGTTTTGTTTTTGACATCACTGAACCCTCAGTGTAGAAATTCAGCAGCAAAAATCAATATTCAACATTGTAATTTTTGTTTATTTAACAAAATAAGAATGAAGCAGATTAATATTTTATATTTATGCTGGCCTATGACTGTAATAAAAAAATAGTTCTATTTTATATTTTACTTTACAAAATACCCCCATATGAATTTTAGTTTGTCTGTTTTGATTGCATTTCTGCATTGTTGCTATATATCACCATGCACCCTGTAATCTATAACAGCTGGGGAAACTAAACTATTTCACCCAACTGGAAAAATATTACTGGTCCAGGCATGATGAAAAAAATTCTGAATCCTACAATAATGTTTAGTTTTAAGATTTGATAATACGTTTTACAATGGACAAATTAAAATTCTCTTTTTGATTTAGAATTTTTAATTCCTCTACCTTTTTTGTCATGAAACCTGAATTGGATGTCTGTGAAGTTTACAGCAGTCAAGCTTAAATGATTTTATCTTTTTCAGCATTTGTAATAACCTTGTGTCATCTGATGAGGTTAAGATAACCCTCAGAAAAGATGAGATGTATTAGTCTAATTTAATTTGGAAAAAATATTAAGCTGTTTTAAGGTTTACTAATTTAACTTTTAAATAATTTCAATGATAGATACAGCCATAGCGCAGAGGTTCAGGTGCGTCTTCAGTTTCTGACATGTGTCTTTTCCACTCTGGGATCACCAGATCATTTCAGTAAGTTCTTACTATATCTTAATTTTTAAAAATTTAATTTTCTGATTTTTTCTTGAAGATTTATTTTTTAAAGAAATATTTAAGGTGGGGAATTCAGAATGCTTATTGTAACTGCAAACTTTAAGTACAAGTAGTCCATGACTTACAACCGGTTGCTTAGCAACCATTTGGAATTACAACAGACACCCCCAAAATGAAATTATAACCCAATTCTAGATTTCCAGTGTTCCCATTGCAGTTGGGCGTTCAGCAACCAGCCCAGTTTATGACAGACAGACAGACAGACAGACAGAAGAGAGAGAGAAAGAGAAGGAAAGAAAGAAAAAGAAAGAAAGAAAAAATCAATCAATCAGTTGTACTGGACAGCAATGCATGCAAAGAGAATCTGGAGTCATATTTTTTGGGCCAAAAGTGTGATTCCGCTGCAAATAAAGCAAATACAATCTAGGCTGCATAAGTAAAGTATTATGTGAAGATCAAATAATTCATTGTTCATTCTTTTCTGCATTGGTCCACATAATATCCAGTCCTGGCCATTACATTTTAGGAAGGGCAGTAATAAACTGAAGCCTGTCCAGAAGATTGCAATCAAGATGATAATTGATATTTTGTTAGAATGTAGGAAAGAATTTCTAATACTAAAGGAGCTGTTGAGGAGTTTTCAGTAGGGGACTTTCATTTAATGAAGGTGTTTAAAGAGCCTGGATAGGCATATTTTGGGGGTGCTATAATAGTGAGTTCCTGCATCTTGAAGGTTCTTTACCAATTAGAGATAACAATTATTTCTGCAGATTTATGGAGCTCAAAGAATTTTGTTCTGTGGTATAGGTTTTCTGGATATGTTTTTTCTGGCTATGTTTGCATCAGTTTCTGAGTTCCATTGTGAAATGACAAGATAGGAAAAGGTGTGAACACAGTCATTCCTGACACAATCAGTTATTTTCTCTTATTCATTGACCTCAGATAAATATTTGATTTTCCAGAGGATCTGTAGACAGCAAGGCAAGGCATATAACTGGAGAGTAAGTGGCGTGAAATGTTGGCTTGAGGATGACCCATACTACTTGCACCTCTTTAATGGTTGCAAAAGCATCATAAGTTTTCTAATTTTCAAGTGACCAGCCATCTCCACAGCCATCTCCTATGTGATATTTGCAGAGTTTTTTAGTGGGGAAAAGCCTTTATATTCAAGTTGGTGCAATTCCACATGAAATGTCCGAAGCCCCATTTAGTCTGCATTAACAGGATTGAAACCTGAGCAATTGTTTAGAATATAAACAATTTGTCCAACTACGTATTTTCTTAATGACTACCCTTCATGGCTGATTCAATCTAGCTGGAAAAGGTTGACTGAATTTGTCAGGTTATCACAAGGTTATCACAGAGAAATATTAATTTCTCTGAATGAGTGGGCAGTACTGTGCTTTTTAACTCACAATATTGATGCTTAATATCTGTTGCTTAGCAGTAATACCCTGCTTCAAGGTGTTGGCAGCCATGTAGCTTTAGATAATCTTTTTAAAAAATCTTTTTATTAAATACTGGGTTCTCCTCTCTCCTCTTCCTCTCCTTTTTTCTCCTTTTATTCTTATTATAAATGCAACAAGTACATCAAATAGTCCTTCCTTCTATTTTACCCACAACAACCACCTTGAGAGAGAGTGACTGGCCTAAGATCATCTAACTGGTTTTCATGGCTAAGGTGGGATTTGAACTCGCAGTCTCCCAATCCCAATTTCTAGCCTGGTACCTTAACCACTAGACCAGGGGTGTCAAACTCAAGGCCTGTGGGTCGAATCCAGCCCATGGGGTGCTTAGAATCCAGCCCACGGGCTGCCCTGGAAATAGTGAAGGACCGGCCTGCGGTGCCTCTGCCAGCGAAAACAGAACTTGGGAGGGCCGTATGCGGTCCAAGCTCCATTTTCGCTGACAGAGGGTTGTAGGAGGCCATCGCAGCCGAAAACGGAGTTCGGGAACCCATTTTCTCTGGCAGAGTGCTCAGGCCATCACAGGCACCCCTGACATGAGTGACGTAGAGCTGGTCGTGCCCACCCTGGTCCCCCGAGGTCAAACAATCCTGATGTGGCTCTCAGTGAAATCGAGTTTTACACCCCTGCACTAGACCAAACTAGCTCTTTGTCACATTGATGGATGACCTCTTTGAGGAATGTAACTCTTGAAACATTTTGATACTGTTTACAACTATATTGTGGATCAGCTAATGAGTTGGAACCACACAATAGTGTTAAAATGGTGCTATTGCAGGACCAAGTTAACATAGGGATATAAAAGTGATAGGTCTCTTCTTTTGTTGCTCCCTAGCAGCTGGAATACAAGGCATGGCATCTGTGATTCTGAAGGTAATAAATAGCCGTCAGTACTAATAGACACCGATAGCTCAATCTTCCATGAATTTTTCCAGCTTCCCTATAGTCTAATTTGGTCTATATTACACGTGAAGGGAGCAGATTCCACAGTTTACAGGAGTCCTCAAGTTGCAACAAAATTGAGCCTGCCTCTTATGGTTGCAAGTCATGATGGTCAATAAGCAAAATGCCCACGTGATAGCATTGCTTAGTGACCCCCACTCCTGTTCTTCCCAGTGCTTCATTAAATGGCACATGGGATGCCTCAGGTGAGGGAGGCCTTGGAACGTCTAGTAAGATCCACCTGCCCTGAGCCTCCCAAGGCCTCCTGTACCCATAGGTATCCTGTGCTTTGCTTCCCATCCCTCAGGGTCCTCACAGCCTTGGTCTGCTTCCCACCCCACAGGTCTCCCACACTTCCACATACTCCCAATCTTGCACTTACTTTTGAAAGATCTCTAGAGGTCATATTAGGGAAGGATAGCATGCCAATCCACTTCACACCATCTGTAGGTCATGTGGCTCTGGAATAGGGCAATATTTAAGATCAGACACAGTGTTGTTGCAGGGCAACCACTCTAAAAATGGCACCTGCTTCTGGGATGGAGCCATGCAGCCTATGGATTCTGAGGGTTGTAGCAGCCTGCCCTCCTTCCCCAGACAAGGTCCAGTACACCAAAACTGTGGACCTGATGGACAGGGCACATCACCATGACAATGTATGTTTATCAGAAATTCACTGATTAGAAAAATAAAAGCTAACCTAGGATTTTTATTGAACTATACTGTTATTGTTTTTTGTTGTTCTGGTTTTGTATTGCAGAGGAGAGAGATATCCAAATTATAACCTATTGGAGGATTATTATAATCCGAATAAAAAATGGATAGCAAATTTCATAAATAAAATATATTTGAATTTTTAGGATTGAGTCTGGAACAAGTTGATGTACTATGGCACTGCTTAGTTGAAGATTCTGAATGTTATGATGATGCTCTACACTGGTTCTTAAATCAAGTAAGAAGTAAAGATCAGCATGCTATGGGAATGGAAACCTACAAGCATCTTTTTTTAGAAAAGGTAAGTGGATTTTATCTTTGCTACATAATCAGTTATTATTTCTATTGAGCACAAGCTTCAAAATGATTTTTTTTTTTTTGTTAGATGCCTCAGCTGAAGCCTGAAACAATTAGTATGACTGGATTAAACTTGTTTCAGCATTTATGTAATTTGGCTCGATTGGCTACTAGTGCATATGATGGTGGTTCAAACTCAGAGGTAAGCAAATGTACTGAGCGATTATTTCATTTTTTGTAAAATTAATATGTCTGTGGGGTCCTTGGTGTTTTCTGAGCTTGGTTGTTTTGTTGCAGATGTTTTATTACCCAACCAGATAACACCATCAGTGCTAGAAGGGAGTGAGGTTTGTTCTCTGTTTATAGTCTAATGATTTGCCCTATCAATGTTGGTGGGAATATTCTTGGCAATTCCTCTGACAATCAGGCAGAAGAGGTAGAGTACATCCATGAACACTAACTAGCAGTCAGAAGACAGGATGAAAACTCCTTAATTTCAAACACATGGTCGGACTTAACCATAGCTTCTACTGGAAAACTATGAGTATCCTAGACCAAGCTAAGTCCAAAAAGGCTAGAGAATTTCTGGAAGCCATCAACAGGCATGTAGAGATAAACAACATCTACATGCCATTTGAAAGACAATCAAGAAGCCAAAAAGGAAACAGAAAGATTAAAATACCTTTCGTCCAGCAATCAATACCTAGAGAAGCAGAGATGAACACCAAGACTAATACTAAACCAAGGATCAAGCAATAAATAATACCCTAATCAAGGAACTACCAACTCAAACAAACAATCAAACAATAAACAGCCACCTACTCAAGGAATCATCAAAAATAACTTCCACCAACATTGACAGGGCAAACCACTAACATATAAACAGAGCAAACCCCATTTCATACTAGCACTGATGATGTTACTTAGTTGGGAAATGAAACATCTGCATGAAAACAGCCAAGCTCATAAAGCACTAAGGACCCCACAGCTCAATTCTGAACTACAAATATTATCTTCTATTGATATTAACATGTCTCTTTAATAAGATACACTTTAATAAGGAATTGCTTAGTGAACAGTATCACTTGATTACATCATTGTCCAGTCATTCCTGTAATTAGGTAAGAAGATTTTTATTTGAATTAAATATTTTGTAATGTTTTTTAAAGCCAGACATAAGAGTATTACAGGGATTGCAGTGGCATGTATGCTTCTGATCATTAGATATAGAGACATCACAGCATTTTTTTTTAAATTTGATTTATATGCCGCCCTTCTCCGGAGACTCAGGGTGGCTTGCAATGTGTTAAGCAATTTGAATACCTTTTCCAAGATCTTCATGGCCGCTCCAACAAATGTTAGTCTGTGACATATTTCTTGATTGTTTGTTCTTTTACTGTTTTTTTTTTTTTCCAAAAAGTTTTTTTATTTTTATTTTTTCCAACACACAAATTACATCTTTTCGGAACAGAGCCCTGATCCGGTCATTAATTTATACAGTTCTTCCCCCCCCCCCCCAAATCTTTAACAAAATTTTGTATATTCTATTTTGCCATAACACTTATTTCTTACTCTTAACTCACCTATCTCAACTAATACCATCTTAAAAAATTTAAGTCAAATTTACTTAATCAAAACAATTACCCTTCTATTAACCCCCCTTAAATCTTAATTCAGTTAATACTTCATAGTACATTTCACAATTCTTACCCTAAATCCTCACTATTAACAATACTTAATCTTAAATCACCTATCTCCCCTATTATCATCTTGTAAAAAGTTTACTCTTATTTATTTAATCAAAACAATTACCCTTCTATTAATCCATTTTAAATCTCAGTTCAGTTAATACCTCATAATACATTTCATAATTCTTAGCCTAAATCCTCACTATTAAGAATACAGGTCAAACATGTTTATTTTTCAAAATCTTATTTCCCTTTCTAAAACTTCCCTACATTTTTTACTTCGTATAATGCTCAATGAATCTTTATTTCCTTATTACTTCACCAAATTTATATTCTATCTCTAATCCCAAAAATATAGCAATTTAACATTGAAACATAGTTCTTAATTCAAATAAGACTACAATACAATTTTCCAATTATTTCCCACAATTCTATCTCTTTAATCATACCATTTGTATAAAAAGCAATTTGAGTAATTCTTATTTGTAATTCATAGTCCTATATTATTTCAATCTTCTTTTCTTTTTTGCTTAGATAATTATCAAAATATAGAAAATATTAAAATATTAAAGTTAATGAAAATATTCAAATTATTGCAATTGTTATAGGTATTTAAACAATATCCCAGTTTTTACAGTCATCAATTATTCTCAAGTAATACCATGTAACATCTTAATAAAAATTGATTCATTATGTCCATTGATATATTTTCTTTTAACATAGTCTATTTCTAATATATTAAAGCTTCCATCCATATTTCAATTTTAAGTATCTGTAACATATTCTTCTCATATTTCTGTTAACCATTATTAATCTCAATATAGTTATTTTATAAATCAAAGTCCTGGACTTTTCTATTTTACCCAATATTCCCCAATTCTTTCACTGTTAATCCCAGTGTAATCATCTTTATAACTATTGTTTTTCAGAATATAATCTCTAAAAACCTCCTTTTTATTATTACTATCCACCTGTGCATTACTTATTCATATTTAATCACGTTGTCTTTGTCTTCTTTATTTCCAGCCATTATGTCTTGTTTCTTCATTTTCTTGTCTGCTTGCATATACTTCATTTCAGCTTCAATGTCCTCAAATTTGTCCTCCATGTGGCATTTTAATTATTTTTCTTATTTCCATTCCAAGTCAAATACATCATTTTTTCCTTCTCTAATTCCTGCACCATTTTATTCTTTTTAAGTTGATGTTATCCCAATTATAAGAGTTCCGTTGTGGTTCCTCTTTTCTTTTCTTTTTCCTCCAAAGTCAAGCTGCCTACAGACAAAGAAATCATCCTCCACAAATTCTCAAGGTTGTTATCTGTAAATTTCTCGATTTTCCAAAACAAAAACCAAGTTGCAATGTTCCTTTTTACTCCAGAAGGTGTCTCTCTGCAATCCACAATTTCCAATTGTTTAACAAGTATCCATCTTATTTCAGTTACATAACAATCTTACTTGGATTCTCTTTTTCTTTTAGTTTTAAAAGTATCAAATCTTTTTTTAAAGTCCAGTCCAAATTTAAACTCTTCCAATCCTTTGACCATGTCTCAATGTTTAACGTTTCCAATTAGTTTTATTCAAAAGTTAATTTTCGGGTTTTTTGTCTCTTTAAAGTTACATTTCAAAATCTTCTTTGCCCAGTGCTCCTTAGCCGCTATTTTATCGCTAGGGGTATTGTAGTTAAAAGATGTTTCCCTTGATGTTATTACAAGCCTGGGTTGGCTGTCACTCACCCGGCTTCAAAAAACACTGTTCCATTCCATTTTCCTCCTGCTCAATACTTGATCCGGTTGTCCCAGCTTCGTGGCAGCCGTCATGGCTGCCGCCTCCCGCCGCCGAGTCACAGAGAGTTCCCCCTGACCTCCGAGGAACTTGCCTGTTTCTCTTGGTCGTCCGAGGTGCCCCTCTTTCTTCCCCATCCCTGCAGGACAGTTCTGGTCCGAAGACCCATCGGCGGTGGTTCGTCAGCCGGGGTTTTCACGGGGCTCGTCGGAGCCCGCTAATTCCCCGACTGTCTCGCCACAACGCCAAACTGAAAGTCTGTTCTTTTACTGTTGATGCTTGATCCTAAAAGACATAAGATAGCTACCACCTTGGTGTCTTCATTGCCAATTCTAAGGTTAGTTGTTCCACCCTTTGTAATTAGTTTGGTCTTCTTTATATTTAATTTTAATCTTTTTTTTATTTTGCTCCTTATCCTTTTTTCCTAGGGCTTGCAGATCCTTTGCATTTTTGCTCTCAGAGTATATTGCAGGTTATTGCTATATCTTTCTCCAATTTCAATACCAGGCTTGTCTTCTTCCAATCCAGCGTCCTTTAATATATATTCAGCATATAGGTTGAACAAAAAAGGAGGAGAGGTTGCAGCCTTGTATCCTTTACTGCCCAGGCCCTAATGCAATAGAGGAACATTTATTTATTTATTTTATTTATTTTATTAAATTTATATCCCACCCTTCTCCCCGAAGGGACTCAGGGCGGTGAACAGCTGAAAATTAAAAATAACATGCAATATAAAAGTTAAGATAATTAAAAATAAATTAAATAAACGGCCTCCCAATTTAAAACCCCTAGCTATACAATTAAAAAACCCATAAAACCTATTCAGGCCAGGCCGGCTTGTTGAAATAAAAACGTCTTCAGGGCCTTACGGAAAGTGCGGAGATCCGGAATCAGCCGTATTCCGGGAGATAGCTCGTTCCAGAGGGCGGGTGCTCCCACAGAGAAGGCTCTCCCCCTGGGGGCCGCCAGCCGATACTGCTTGACCGACGGCACCCTGAGGAGGCCCTCTCTGTGAGAGCGTATTGGCCGGTGGGAGGTTATCGGTAGCAGAAGGCGGTCTCATAAATACCCTGGCCCTAAGCCATGGAGCGCTTTAAAGGTGAGAACCAACACCTTGAAACGCACCCGGAAGACCACCGGGAGCCAGTGCAGCTCGCGCAGGAGAGGTGTTATATGGGAGCGCCATGTCGCTTCTACCACCATGCTTTACAGTTGTATGGCTTCTACCACCATGCCATTTCTACCACCATGCTTTACAGTTGTATCTGATTCTTATGAGACATCTTTGGTTTTCACCAAACATGTTATCTGGTACTATTTCCAAATTACTCCATCTTTGCCTCATTTGTCCAGAGCACATTGTTCCAGAAATCCTGGTCTTTATCTAGGTGAATAAACTTTGGTCTTGTCCTGGTGTTCTTTCTGGACAGCTAAAGTTTCCTCCTGACACACCTTTCAAGTAGATCTAATTTGTGCAGCTTCTTTCTAATGGTAAAAAGGACACTCTGACCTCACTAGTAGTGGTGAGAGCTACCGGAAACTCATGTGATGAAATTCTGGAGTTTATAGAGACTTCTTTCACCATGTTGTGTGAATTTGCTGGGATGGTCTGACCTGAGCAATTTGGCAGTTGTTTGAAATCATCTTCACTTGTTTATGATCTTCTAGACAGTGGAATAATTAATATCCAATTGTTCAGCAAATGTTTGATATCCCTTTCCAAACTCATAGGCATCCATAACATTTTTTAAAATAGATCTTTATTAATTATTTATAGATAAAAAAACATATAGTGTAATTTTTGAATAAATATAAGTTATATATGGGTATTCAACACAACACATAAAGACAACCACAAAGAAGGACAAACCGGGGGTCGTATCGAACCCCCAAATACTTACTCATAGTTACATCCCGGTAAATCCTTTTGTTCAATTAGCGTTGACTATTTTAAATACTAAACGCTATCTCATTATAATTAAGTATATATTTAATACTGTGTTATTTATTCTATATTTTTCCTCTTCCTTAACCATAAATACCATTGTTCCCAATTGCTGTAATAGATGGATTCTTTTTTGTCTCTTAGGATATATGTTAATTTGTCCAGTTCGGCACAATTTAATATCTTGTTTATTATAAATTGATCTGATGGTGTATTTACATTTTTCCAGTGTTGGGCAAGTGCCATTCTCGCAGTCTAACAACCGTTAGATAGACTCCTGGGTGTCGAAACAAAATTTATATCCAAGACCTATAATCTTTTGTTATCAAGTTATACAGCTGAGGAGATAGTAAAAGATACGATGATTGCCTGGGGAAGAAATTTAGGAAGATCGATACAACTTGAAGAATGGCAGGGAATATGGAATAGATCAATGAAATTGACATTATCAGCGGCATTTAAGGAGAACTTTTATAAAATGATCTATAGGTGGTACCTCCCACCAGATAGGATAGCTAAAATGTTCCCTGGATCCTCGGATAAATGTTGGAAGTGCAATTTGGCCAGGGGTGCTTTCTTTCATCAGTGATAGACCTGCCCTCAGATCAGGAAATTTTGGGAAAAGATTCAAAAATGGTTGAATGAGATAATAGGTGCAAGTTTCCCCCTAACTCCAGATTCTTTCTTACTTGGAATCAAACTAAAAGACGTGGGCAAACAAGACTAGCATTTATTCATCCATATTACAACGGCATCTATCACATTTTTGAAGACCTCAGAATGTTCTTTTGATCCAGGCATGTGACCACTCACTTCAACATTTGTCCCTGATCTGATTCAAAATTAAATGACACAATGGACTACAAAATGGTGCATGATACTTGTTATATTACATTCCTTTACCAATATTGTTGAAATGAAGATCAGGTAATCTGTATGTTGAAAAAGGCAATAATTTCAGTGAGGTGTACTTATTTTCTCATATCACTGTGTGCTTTCCTTTGGTGTAGAATAGAATCCTTACCAGTAATACTGATAAAGATGTGAGAAAGATATGGTAGATAATTTTACTTGACTCTTGGGCAGAAATTGTCAACTGTCAGCTATATTACTTTTTCTTTTTTTCTTTTTTGTTTTACAGTTGTGTGGTATGGACCAATTCTGGGGCATTGCTTTAAGAGCTCAATCTGGAGATGTGAGCCGGGCAGCTATACAGTACATTAATTCCTATTATATTAATGGTATGAGAATTTATTTGAAAATTCTGGGTTTAGAATTCCAAAGAAAATACTTTATATCATTATTTTTTTTCTTATAGAAATAAAATAAATTTAAACAAGGTGTTTTTTTAATCTAGTTCATTTATTTTTAACTCTTAGGTAAAACAGGTCTGGAGAAAGAACAGGAATTTATTAGCAAGTGCATGGAAAGCCTAATGATAGCATCTAGTAATCTAGAGCAAGATTCTCATTCCAGTCTTACCATTATTGAACGAGGACTTCTCATGCTTAAAACTCATTTAGAAGCTTTTCGGAGAAGGTAAACTATATCCTTGTATTGTTTTATCAAAAAGTAGTATTTCAAGAAAAATGACTGGCAATTATGAATGTTATTTTTGTGGTTTCAATATTAATGTGTTACATATTTTTAACTGCTTTTAGTTAGGATTTTCAAAAGAAAATTCTGAAAATTTTGTTACAAATTGAAGTGGATTATTTTCAATCAAGGGCTAGGGGGTGGGGCTGGGATAAAAGAGAGAAAGAAACTTGCCTGTGATATAAATTAGGGGTCCCTAGACCCCGGTCCATGGACCAGCACCAGGCCATGGCATGACAGAAACTGGGCCGTGGAAACAAGCGAAGCCCTATCCATGGGATGCAGGCAGCATGTGAAAAAAGCACCTCACCCCGGTCCGTGTAAAAGCTTTCTCCGTGGAATCAGCCCTTGGTGCCCAAAGGGTTGGGGGCCGCTGATATAAATCATTCTAGTTTTGGAATATCCTTTGGTTTCCCATGTAGTGCTGAGTAACCTACTTTTAAAATAAGACTGAAACACTGAGCTCATAAAATTATCTTTATAGTTCTTTAGACTCTGACAAAGTTCATAAACACAACAAGTCGCAAAATACTAAGAAATTCATAGTCACTTGTCTTTGTATATGAGCTCAGCTTATTAATTTCACCTTGAACAGGTAGATGTGTATATTTCCATATATTTGCTCAGAAGAAATAGTTTGTCATTGTTTTCCCTTTTTATAATACTTTTTCTTCAGGTTTGCATATCATCTGAGGCAATGGCAAATAGAAGGCACTGGCATCAGCAGCCATTTAAAAGCATTGAGTGATAAACAATCACTACCTCTCAGAATTGTTTGTCAACCAGCTGGACTTCCTGACAAAGTACGTTTTAATTTGCTTTCAACCCATATGTTATTTTCAATCTCTTGTCTTATCTGAGAAATAAATTTAATATATAATGTGTTCTGTTCTAGATGACCATTGAAATGTATCCAAGTGATCAGGTGGCAGATTTAAGAGCTGAGGTTACGCATTGGTATGAAAATTTGCAGAAAGAACAGTTGAATCAGCAAGCACATCTGCAAGAATTTGGTCAAATCAGTAGAAAAGGAGATTTTCCAGGTACATTTTAAATATTTTTCTGATTAAAACTTGACTGATTTGCAATCCAATTTGAATTGGGTGGTACGTTTAATTTTGTCTCTATTTTCAGACCATGTTCATACAAAAAAAAGAGGTTGTTCTAGTGTTTTTCTCAATTTAGGTACATGAATGAGTGAGTGAATGAATAAAATAATAGAAAATCTATTATTTCTATAGTTCTGTAAAATGGTTGTCATATGTTTGGTGGTTAGAATAGAAGGCAAAATACTGAAAATAAATTTGTTTTTCATTTTTAGGGGGTCTCATGGGCCCTGTAAGAATGATTTCTTCTGGACATGAACTAACAACTGACTATGATGAAAAAACTCTTCATGAATTGGGGTTTAAAGATATGCAGGTATTGATAATATTCAGAGGTGATTATAAAACATTCTGTAGTGATAATAAATTCATTATATTTACTTATTTGTTAGATTTTTATTCTACTTTATTACTTTCTAAGTAACTCAAGGCAAAAAGCATACATAATACTCCTTCCTATTTTTCCCACAACGACAACCCTATGAGGTGAGTTGGACTGACAGAGTGATTGGTCCAAAGTCACCCACCTGGCTTTTGAACCTAAGATGGAACTAGAACTCACAGTCTCCTGGTTTCTGGGCCAGCATCTTAACCATTACAATTGGAACTGGCAAATCAATCACTAAGCAAAGTGATTGCTAAGTAGGAAATCATGTGACCACAACTGTATTTTTCTTTTCCTCATTCTGCTGCCTTTTGGAATGCTCACCCCAGTGACTCTGGGAATAGCAGGCTCAAAACTAATTATTTTCCCACTTTTGGCTTTTGTTTGCTTCCTAACCACTCCCCTGCCCTTTGGAAACCTCACCCTTGCCCTGAGTTAATTGACAAAAGGGGAAATAATATTTGTATTTACAGTAATTGGAGAGAAAGTGATTATAAAAGAGTAAGCAGACCCACAATGGGAACACACATGGAAAGCAACATGCTGGTGTTGGCAGCTGCATTCTACACAAACAGCCCAATAATTCACATTTTGGGCTGGCTTACTCTCTCTTAATTGCTCCCTTGCCAATCTTTCCACTATGCAAGGGGAGGAGGAGATGAGTTAAGCATAAGAGACTTTGCCTACTGAAACAGCTTCTCCCCCCCCCCCCCCCGCCCCACAGAATATAATATTGGGGAGGAAGGGATTACAAGAGAGTAAGCATGCACAATGAGAAATACACATTGAAAGCAATGTGCTGGCATTAGTAGCCCTGTCCGCACTACACAAACAGCCTGGTATGTATTCCCCATTGTTTGCCTACTAATTCTCTTGTAATCTCCCTTCTCCAGTTTCTCTGCTCTGCAAGGATAGGAAAGAAAATCAAAGCAACAGGTCAGATATAGGACAACATATACCGATTTTAACTATGATCACGTACATGACTAAGGGACATTGTTAAGATCATAAATTGATCATAAAGTTATTTTTCAATACTGTCATACTTTCAGTCACTGGAAGCAGTAGATAGGTGAAGACTATAACTAAAATACATCCCAGTGGAAAAGCTTTAACTTATTTTAGCAGAAAGCTCTATTAAAGGTGCAGGAAGAGATATCTGTTGATCAGCTGGAAAATGTAAAAGATGGCAAGACAAAGTATTGCCATTGCCAGCAAGAATTTTTATACTTTGCCAGAGGACTGACTTGTACTTTTCCTTCTCCCTGCTACCTGAACAACTTTCTCATGGCCCTAGTCAGTGTGTTGAAGGCATACTATTGGTACCAATATACAGATGCCTTTATAATAATAACTTCCTCACTTTTTAAAAAATAAAATTATCTTCACTTGTTATTTCAAGATGGTCTTTGTGTCCTTGGGTGCTCCAAGGAGAGAGCGAAAAGGGGAAGGAGTTCAGCTTCCAGCATCCTGCTTGCCAGCACCTCAGAAGGACAACATCCCAATGCTCTTACTTCTGCAAGAGCCTCATCTTACCACCCTGTTTGATTTGCTAGAAATGCTTGCTTCCTTTAAGCCTCCACCCGCAGAAGTGGCTATGGAAGATAGTGAGGTAACTTTAATTAAGATTCTTAGCAGTGGTGAAATCCTCTGTAAGTTGCCACCGGTTTGCTGCCCGCAAATGCGTGCCAAATGCGTGATGCACGCTGCATACCAAACGCATGCTGCGTGCACATGCACAGTGTGTGCCAAACGCACACTGCGAGCAGAAAAAGCCATTTGAAGGTAAGTAGAATGACGAGGGGGGGGAACAGCTGTGCCGCGTGATTTAGATTCGCTAGAAAGCAGGATTTCCTGCTTTCCAGCGAATATAAATCACGCGGCACAACTGATCATCGGAAATACCGGTTTGGATGAACTGGTAGCTTTTTTTTTTTACTACCCGTTCGCCTGAACTGGTAGCATTTCACCCCTGGTTCTTAGGCATAAATTATGTTTTATGCCGGGGTCCTCAACCTGTGGGCCACAGCCCACTACTGGACCATCTATTCGTAATCAGGCTGCAGGCTGGTGCACATGTGCACAACTCAAGTCAAAGAAGTGGCGGGCTGCTGCACGTGCATGTGCAGCTCCACTTGCAGTTGAGCTGTGTGTGCAGGCTGGCTCACCACTCATTTGACTCAAGCTGTACGCATGAGCACGACCTGGTTCCCCTCGTCCCCTCTCCTCAGCCAGGCTTCCAAGCCGCAAAGGTTGGGGATCACTGTTTTATGCAGTGTTTAACCATGCAAACACAAACATGGCAGGGGTCCATGATCTGTCAGACAATAGGCATTGGTGTATATTTCAGAAGATAATTGAAAAATGTCCAAATTCCCTGTCATCTCATGGAAAAATACACACTTCTACAGTCTATTGCAGCATTTAGGCATATATTGCAGAAGTCTATAGTGGACAAGTGTGTGTTTGTGGGGATTAATTTCAGAAGATGATGGGTGCTAGCCAATGGCTGACCAAATACTGTATGTGTATAGGCAACATAATTGTTAACTTTGGCTGTTAAATTTAAGAGATTCATGAAAACTTTCAGTATTGATGAGTAAAATTGGCATTATATTTTTGTGATATGTTTCTTTATCCATCTGAAGTTTAGTTTTCTATTATCCTACATGGAGCTATAGAGTGGTTATAAATAGTGTATAATAACTATAAGGATGATTGTCACTGTTTTGGGGCATGATAACAGTATGTAGATAAGCAAAAAGCTATTACAATCAATTTAATATTTAACTTGAATATAGCGAATATATGCTTAAACTGTTTTCAATTTCAGCCATGGCACTAGGTTGTCTTGAACTGCTCTCCAGACAGGTTGCATTCACAGCTAGCAAATTCAAACATGATTCAACCTGCACAATGTGCTGTTGTGTGCTTCATGCCTTCTACCTTTGATTGGAAGTTATTGGTGCTCAAGAACAACAGTAATAACTCGATTTTTATTGATACAGATATGCTACTATAGTTAAAATATTATATGGTATTGTAACTTAACTAATTGAAAGAATAAAGAAGATAGGGTCACAAGAAAATTAAGCCTGATAGAAAAAACTGATTCTCTTTTTGAATTCAGTGTGAAAAATTTTATTAGAACAGCTATTACAATCCGTGTGACAAAATTGTTGTTATTGTAATTTATTTAATGTCTGTTTTTTATTATATGCATGATATATTTTTACCTGTGTCTTCAGAGTGCAAAATGTGAAGAACTCCACCTTCATGCAGAAAATCTATCAAGGCGAGTTTGGGAGTTGTTAATGCTATTGCCTACATGTCCTAATATGCTTCAGGCATTTCAAAATATTTCAGATGATCAGGTGAGCAAAAAGTCATCTCTTAAATATTTGCAGTTGTTGATGCATTAAGTTGGAAGTGCTACGTATAATTTAGACTTGGCATCACAGTTTGGAGTTTGGGGATTCAAATATCTGTTACTATTCATATGTCCTGAGAAGGAGAGGGAAGCTATTATGACATTCAGAAGGCCTTATGAGTGGCCAGTGTTGGCATCACAGAGACCCTGCCCACTCCCCTTTTTTCATACAGATATCAAGAAGCAAGAGAAAGGAAGTTGCTGGAAAGATTGAGGCAGGTGGGCCAGTAAGAAATGCTATGGTGGGGCTTCCTAAGGCCATTAGAGCACATAATGGGACAACTCGCCGCAGCCAATTTGCCACAACCAACTCACCACGGCCAACTCTCAGTTGGAGAACTCACCATGGCCAATTCACCACAGGAGTAGCATGGAATGGGACAATTCACTGCAGCCAACTCGCCACAGGACAACTTGCTGCAGGACAATTCAACAATTCAATTTAATTATTTAAAATAGTTTAATTTTTTTTTAATTTATGTCGTTCACATTTTATTTTCTCCCTCCTTTGGCATCCTTTCTTCAATTATTCTATTCCACTATGTCTTCGATATTAGTGTAACTCTCATCCCACAGTGAGTTGTCCTGTGGTGGGTTGGCCATGGCGAATTGTCCCGTGGCAAGTTGGCTGTGGCAAGCTGGCCATAGTGAGTTGGCTGTGGTGAGTTGTCATAGACCCAATGAGACCTTTTAGATTAGTATGCCCAGAGGATGGATGCGGTAGATGGGTTTCAGAGGGCTCTTGGGGTCTTTCCTGTGGATAGTTTGACCAAAGCTTTAATTGTTGATTGGAATCAGCAAGTGGCTAAGCTCTGCACTGGAGTTGTCCTATGTAGCCTCCCCTTGTTCACTGATCCTGGACCATACCTTGGTTCTCTATTTATTATTTATTTATTTATTTATTTTATTTTATTTTATTTTATTTTATTTTATTTTATTTCTATACCGCCCTTCTCCCGAAGGACTCAGGGTGGTGTACAGCCTAATTAAAAACACAAAGACAGACAAAATTTAAAAATAATTAAAATTATTAAATAATAGGCCCAATTTATAAAACCCCAAATTTAAAATCCCATTTAAAACCAATTAAAATCTTTACATTGATAGCCCAGCCTGGCGGAACAACATGGTTTTGAGGGCACAGCGAAACACACGGAGATCAGAGATTTTACGAATTTCTGGGGGGCAGATCATTCCAAAGGGCAGGGGCTCCCACAGAGAAGGCCCTCCCCCTGGGTGTCGCCAGCCAACATAATTTGGCCGATGGCACCCTGAGAAGACCCTCTCTGTGGGAGCGAACCGGCCGGTGGGAGGCTACTGGTGGCAGAAGACGGTCTCGAAGGTATCCAGGTATCTCTAAGGAACTCTAGGAGATGAAGCACCAGAAGAGTTGCTGTTGAAGGAAGACAAAGAGTCTAAATTGAGCCGTGGTGGCACAGTGGTTAGAGTGCAGTACTGCAGGCTACTTCTGCAGCCTGCTAGCTGCCTGCAATTTGGCAGTTCGAATCTCACCAGGCTCAAGGTGGATTCAGCCTTCCATCCTTCCAAGGTCAGTAAAATGAGGAACCAGATTGTTGGGGGCAATATTCCGACTCTGTAAACTGCTTAGAGAGGGCTGTGAAGCAGAATATAAGTCTCAGTGTTATTACTATTGCTAAATGAGCATGAGTAAAACCACATATTTCGGTTTAGAGCATATTAATAAGAATAGTGCAAAATGTCATCACAGCTGGCCAGTGGCCCTGTTTAAGGTGACTTGTTGCCTGCTGGGGTGGGAGAGCTACAGGAACTTCTTGCTTTCTGGTAGATAAATTCATTCAGATTTGGACTCTTAATGGATAGGTCCTTGGTAGGTGTCTGGGACAGACTCCCATAGGGTTATTTGGAGTGTTTATGGTTGTAACTAATGTGGAAATCCTCCACTGGACTGTGAGCTCATCCCCCTGGTTATTTGTTTATTAATGTAAGCCACCCAGGGTCAATTATAGGTGAGATGGATGGCAAACAAGTCTAATAAATACATAAGTAAAATAAATAAATAGTTCCAGGTTCCTTTTGGTTGTTCAAGACCACTCTCGTGCATATCTTAAAACAGCTTTTTAAATTATAGCAATTGGTCATGTTTCAGTAAACTACAAAAGTATAAATGAAGGTATATAGCTGATAACAGCAAATGATTTTACATAATAATAATTCAAACAATAATTTTGTTGAATGGACAATCCAATTTCATTTTAATAAGTTAAGCATAAACTAAAATATAGATAGTAAATTGTGGAAACTTCAAAAACTGTCACCTATTCAGCATTTCCCTTTTCCTTTTAATTTAGCTGTAACTTTAGGGGTCTGTAGTGAACCATAGATTAAGGCAGAGTTTTTAACCATAGATTCAATATGAGTCAAATTATATTCAACAGAGTGTATACCATATTTTTTCCAGTCTCGCTGCTCCGACAATCCACGCATGGGTATTCACTTCTTGCTTTCCTAGAGACTGAGTGTACAAAGTTTTTCCATTGGTCTAGCCACGCCCCCTGCTCCTGCTCTTCAGTCTTTTCACTCAGTCTAGATGAAGAGACTTGAGTTGGATTTTTCTGACATTGTCAGTTTCTCATTTAAGTTTATTTATGTTGGTTTTGTAGATTTCTATCATTATTGGATTATTTGGACTGTGATTACTTGGACTTGGTTATTCAATATGAGTCAAATTATATTCAACAGAGTGTATACCATATTTTTTGCACTATAAGATGGTCTGGACTATAAGATGCACATTAGCTTTAGAGGAGGAAAATAAGGGGAAAGAATTTTTTATTTTATTTTATTTGATTTCTATACCGCCCTACTCCCGAAGGACTCAGGGCGGTGCACAGCCAAACAATAAAACACATACATACAAAATTTAAAAGTAGAATAAAATCAAATTAAATAATTTTGGCCCCGACAAATTTAAAACCCCAAACTTTTAAAACCAATTTAAAATTGAATGTATAAAATACTAAAAGATATTTAAAAATTAAAAATCTTTTATAAAAGAGGGGGGAAATTAGGCTAGGCCAGCCTGGTGAAATAGTAAGGTCTTTAAAGCGCGGCGGAAGGTGCGCAGATCCGGGATCCTCCGTATCTCTGGGGGGAGCTCGTTCCAGATAGTAGGTGCCCCCACAGAGAAGGCTCTCCCCCTGGGGGCCGCCAGTCGGCATTGTTTGGCTGACGGCACCCGGAGGAGCCCCTCTCTATGGGAGCGTACCGGCCGGTAAGAGGCTATTGGTGGTAGTAGGCGGTCCCAAGTACCCAGGTCCTAAGCCATGGAGCGCTTTAAAGGTGGTAACCAAAACCTTGAAGCGCACCCGGAAGACCACCGGGAGCCAGTGCAGCTCGCGCAGGAGGGGTGTTACATGGGAACGCCATGTCGCTCCCATTACCACCCGCGCGGCCGCACTCTGCGCCAGTTGGAGCCTCCGGGTGCTCCTCAAGGGGAGCCCCATGTAGAGAGCAGAAATCTGCCTCTGCCTCCCAGCATCCATCCGGTATTCATCCGACTAGCGTTCTTGCAGCAAACAGCCTGCCTCCTCCGTGTCTGCTGCCTCTGCCGGGGAATGCTGGAGCCTTCGCTGCCGAGCAGCTGATTGGTGGTTGGATCGGCCTCCCGGAATACTGCTGATCAGCCGTTCTAGGCACCAGGGATCGCCGCCGCCCAATTGCTGCCACCAATCAGTGATAGGCTGCAATGATCAGCGGTTTACAGGCAGCAGCAGCAATAAGGGGTATTCCAGGAGGCTGATCCAGCCTCCAATTAGCTGCTTGGCATTGAAGGCTCCAGAGTTCCACGGTGGTGAACGCTATACCCACACCAACACCCCCTGCCGCAATATTCGCTCTATAAGATGCACAGACATTTCCACCCACTTTTGGCAGGGGGGAAGTTGTCTTATAGTGCGAAAAATATGGTAATTAAAACATGAGTGTATATAACTATAAGTATATATTCAAGTTCAGATTATAGTTGATCCTTCCCTACAGACTTTGTCTAATCTTTTTTATTTTTTAAAAGAGCAATGATGGATTCAGCTGGAAAGATCTTTTAAGAATAAAAAGTGCCCATAAACTTTTGTATGCCCTTGAAATAATCGAAGCGCTTGGAAAACCCAATAGAAGAATAAGACGGGAATCTACGGTAGTATAATTTTATTTTTCAAAAGTTTTGTTTCATATAAATTTGTAAGGTTCCTTTTATAACGTATCTTTCATGATCATTTATGTTTTTCTCATTGATTTTAGGGAAGTTATAGTGATCTTTATCCAGATTCTGATGATTCAAGTGAAGATCAAATAGAAAATAGTAAAAACACTTGGAGTTGCAAGGTTTGAAATTATTATATAAAAATGCTATTCTGGTGGTATGTTCACATGTGTCTGTACTTTTACTTTTTGATTTTAATTAGAAAATGTATTGACAAACAATCTTAGACTGCATTTTTGAATAAATCGTTTCATAAAACAGAAAAAGAATTGTTCTTTGTACAATAATGAACTGCTTATTTTTAATTTAAATTTTAATAAATTTATAATTGCTATAGACCAGCATAAGGAGCATGGGTTACAGTCAGTTAAAAATAGAAAATACATCAAAGTTTTTTAAAATATGAAAAGCTGAAATATATAAAAATGTATTAAAACAAAGTAATTTTTTTTAAAAAAGTCTTTACAAAACTTAAATGAAGAATAGGAGCATTAAATGGGTGTAGGGAAGCATTTATGAAAGATTATATAAAATTACAAGGATGGCAAATACAGAAATCTTCCTGTGTTGACCTTCAAGGACAGCTGAGGGAAGGGCATGACATCATGCCAGACTAAAGGCCTCTGGTATTTAGGTAGTTCAAGTTTAATTAAGTATGCCATAGGGGAGGTAGAGTACCTGTTGGACTCACTAGCAGTGAACGTTGGTGTCCTAGCTAGTTCTGTTTGGTGCTCTGTGTCTGCTACTTGCTGTTTAATGAGTGTTTTGGTCTGATAATATCCTATGCTGAATAGAAGACCTAGAAAGAAATCCAAGCATGAAATTTTAGATGCCACTGCCTATTTCCATATGGATTGATAATCATTGCTCATAATTAATGGGGGAAGGTCAAGGAGAGGAAAAGGATAATCTAAGCCAATAGTTGAATATGGTCACCTACACTTTAGCCTCCATTTTGATGAGGCCTTTCTCTAGTTGCATGGTGTCATTAGACACACATTTTGGGACTTGAAGGGCTGATCTTAGAAATTTGGATTGTACAAATTCTAATAATGCAAAATTGGAGAAGGAGCCCAATTGGGCAAAATAAAATTGTGTTATTGGCTTGGCTTTGAATAATTTGAGTGCTACTGGTATATTGTGGCCACCTCTTGTTGAGTTAAAGAATATAAGGATGGCAGCTGAGCTCCTTCATGCATTTTCAGCAACATAGTTTCCATGGACTTTTCTACTGCCAGAAGAATGGCAAACTGCCCCCAGGTATTTGAAACAGGACATTTATAATCTTGTGGCATCTATGCTCCCAAGAGTGGCTCTTGGATCTTTTGTCAAATGCCATGATTTTAGTTTTCTGATAATTGAGTTCACAGTTGAGCAGAATTATGTTAGTGTTCTCGCTGTTCTTTTAAGCCAGTGGGTATTCTAGATCTAGAAAGTATTGCTGCAGTATCTTGATAAAATAAAACAGAGATGTACCTATCCTCCATCAAATTTGGGAGAGTAAAAGTCCATGTTGTGGAGATGACCCACCATACAGTTGATATAGAATAAGAGTGGAGCCAATATGCAGCTTTGCTTGATGCCTTTCTCAGTTTCACTGTCATTGATGAGATGGCCTTGAAGGTTACATCTTATGTTGAGTGTGATTCCTTCAGGTACCATACATATTAAATGAAGCAGACTTTGGTAAATTGAGACTGTTCAGTTTTTTTCCACAAATTAGCTCAGGATATGGAATCAAATGTTGCTTTGAAATCTATAGCATTAAGGGAGGTTGTGTTGTGTTGCAGAAAGAGTATTGTTCAATGAGATGATGAACTACTAGGCACTAATCAGTGGTGGATTGGCTTTCCCTAAAACCAGCTTGCTCTTTTGCAAGTGTGTTTGCTTTTTCCATCTATTCCTGGGTATCTTTGCTGATTGTCTTGAGGGAAACTCATTGGTCTATAATTAGTAGGATCATCTTTTTTCTTTTTTTTCTTTTTCTTTTTTTCTTTTGTATATAGAGACAATGATTGCAGGCCCCCAATCCTTGGGGACTCTGCTGTAGCTGTTGATGAAGATAAATAGTAAGGCCAGAGTGCAGGCCAAGAATTATTTAATTATCAGTGAGAGATTTTTGTACAATAACACATACTTAGTTGCTTACTTACTTATTTTCCTTGCTGACCCTTCTATAATTTGATTACAGTTTGTGGCTTCTGGAGGTCTTCAGCAGCTCTTGGAAATATTTAATTCGGGAATTTTAGAACCTAAAGAACAGGAATCATGGACAGTTGTAAGTAACAAGTTGTAACTGACTCATCTTAATGAGATATAAAACTTCTCTAATGAATCTGCAGTTTTGTTTTAAAATATTCTGCTATTATCTATGAAAACGTTAAATGAAGTTAAAGCTGCTTATTCATTCTTATTTGTAGTGGTTATTAGATTGTCTGGCTTGCTTGCTGAAGTTGATATGCCAGTTTGCTGTGGATCCTTCAGATTTGGATTTAGCTTATCATGATGTTTTTGCCTGGTCTGGAGTAGCAGAGAATCACAGGAAAAGAACTTGGCCAGGAAAATCACGGAAAACTGCAGGAGATCATACAAAAGGCCTTCACATACCCCGTTTAACAGAGGTGAAAAACTTCTCTTTAAAAGCAATAAAAACAAAGACTTGAGGGAAAGTTGGCAGGTGTGACACTGTAAATGTAGGTTTACATAGAAACAATTGGGAAACCATTTTCAGAGGAAAAAACGTTAGTAAGTATAATGAATGGTTAATTGGAATAATGCAGTCTTACTAAGTTACCATATATCTCAAGAAGATTCATTACCATTCCACATATCTTTGATGACTAGAAATTATGGGAATTGAAGTCCTACATATCTGAAAAGCATTAAGATGGGTTAAGGTTAATAATATATATTCCTGTTTATTTTCTGGATATATATACAATTTACTGTACACAGTAAATTAACAAGAAAGAAATTGGGTCTGAGAACAGCATATTTTGTATATAAACCGCTTTGACTGCAATATATTCAACTTCATCCACTGATATTTTAATTTTAGCATATAGGTATATATAGAGTCATACTTCATAAACAATATTGATTCTGTATATTTTTAATGCCAGTTTTCTAAATTGAAATGGAAAATAGAAATCCAAAAGCATAGAGCCTTAAGGAAGCCTTAATCATAGAGCCTTAAGGAATATTTTGAATATATTTAGATAGGTAAGTGATTTCTAAGACATTTTAGAAGATAAACTATACCTACATCCAAAGTGTGAACTTTTTATTTAGTTTAATTATAAATTCCTAGTTGTGATTTTTTTTATATTTATTTATATTAGTGCTGAAAAAGCTTTAGGCCATTCATTTCAAAGTCCTTATACAAAGTAGAATATGAATATATGGTAAAATGGTATTAATCAGATTCATACACAGCACACAGTAGTATATTGAACTAAATTTACAGTTGTGCAGATAAGTTTACATTCTCCTTGCAGAATTATGGACCATTTTGTAAGTAAATGTGAGTGATTGCACAATTTTTTTTAAAAAAATTGAGGTTGATTCAAATTAAAATACTAGGCATCACAGAATAGCACAATCATTAAACCATAGCAATAAAGGAAATTATAAAATGGTCCTGTTTGTAAGTTTCCATATCCTTAGTGTTTAATATTGTGTATTTCCCCCTTTAGCATCAATGTTCACTTGCATCTTTCATGACAGTTACGAATGAGACCTTTAATTTTCATAGGTGATAAAGGTGCCCATTCTCATCAAAAAGCCTGATGTCCTATATATACTTTGGTTGTATAGAATGAACTGCGTGTTTGTGATCTCTCCAAAGATATTGAGATTAGGGTAAATCAATAAATATTGTTCTGTTACAGCCATTAAAAGGTTGACTTGTCCTTATATAATGAATCATTGTCATATCGGAAAGTGATGCAAATTGATTCTTATATCAACCTCAATATAATAAAGTGTGTCAACTTTATAATATACAGTATTATCAGCCCAACGTTCAAGAGCATGCAGACTTTTGGACCATTTTATTCATTTATTGCTATGGTTTGTTTAATGATTGTGCTATTCTGTGAAGCCCAATATTTAATTTGAAAAAAATGTATGTTTTTTTTTTAAAAAAGTTTTGTCTGATCACTCATGTTTACTTACAAAATGGTACATCTTACAGATTCTGCAAGGGATATGTAAACTTAAGAACACAACTGTAGTACAGTCTTAAATGAAATTAAAGTCCTTAACAGATTATATGAAATGAAAATCAAGCAGAAGCTTTTTAAATATCCCAGAGATTCTCCAGGAAATCAGGGATTAATTCTACCGCTTTAGTTGTTTTCTTAAAGATAACAATTCCCCAAATTTCATAATTTAAATAGCAGCAGTGGAAATAGCTTCCAACTGCAAATCCTATTAAATAACTGAAGCAAACACTTGGCAAGTCCGGGATATGTTCTCAGCTACACAGAAGGAAAAAAAGATACCAGTCTACCACTTGTTTGAAATGATCATATTAGTACATAAATTGTGGAACTGTGATTAATGGGAGAAAAAATTCTAGTTGGCATATTTTATCAAACTGTGTGTGTGTTTCAATATATGGTGTCTTGCTTATCATTAAAGCGCTGGATTTATAAACAACGCAGTTACTTTTTATTCATTATCACACACACACACACACACACACACACACACACAAACACACACACGTATACATATAGCACATAGTTTTAAGGCAGCAGTTGCATTAACTGTTCTTTTTTGACTTCAATTTTTTTAAAGGTATTTCTTGTACTTGTCCAGGGAACCAGTTTGATTCAGCGACTTATGTGTGTTGCTTATACATATGACAACTTGGCGCCTAGGTACAATAACCTTTTTTTAATATCTTTGGTAAGATTTATAGTATATATATATATACACACACACACACATATATATATATTTGCATTAAGCAGCATATTAAATAATCCGTTTTAGTCAGAAATATGTAGTTAAAAGCGCATAAGTAAGTTGTTATATTCCTTCTTGTTAGTAGAGTTTTGATCTTACTAAAAGTGTTCAGAGTATCTCTGATAAGAACAAAACCGTATGTTTTGAATTCAAGATATTTTAAATTTGGATTTTCCTATAAGTCACTTTAATATTTAGTGAAAGCAGGCTTCTGCCAGGTTTTAAGGCAGAAAAAAATTGCACAATTGTAGCTGAGGCAATATTCTAATATTCAAGTCTGGCTAAAAAGACTATTTTGTGACCTAAGAAACTTAAGTAATTGAGAGTTTATTAGGTAGCCCAAGTGGTCTACTTAATCAACTAGGAGTCAAAGACTTAAGCTGATCTCCCCTATCTCTCATTATCATTCAGGCTTATTGCAGCAGATTCTCAGTTCTGCAGTTAAGTAAAACCTATTTTTTTCAGGCTAAAGAAGATAACAAACCAGTAATTGTTAATGCTAGTCAAGAATGTGCTTGATATAGCTATTTTACTTCATAATTGTGATTAAATCACATTAAATCAAATTGTGAACTAATTAGTTATCTACCTGGACCAGATAGCCATGTATAGTGCTATATCTCTGTTACCATCTAATTACCCTCTTTGTTCCAAGGGGAAATAAATATTATATAGCAGTCTAGTAAAACATTTTAAAAGATTAGTACAAAATTCTGTAGAATATTAAATCAGTTTTTTGAATTTGATAATCTAGTGAGAACTATTCATTTGTTTTTATTATTTGAAGTAACATTTTCTAAATTGTGTACAATGATTTATTTTACTTATTTTATTCCTCTACAGGGTGTTGAAAGCTCAAGCTGATCATAGGTCAAGACATGAAGGTCAGTACATTGCTGAAGACATAAAAAAATTCTTAAGTTATATGGAGTTTTCAATAAATTTTTCTTAAACTGAAATCCAGATATGTTAAATATTAATATAAGAGTATTTAGTCATGTTAAAAAGAAAGTACACCCTCTTTTATTCTACGGTTTTATGTATCGGGACATAGTAAAAATCATCTGGCCCTTAGCAGTTCTTAAAAGTAGGTAAATACAATGTCAGATGAACATCAACACATGACATATTACACCATATCATCATTTATTTTACAAAAAGAAAGCCAAAATGGAAAAGCCATGTGTGAAAAACTAAGTACACCCTTATTGCTTCCATAGGTGTGAAGAGGCTAAGTAGCAGTCAGGTGCTGCTAATCAAGTGTCCTTGATCAATTGATTATCAGCAAGTGTGACTATCTCTATAAAAGGCAAAGTTTTATGGTGTTTAACATACATTCAGGTGTGTGTTAACACAATGCCAAAGAGTAAAGACTTCAGCAATGATCTTAGAGAAGCAATTGTTGCTGCCCATCAGTCTGGGAAGGGTTGTAAGACCATTTCCAAACAATTTAAAGTGCATCATTCTACAGTGAGGAAGGTTATTCACAAGTGGAAAGCATTTTGGAGAGTTGCCAATCTTCCCAGGAGTGGATGTCCCAGCAAATTCACCCCAAGGTTACACTATGCAATGCTCAGAGAAATTGAAAAAAATCCAAAACTTATGTCTACAGGCCTCAGCACATTAAATGTTCATGATAGTACAAATAGAAAAAGACTGAACAAGTATGATTTGTTTGGAAGAGTGCCAGGAAAAAGCCTCTTTTCTCCAAAAAGAACATGGCAGCATGGCTTCAGTTTGTAAAATTGCATCTGAACAAATCACAAGACTTCTGGAATACAGTCCTTTGGATAGACACGACCGAAGTGGAGATGTTTGGCTTTAATGCACAGTACCACGTTTGGCAAAAATGAAACACAGCATATCAACACAAAGATATACCAACTATCAAACATGGTGATGGAGGGGTAATTATTTGGGCTTGTTTTGTAGACACAGGACCTGGGTGCTTTGCATTCATTGAGTTGACCATGAACTCCCCTGTATACTAAAGTATTCTAGAATCAGATGTGTGGTCATCTGTCCCAACAGCTAAAGCTTGATCGACATTGGGTCATGCAACAGACAATAATCCCAAACACACCAGCAAATCTACCACAGAATGGCTGAAAAAGAAAAGAATCAAGGTATTGCAATGGCCGAGACCTCAACCTGATTGAAATTCTGTGGTGGGATCTCAAGAGAGCTGCGCATAAATAAATTCCCACAAACCTCAATGAATTCAAGCAATGTTGTGAAGAAAATTGGGCCAAAATTCCTCCACAACAATGTGAGAGAATAATAAAGTCATACAGAAAATGATTTACCTCAAGTTATTTCTGCTAAAAGTAGTTCTATTGAATCATAAGGTGTACTTAGTTTTTCCACCCATGGCTTCTCCATTTTGGCTTTCTTTTTGTAAAATAAATGATGACATGATGTAATATACCATGTGTTCTTCATCTGAGTTGTATTTACCTACATACAATATGGGCCTGATATGTAAAACTATAGAATTGAAAGAGGATGTATATACACACACACACACACACACACACACACACACACACACACACACACCGCCCACATGACTGTATATGTAGTTCAGAGTTGAATAGTAGGGTCCTTGGTGCTCTAGTTGATTTATATTATAATTGAAAAATTAACAGATTAACTTTCTGTTCCTACAATATTCAGTTCCTTATTTATTTATTTTTTAAATTTGATTTATATGCCGCCCTTCTCCAGAGACTCAGGGCGGCTTACAATGCGTTAAGCAATAGCCTTCATACTTTTGTATATTTATACAAAGTCAGCTTATTGCCCCCACAAACTGGGTCCTCATTTTACCTACCTTAGAAAGGATGGAAGGCTGAGTCAGGTGAGATTCGAGCCTGGTGAGATTCAAATTTACAGTAATTGCAGACAGCTGGTGTTAATCACAATGCTTTTAGTCTGCTGAGCCACCAGGCCCCCCCTTTTTTTTTAACAAAAAGCTGTTGCTTTTTATTAGCAAAAAGCAACAACACAATTAATTACAGCATTTTAAAAGTGTAATTTTAGAAGTTATGGAAGATGTTTCAGAATTTTTAAAATTTATTTCTGTCTCAGCATTTCTGAAGACAGTTCTGCTATTTTCTAAACAATATTAATTTAGCTAGGATTTAATAGATAGACCTTTAAATATCATTAAAAAAAACTTCAGGATGAGGATTATTACCATTTGATTTAGAAGGGTGTTTATACAAATGACTTTCCATTTTGCCTTTTTCTGTAACAGGAATTTCTTCCAACTTCTGTTCCTTTGTTTGAGAAGCATGATAGCCTGTATAGTATTTTTATATATTATTAATTAATACATTAATATGTAGCAAAGCAATTCCTTCTTCTCTTGTAGGTTACATGTCATGGTAATAATGGTTTACCTGATAGTTCATATGACCTTGACATTTCAACTATGTACTTTAAATATCTTTAGAGGAGAAAAGTCATTCAGGCTAGGTAGAGACACCTTCCCTAATTTTGTGAAGGCTGGTATTGTAAAACAGAAATAATTAAAAATCTTTTTTTTTTTACATCAGCTTAATATGCCGATTAAGTGTGCATGTATTTGAGGGACTTATTTTCAAATTTCTAACATAAATGCAGACAGCAAAGTTAAGGTAATGCCATTAATGTTATTTAGCTTAGTTTTATCTTAAATGCATTTTAGTCAAGTTTTAGTGAGGAAAATATCTTTATTCACCTTTTATATAACGTATCGTGTTTCCCCGAAAATAAGACCCTGTCTTATATATTTTTTGAACCCTGAAATAAGCGCTTGGCCTTATTGCCATGCGCTCAAAAGCCTGATTGGTCTTATTATCAGGGGATGTCTTATTTTGGGGGAAACAGGGTACACATAACTAGTAAATAGTAGCAATACAACTTCATATTTTTCTTGTTATTAATCAATTGATATCTCATGTAGAATCAAGCTCTTGAGATTTGGCCAAATGTTGAAAAGAAAAAAACATACCAACACTTGATTTTCTCACAGTTGTTCTCATGTTTAGCAACTGAAAAACATCCACACTTTAAAAAAAAAAAACCAGTGAAGGAATATTTAGGATAGATATACAAGCAGTAATTTAGGTCAAACAGTAGATGTTTGACTCCGGTGACAATTAGTTCCAGCAATCATCATCAGTTGCAGTAGACTGTGAGATTTGTCCCAAACCTCTGGTGGAGTACATTATTTCTCCCTAATGCAGATTCTGGCCTGTGAAAATAAATTGTTTTTCCACCACAAATAGCTTCTGGCAGGCACTTGGAGAATTTCCCAACACGTGGTGGATGAATCCATTGAGAGACTGGTTCACTGTTGGCATTGTAAAATTATTTGATGAAATAATTTTATATTTCATAATGGCCCTTGATGAAATTACCTCTAAGGTAGTCTCCCTCTTTTGGCCAATCTCAGATGACTCCTTGGTTTACCAATAGCTGTCAGGTATGCCTCCTTTCAGTACTCAAGAAAGAAAAACCCCGACTCCATTTTCATAGAGAAAGGTACTTTTACTGAGCATGAACTGAATGCAGCCAAAGAAAAGCAAGGTCTGAGGCAATAGGCACGAAAATTACATATAGAAAGCATCCTTAAAACCCTCCCCAATCAGGTCCAGTCACGATGATCCAATCCACATCCCCCCAAGGTATCATGTGGGGTGCAGCTTCCGATGGCTCCATCCTTCTGGTAGGCCAGGACGGTTGACCTTGACTGGTTATCAGCACGCCTCCCAGCTGCAGAGAAACACTGAGGAAAACTTTCTCCAGTTTACTCCACCAGCTCACTTCCTCCCTCCCAACTATCCAGACAGCTTCCCCCTCCCCCCGTTTCAATGGCAGCCGTAGCAAACAAGCAATATAAAAGCGGAGGCTGACAATAGTTCTCAGTAGATGAAATGACAGAAGCAATGGCTACAGTGCCAGTGGAGTTCAAATCTACATTCAAACTTATTCCATGTGATAAGAGGTGAAAGACTTCTTCGATTGCATTAACAAGTTGACATTGAATAGTCAGTTGCTTTTTAGAAAGGCCTCAAGGTTGCTGTCATAAATTCACATATTCCACTAACAAAATTCCCAGATTCATTCAAATCTTGTTGTCATGTGGACAGAGTACAGGATAATGACTTGGGGCATGGTCTTTTTTAATTAATGGGATTTCTTTTGATCCATGACTTCAAATGAAGTGAATCAGGTGATATCTGTTTTCTTCCTCCTGTAGCTGAATCCTTGCCCCTCTTAGTTCTTTCAGGTAGTTAGGTGGGAGGTAATTTTCTGGACCAGGAAGACTGTTAACACTTTGGTGTGAGAAGAGATATTACTGGCAGCTTGGAAATAAAGGGAGGGTGTGTTAATTGGCTCTTTCTATATCAAGAGTATTGAATAATTATGACCTAGTCTCTAGCTTTCCTTTTTTGGGAAAGATTATTGAGACAGTAGTTGGGAATAAACTACAAAGCATCTTAAAGGAAATGCTTTCTGCTCAGAGTTCCCAGCGTTGCAGCGCTCTCACAGTCTCTTCATCAAAATTCAGCTAGCAGCATTCCCACTCTTACAACTGCAGGAGCATTGCAACTTCTTCCCACTGCAGTCTGGGAAACTTTGGCCAGCTAGGCCCACCAGTGCAGTACTCGCAAGAAGCCCAGGTCTTCTCCATGCTCCACCATGCCTGGAAGGCCTCAGCTTGCTAGGATCATTGGCATGCAGATTTCTTCCCTGCATTGCCACTCCTCAGAGACCTGGGCCTTCCTCCTGTCCAATCATGGCCAGAATGTTCAGCCAGGCCTCAATCAGGATAGGCCCACTTGCACATGGGTCTTTTCCCTGCCCTACCACTCCTTCTCCCTGCCCCTCTATGTCTATGTCTATTTACTTTTCCCTTTCTCTGCAGCTGCTAACAGGTATGCCCAGCAAGGTGCAACTAAAAAGCTAGCAAAAGCAATCTGATTTCTGTTTATAGTGGATCTAGTCATCTCAAGTCTTCCAGGCCTGGTGGAAAAGAAAGAAGGCCCAGGCAATGGTAGGCCTATCCAGCTGAGGATTCCTGATCCGGTTTCATGTGTCAGTGAGTCCTGGGCCTTCCAAGCCTCTACCCATCCCCCACCCCAGAGGTATTCTGGTGCAGTCACTTAACATCTGCAATGGGGAGAGCTGGAATTGCTGTCATAGACTGATACAGTCATGTGAACATCTTGTTTAACAACAACATACAACCAAAATTCTGGGTTTAATTGTGCTCAAAGACTACTAACTGTATTTTTCAGCCAAAGCGATTTCTCATTCAAACATAATTTATCTTAATTTGAAAAAAAACACAAAATGGCATATATGTAATGTATAATTAATGTTTTTGATTCTTCTTTTAGTTACTCACTATTCAATGTGGTTGCTAGTGAGTTGGGCTCACTGTTGCTCTTTAGTAAAATCCAACCTAGCAGATAGTGATAATTTACATGATTGGCTGAAGAAACTTACTCTTCTAATTCCAGAGGTAAGCTTCGAAAACAATTTCTAGTTTAGTATAAGAGTAAAGTCAAAAGTAGGTTAAATATATCTGTTGAAAGAGACATTTTAGAAGTGAAGAAAAAGACTTTTTGTTACTTTAGGATGGATTTATTAGTAGTTTAAATATTGTATTTAGTTTCCCTAATTCAAAGTTTTTTTTTTTTAAATGAATGGTTCAGTCGTCTTCATATTTATTCAGAAGTAACTCCTACTGGATCCATCAACCCAATCTTCTAGATAGCATGCATAAGATTTCAACCAAAGTCCTCTCAATCTATCTATTATAGAAAATAGCTGTCTCCTTCAATATTTAAAATATCATTTGTAATTTCCCACTATTAATTCTTTGGTGGGGTTTTTTTTAGTTTCCAAAGTGTTCTAGCATCTTGTTTATAGTAAATGAAAATTATTGGTACAAATGCTTAGTTCAAAATATTGATAGCAAATAGGCATATTGAAAATAGTTTATAAATCTAACAATAAAGAAAATAAGAAAAATTGTTTTTATTTGACTTGTTTCCATTTAATTGTAATTCTTTATTTCAATTTTAGACTGCAGTTCGCCATGAATCTTGTAATGGTCTCTATAAATTATCACTGTCAGGGTTGGATGGAGGGGACTCCATAAATAGGTCTTTCCTGCTGCTAGCTGCCTCAACCCTGCTTAAATTTCTTCCTGATGCCCAGGCTCTGAAACCTATTAAGGTAAAATAAAAAAGGTTACCTATTTCACTTATGTGAAATTATGTTGCATAGTAAATGATCAAAAAACAAGTTCCTCCCGGTGAAATTGTCATATATTTATAGTTCTTACATCTATAGAACAACTTATATTAGGAGGATAGGCAAACAATTTATAGTTAACGAGTACAAGGTTTTATTTGTCTGCTTCTCCAATTCCCAGTGTTTTATGCATCTATATTACATCAACAATTGGTGATTTCCCCTCCCCCCCTTTTTTCAAAGTATTTGTTAAATAATTAGTATAAACATCTGCCACCGATACAATATCAGGGTGACTGTGCTTTGCCTTTCCTATGTGCTAGAACACCTGTCTCAGTCATTATACCAGTAAGGCACATACTGGGTAGAGGTGGGATAGGGACAAAATTAACTCTTGCTGACATAGGGCATATGATGCTTCTTTTGCAAAAAAAGATTAAAAATCCATAAAAAATGGAATAAAAGAGGAAGAATTTCCCACAAAATCCATCAGTTACTCTTTCATAATTGTTTTAAGTTTAACTGCAATTAATTTCCATTTCACAAGTTTATGTAAATAAAAGTAAACAAATAAAATATTTATTTATATATATATTTATTTATTTATTTAATCTAATTTTTATACCGCCCTTCTCCCGAAAAACTCAGGGCGGTGCACACCAAAGATAAAACAAGTACCCATATAAAATTTAAAAACAATTAAAAAACATTAAATAATTTGGCCCCGACGTCATTAAAACAAAAACAACCCATTAAAATTAATGTTTAGGCCAACCCATCTTGTTGGAACAATAACGTCTTAAGGGAATGGCGAAAGGTGCGTAAGTCAGGGATCATCCGTATCTCCGGGGGCAATTCATTCCAGACGGCAAGTGCCCCCCACAGAGAAGGCTCTCCCCCTGGGTGTCGCCAGTCGACATTGTTTGACCGACGGTACCCTGAGGAGTCCCTCTCTGTGGGAGCGCACTGGCCGGTGGGAGGCTATCGGTAGCAGAAGGCGATCTTGTAAGGACCCAGGTCCTAAGCCATGGAGCGCTCTAAAGATGGTAACCAACACCTTGAATCGCACCCAGAAGACCACCGGGAGCCAGTGCAGCTCGCGCAGGAGTGGTGTCAGGTGGGAGCGCCGTGTCGCTCCCATAATCACCCGCGCGGCTGCATTCTGGACCAGTTGGAGCCTCCGGGTGCTCTTCAAGGGGAGCCCAATGTAGAGAGCGTTACAGTAGTCCAGACGGGAAGTAACGAGGGCATGAGTGACCGTGCACAAGGAGTCCCGATCCAGAAAGGGACGCAACTGGTGAATCAGGCGAACCTGATAAAAAGCCCCCCTGGCCATATTAAACAGAGGTGTTATAAGGAGAATGAATTTCTAAATAATAAAGCCCAGTTGAGAGTTTTCATGACAGAAAAAGAAATTAGTTTTTCAGAAAAATGAAATCGATGGAGAAAGAACTTTTTGGAAGTAAAACTGCATACAGTATTCATTTTCTTTGCTTTCATGTTCACTTCCATACTGTTGAGATGTTAATCGAAAGAATGTGAGCATCTACAAAATGTATATGTGAAAAGAACCTCTTAGGCCATATGTTCTTACTTATTGTTTAGTTACCTCCCCTGGAAAAATTGGAAGTTGCAAACTGTCTTTGGTTATAAAATAAAGTGTGTGCATTAGTATGAATTACATAAATACTAATGCTTATTTTATATAATTTTTAAAAACCTAGAACAAAGTAGCCAATAATCATCTTCATCTTATTCTTTTCTTTATAATGTGTTAGGATTATTTTTTTTTAATTAGCAAGTTTCTTGACCAAAGTTGGAGAGGAAAAAAAAGTTTAACCTTTTTTCTCCCCCCCACCCTTCCTCCAGATTGAGGATTATGAAGAAGAACCCATTTTACAGCCTGGCTGTAAAGAATATTTCTGGTTGCTGTGCAAACTAATAGATAATATACATGTAAAAGATGCTAGTCAGGTAAGCATAACTGATTTCATGTTAAAAGTTTGTGTTATATTTATGTTTATGCTTGCTCCTTCCCAGGTTGCCCTGATAGACAGGTCTCACTGGAAAAACACTTATGTTAAAGGCTTATTTTCCCATTTTTAAGTCTGTATTAGAGACTATCCAATCTCACCTTGCCAAACTGGCACAAGCCCAGCAAAACTGGACTTCTGTAACTTTGTAAAGATGGTTGTCAAAACAGATTTACAACAGATGATACATTGCCTTATTCTATAATGCTATTATATTAACCATTTACCACTCAGCAAACCACCAAATCTAAGAGAGTACTTTTTAGGAATATTTAAAACATTTCAATATCAAAATATTCCAACCTCAAAAACAGTGTAATTTTGAACATGCTGAGTTTGCATTGAGAAGAAACAAAACTTTATTTTTCTCCCTACTTTAGAACAAAAAATGATTGTAGCTTTGTTTTGAATTTTCTGATTGTTCCAGGCAAATTTCAGGAAGAGTTCATATGTTGCATATGTGTTGTGTGGCATTTTACTTTGCAGGAAGGTAATATAAAGATATGTAGGTTGAGTGTCCTTGTGTTTATATACACAATAGCACTTGCAGAAAAGTATTGATGCCTTTGCCATTGTAAAAGTGTAGACTGTGCAGTATTGGTTGATTTGCTTTGTTGACTTTTGGGGTATGTATTCATTTTATACAAACTCAAATGCCTTGTAACATCCTCAGCATTTTTTAAAATTTTGCGACCAGAATAATTTGTATGTACAATCAAACCATCAGCAAATACCTTCTGTATTTAATTGTTTTTGCTGGGTTTTGGCCTGGCATACAGGGTGAGGAAAACTGGATGTGAAATCTGTGGTTTGTCCTTGTTAAGAGGAGGGAGAGAGTTTATAAATAAAATGATGAATTACTACTTTTTTTTAAAGTGAATCCATTACAAAACTTCATAATAATAGAAGAAAATATAATTTGTCGTTATCTGCCTGGTTCATTTATTTTCATACTGGAAGAAATGCTAAATGGAAAAATGTTATTGACTGTTTTATCCTGTTAATTGAGTAGAAGGAGCAAAAGTGATAAAGCATGCTTCCTTCCCTTTCCTTTTTCTCCCCTTTCTTTTTCTCTTGCACTCCAACTGGTTTCCCTCCCTCTTCTCCCACTTTTTTCTGCCCTTTTCTCCCACTTTCAAACTCACTCTTCTTCTCCCTTTTACATATGCCCACATGCACAAATTCTTCCCATTTGTGTGCAGATTCCTAGAGGAGCAAGGCAGCACCAAGAAGATTCCTAGAGGAGATAGGCTTTCGCTTGGGATCCTGTGGATTAAAATTATGAAGCAGATTCCAAGAGAAGATCTGCTTTCTCTAGGAATCTGCTTAATGGATTTAACTGTCAGGAAGCCAAGCACTGTCTGAGAGAACCTTTGCAAACTTGTTCCAGCATGGTGGAAGTTTTGCATTTTTGGATTTTGACAGGCACCAGAGGAGAGAAGCAGTGGCAATGTAATGTAATAAACACAGGTTATGTCATAGGTATGGGAGAGGCTGTAGGAGGCCCAGCACAGGCTGTGTGCGAGTGTCTCTGGCACTGAAAGCTTGGCTGTTGCTTTGATTGCAGCAGGGATTATTTTCAGCTCCTGAACGGAGCTTCCTAAGGTCTCTCTTATCTACCTCAGACACCCCATATTCTACCTGGGATTCCATCAACTTAATGACCAAAAGGATCACATAACAATTGCAACCAGGAGTGTTGGGATTGCAGTCATTGAGCAAAACAATCACATGGGTGTTTTGCTTAACAACTGTTTCGCTCAACAACCAAGATACTGGTCATGTTGAGGACTACCTGTAAAGGCATATAATTCATAGAACATTTTATCATAAAATCAAAGGTTCGAAGTCTGCATTAGGTAATACCAGTCAGATTGTATTCATGTACAGTATATTGCTTATTAAAATATATTCTAAAACTTTTCTCAATACAATAAATCTTTTAATAATTGCTTTGCATTTACAATTTCATTTTGTTTCTTTTAACTTAGACAACTTTACTTGATTTAGATGCCTTAGCAAGACATTTGGCTGATTGTATTAGAAGGTAAGCTTTAATCTTGTTAATTTCTTTAGAATAATTGGTTTAAAATGATTTCCATCAAAATATCATTTAATAACAGAAAAATCTCTTTGTCTTTTACAGCAGAGAAATTCTTGATCATCAAGATGGTAATACTGAAGATGATGGTCTTACAGGTCTCCTACGTTTAGCAACAAGTGTTATCAAACATAAACCACCTTTTAAATTTTCCCGAGAGGGGCAGGTAAGATCTAAAGAACTAAACCAGGATTGTAGTAATTGATCTTGTATATACTTATTATTACATTTTCCCTTAAGTATGAATACTGTTGTAAGATATATGTGAATGTTTTCTTACTACTTCTTTTTTAATATTTCTACTCAAAATTGCAGTTTGAAAGATCACATAAACTTTGTATTAGGAGAAAAATACTTGACTGTGAAGCAAAGGCAGCAGTTTCCATGATAAGCATAGTTTGAGCCTCAGGTACATATAGTTAATTTTGAAAATCATAATTAATCAGTGATTATGACACTGATTCCACTCAGAGCAGCATTAATTTCTCAAGATCCTTGTATTGTCAGTGTATATAATTCATAGTGGCAAATGAATGTGAGAAATATGCAATAATTTGATTTTATGAATTATTCAGAGGTTGTAAATGATCAAAATTTAGGGAGGCAAAGATTTTGGAAATGAAAGACTTATGAAGATATTCTATCATTTGTTTGCAGCTGCAGAAGCTTAGGGCTCCTTCCTATGACCATGCCCAAATTTTTTCTTATTTCAGAATTTTTTTTTTTTTAATGTACATTTCAGGACCTTAATTGGATTAATGGATTAGGTTGTTGTGATTAGTCTTCTTTCTTTCCATCTTTATAAAATGAATTAAGGCATTTCTATTTAGTCAAATGTTTTTAGTTAATATATAATTATTGTAGCACTAATTGAATAGTTTAATTAGATTTTAATTGTTTTGTAGTGTATATTTGTTTCTGTGTCAGTTCACTATCTTGAATTGTTAAATATGGATACAAATTTAAATAACAAATAGCAGTTTCTATGAGTTTTCACAACCTTCTTTCGTTTCCCTCTTGTCTTTTAGAGGCAGACTTCAATTGTTTACACTGCATGAAGCGATAGCTTAGTTAAGGGCGGGGTGGGGGGGAGAGAAAATAAGTGCCCACAGTGAATCTTCAGATTGCAATATTAAGTTCTATGTAGAATATTCCAGCAAGTAAATGTTGACTTTTATATTTCCCTTATTTTATAGGAATTCTTAAGAGATATCTTTAACCTTCTGTTCTTATTGCCAAGTCTAAAAGATCGACAACAGCCAAAATGCAAGTCACATTCTTCAAGGGCTGCTGCTTATGACTTATTGGTAGAAATGGTAAAAGGTTCTGTTGAAAACTACAGGCTCCTCCATAACTGGGTTATGGCACAACATATGCAGTGTAAGAATATTTTTTCAAATTTTTCAATATTCTGTGAGTAAGCAGATAATTTCAATTTCTTTGTATTTTTCCTTTAGGTTAAAAAATTTGTTAGGATGTTAATTAGATTTAGAAATATGTTAAAATATTATTGTATCCTTGTAAAAAGAGTGGCCGTATCAGGACCTACCAGAAGATGGGCAACCTATAAATTTAATCAATAAATAAAAGCAAAAAGCTTACCCATCCTTGAATATTCCTAATTAAAAAGTGTATTTGCAAGCACTTCAGCAGCCAGGAATATTTAGGTGGTTAAGGTGCTGCCATCTATTGCCCCATCTTCTCTAAGATTTTCTGACCATAATATTAGAAAATATTGATGTTCATTTTGATGGCTCTTATGTTTCATGTTTATTTGCAATTCTGATTCATCATAAACATTTTAATGCACTTTAATACATGTCGGAATCATGTTGAACTCAGTTTTGAATTGATAAAAGTCGTTTTTCTCCATTCAAGTTGCTTATTTTGATATGAAGCTGATGTATAATAGAATGTGCTAAAGAGATAGGAGATACTATGGACCCCGAATGAAATGCAGTTGATAGGAGTTCTACTTTAATTTTACCAAGTTTCCTCTTGGGGCATCACCCTTTTATCATCTCCTAGTGCCAAGTGAAATAGTTTATATTCAGATCAAATATGAGATTTTTCTTTTCTGTCAAAATGAACAAATGGTTCCTCAGTAAGTATTGGGACACAGAAATTATACTCTGGATTTTATGTGTCTGAGAAGTTATGCTTTTCATTCTTCTAGGCAGAAAAGAAAAAAATTGTTTTCCACGCTCAAACAGAAATTGAGAGTGCGCTGTCCTACTCTGAATAGTGTTGTAGAAAAATATAAATCAGCACTGTTGGGAAAAAAAGCTCAATACCATTTCTGTTAAGTGAGCCAGTTGTGTCAAATAAAGGATGTGTAAGAAATGGTCATGTAGAACAGGAGTCCACTAGGCTGTGGCTTATTTGCAACTGGGCTTCATGAGTGGTGGGCTGGCAAGTGCACACAGTTCCGTGTGAGCAGCAGACACCAGTGCTCACAGCCCCATTCACACGAATGAAGCTGTGCACGCCTGCCCCTCACACAAAACCACCACCACCACCACCACCCATGTGCCAGGCCACCAACCCGGAAAGGGAACACTGATGTAGAAAACAAAGAACAAAAGAGAAATGAACTAAATCAGTATGTCTGCATCCTAGCTGTATCCACGATTGCTGGGTGCAACATACGTGAGAGATTTGTATTACTAAGCCCATCTTGAAGATATTTTTTGTAATATAGTTACATCCCTTCCAGTAAAATTAAAATGTTACTTTGATATAAGGAAATGTTTAAAAGATTTCATGAACCAAAACTTAAAAGAACTCAGGAATATTAATACAAAATGAAACCCAACATTATAAGCTCAAAACTAAATGGATGCCTAAAGTTTATTTTGATTAGTATAATAGCTTTTGAGCAAGAGGAGCCTAAAGAGAAAAATATACCAGACTTAAGTGCAAATTAAAAATATGATTTCAAAGTGCTTAATTGGCAGTAATGCAGAAAAGAAAATGCCAAACTATAACATATCTTTCAACCGCTACTGTTACACTTTTTGCTTCAGACATAAATTAGCATCTTTTTCAGCAGGTACAATGGTCAGTTGGTAATGGTGATGATAATCATAGTAGTAGTAATAATTATGATGGTGGTAATACCAATGATAATAATTTGGTTCTGAATTAAACCCAGTTCTTGAGAATCATTCTTATGGTAATTTATTGCTTTTAAGGTAGAACCTGGGTTCCAGAGGTAGCATATGAGTGGTTTACTCACGATCCCTTCAAAGAAGAGGGAGACGCTTTCATGAGAACATGACAAAATGTGGGATTTAAGAAGGGAGAATAGACACCCAACTGGTTTTATTCACCTAGAAGATTAAATAATTAATGATTTTAACATGTACTCAGAAATAAAATTACCTTAATATACAATTTCAGCTTCTCATGCACCTTATAAATGGGATTATTGGCCACATGATGATGTTAGAGCTGAATGCAGGTTTGTGGGATTAACCAACCTTGGAGCGACTTGTTACTTGGCATCAACAATTCAACAATTATATATGATTCCAGAAGCCAGACAAGCCATTTTTACTGCAAAGGTATGGCCTTCCACTTTTAACTTGATACGGATTTTAATATTTCAATTAATATCACTATAAAGTCAGTAAAAGTCAGTTTATTGAATGAATGACAGTTTTAAGCAATGCTTTTCCTGCAAAATAACCATCATGATAAAAGAGATTCTGGTAAAGCTGTCTGGGTCTACCTGAAAAAAAATTTATGGGTTAGATAAACATACAAAACCTAACATAATAAGATAATTTTTTATGTTCACATATGTCCCCGTTTTAAAATTAGATCATTTGAACACAGTACTATCAGAATGGTGCTCATTCCAATGTTATTTACCATATTTTTCGGAGTATAAGATGCATTTCCACCCCCTAAAAGAGGGTGGAAATGTTGGTGTGTCTTATACACCGAATACAGCCATTTTTGGCCTCGCAAAGCCCCATCCTGTGTGGAAAAACAGGCCTGTTTTTTGCCAAAACAGGGCTCACAGAGGGTTTGGGAGGCCTGCAGATTGCTCCTGGGGGCTGGGAAGGGCAAAAACGTGGGGTTTGGGAGGCCAAAAATGGGCCTGTATTTCGCAAAAACGGGGACGTTTTTGCTCTCCCCAGCCTTCAGGAGCATTTTGCAGGCCTGCCAAACCCTCTGCACAAAAATGGGACACGCAGAGGGTTTGGGAGGCCTGCAGAGTGCTCCTGGGGGCCGGGGAGGGCAACAACTTTTTTTTCCTTGCTTGCCTCTTCGAAATCTTGCCTCTTCGAAATCTTGGTGCATCTTATACACCGGTGCATCTTATAGTCAGAAAAATACGTTAGTTAATATATGGACACAAAAATAAAAGTGGGAGTATATTTTATGAAAATGGATATTGTGCTTGTTCTTTGAACAAAAGAAAAATTTGCATATTTTAATTCCAGTTTTTAATTTTTAATTTCATTGATACTCTTAAGTTTGCAACTTTAAAATAAATACTAAATCTCCTAATTGTGTTTTATTATAAATTAAGTGGAAAGCTATATCATAAGTTTTAAACTTTAAAAGTTTTGAAAACTTTTTTTGTTTAAAATTTAAAGAAGGGCCTGAAGAGATGGTTCTGTCAATTGGCCTGGAGACTCCAGAGTGATACAGAGCCCATCAAGTGGCTTGTCTGATTATTGTCACTGGGGGTGGGGGGGTGGGGGGTGTTATTGCTTATTTTATTGAGGTTTTATCCTTGTAAACTGCCCGGAGTCACTGAGAGTGAGTTGGGCAGCCATATAAATTTAGTTAAATAAATAAATACACTTTCTAGAATGGTTTTAAGTAGGTTTCTTGTAAAATGCTGTAATTTTTTAAACATTCGTAATAAAAAGATTTTTTAAAATTACTGTTTACTAACTTTACAAAACCAATTTTATGTGTTTTCTTTTCATTTCAACTTTTTCCTTCATGTATTATTTTTTTTTAAAAGTATTCTGAGGATATGAAACACAAGACTACTCTTTTAGAACTTCAGAAAATGTTCACGCATTTAATGGTAAGTTTTAAAAATCTTTCCAAAGATATGTCTTTATGATAACTTATACCAGATAAAATATCTTAATGGCCTTAATATTTAAACCTTTTTATTGACTTTCTGTAATCCAAGCATCAGTGAGCTCTCCCTTAAGTTCACTGTCAGATCCTTGAAAAAAATGGGCAGGAATGGAAACCTCCATCCACCTTTGCTTCCATATTGAATGTTCACAGATACTCATATCTGGACTGTTTTGTTGATTTTTGTTTTCTTTACACAAGTTGTCTCTTTCAAGGCAGAAAAAGAAAGAAATAAAGAAATGAAAATTAAAGTTAAATCTTATTGGACTGAAGTTACAGAATTTGAATGGCCCACAGCAATTGTTTTTGATTTTCCTTACACCTTTATGCATGCAGAATATTTGTATAATTGTCTCTTTTCCCAGTACTGGAAGATTTTCTTTTTTCCCCATATGGAGGCAACCATTGGTAGTGCAGCATAAACATTGAAAAAAAGTCAGTTGTGCAATTTGTGTGTGGTATATGCAGAATGCAGACTCAAGGAGAGAGAATTATGCTCTTAAAAGAGGTTCTCACTTGGAACCCACAATAGTATTTCGTAGGAGCTGAATACTCCCGTAGGAGCTGAAATCCACAGGCCCAGTGGATCTCAAGCCACAGTTGGGCTTGGTTGGTAGGCTAAATAGTTGGCACTCCATGGCCTCTTGCACTGTTCAGTACTGTTGCCCAAGGACCTGTGTTCACTCTTATGCTCTGTAGCAGCCTCTGCTTCAGACTGTCCCATATCTGGGACGTTTGGAGGTAAAGACTGGTCGGTGAAGATGGGCCAGGTTCTTGGCACTGGGAAGGAGATTAAAGGAGGGTTCTGATAACTCTTCTTTGAGAGGTCTCTCTGAGCAAGGAGAAGGAAAGGCTTGCGAGCAAGATCTTACTGCCAGGCAAAGTAGGGAGGAAAGACTCTATGGAAGGCAAAGACGAAGAAAAGGGAAAGTGAATGAAAAAAATAAGGCAAGGAGAGATAAGAAATAGACTTGCAAAAAAAGAAAAGGTTGCACAGTCCTTAGTGGAATGGCTATACTAAATATTATCCTATAAAGATTCTGATAAGCAAACAAGTATACTGGGTGCATGATTTTCAATTTCTCACTTTGATTCTATCAGTAGAGGTTAGTAAGCTATTAGAATACTCCATTCTATCTGTAGCTGATTGGTCTTCCACATGCCAAAACTATAAGCCAAGAGCATTTCTTGTGCTATGATTATTGTGAGCGGAACTATGTTAGTATCCTGATTACCTTAACAAACAGACTATAGACTGAACTTCCTACTTCATTTTATTCCTATGGCAACAAAAGGAGCCAGATCAGAAGCAGTTCATAAGCAGACTTAGCCATACTAACAACTTTTGACAAACACATGAACCACCTGTTGTGTGTTCTTAACAATTAATTGCTTGTTTTCCTGTCTTCTAAACAAAGGAAAGTGAATGTAAAGCATATAATCCAAGGCCATTCTGCAAAACCTACACCATGGATAAACAGCCACTAAATACTGGTGAACAAAAGGACATGACAGAATTTTTTACAGATCTTATAACAAAAATTGAGGAAATGTCTCCAGAATTGGTAAGTCTACAGAAATATTTTTTTTAACGTGCTTGAAACAATTCTCCTTATTTTGACTGAAATTAATTTCATTAATCCACAGAAGAATACTGTGAAAAGCTTGTTTGGAGGTATTATCACAAACAATGTTGTTTCTCTGGTGAGTTCATACTTTTACTGTCCATTGTTCCCTTCAACTAGTTTTTTTTTTAGGAGGGGGGTGGGAGTGCAAGTATTAGTTTTATATTTACAGATTCCTATTGATACTGTTGGTTTGATCTGTTATGACTATTATTATTTAGGACTGTGAACATGTTAGCCAAACTGCTGAAGAATTCTATACAGTAAGATGTCAAGTAGCAGATATGAAGAATATTTATGTAAGTAAAACCATAGCAATAACATTGCAGATCTCTTGGCTATTTGAGATCTCCTAAATAGCATTATATCAAATAAAATTTTTATGTTCTTTAATGGTATTCCTTGTTTTGAATGACAATGCCTCAGAAATCTCTGGATATGCTCTTTCCAGTACCTGGGAACACAAATGTTATTTTCTTCTGAATCAGATCATTGTTTCATTTAGGTCAGTATTGTCAATGATGAAGATCAAACACCCTAAAATTTCAAGTAGTAATTTTTCCTCTCTACTTTCAACTACTCTCAAGTTTCAAACTGTATCTGATTTTGCTTTTTAGGGGGGGAAATGTGTATAGCAGTGGCAGACCTAGTTGTATATGTTTGCGTCAGTAGCTTTATGATATTTTTTGCCCCCAGAAACTTCGTCATGTTCGGCTCCTTAAATTAATAATTTAATAGCATTTTTGTTAACACCTATTTAAGAAATAAATTTGAATAATGAATTATTATTGTAAATTCCTTTACTTTAAATGAACTTTCCTTATGTATTATATATAGGAATCTCTTGACGAAGTTACTATTAAAGATACCCTGGAAGGTGATAACATGTATACTTGTTCACACTGTGGGAAAAAAGTACGGGCTGAAAAAAGGTAAAATGGGAGGAAAAAAGGTTTGAGTTTAGTCTGATTTAATTTGCTAAATATTAAATACATCATGTTCCTAAATACTGTGTACTTATACTCTAAATATATGATGCTTTGAAAGTAGGGTAAGGCATTAAAGAATAAATATTTTGTTCTGGTTCTAGGGCATGTTTTAAGAAATTACCTCGAATCTTAAGCTTTAATACAATGAGATACACTTTTAACATGGTTACTATGATGAAGGAAAAGGTCAACACACACTTCTCATTTCCTTTACGTTTGGATATGACCCCTTATACTGAAGATTTTCTCATGGGAAAAAATGACAGAAAAGAAGGTATTTGATTTTATTCATCTTCAAATTTTTTCTACTAAATCTGTTGACCATTTTAACCAATTTGCATGACATTTTTGGATAATATTGGGCAGTTATCATGGAGGGATAAGCAGAAGTCATATTGATTTTAAAAAGCTAGTGCTTTCTGAGCTTTTGACATAGATATTGGAAAGTTCAGTAGGTCACCATCTCTCTCTCCCCCCTTATGGGAAAAAGTAACATCTGGAGAAATGAGTAGCAGAGGCTGGAGGGCATCAGTGAATGTAACGTTATATTTTCAGAATGACATGGCTGACATGATTTTCCTCAAGAAAGCCCTTAGACCCTTGCCGTTTGTTGTTCATTGCTTTCCACTCTCCCAGGTGAAATGTTTTATTTTCCACTGGTGGAGGGAGAGATTGACTGGGAAGGCAGGGTTATAGTGTAGTATATTGGTAGGTCTTACTCTGCCTCTGAAAATGCCAGCCACAGCTGCTGGTGAAATGACAGAATGAAAGAAGGTCATTCAGCCTGAAATCTCATCACTGCTTCAGGATTAGCGTGCAGTTTGAAGCTCCTGCAACTGAAGTATACATTCAAAAATTTCTGCTGAATTTATTGGTTTATATTTGTTTGTATACTCATTATCAATTATGCCATGCTGATATAGTCCTCGGTTTATGACTGTTGCTTCATTGACCATTTGAAATTACGATGGTGCTGAACAAATAGACTTAAGAACCCTACCTAAAGTTATAGCCATTGCAGTGTCTCCACCATTATGTGATGAAAAGTTGGACAGCCATTTGTTCCACTTCTTCCAAAAATAGAATTTCTGAAAGAGTGCCCAGTTGTTGTGCCAATCAAGTAACTTTTCAGAAGAGCATGATTTTTGAAAGTAAGCAAAGTGTAACCAGGTAGAGAGGAGATAAAGCTTGTTTGGCATCTAAAGGGCAGGGGAAGCAGGTGCCTAGGAGGATGAGAAGCAGGCCTGAGACCTTTGGGACAAGGCCAGCTAGGAAGCAGGTCCACAGCCTATAGAATCCAAAGGGGCGGAAGCTGTGCAAGGGGTGCCTCAGGAAGTAAGAAAAGCCTTAGGAGGTCCAGTCAGGTCACGTGTGAAGTAGGAAGGTGCTGCATTTTGGGCCTAAGCCTGCACTGAGCTTCCCCCACATCCTATGGCATCTCATATTCCACTTAACAACCACAATAGGGAGAGTTAGGATTGCGGTCATTGGATAAGATTGTTAGTGGGTGCTTCACTAAATGACCACAATGAGTTAAAACTAATTACAGGTTCAATTATGATCGTAAATCAAGGACTACCTATAGTGGAATGCAGCCACTTGTACTCCAGCAGTATAGCCAGCAGTGTTTATCATATTCCTGCAACTTTTCCTCCTTCCCCTGTCACTCTTGTCGCTGATACTGTTGTTGATGTACACCTGTTCAGTGACAGATTACTAATTAGTATTAGCACGTGTTCTAGCACTGATTCTGTATATATATATCAGAGGTGTCTAATCCTCACAGGGCTTTGACCATCAGCAGTTGCTGTTGCCACTATACTTTATCAGCAGCAGCAGAGTGAGGAAAGCAGCAGCCGGAAGAGAGAATTATGTGTCCCTGTACTAAACCACAAAGCAGATTTTTGAAAGCCTCTTATTTCCCACATGTTCTAACAATGATAGAGCTATTACACATTCATATATGTTCTTTCAGCTATTAGTACTGATAATGGAGATGGATCCCTTCCTCAATTCAAGGAATTAATTATGAACCTTTCTAAAAGATAGTCTGTGCCTGGAGAGCTTCCTTTTATTTCCCTTTTTGCCATGCTGCAAAATGGGGATTCTATAGATCTGTACATTGTGCCAAATATTGTGCCAAATATTTGTAAGGAAGGGGATATATTCTGCTTCTTTATAAATAACCCAAGGTCTGGGTCCCTAGAGGCAATAATTTGTTTTTTGTTTTCTCCCTTGTTGTCTTCTAGATTTTACCTGATTTTATTTTGTCATTTGATTCTTTAAATTAAAATCAATAAATGGGAAACACATTACATGTTGCAATGTAAAGCACCACATATCAGGAAGAACACCTTAGTTCCTAATAGTTCTAAAGGCATTTTTTAAGGAAATACAAATTGGTGGATATCTGCTTCCTGTGACACTATTCCTATTATCCCAGAAATAAGTTAAGGCGATAAATCATATCTGGGAGATAAAGGAAATGACGGGGGTTATCTTGCTGATTTACATTAAATGGGAATTCTATAAATGTTGTTGAAGATAGGCTGGGAAGTTCTCATTCAAGAATTGTGCCTTAATAGCAGTATATTTAAAGTCTCTCTTCAAAATATATTGTAAAATAAATGTTACCTTTAAGGGCTAGGACAATAAGATACTAAGTTTTGTAATATATTATTTTAGGTTTCAAGGACGATGGCAGTAGTTCAAAGGAGACCAAGAGTTATGAGTATGATTTGATAGGTGTAACTGTCCATACAGGAACTGCTGATGGAGGGCATTACTACAGCTTTATCCGAGATATTGTTAATCCACACGCTTACAAAAACAACAAGTGGTAAGTTATGAATGTTTAGTAAAATACTTGATTAATGGTAGGCTATAATTTGTCAGTTGTATCTCAGAAAATGAGAGGTTTGTTTTTGTTTCTGGATAAACTTGTTGTGTCTTTGCAAAATTAGTCACCAACATTATTTCATTAAGATTTCGGGCATTTATTCTGTCCCAGCTTTAGTAGCAATGGCTGAATATTTCATCTTACTACCGTAGTAGATAGGATTGTACTTATTTGCTTGAATTTTGTTACTTGTAATATTATAGCAAACTTAAGAACTTCACTGAATTTCACCTTCATTTATCTTCAGTACAGTGAATATTTTAGTTTTGTATGAATCAACCTAATACCCAATGTTTTGCATTTTCTAGGTATCTGTTCAATGATGCTGAAGTAAAGCCGTTTGATTCTGCTCAGTTGGCTTCTGAATGTTTTGGTGGAGAAATGACAGTGAGTTGTAATATTTTTAATACTATTTAAAAGGAACATGTGTTGTTGCAGGCTATGTTAATGTTACCTCACCTTGTTATTTCATTGCATATCCACTACAATCAGCGACTAGCTCAGAAAGTCTCTGGCTTGACAGCCTGGGAGACAAATGAAAGAAAGGAAAATTGAAAAAAAAACAACAACCCAAGTTTGCAAATTTTTTAAAAAATTACCCAAGTAGGATGCAATGAAGCTTTCAAAACATTCTTGATCATAGACTATGGAAGTGAGGTTCCAATACACACTTAAAATACATTCATCTATTCACTGACTTTAATAATAGATAATTATCTATTATTCAGTTCATTACATTTCCATATATTACTGTCGCAACAACTTGTAATTATAGTTGTATGCATAAGACAGTCCTACATAAGAGACAATTATCATACTATTGTATTCAGTACTAAATTATAGAAAATTGTACATATCCATTCAACCAAATTAAATTTGCAATGTGTGATGTGAAGTAGTGTTAATGTTTGTACAGTTATCAGAAACAATACAAAGAAAATGTATTCCTTCTAAAATATTTTTTTTTCCAGACGAAAACCTATGACTCTGTCACCGATAAATTTATGGATTTCTCTTTTGAAAAGGTACCTAATTTTATATGTTAATTTAGACAATATCATCTTTCAATTATCTTCCTCTTTTCTGATATCAATGAAGTGTTGGCTTTTTGTTTTTCTTCCCTCAGACTCACAGTGCATACATGCTCTTCTATAAACGAATGGAACCAGAAGAAGAAAATGGCAAAGATTATACATTTGATGTTTCTTCTGAATTACTAGAAGTATGTGCTTCCTATAATTATAAATTATTATACTTCAAACAACACAAATTTATAATGATTCTGATTCAGATTTTGCCATTAGTTTGTCCAAGGAAAAATTGATTATTTGTCAAACATTGTGATGTAATGTAGCAGGACTTTAAATTCTTACTGTACTTGGTGCTCCACCTATTTACTTTTAGTTTGCATTTTTCCCCCTGTGCTCTGATATCCCATATGGAACATTACGCAATGACATGAATTAGACACAGAGTCATGCTTGACAGCTGGTTATATAATAGACAGAATTCTTAGTTTGGGCTAATTTGAGCGAGTTTTCATTGTATCAAAATGGCATCATTTAAAAAAAAATTCCGAGTAGACCAAGGGAAAAAGGGCTCTTTTTCATATTTATTTCATTAAATTATTAGTAATATCAATGCCTATTAAGTGGATAATTAATATTACTAAGCATTATCATATCTTACTATATAGTGTATAGCACATTTGAAATGAAAATGTTAAGATAAGAATGTGCATCAAAAAGCATTATTGCTCTGTTGTTGGGCTCTTCCATTTAGATCAGAGATGTCATACTGGATTTCTTCGAGGGCCGGATCAGCATTGTAGTTCTCCTCCGTAGGCCGGTGGGGAATGGAGGACAGATGCCTCCTGCAGCACCCTGCTGGCCAAACGGGGTGCAGGGGGTCTATGCGCAGCCCCCCTGCACCTCATTTTCACCCTCTATAGCCTCCTGCAGCACTCTGCTGGCCAGAAAACAGGCCGGAAAATGGCAGAGTGCTGCAGGAGGCCATGGAGGGTGAAAACTAGGCACGGGGTGGGACACACATGGCCCATTTTAGCTGCCAGAGGCACCACGGGCCAGTCCTTTAATATTTCCAGGCCGGCCCCATGGGCCAGATTTAAACACCCCACAGGCCAGATCTGGCCCACGAGCCTTGAGTTTGACACCCCTGATTTAGATAAAACAGAAAGAACCTATAATTCAGTAAATCAGTAATTAATATTGTTAATATTAACATAAAGTCAGTTGGCTAAATGGAACTTTCCTTGATGTTATAGAACTCACAGAATTGGAGAGATCTTTTCCTTCCTTCCTTCCTTCCTTCCTTCCTTCATCTTTAGGCAAGAACACCGTTTCAAATTTTCCCAAAGGTCACATTTCTTGCCATACCCAATTAAAATATTTCTGGGTGCAAAACTTAGGAAACTTTTTTCTCAAGAGAGGAGTTCCCATAAACAAAATTGAGTTAGGTGCATTATTGGTTGCCTCAGTATATGAAGGTTTTAGGTAGTCAATATATTATACCTTGGATTCTAAGAAAAGCTAAAGCCATTAGTGAGGGAGAATGAGACCCTTTATTTCATCAGTCTTCATCTTCTATCTATCTGTCTATCATCTATCTATGTTTACTTATTTGTTTGTTTGTTTGCTGCCCATCTCACTGTCAAATGACTCTGGGCAACTTACAACAATATAAAAACATGATATAAAACAATAAGAAAATTAAAAAATTAAAAGCATTCAATGTTAAGTATTAAAACATTAAAATTAAACATTTATTGATTTTATTGTAATTTCTTTGGTGATTGTTGTGAGCCAAAGTCACTGAGAGTTAAGTAGCATATAAATTTAATAAATTATCATTGTTATTGACTTCACAGTAGTAGTAACACACCCAAGCAGTTTGGAATAGGATACAGGGAATATTGTTTAGTTTACTTACTTAGGACGCTTTTTATTATTTAAATGAAGTTTCCATGAGAGAGAATACCAGTAGCATTTTATATAATGGCTAATTTTGAATTATGTTACATTTAAATAGAAAGGTTTTTTTTTAATTTTTTTTTTATTTATTAAATTTGTTTGCTGCATCTCTCCACAAGATTTTTATTTATTCAGTCAATCAATTTATATAGGTTAAGAAGTACTTACATTAGCCAGTAATTTATTTTTCATTCATCTCTGAATAGAGTAAATAGCTTTACCTGATTTTTTTCATTTTTCTCTTCAGTGGATATGGCATGATAACATGCAGTTCCTTCAGGATAAGAATATTTTTGAGCATACATATTTTGGGTAAGGTTTATATCAATTTATATTTTATTTAATAAATTCCAGGTTTTAAAAAGTGGGCGTAAAAACAAGTATTTGTGCATGTGTTTGTCCTAGATTTATGTGGCAGTTGTGTAGTAGCATCCCCAGCACATTACCAGATCCAAAAGCAGTTTCTCTGATGACAGCCAAGGTAGAGTATCTTACTGTCATATTACTTTCAAAACAAAACAAAACAGTGTTTTAGCTCTTGTTCAGGATAGTCTGTGACTATCAATTATTGTCTTACAGTTAAGCACTTCTTTTGTCCTTGAAACATTTATCCATTCAAAAGAAAAGGTATGTACCTGGATTTCCTATAACAGTGTATATTTCTAACATTGATTAAGATAAACAGTCTTTTGCTTCACTGACTGAAAAATAAAGCAAAAATTATAATGAAATTTCAGTTCGTTTCAAACTAGATTATTTCATAGTCTAAACGAACCTTTGAGCTAATACAGGTAGACCTTTCTTAGCATCTACTTTGTGTAACAACCATTTAAAGTTAGGAAGGTGTAGAAAAAAAAAGTTTGTGACCAAGATGTTTACATCTTGTAGTTATGATGGCACTGAATAAAGGGGGCTTACAACTGATTCTCAGAATTCTAGCTGTCATAGTGTCCCTGGTCACATGATTGTGTTCTGGGGTTTGGATACCTAGCTCATAATTACAATACCACAGTAATCCATGATCACTATTTGTAACCTTCATTACCAGTTTCCCACAAGCAAAGATTAAAGTCATTCACATAAGTCACTCACACTGCTTTTTCTTCTGAAGAGCCCCACTATGGTGTATGAGATCACAGGCATCTTGTAATGGTGGCTCATTGGTTAGAATGCAGTATTGCAGACTAATGCTCCCACTGCCAGGAGTTCAGTCATGACCAGTTCAAGATTGACTCAGCCTTCCATTCTTCCAAGATCAGTAAAATGAGGATCCAGATTGTTGAAGGCAATATGCTGACTCTGTAAACTGCTTACACAGAGGGCTATAAAGCACTCTGAAATAGTAGATAAGGCTAAATGCTAGTGCTAAGTGCTAGTTCGTAGTATACCCCCTGTATTCTCTGCATTGCCCACTCTTGGCCCTTGCTGGCCCACCGACGGCAACATCCATTCTCCCAAAGTTCTCACACACCAGCCTGTTTACCTAGGACTCTGATCACATGAAAGCTTCCCTTAATGGCCATGTGATCTCTTAAAATGGCAACTGGGACTGTCAGGATTGACATTGCTAAGCAATGTGATCATATGACATCACACTTTATGACTTTATTGCTTCGGCAATGGAAATTCTGGTCCCAAATTCCATTTTAACCCAAGAACTACCTGGCCAGTCAGGTAGTATACATTGTCCTATGCTTTACTCATTCCCCCACTCCCCATCACAGACTGGAATGATTGGAGATGAAGGAATTACAAGAGAGTAACCAGGCATATGATGGGGAATACACATTGACAAGAATTCATTGATGCCAGCTGTTTACTTACAGCTCTTGGGGTTGCTAGCCGCAAGTATGTTAGGCAGACAGCCAGTGTATTTGCCACTGTATACTTGTTTACTCTCTTGTAATTTTTTTCTCCAATCTCTCCAGTGCCTGACCTTTGTTTTTCTTCTCCTCACAGCCCCTACTACACTAGGTCAGGGGTGGGCAAATGTGGCTCTTTTACAGCCTGTGGACTTCAACTCCCAGAATTCCTGAGACAGCTGTCTCAGGAATTCTGGGAGTTGAAGTCCACAGGTTGTAAAAGAGCCACATTTGCCCATCCCTGCACTAGGTAATCAGTACATTGCCAGTACATTGTTCTGATGTGCATTCCTCATTGTATACCTGCTTACTCTCTTTTAATCTCTTCTCCAGTAAATATGAATACACACATTAATTCCATTCTAGCTAAATTATCTAGCACTGAGGTAAGCATTCCAAAAGGCAAAGGAATTGGAAAAAAGCTGTAGTAAAAATGTAAGCCCAGTTGCAGTTAAGTGATAGATATTTAGTCATTTAGTTACTTATTGAAAACATTTATATAACTGCCCACCTGATAACAAATTCTGAGAGGCCCCCAATATTCCACTTAGCAACTGAGCTCCAGTCCCAATTGTGGATGCTAAACAAGGACTACCTGTATGGACAAATTTGATTTCCTTAGCCTAGGATAGGATATCTTAACTTTGACAAATTAACCATTATATAACATAAGATCTTATTATTCTTATTTTATTCTATAAATGTGATACAATATTATGTCATCTTTAAACCAGATGAGTTGACTATGTGTTTTATTAAACCTCAAAACCAAATCACTATCCATTTTGTGGGTCTGGGGAAGGTGGGAGGGTACTGCTGAAACCACTGCATCATACTTATTGCTTTTAATGTTATGTAACTGAAGAAAAAAATTATGTGCTTCAGTTTGAATGTTTACTTCCTTTAGCCCACAATGCTTCAGTGGATTGAACTGTTAACTAAGCAATTTAACAACAGCCAAGCTGCTTGTGAGGTAAGACAAAAATGAAGAATTCAGTGAAATACGCAAGTTAGCAAACCTTATCCTTTTTGTGTTTCGTAACTTAGGAAGGATAAATGTATGGATTTGGTAATGTGCTAAAGACATTATGCTGTATAAAATAAGAAAAAAGTGTTTCATAAAACCATGCCAGCTTTAGCTACAAATCTAGTTAAATAGAAGTTTTGTTTTCATTTTGTATGTAAGGTACTTATAATTGTCTATTTGTACACTGCCTAGATTAGTCTGAGAGAGATGGGTGGTTTTTTAAAAATATGATATATAAAAATATAAACTTTGATCAGTTATTTTAATAGTAAATGTTTAGTTTTACTGGATTAAACATAGTGAACATGGTGAATGCAGGAAAAACTTGGTTTCCTAAATTAGTACAGCTGGTTTGTTCAAAATTTGAGAGCCCCATAATAATTGCCTTTTTATCTTTGTTGTGGAGCAAAAGCTTTCTGATACATGACTGCCTAAAAAGAAGGGAATTTTTTTCATTAATTCATAGGTAAGGCAGCCAACTATAACAGGGTGTTAAACTCGCGTCATCACATTGTTGTCACATGACGTATTACAACTTTTTCCCCTTTCACTAAAACGGGGGTGGGGATGGCCAATGTGTGATGCATCTGGCCCGCAGGCCGCAAGTTTGGCACCCCTGAAATATAAGAACAATATTTTGATAAGCTTTCTATTTATTATATGTCATAATTCATCTAGCATCCCATTGTTAGTATCCTTCAATAATGTTATTTACAGTGCATTCAGAAAGTATTCAGGTCCCCTTCACTTTTTTCAATTTTGTTATGCTGCAGCCTAATTCTAAAGTTGTTGAAATTCATTTTTATCTCATTAATCTATACTCAGTACCCCATAATGACAAAATGAAAACAGAATTTTAGAAATGTCTATAAATTTATTAAAAAGAAAAAAACTGAAATATCACATTGTCATAAATATTCAGACCCTTCACTCAGAACTTTGTTGAAGCACCTTTGGCAGCAATTACTTGATTCTTTTTCGGTATGACTTGACAAGCTTTGCACACCTGATTGGGGGATTTTCTGCCATTCTTCCTTGCAAATCCTCTCAAGCTCAATCAGGTTGGATGGCGACGGTTAGAGGACAGCCACTTTCAGGTCCCTCCAGAGATGTTCAATAGGGTTCTAGTCAGGGCTGGGTCACTCTAGGACATTATCAGAGTTGTCCTTAAGCCACTCCTGTCTTGGCTGTGTGCTTCAGATCATTGTCATGTTTGGAAAGTGAATCTTTGACCCAATCTGAAGTCCTGAAAACTGCGGAACAGGTTTTCATTGAGGATATTCCTGTACTTTGCTCCATTCAGCTTTCCCTCAATCCTGACCAGTCTCTGCTGCTAAAAAAACACCCCCACAGCATGATGCTTCTACGACCGTGCTTCTCTGTTGGGATGATATGACTGGTGATGAGTTGTGCCTGATTTCCTCCAGACATAATGCTTAGAATTGAGGCCAAACAGTTCAGTCTTGTTTCATCAGACCAGAGAGTCTTATTCCTCACAGTCTGAGACCTTCAGGTGGTTTTTTTCAAACTCCTAGTGACTGTCATGTGTTTTGCACTGACGAGAGAGGCTTCTATCTAGCCACTCTGCCATGAAGCCCAGTGGAGGGCTGCAGTGATGGTTGTCCTTTTGGAATTCTGTCCAATCTCCACACAGAATCTTTGGAGCTCAGTCAAAGTGACCCACGGGTTCTTGGTTACCTCTCTTACTAAGGCCCTTCTTCCCTGATTGCTCAGTTTGACTGGCATTCAGCTCTTGGAATAGTCCTGTTGTGCCAAACTTCTTCCATTTGAGAATTATGGAGGCCACTGTGCTCTTAGGAACCTTCAGTACAGCAGAAATTTTATTGTAGCCTTCCCCAGATCTGTGCCTTGCAGTAATCCTGTTTCTGAACTCTGCAGGCAATTCCTCATGGCTTTTGCTCTGCTACAATATGCATTGTCAGCTGTGAGACCTTCTATAGAGAGGTGTGTGCCTTTCCAAATCATGTCCAAACAATTTAATTTACCACAGGTTGACTCCAATCAAGGTGTAGAAAAATGTCAGCAACAATCAAGAGAAATGGGAGGCACCAGAGCTAAATTTCAAATGTTGTTGCAAAGGCTCTGAATATTTATGTCAATATGATATTTCAGTTTTTTTCTTTTTAATATAAATTTACAGACATTTCTGAACTTCTATTTTCACTTGGTCACTCTGGGGTACTCAGTGTAGATTAATGAGAAAAAATGAATTTCAACAACTGTAGAATCAGGCTGCAGCATAACAAAATTGACAAAAGTGAAGGGTCTGAATACTTTCTGAATACACTGTAGGTGGCGTGAACTTAGAAAGTAGGACAACTATCACCCTTGGCCTTCATTTTTTCAAACAGCTGTGAAAAATTGTTTTTTTTCCTCCTTCCCAACTATGCAGATATTTACTGGAATACTTTTGGAGTTCTACTTAAGTTGTTTAAGCAATGATAATAAAATATGCTATGAATGTGTAGTAGAATAGAAAATGCTTTCATTATTAAGGAATATATGCTAAAATGTTACATATATATTTTTTCCCAGTGGTTTCTTGATCGTATGGCTGATGATGACTGGTGGCCTATGCAGATTTTAATTAAATGCCCCAATCAGATTGTAAGACAGGTAAGATAAAGCATAGTATGTGTCATTTGAAATGTTATTGCTTAGGGTTAGTTTCTTAAATTCACAGTATGAATTTTAACCATAAAACTCAACATGTTAGGTTGAATTGCTCTGGATACTATTACATATATTTGAGGTTTACTTCACATTCTTTGAGGCCTTCGGATGAAAAACATTATGGCAGTTTTTAGAAGGATTTCTGATAAACAATATAACAAAGTCTAAGTGTACGTGTGGACCTTGAAATTTAGTCTGCACACCAAAACAGATTCCAAATATTTTTAGGTGCGTTTTTATTTGAATAAGAGGCCCCATTACACATTACAAATAGCTTATGTCTAATTTAATTTAATTTAAAAACCTGAACTTCTCTCCCAGTAGTGTTTTGCCATTCAACCAGAGGAGCTGCTACCTGAAGAATGAGGCCAAAGGCAATTTTGTATATGGAAATGCTGCCTCAATTTGGATTGTTGCAAATGCAATACCTCAGAAGTTATACTAAGGTCTTCTATGCAGTTCTAATAGTTTTTTGTGCTGTTTCTGCAAAAAAAAAAAAAAAAAAAAGCAAATACAGTCTTGGGCTGCACGAATTGAAGTATAGGTCCAAGACCAAAGGAAGTCATAATTCTTTTCTATATTGCCTTGGCCATATTCTTTTATAAAGGATATTGAAAAACTGGAATGTATGTAAAAGACAGCAGTCAAGATGATAAAGGGCTTAAAAAACTTGAGAAATGTTTGGAGGGGTTGGGTTTGTGTAGGCTGTAAGAACACAGGATAGTTGTCTTCAAATATCTGAAAAGCCATCACAAAGAAGACAATGTGATATTTTTCAGAGTTATTTCTGAAGACAATATAAAAACCAATGTGTTTAAATTAAATGGAAATAAATTATGTTTGGCCATCAGGAGAAATATTCTAATAAAAGCTGTTCCACAAAGCAACTGACTGTTAAAATGAGTCTCTGCATGGCTGTTTGTCAAGAATGCTACAATAATAAATTCCTTCATTGAGCAAGGGGCTGAACAAGTGTATATTGAAAGTCTTTTCTAATCTTCTATGATTAAATGATTTAAGATATAGTCTGTATAAAATAGTATTAATTGTGTAACATGAAGGCAAAATATCACTAATTCAATTATGAACTTTTCAACCAAATAATCCATGATCACTTTGTTTCTAAAGCTTTGTGAAAGCAATTATTTCTGTGACCCCAAGTAACCTTAAAGCTTATGACTTTACAGATGTTTCAGCGTTTGTGCATTCATGTGATTCAGCGGCTAAGGCCAGTCCATGCTCATCTCTACCTACAGCCAGGACTAGAAGACTGGTACATTTTCTTAAAACAATTCCATCTATTTCAAATATTTGTTTCGTAACACTAATTTTATCATATGTCAGTATTATACAAGTATACAAGTATATTGGGGGACATTTACATTGGTCTTTTATATCAGATAACATTTTATGTTACACTGTGATCAGAAAATAAATAGCAGTACAGTAAATTATAAACAATTTACCTTGGAGGATTATGGCATGCCTTTTCAATGTTACTATAGTTTTCAGTTCATGTAACTAAAAAGAATTTATTCATGGAGGTATAACCACAGCATGTACTGTATAGTAAAGTAAACACTGTTAACCATTTCACATGCTATCCTAAGTATAGTGCACTTTGCATAATGTAGGAAGTTGGAACAACTTTTCAGATTGATTTTGGATCATTTTGCCTTCAGTGACTTCAATATACACTGATGAACAATGAAATGTATTTTCAGTTCAGATGACATGGATGGTCCTGTGGAAGATATTGGTAGTCGCTCATGTGTGACTCGTTTTGTGAAGACACTGTTGTCAATTATGGAACATGGTGTTAAACCTCACAGTAAACATCTCACAGAATACTTTGCCTTTCTTTATGAATTTGCCAAAATGGGAGAAGAGGAGGTGAGTGACATGAATTCTGCTGTTATATTTATTATTAGTTTGTGTGCCGTTAACATTTTTGTTATTTAATCTTTGTGTTTCTATGTTTATTACAAAAATCAATTTAGAGAGGAAGGAAGAATATAAACAGTTGTTATATTTTATATTCAATTATTTCCAGAGCCAGTTTTTGCTTTCTCTGCAAGCAATTTCAACAATGGTTCATTTCTATATGGGAACTAAAGGTCCTGAAAATGTAAGTCTGGAGTAATTTTTTATAGCCTAATTTCTCATTGGCACTTTAGTGGATAAGACCCAGTGTTTCAAGGAGGTGTTTCACGACTACTCTCACCTTTACTCTGTAAAAATTTGTCTTTAACAAATTTATCATGATCTCCACTCCACTTCTAAGTTTTTCCAAACAGATTATCTCTATTGTATTATCCTTAGTAGATCTTTATTCTACATTTTGATTATGAATCTAGATTTGAGATAATGTATTGCACTTCTAAAGCTTAACATGGTTAAACACTCACAAAGAGAGAGAGGAAGGGGGAGAGAAACGGGGAGAGTAATGTTATTGCTCCTTTAGTAAAATAAGTCCTTTTGCAGAGATTTGTAGTATGAGAGAGAGATGGAGATGATGATGATTTGCTTTTTTTTTTTTTTTTTTTTTTGTCAGCCCCAAGTTGAGGTACTATCAGAAGAAGAAGGAGAAGAGGAGGAGGAGGAGGAAGACATTCTTTCTTTAGCAGAAGAAAAATATAGGCCTGCTGCACTTGAAAAGATGATTGCTCTGATAGCTCTTTTGGTAGAACAGTCTCGATCAGAGAGGTGAGGAGTATATTCACATATATCAGATTGTTTATGTATTGCATTTATTCATCTGTTTTTAATGGATTTTATTAAAAATTTGATAAAGAACACCAAAAACTAACACAAAGTAATAAAGAGTAAAAGGAACAAGAAAACCTGCAAAAAAACCTATTCTGGTTTTTAACACTTTTTATATTATTTGACAGCATAAACCTATCTAGAAAATTTAAAATCAGGGGCTTTATGTGATTGGCTTAAGATTTTATATATATCGTATATTTTTTGCCTATAAGGCAAGAATTTCAGGTGCCAAAATATATCCAAACTTAGGTTCAGCTTATTCATGAAAATATATATCAATACTTCTTATAAGTACCTATATATCCTTTATACACTCATAGATAAACCCATGTGTTGTTAAGCTGGCACACTTTTTATAGTATTCTGATGTAAAATTTGAGGGTTGGTTCAACAATAGATTGGCTTATACATGAGTATATATGTATATGCCCACATTCCTTTGAGATATTGAGATAATATCACATTGGACATCTCTTAACATTTTTCCTTTATTAGGTTTGTTTATAGTGATGAAAAAGTAGAATACAGTCTCAAAGTGGTAAAGATTATTTGATAGTGCATGCCTGAACCAGTGCAAAATCAGAGTTTTTAGTAATTGTATACGTGCTAAGTAGGCAGGGCCTCAGATTGCTAGCATGTCTTATGTTTCATATGCAAAAGATCTCAGGTTCAATTCCCGCCATCTCCAAGTAAAGTGGTGAAAGACTTCGATCAAAAATCTCAGAGATCTACTGCCAGTCATTATTAACTAAGGAAGCAAAAATCTGACCCATTAAATTGTGCCATCTGGCCATCACCAGAATCAGTTTTTTCTATCAGATGGCTAAGGCGCCTAGAAAAGCTACATGTTTGTTAGAAGATGTTATAAAGGGGCATGATATCACCCAATTCACAGGAGTGATTCTGAGGAGTGTTCTGACTTTAGGGTAATTTTTCCCCCTGGAAAAAAGTCCTAAGCTATACAAAATAGACACAATGGTTTACTGTATATTATCAAATATTCTTCCTCATTTATATCAATATTATCTGAACGAGCAGTAGAACTGCTAATCATTCATCAGTCAACGTTCTAAATTGAAGCTGTCAGCCATATATATAATAAAATATAATAAATAAATATAATAAATAAATATATAAAACGTTCAAAGGGCGAAAACAGTTGCTTGATTGTAACCCACATTTTGCATATTTTTGCCATTAAAATCAATTCACATTGGTTTTTTCCCCTGGTTTTGGGTCCAGAACTGTGAAATGAAAAGTCCTCTTTCTTTGTTTGTTCCCTGTTCCTACCAGCATTTGTTAGCTGGCTGATTTCCTAAAAGTGTGGTTTTGCATGGACTACTCCAAGAAAATTCAAGAAAGCGATTTTGTTTTTACTAATTGGTTGATTAATGAAATAAATTGATCCATTTTTTATATGTGTTTTAGGCATTTGACTTTATCCCAAAATGATATGGCAGCATTAACTGGAGGCAAGGTAATAACTGGACATGAAAAACAACAAGAGTTTTAAAACATGTTCTTTTAAAATATCTGCTACAGTAACCCATTGAATTTGTTCCAGGGTTTTCCTTTCTTATTCCAACATATTCGAGATGGAATCAATATTAGGCAGACCTGCAATCTTATTTTCAGTCTTTGTCGATATAACAACAGACTTGCAGAACATGTAAGTTACTAGCTGTTATTAGTTATACCATCTGAGAGCCTAACTGGAATGCTTTCATTAGAGTTGCATATGATGAAAGGATTTCTTCCTCTCTTACAGATCGTATCCATGCTTTTCACATCTATAGCCAAGTTGACTCCTGAGGTATGGTCTAAAAGTACAGTATTTTGCTACCATATATTATATTGTTTGATGGTCATATTCAACATTTTTAAAGTTGTTATTTGTCCCCAATATAATAATCCTGTAGTGAAATATGATCCTGCATTGTTTTATCCTCCCACTGCGCTATACCTGCACTTTCCTCTGGCACAATACACAAAGCTGGTGCCTTTACACTGAGTCAATTATTCTTTTACTCCACTAAGAAATCAGATAAGCATCCTGCCTTGGCACCACACAATTCAATCTGTGGCTCTGGCCAAATAGAAAGGGGTACAAGCATTAAGGTTACAGAACTGCATGACAGATACTAGTTCAGCAGTCCTTAAATAGCACCCTATATTCAGCCTTATGAATAGGTCATATTTATGCCAAAATTTGTCTTATTTATTTATTTAATCATATTTATGCATACATATTGAAATGTCAAATTGGTTCACAACCTTTTAAGCACCAGTCTACAACTATTCATTAGCGTCAGTGAAAATCTATTTCTGAATTTTAATTGGATTTCAGTAATAAACTCTCCCCTCCCTCCTTGCTTAGAGATCATATGATTTTGGTTTTTGTCTAAACTTGACATTACTAGATTCCACCTTATTTCTTTTCCTAGTCAGAATTAAGCTCTGGTACTCAACTCACTTCTTGTCTTACTCTAAATATTAAGTACTTTTGCTTGCTTCTACTTGTCTTGATTTATAATGTCTCTTAAAATTATAAACTTCCATTCTTTATCATTAGTATTTCTGTTTGAGTCCTTGTTTCTTTACTAGCTTTCTACATGCTTCCTTATGATTTTTAGCACACCTTACCTATATTTTGAAAGAAGCAAATAGCTCCAACTGCTAAAGAGATTCTCTGCAAGGAGTAATGCCGTAGTTTTTCTTATACAGCAGAAACTGAAATTCTTTCACATGCTATAAAAACCTGTCCAATGCTGCTTTCCACAGCTTTACACTGCAGCATGGATGTCTCTGTTTTATGAACTATTTTCCTCATGGCAATGTAATAGTACTTTTATTTCTGTTTTAGTTTTTTTTTTTTTCAAAAAGAGATTGTCCCCTGGCCAAAGGATGCCTGGTGGATTACCAGTTCTGACCTTTCAAATGTTAAGAAGTTAGCATTTCTCATAGTACTAAAATACATGGAGCTATATAGAGATATGGAACAGTGCTGTTTCTGACAAGAAAGCATGCCCATAAATGAAAGCAGGCTCAAGCTTTCTTCAAACAATGAGAGAAATTGTTAAATGTTTTCAGGTTTCTTTTTGTTTCTGTTTGACTAATCTCTTCTAATAAATCTATGTTCCATGATTCCCATTGTTTAATTTAGTTAGCAGTGATGGGAGGCTTTATCAGTTTGTTTTTCACCAAGCTAAGAGCAGATTATCTCATAAATATGGCATGGATTCATTGCCATCTTCTTCTTTTTTTTTCTTCCTCCTTCCATGACCAAAAGAGAAGGGAGAAAATTCCAGAATAGAAACACTTTAATTCCATTTCTACCCTTGATTAAGATATTGTGTATGTCTAAGCATTGTATTCTTCACAACAGTAGCTTGGTAATCTCGCATTTTCCATATAATTGCGTTGTGGAGCTTGTGGCTTTTTGGTCTGTTTGGACTATAGCAGCTGCTCCTAATCTAGGCTCAACTTCATGGCCATCTACTCTTTTTGGCAGAATATTCTTGTTGCAACAAAAGGCGAATGTTAGGCCAATCCCCTTAATCCAAAAGAAAGATAACAGACAACTAGATATTACTATTACTTCTTCGGAATCAGCAAGAGTGAGCAACTGTTGAAGAAAGTTTTTATAGAGAGCTTCAGTCAAGATCTTGTGAAAAGTTACAAGTTACAGGTCTTAATAGCTTAGTCATAATTCAAAATGCAAAGAATTACTTTAAGATAACCTAGGTTCCTTTGTTTAATTTATATGATTGTCTTGCATGCTTCTCTTCAGTACTTGACTATGTTGCTATTCAGAGAACAAATGTGGTATGCTGATTAAGATGCTTGACTATGACTGGGATAACCCAGTTCAAATTAAACCCATTAAAAATCACTGGATAACTTGGCTCAAGCTTTCTGTTGCATCAGCTTCTCACAGGATAATTGAGGGATGAATGAAGGGAAATCTGTATGTATGCAGCATTGAACTAATGGAGAAAAATGGGATATAAATGTAGCACATTAATAATACTACAAATGTGCCATGCAATATGTTGCATGGATAATTCCAGCATTCTATTTATTCTGCATTTTATAAGTCCAATAAACTCCAGTTCAAAAGATCAGGTAGTTGATAAAAGATATATAGTTCTCTGTGAGGGGGCTCACCATTTAAAGATGCTGAGCTTGTCAGCTGGAAAGTGACAGCCCGGGTTCAAGACCCAAGCTCTACACAATGAGGTGAACTTCCATTACTTGCCCCAGCTCCAGTCCATTTAGCAGTTCGAAAGCATGCAAATAAAGAAGATTAATAGGTACCACTTCACTGGGAAGGTAACAGCGTTCCATGCACCTTTGGTGGCCACATGACCTTGGAAATTGTCTTTGGACAAAGTTGGCTCCCTCGGCCAAGAAATAGAGATTTATTTATTTATTTATTTATTTATTTATTTATTTATTTATTTATTTATTTATTTATTTATTTATTTATCAATCAAATTTCTATACCGCCCTACTCCCGGAGGACTCAGGGCGGTGAACAGCCAAGATAAAATACAGATAATACAAACATTAAAAGTCCATTAAAATTATTAAATATTTTGGCCGAAAAACAAATTTAAAACACCCAATTTATAAAACAAATTAAACGATTTAAAAATTTAAAAGGGAGAGTTAGGCCAGGCCAGCCTGCTGAAATAAAAATGTTTTGAGAGCACGACGAAACGTGCACAGATCCAGGATCCTCTGTATCTCTGGGGGGAGCTCGTTCCAGATGGTAGGTGCCCCCACAGAGAAGGCTCTCCCCCTGGGGCCGCCAGTCGACACTGTTTGGCCAACGGCACCCTGAGAAGCCCCTCTCTATGGGAGCGTACTGGTCGGTGAGAGGCTATTGGTAGCAGAAGGCGGTCTCGTAAATACCCCGGTCCGATGCCATGGAGCACTCTAAAGATGGTAACCAAAACCTTGAAGCGCACCCGGAAGACCACCGGGAGCCAGTGCAACTCGCGCAGGAGGGGGGTCACATGGGAGCGCCACGCCGCTCCCATAACCACCCGCGCGGCCGCATTCTGGACCAGCTGGAGCCTCCGGGTGCTCCTCAAGGGGAGCCCCATGTAGAGACCATTGCAGTAGTCCAGGCGGGAAGTAACGAGAGCATGAGTGACCGTATTTAACGAGTCCCGATCCAGAAAGGGATGCAACTGGCGAATCAGGCGGACCTGATAAAAAGTCCCCCTGGCCACGGCCGTCAAGTGCTCTTCCAAAGACAGCCATGAGTCCAGGAGGACACCCAAGTTGTGTGCCCTCTCCGTGGGGGCCAATGACTCGCCCCCAATAGTGATGGCACCAACTGACTATATCGTGATGTCGGAAACCACAGCCACTCGGTCTTGGATGGGTTGAGCCTGAGTCTGTTTCTCCCCATCCAGATCCTCACAGCCTCCAGGCACCGGGACATCACTTCAAGGGCATCATTGGGGTGGTCCGGGGTGGAGATGTACAGCTGAGTGTCGTCAGGTACTGATGGTACTTCACCCCAAAACCACGGATGATCTCACCCAGCGGCTTCACATAAATGTTGAACAGAAGGGGCGAGAGGACCGACCCTTGTGGCACCCCACATACAAGGGGCCTCGGGGTCGACCTCTGCCCCCCTGTCAACACGGACTGCGACTGGTCAGAGAGAAAGGAGGAGAACCACCGTAGGACGGTGCCCCCCACCCCTAACTCCTAGCCGGTGCAGCATGATACCATGGTCAATGGTATCAAAAGCCGCTGAGAGGTCTAATAGGACTAGGACAGAGGAACAACCCCTGTCCCGAGCCCTCCAGAGATCATCAACCAACACGACCAATGCCGTTTCCGTGCTGTACCCAGGCCTGAAGCCCGACTGGAACGGATCCAGATACGACGATTCATCCAGGTACTGAGGGAGCTGTCATGCTACCACACTCTCAACAACCTTCGCAGCGAAGCGAAGGTTGGAGACTGGACGGTAATTTGCCAACACTGCCGGGCCCAGGGAAGGCTTCTTGAGGAGAGGCTTCACCACCGCCTCTTTCAAGGTGGTGGGGAAGACACCCTCACTCAGAGAAGCATTTATAATCCCCTGGAGCCAGCCTTGTGTAACCTCCCGAGAGGCCAGCACCAGCCAGGAGGGACACGAGTCCAGTAAACATGTGGCTGCGCTCAGTCTGCCCAGTATCCTGTCCACGTCTTCTGGCATCACAGAATCAAACTCTGAACACTGTGCCCTAGATTCAGACACAACTGACAGAGAAACATTTACCTTTTTGTCCTCTGTATGAAGCCCTGTAGTTCCATAGCCAGTCAGAGTGGATACTAGCCAGAATTAACAAATATATTGTTATAAGAAAATGTTCAAAGGCCAGAGTTTTATTACATCAAGAAATAGAATCAGGGTATGAGCAGCTATTGAATATGCTTTTTCTTCTGTATAAGAAATGGTTGCCTTGAAGTGGATTCAGTCTTTAGGATCTACCAGACTCTTCTATGATCTTCCTTTCCTTATAGCACTTTTTGGCTTTTTCATCAGAATGCCAGTTCAAAATTATCTGTTGCCTATGATTATCTTCAGTAACATCAACTGAAAAGATAAATAGTCACAAAGGGAGTCATTGGTATATATGTGTATTTAGAATATGTATTTAAATGGGCATAAGTAAATCTTTGAATAAAATCAGTTATGACTTGCAATATTTAAAAAAAACACTACAGATTCCTTATATGATATATATAAGTTTTTTTTCTTCTTGTTTTCAACTTCAGGCAGCCAATCCTTTTTTCAAGTTATTAACTATGCTTATGGAATTTGCTGGTGGACCTCCAGGAATGCCACCATTTGCATCATATATTCTCCAAAGGATATGGGAGGTAAATGATGCCTATATTAAATACACTCAAAAGATTTGTCATATCTCTATCATATTGAGAGAAAATAACCAGTATAATGTCTATGCTCTAAAGATTATTAGACTAAATTTTTACACTCCTAGACTGGAAATAAGAGTTATTGTCTGGCAGAGAATATAGTACCTTTGGCAGCCTTTTTGCCACAGTTAGTAAATAAAACTAGTAAAACAGTACTCCCCAACCTTTCTGGCTCCACAGACCAGTGGCCGGGGGATAGTATTGTACATGTTTGCCTTCTGCTTTGTGGCTAAGTTCCCTGCCAGTCCACAGACTGAGGGTTGGGGTCAGGGGTGGGTTCTACTTACCTTTACTACCAGTTCGCAATGGGGGCGCGTGCGCATGCATGCACAAAAGCGTTCTGATGACGTCGGGGTCAGTGGGCAGAGCCTCCCACCGGTTTTACTACCGGTTCTATAGAACCAGTGCGAACCGGGGGCAACCCACCACTGGTTGGGGACCCTGCCTGTTTACTAACTCAGCTGTTGATATATAGAGTGCTATCCAATAGTCTTGTTTTTGTTTTATGTTTCATGATGTTTGTCCATTTTCCCAATATTTGTAGGTGATTGAGTACAACCCATCTCAATGTCTGGATTGGCTAGCAGTGCAGACACCACGAAATAAGCTTGCCCACAGTTGGGTCCTGCAGAATATGGAAAACTGGGTAGAACGCTTTCTTTTGGCTCATAACTATCCTAGAGTGAGAACCTGTAAGTTGCTAAGCAGAAAATAATTGGCTTCTTCTTACTTTCCGATAAATAAGTTCATTGTTTATGTGTAAAAATGTGGACATTTTATTTTATTTATGTATTTCCTAATATTATGATAAACAACATTTAAAAGAAAATGAGTGAAATATTTCCAAATATTCATTTCAATATTCAGTATTACCTGCAACAATTTAGAAAGAAAGGAACTGTTTGTTTTTGTGAACAATTTTTTTAATGTTTTTGTGAACAAATTTTAAACAAAAAAACAAATTTTATTTTAAAGTGAATGTGCGCAGCCAAAAAGTCTAGCTGCTTTATTTACCTGTGTATTTATTCTTTTGCAGCTGCAGCCTATCTTCTTGTCTCTCTTATTCCAAGCAATTCATTCCGACAAATGTTCCGATCTACCCGCTCACTCCATATCCCTACTCGAGATCTTCCCCTTAGTCCAGATACTACAGTTGTTCTTCATCAAGTTTATAATGTGTTGCTTGGACTGCTCTCAAGAGCTAAGCTTTATGTTGATGCTGCTGTGCATGGAACTACAAAACTGGTACCCTACTTCAGTTTTATGACTTACTGCTTGATCTCCAAAACAGAAAAACTAATGTTTTCTACTTATTTCATGGATTTGTGGAACCTCTTTCAGCCTAAACTTTCTGAGCCTGCTATTGCTACCAACCATAATAAGCAGGCCCTGCTCTCTTTCTGGTACAATGTCTGCGTTGACTGCCCTGAGAACGTGCGCCTTATTGTGCAGAATCCAGTGGTGACCAAGAACATTGCCTTCAATTACATCCTAGCAGATCACGATGACCAGGATGTGGTGCTTTTTAACCGTGGGATGCTACCTGCCTACTATGGCATTCTGCGGCTATGCTGTGAACAATCCCCCGCATTTACCAGACAGTTGGCTTCTCATCAAAATATCCAGTGGGCATTCAAGAATCTCACACCACATGCCAGCCAATATCCTGGGGTAAGTCAAATTCATACAGAGTGAAAGGCAGAAAGAGATTTTTCAGAGAACAGCATTAAAAGAAAAGCATTTTCAGAGAACAGCAGCAGTTTATGGAAGGACCATTTTTAGGCGGTAGGTGATTGGGAGTATTCACATGAATGAAATGTAAGAAAATAAAACTGTATCTCTTTGCCAGATCAGTTGATAATAGCGAAAATATATTCGGCTCTAATTTAAGCTCAGAAAATTATCAGAAGATCGGCTTAATGGAATTGTGACACTGCTTTCATCCAGTTTACCAGCAGTTCTGTCATTGTCTGATGGCAACTATGGTACAATTAATTTTGTGCCATACTTTTTCTTTATTGCCCCACCATCTTAGTAGAATTGTCAGTTTTTGGGGAGTTCCTCTACAACTGAGATCACTGCCATTCTCCCTTCCTAATGCAGAAGATATGACTGCTGTGAAGGAGGCGAAATATATCTTGAGTTCAAGAAGCAAAACAATTCTTTGCTCTTTTAATAGGAAGAATGGTATAGAAATAAAATAGCTCTTTTATACTAAATATATAAGAAATCCTTATGATATATAAATATATGAGACAGACAGACAAGAGAGAGAAAGAGAGATGATATAAGGGAGGGGTGCTCAGATGGCTCAGCAGTTAAAAGATGCTGAGCTCATCAGCTGCAGAGTGACAGCCCTGGTTCCAGACCTGAGCTCCGCTCAATGGGCTGATCTCCTGTTACTTGCCTCAGCTCCTGCCCACCTAGCAGTTCAAAAGCATGCAAATGCAAGTAGATTAATAGGTGCAAAGGTAACAGTGTTCCATGCCCCTTTGGCATATAACCATGCTGGCTACATGACCACAGAAATTGTCTTTGGACAACATTCTCTCTCAGCCTAGAAATGGAGATGAGCACCATGCCCTAGAGTTGGACACAACTGACAGGGAAACCTTTACATATGATATATAAAATATATACTAAATCCAGTTTTCAGTAATAAACCAGCATAGAGTAAAACCTGGAATTAAGGAACCCCATTTAGTAGATTAAGAATACAGTTGACCAGATTTTCACCCAGATGTGCCCCTGAATTAGTAAGTCAAGAATTCAGATGAAGCAATTACATTTATGTTAATCATATTTTTTATGTGATTTGCAATTTTTTTTTTTTTAATTTGATTTATATGCCGCCCTTCTCCGAAGACTCAGGGCGGCTTACAATGTGCTCAGCAATAGCCTTCATCCTTTTGTATATTTATACAAAGTCAGCTTATTGCCCCCACAAACTGGGTCCTCATTTCACCTACCTTAGAAAGGATGGAAGGCTGAGTCAACCTTGAGCCTTGGCGAGATTCGAACCCTGCAGTAATTGCAGGCAGCTGGTCTTAAGCAGCTTAATAACAGGGTGCCTTAAACCCTTGTACTACCAAGGCTCTTTATGTAACTAACATACCATCATTTAATGAGTCTTCAGGAGCAGTGGACATCTTCCCGAACTGGTCCATTTAAATGAAGATTCCCTGTGTTTATTTGTATTAGTTTGGTCCATTTTTCTTTCAGTTTTAAACATAGTTCAAGTTGCAGAGCTGGAAAAGGAAGTATTCTAGAAAAAAGTAAAAGCTTGAGAGCATGTAAAACCAAGAGTGCATTTTTTTTAAAAAAAAAATGGCAGTATAATATGAATACCTTTGGTATACTGGTTGTCTTTTTAAAGCATTTACCTTATTATAAACAACAACTGGAATTTGGGTTTGTTTGTTTTTTCCAATAAGCCTCATGATATTTCTTCTCTTTATTTAGGCAGTGGAAGAACTATTTAATCTCATGCAACTCTTTGTAGCTCAAAGGCCTGATATGAGAGAGGAAGAACTGGAAGACATTAAGCAATTTAAAAAAACGACTATAAGCTGTTACCTTCGCTGCTTAGATGGACGGTCATGCTGGACTACTTTAATAAGGTATTTCATGTTTGGTGTGTTGATCTAGAATAAAAGTTAGAGTTTAGAGAGTGATTTTAGTGCTTTTCCATGCCTTTTTTTCTTGCAGTATGCTTTGTTGTTGTTGTTCAGTCACTAAGTCATGTCTGACTCTTCACCACCACATGGACTATAGCACACTGGGCTCCTATGTCCTCCACTGTCTCCTGGCTTTTGCTCAAGTTCATATTCATTGCGTTGATGACACTATCTAACCATCTCATTTTCTGCCGTCCCCTTCTCCTTTTGCCTTCAATCTTTCCCAACATCAAGATCTTTTCCAATTAGTCCTCTCTTCTCATTAGGTGGCCGAAGAATTTTAACTTCTGTATCTTCTGTGTCCTTCCAAAGAAGGGACACAGGGTTGATTTCTTTTAGGATTGTCTGATATGATCTCCTTGCAGTCCAAGGAACAAGTCTTGTCTAGCACCACAATTTGAAAGCATCAGTTCTTTGGCACTCAGCCTTCCTTTTGGCCCAACTCTCACAGCAATACATTACTAATAGGAAAACCATAGCTTTGTCTATACCCGTGTGTGCATGTGCAGATGGTGCGGTTGCGCATGCAGCATGGGAGGAGCTGCGTGTTACCACGGATGGCACGTGCAGGGCACGAAGCGTGTTCCTGTTCAGCACTCAATCAATAAAAGGTTTGCCACCACTGGTCTATACAGACCTTTGTCGGCAAGGTGATATCTCTACTTTTTAATATGCTGTCTAGGTATGTCATAGCTTTCCTCCCAAGGAACAAATGTCTTAATTTCATGACTGCAGACAATGTTGGCAGTGGTCTTGGAGCCCAAGAAAATAAAATCTGTCACTGCTTTCATTTTTCCCTGTTCTATTTGCCAGAAAATGATAGGTCCAAACACCATAATCTTAGTTTTTTTTAATGTTGAGTTTCAAGCCAAGTTTTGCACTCTCCTCTTTCACCCTCATCAAGAGGCTCTTTAGTTCCACTTCACTTTCTGCCATGAGGATGGATATCATCTGCATATCTGAGGTTGTTGATATTTCTCCTAGCAAACTTAATTTTGGCTTGTGATTCATCCAGCCCTTTATTTTATATGTTGCACTATAAATTAATTAAGCAGGGTGACAATATACAGCCTTGTTGTATTCCTTCCCTATTTTGAATCAACCAGTTGTTTCTTGTTTGGTTCTAACTGTTGCTTCTTGGCGCATGTACAGATTTCCCAGGAGACAGGTAAGGTGGTCTGGTACTCCCATTTCTTTAAGAACTTGCCACAGTTTATTGTGATTCACACAGTCAAAGGCTTTAGCATAGTCAATGAAGCAGAAGTAATCCAGCAAATGTTGGCAGTTTAATCTCTAATTCCTCTTCACTTCAAAACCCAGTTGGTACTTCTGTTCTCAGTTCACATACTGATGAAGTCTACCATGTAGGATTTTGAGTATAACCTTACTGAAATGAGCACAATTGTATGGTAGTATGAGCATTCGTTGGCATTGCCTTTGTTTGGGATTGAAATGTAAACTGAGCCTTTCCTATCCTGTGGCCATTGTAAAGTTTTCCAAATTTGCTGGCACATTGTGTGCACCTTCACTAGTTTTGTTGTTAGCAATGCTTCCTAAGGCCCACTTGACTTTGCACATCTTTGCAAGATGTCTGGCTCGAAGTCGGCGATCACACCATCATTGTTATTATGTATGTTGAGCTCTTTCTTGTATAGTTCTTCTGTGTATTCTTACCACTTCTTCTTAATCTCTTCTACTTCTGTTAGGTCTGTACCATTTTTGCCCTTTATCGGGCCCATCTTTGCACAAAACATTCCCTTGACAATCTCCAATTTTCTTCAAGAGATGTCTTAGTCGTTGCCATTTTATTGTTTTCCTCTTACTTCTTTGCATTGTGCATTTAAGAAGACCTTATCTCTCCTTACTATTCTCTGAAAATCTGCATTCAATTGGGTATATCTTTCTCTTTCTCCCTTGCCTTTCACTTTCCTTCTTTCCTCAGGTATTTGTAAAGCGTCATCAGACAGTCACTTCACTTTCTTGCATTTCTTTTTGTTTGGGATGCTTTTAGTTGCTGCCTCCTGTACAATGTTATGAACCTCTTTCTATAGTTCTTCAGGCACTCTGTCTACCAGATCTACTCCCTTAAATCTATTCATCACTTCCACTATATATACATATGGTGATATGATACGATTTAGGTCATATCTGAATAGCCTAGTGATTTTCTCTACTTTCTTCAATTTAAACCTGAATTTTGCAATAAGAAGCTCATGATATGAGCCACAGTTGTTAACTTCAGGTCTTGATTTTATTTACTGCATAGAGCTTCTCCATCTTTGGCTGCAAAGTACATAATCAATATGATTTCGGTATTGGCCATCTGGTGAGGTCCATGTGTAGAGTCGTCTCTTGGGTTGTTGGAAAAAACTTTGCTATGGCCAGTGTGTTTTCTTGACAATACACTGTTACCTTTACCCTGCTTCATTTTGTACTCCCAAGATTAATTTGCCTGTTTTCTGGTTATCTTTTGACCTCCTGCTTTAGCATTCCAATCCCTTATAATGAAAATGACTTTTTTTTGGTATTAGTTCTAGAAGGTTTTGTTAGGTCTTCATAGAACTGGTCAGCTTCAGCTTCTTTGGCATCAGTGATTGGGACATAGACTTGGATTGCTGTGATGTTAAATGATTTGTCTTCGATTCGAACTGAGATAATTCTCTTGTTTTTGATATTGTACCCCTAGTACTGCTTTTCCCACTCTTTTATTGACTATGGGGGCTACTCCATTTCTTCTAAGGGATTCACAATAGTAGATTTAATGGTCATCTGAACTAAATTTGCCCATTCCCATCCCCTGATTCCCAAGAAATCAGTGTTCAATCTTGCCATCTCATGTATGACCACATCCACTTTACCTTGATTAATACATTTCAGGTTCCTCTGCAATATTGTTCTTTACAGCATAGGACTTTCTTTTTACCACCAGACACATCCACCACTGAGCGTCCTTTCATTCACTTTTTCTGGAGCTACTTGTAATTGCCCTCCACTCTTCTCCAGTAACATATTGGATACTTTCTGACCTACAGGGCTCATTTTCCGGCATCATATCCTTTAGCCTTTTGATACTGTCCATGGGGTTTTCTTAGCAAGGATACTGGAGTGAGTTACCATTTCTTTCTCCAGTGGACCACATTTTGTCAGAATTCTCCACTGTGACCTATCATCTTGGGTGCCCTGCACGATGTAGCTCATAGCTTCAAGGAACTGTGCAAGCCTCCTCACCATGATAGGGCAGTGATCCATGAAGGATGCAATATGCCACATCTATAGAAAAAATTGTTAATTGTTGGGGACAAAAGGTGTTATAATGTCTGCTGCTGTTAAATAGTTACTAAAATGGGATATTCTTGATATTCCTGTGTGAAGTTTGTAATTGGGAAAGGAAATTTAGCAGCATCTGTATCTCTTGCCACAGGACTTAGCAATACCTTTGTCATATCAGATGCATCAATCCCATTTCTTTAATTATTTGTATTGTCAAGTAAATTTTGTTTGTCACCCACTTCACTGTTTAGCTTTCTAAGTAGCAATAGTAGTTCAGGCCTTCCCACTTCCAAGTTAACATTGCAGAGATCTCACTAAAATATACAGAATTGTTTTTTTCTTGGACATGCCCTTTCTTCCATTATATGTTTTCTTAGTAAGGATAAAAAAAAGTATAGCGATAGTACAAGATCAGATTTGGAAATCCAAACGGTATTTTAATGATGTGCATTCTGTTTAGGATGCAACCACTATGCTCATATTAAGACAGATTTTAACTTTACAATTATTTTTTCTTTACTGTTTTGCTCCAAGTGCCTTCCGAATATTATTAGAAACTGACGAGGATCGGCTTCTTGTCATATTTAACAGAGGCTTAATCCTGATGACTGAGGTAGGAGTATTATTGTTATTTTTTAGCCTTTTGGTGGGTGGGATACTGCAAATAGGGTAGATTAGGATATCTTGTTCATGGAATTCTATCTTTATATGTTAGTAATATGCTATATCATTTTATATATATATATATATATTTGGCAGTCCTTCAATACTCTGCACATGATGTACCATGAAGCCACAGCTTGCCATGTAACTGGAGATCTGGTTGAGCTTCTGTCCATATTTCTTTCCGTCCTCAAATCCACTCGGCCATATCTGCAAAGAAAAGGTTTGGATATTATTTATTAAATATAAGTTTTATTTTTAAAAATAAAACAGATGAGAACCAAAGTATAATTGTCATTATCAATCGGCTGTTTATATGGCAGAGTTGTAAACTATATTAATTTGATTGTATATTTTCAGATGTGAAACAAGCCCTTATCCAATGGCAGGAGCGGATAGAATTTGCCCATAAACTTTTAACTTTGCTAAATTCCTACAGTCCTCCGGAACTTAGAAATGCTTGTATAGGTAAAGTATATTAAATCTAATGCACTTTCTTTGATCTCCGATTATCCATCCATCACATTGAAGATAAAATAGACACTTTTCCATTTCTGTTGTAATTGTGGTCAATAAAGTTAAAGAATAAGGCTTGAATGAATGAATGATTGATTGATTGATTGATTGATTGATTGATTGATTATGTGTCATCAAGTCATTGTCAACATTGATAGTTTCCCCTTTTTTATGGTAATTGTATTTACAATTACAATTATAATAAAAAAAAACCAGATACAAACTAAAAATAATAAAAGAGAAAATAGATTCCATCCATCTGAGGCTAGTTGTCCTCATATTCTCTTTCTTTCTACTTTCCTAGTGTGTTTTTTTTTCTTCCCAGCTTTACTTATACTCACAGCTATGTTACTTCTCAAGAATAATAGTTTATGCACAGGCCCATGTAGCTTTTTGCAATAAGATGGAAGTAGTTTTGCCATCCAGTTGTTACCTTTAATTTCACAGTTTAGTTTACTACCAGAACTGGTAGTTCTGGTGGTCTTCCATTCAAGTACTAATGTTTGACCAAGTTTGGTTAAGAACTGCAGTACTTGGCGTTTGTCCAAAATTAAGGCATAATAGGTAACTGTGTGTTCAATCAGTAGCAACATTCCTTGGTAAACTGTGACTAGAAATATAAATTGGATAACAAAGGTAGTGATTAACAATTTGCCCTACTCACAGGAATAGCTGAAGGCACAAGGCAGGTATTGAACCAGATGTTCTGATTAATCATGAAATGGTCTCTGAGTTGGCATTTAAAGATTCATTTGCAATTACTAAAGCCTATTTATTATCATCACAACTAACAATTTGAGAAAATTATCAAGGAATCCTCCCAAGGAACTTCTAATTCAATACAAGATGCAATGAATAAAGCTTAAGATTTATAGACCAATTATACAATAAAGCAAACAAGACATAGAATGCTATTATTGATTGCAGTATTTCATTTTTGCAAATTGCTATAAAACACTTAAAGTAAGTGGATGATACTAAAGATCAGGTTGGCCGAATAACAGTTCTGTAAATCATGAACAAGATTTTAATGTCATGCCTAAATGATAGCAAATAATTATGGTCTGATCGTGTTTATGTTTTTCCTAGTTTGAATTTGTACTAATGTTTATGAAGAGTTTATTAGAGTGCAGATTTCTCTTTAAGAGTATAATCCTGCTGCCATGAAGCACCACATAAGTCCAATAAATAAATAAATAAATAAATAAATAAATAAATAAATAAATACGAGTCTTTTTCTTTTGCAGATGTTCTCAAGGAACTGGTGCTGTTAAGCCCTCATGATTTTCTGCACACTTTAGTTCCTTTTCTCCAGCATAACCATTGCACATACCATCATAGCAACATACCAAGTATGTATATTCAGATGACAAGGTTATTTATACTTTTATAAAGAAATACTAATTTACAATATAATAAAATTGTTTTGAGATTTACTTTGAGGCAGGAAGTAGTTTGAGAGGTGAGATGGGAAATTCAATTAACTGCAAATAATATGATCAATCTAATTAACCTGAGGCATTCAACTATTGACAGATGCTTTAAATTTATTACTCTTAGATTGATCTTGAGATTGAGAAAGTACTCTTCTCAATCAGAAAAATATATTTTAGGCAGCCTAGAGCAGGGGTGTCAAACTTGCGGCCCGCGGGCCAGATGCGTCACGTGCTGGCCATGCCCACGCCCGGTTTAGCAAAGGAGGAAAAAGTCACGATACATCAAGTGGCGCCGCCGTGATGACACAAGTTTGACACTTCTGGCCCAGAGTGAATTGCATATTGTCAAGGCATTGTTTCTGGATGACAAAATCAACTTTCTATCTAAATAAATAGAGAAAGAGAAGGAGAAAGTCCCCTGATACACAGGTAGTCATCCCTTCTTTTTTCTAAACAGCTGAGATTCGACGGCAAGCTCAAATAATAGTGGAAAGCCAATGGGGAAGCCAGCAGGAAGTCAGAATTTGCGATCACATGCAGCCCTTGCTTAATGATGGCAACTGGGAATGCTCACGCTGGTGCTATGTGGGATGGTCACATGACATCATGCTTTTACAATTGCACTGCTTAGCAATGGAATTTCTGGTCCAAATTGCCATTATAAACTCAGAACTACCTGTAATTTTTTCCATTTTTAGTGGAAAGGGGAATAGGGGCTGGAACTCAGCAAGATAATATGTAGTGTTGCCTTGGGATGAAATGAGTTTTAATTGAGGTTGTTTGTGGGGATGGGGGGTGTTGCTGTTTTTATTGTCTTGTGAACTAGCCAGGGTTAGGGTTAGGGTTACAATATGGAAAGCTCTATCAGACTTTTTGAAATAAATAAATAAAAATAAATAACCACTTGACCTGGAGCTTACTTTAGAATGGTCTAGGTGTGTGTCATTCAGAAAGATAAGGTATTTTCGGCATATGTTCATCTTTTTATCGATTTTAAATGTTTATCGATTTTAAATGTTTCCACATCAAGTACCACATCCTTCCCACAAAAGGAATTGATGCTCAGCAAATGGAATATTGCACTCAAAATCCTAATTACCATATTAGAATCCATGAAATTGAACCATGTCCTATAGAAAATCTGTCCCAGTATCAGCTACACAAATTACATAGATCTGCTATTTTTGTCTGTCCGCGTACAGATTTTGAATGCAAGTGCCAAGGCCTCAAACCTCCTGTGAAGTATTCTCTGCCATTGTATCACATGTGTCTTTTCTCCCTAGAATAATGAGGCTTTGATGGCTGGTGAGATCCATCAGCCAAAGGAACTATTTTAACTGTCATAGTTGCTCAAATTCACATTGCCTTGGGAGAGCTGCCTTAGTATCACTAGATAAAGGGGTTGGATTTTGTTGTACGGTATCATCTTGCATGTGATAAAATGTAATAAAAATAGCAGTTACTGGACAATCTTTTACTACTTTTAACTGGTTTCAGTTCTGTTTTTTATCTTCATTACTCTCATCTTTCTCTCTTGAGCCAATTGCTCTTCTTAAAAATAATTCTATCATATACATGTAAGCAAATATATATAAATCCTCAATTTATAACCATTTGTTTAGTGAGTGTTCAAAGTTCCAATGGCACTGAAAAAAGTGACGACTGGTCCTTGCACTTGCAACTGTTATAGCATCCCCAACGTCACCTGATCAAATTTCAAGTGCTTGACAAATTTGGGCACTTCACAGCAAAAAGGGGTCACAAAATTGGGCATGACTGGCTTAACTACCTTTCCTAAATGGAAATTCTCGTCCAAATTGTGGTTGTAAGTCAAGAGCTGCCTATACTTTACTTACAATTCAGATAATACCACTCTCCATAAGAAAGTTGGAGAGTGGAAAAAGCCTGAAAAGGTAAAAAGCAAAAAAAGGATTGAAGGTAAGGAAACCTTCCACAATCTCATAACTATGAAGGAAGGATCCATATTATATATTGTATATTAACAAGATACTGGCCACTACAGTTACCCTTTCCTAAGCATGTAGGATTGTTTAGCCTAGCATAGTCTGGATTAGGAGGCCCTCATGCCCTTATAACCTCTTATTTAGATTATCATAATACATACTATACAGGGTTGCCCCTGAAAAGCATTTAGAAACTTCAATTGGTGCAGAATGCAATTGCGCTGGTAACAAAGAATACTATTTTGCTCCTTATTCTAAGCTAGCTAGAGAACCTAAACATAATAAAATCTCTGGGTGCGAATCATTGTCTCTGCTATAGAAATAATAGAAGAAAAAGAAGAAAAAAGGGCAGCAAAAGCCTGTAGGTTAAATTTCTACTTGTGTGTCAGGCACAAAACAATTACTTCAAAGCTTTAAAGAGGAAAGGAATAACTATTGTTTGATTATTGGCTGTCTCTTAGGTACCATGAGATAGCAGGGTTCATCCTCTGGGGTAAAAAGCTGGAAGTTGTCTTTTGTCTTCTCCCTGCCTTTTGCTATATGATCCTCAGTCATGCCTTATACAGAATAAATGTCGATTGTTTCAACCTGTGTGATATGAGGAGATGGGAAGAAACTCCTCTTATAGCAGTAGCAATTACATTTCCATGTAGAGTAGCTGTATGAGCAGCAGCCAAACGTAAAAAGTAGATCATGAAGTTAATTGTTTTATGTCTATTTATGGAAGTTTTTCAGAAAAGATTGGTTAGCCATTTGTCTGAAATGGTATAAGGTTTCCTGCCTAAACGGGGTTGGACCCTTCCAACTCTGTTATTCTGTTCTTTCCAGTTGATATTATATTACTTTAAATAAAATAATAGTGGTTATTTGGTTTTGTAAGGAACAAAACATAAAGGGTAAACTATATACCTAATTGCTTTTTAAACTTCAACTTTACTATTTATTCCTGTCTACATTTTCTATTATTTTATTTACCCAAAGAACAAATATTTTTTTAAAAAAATATTATGATAAAAATTACCTTTTTTAGAGGGCAGAGAATCGGGATGGCTACTCCCTGTAAAAAAGGAAATGTACACATTTTGTTAATGCCTCTCCCTTTTCCTTTCCACTACAGTGTCTCTTGGTCCTTATTTCCCATGCCGTGAAAATCTGAAGTTGATAGGAGGCAAAAGTAATATTCGCCCACCTCGCCCTGAACTTAATATGTGCCTTTTGCCTACGATGGTAGAAGCTAACAAGGTATTTATTTATTTTATTTATTTATCAAATCTATATGCCATCCATCTTGACGAAGGCACTCTGGGTGACTAAATATTTAATTAAAATGCACTACAAAACATTAAAACAATAAAAAGGATCTTGAATTTAAAATTCAATTAAAACAAAATATCTATCAGGAAAGTAAATGTTTCCTTTATGTAACATTTGATTAATCAAGGGTATGCCTTGATTGATGAGTCTTAAGAATAATTGTCATGTGGTTGTTGTTGAAGAGGACTGCACTGTTGAATGTATTTGGTTTAATTAATTATATTCATTGGTTTAATTTATCACACATGTAACAAAATTCCAATGGCAGTTTTATTATAGTAGTTTTCATAAGAGAGAAAGAAGAAAAATGCATCTACTTGTCGCTCACATCTTTGATCCCAAAAAATCCCTACAAATACTTTGGGTCCCAGATATGTTCAGTCTTTAAGTGAGAGTGGCAAATAAGAAAATAGTGCATTCTTTTTAACATATTAGGTTTCCTACACATTTATGTAAATTTTAATAATCCCTAAAATTCCCAAGTTCTGTAGCAAATAATTTCTGAACCAAGTTCTGTAGTTTTTTAGCAAGAATTTATCATAATCCTTTGAAAATAGTTCATTTTTCACATTTAAATATTATACTTTTCATATTTTTATTTTATAAACCAAACTTTCCTTAAATCTTCAGGGTAAAGATGAGGTTTATGACCGTATGCTACTAGATTACTTTTTTTCATACCACCAGTTCATCCATCTCTTATGCCGAGTTGCCATCAACTGTGAGAAATTCACAGAAACCTTAGTGAAAATGAGTAAGTATGAATTTGTAGCATGTCTAAAAGATTATTTAACAAGCACATTAGTTCAGAGTTCCTCAAACGTTTTCAGCTCTGTGGACCAGTGGGGGAAGGGGGTAGTTCTGTGTGAGCATTCGGTATGCGCACGTGTGCAGCTCCATTTGTGCAAGCGACATGCATGTGCACCTGCTGCTCACTTAAATGGAATGCTTGAGGATGTGCGCTTCAGCCATTTCTGTGGCCCGGTTGCAAACTTCTCACAGCCTCTAGTGGGCCGTGGCCCACAAGTTGGGGACCCCTGCATTAATTGACAAGGCCTGTTCTTTAGAGCATAGGCCAGTACTTTGCAAGCCTTGTGTCTATGGAAGAATAAATTGCAACATCAGAATTAATAAGTGTTTAATTTTTAAATTCATTCATTTATTTATTTATTTATTTATTTATTTATTTATTGAATTTCTATACCGCCCTTCTCCCGAAGGACTCAGGGCGGTGAACAGATTAAGATTTCATATACATTTAATTTTTTTTTTCAAAAAAAAACCAGTAAATAATAAATTGAGCCAACTTGGTGTATCTGCTAAGATCTTGGCATAGAATTTATATGTTTATGCTAGCCCTGCTTGTTGAAACAGAAAGGTCTTCAGGGCACGTCGGAAAGTGCAAAGATCTGGGATTATTCGTATTCCAGGGGGGTATTTTGTTCCAAAGAGTAGGTGCCCCCACAGAGAAGGCTCTCTCCCTTGGAACTACTAGACGACATTGTTTTAATGATGGTACTATGAGTAGGCCTACTCTGTGAGAGCGTATTGGTTGGTGGGAGGTTATCAGTTGCAGCAGGTGGTCTCATAAGTACTCAGGTCCTAAGCCTTGGAGCACTTTAAAGGTAAGAACCAACACCTTGAAGCGCACTCGGAAGGCCATCGGAAGCCAGTGCAGCTCGTGTAGAAGAGGTGTTACATGTGAGCGCCATGTTGCTCCCATAATTATTCGCGCGTCCGCATTCTGGACCAGTTGGAGCTTCCGGGCGCACTTCAAGGGGAGCCCCATGTAGAGAGCATTGCAGTAGTCAAGTAGGGAAATGAAGATTATATTAACGAATATTTTCTCTTTTATAAAAATTACATGAAAAATTGCTTTATTCAGTTTTCCAACTGATTTGCTAAAATAGCAAATTGGGATTAAATGAATTAGTATCTATCTTTTTAGTAAAAGCCTATGTGTAAATTCAAAGATGTAGAATTTTATTTAAATTGTATTACATTGCTACCTAACTGTAGAATAAACTAGAAAGACAGGGTAATTATTTACACATTTATCTAAGAGTAAAACATGAAAAACAGTGAATTTGAGTAAATATATGCAGGATTTTTATATTTAAATTATTTCTATTTAACACAACATGATTTTTGGTTGGAAATTGGAACAAGGTCATTTGGGTAGTGACTATAGATTTGTTTTATTTTGCAGTTAAACTGTTTGTGCCTTTTAAAATCAATTATTTATTTATGTAACTTGCAACTCCCATCGCAGTTTGTATTGCTCATGATACCTAGTTTTCTTCGTAATTGTGAAGAATTAAACAACTATATTTCTGGCATACCTATATCTTTATAATCTTAAGAACTTAATTGCCTTTTTTTTTTAAATGTAGGTGTTCTTGTTGCATATGAAGGCTTACCTCTTCATCTAGCTTTGTTTCCCAAACTTTGGACTGAGCTTTGTCAAAGTCAGGTAAAATTAATTTATCTCTGAAAGGGATGTTTTTATTTGAAAAGTAAAGGTGTGTGTTTGATCATCATTTAATGACAGATGATGAATAGAGAAAATCCTACCTTCAATTCAGGCTTTCTCTTGCCGCAGACTTAGACTTTTTTCTAAAAGTTGCTGAGATTCTAATAACTCCAAATATAATAGTTTATTGTGAGCAGAAGTTGATTTTAATCAATTTATTATTTTATTAATAAAGGATAGGCTGAAAGATATTGTAGAATTGTTACAGACTGGTGCTCTTAGAAAATTCATTTCCAATGAATGAGTTACGAGTTCATTTCCAATTAATGACTTATGCGTAACATTTCTGTGTAATGAACTGAAATCACATATCCACAATGGATATGTGGAATACGAGTTCTGAAGCTCTGATCTCCTTTCTCTTTTCAGTCTTCTATGTCAAAGAATTGCATCAAGCTCCTGTGTGAAGATCCTGTGTTTGCAGAGTATATTAAATGCATCCTAATGGATGAGAGGACATTTCTTAACAACAACATTGTTTACACTTTCTTAACTCATTTTCTTCTCAAGGTATGAAAAATAGTTCAAGTCAAAGAGAAGCGTGGAAAGGAAAACCTAGCAGCGCTTCCACAAATATACCTCTACGTTTTCATTGCGCTGTTGTCTTAAGTTTTCTAATTTATTTGAAAACGACATTAAGGCAACATTTGACAATTAATCAGTGGAACAGCTTGCCTTCAGAAATCGTGAGCGCTTCATCACTGGAGGGTTTTTTAAAGAAGAGACTGGACAGCCATTTGTTTGAAATGGTAAGGTCTCCTGCCAGAGCAGGGGGCTGGACTAGAAGACCTCCAAGGTCCCTTCCAGCTCTATGCAATTAACTTTCAATTCTATTTACATGGCTGTCCGATATACGTCTTTCATAGGGCTAATAAAGCCATGTTTAATTTTACTTTTTATTGGAACCCTCCACTCAGTCACTTTGGATATTTTAGTTCTGAAACAGCATTGGGAATGTTTTCTGGGACTAGAAGACCTCCAAGGTCCCTTCCAGTTCTTCTATACGTTGATTACGTAGGTCAGAGCTTCAATAGAGATTGGTTTTCCACAGACACCCTTGTTCTTTCAAATTCCACTTCTGTAGTTCGGTTTGCAGTAGGAAATAGTGCTATGATGAGATCATTTCACCGAATTGCAAATTAAGTTTCAGAATCCCTTATTTTACAGGTACAAGGACAAGTGTTTTCCGAAGCAAATTGTGCTGGAATAATCAATAATCTGATTACAAATTTGATCAACCAGTATCAGAATCTGGAATCAGAATTTTCCAATCAGCGAGTTGAAATTTTTAAAGCAAGTTCCACTTTAAATGGGGTAAATAAACTTTATTTTCTCTTCAAATTGTATTGATTTATGTAAAGCATTTTTCTTTCTATTCCTCAGATGAAAATGTTCAAAATGACAATCCTACAGTCACAGGCATACACACACACACACACACACACATATGAAACAAACAAAATTTAGTTACTTACCAAACACATCTAAATTATATTAAAGTAACCCCCCTCTCTCCCCTTTCCCCCCATAATACACACACACACACAAAATTAATTTAGGGCGTGTCAAATTTTCAAACTTTCAATTTCCAAATATTAGGGGTGCTCAAAAGTTAATTGCTACAGTAGTTCTTAGCTTCTGGATAGAACATCCATGCCCAGAGAAATTCAAAAGTATGTGCCTGTGTGTTCCAAGAACAGGTTGCATCCTGAATTATGATGATTATTATTTATTGCATAGTCAGCCAGATGTTTGAACTATATTTGGCATATAAAAATAACACAAAAACATCCAAAAACATAAAATCAGGCAGCCCAGACTAAAATGATCCAAAAAACAACAACATGAAGAAAACAAAACGGGCTTAAATAATAAACATCAATCCCAGGCCAGATGTGCAAAGCTTTCTGGAACTGTAGGAGAGAGGACGCAGTCCTTATCTCTGGGTGAGATACTGTTCTAGAAGGTGAGGGTTGCACTAGAAAATGATAAAAAGTGACAGTGTTTAGTAGAAGGGAATTAGCCAAAATAAAAGCTTTGAAACTAGGCATTTTGAAAAGAGTGGAGAGAATAAAATGGAAACTTAGTTCTAATGCTATTTTTTTGTTAACAGTTAAAACTGTATTTATCAATAATACAGCATATACGTACATACTATCCATTTTCTTCTTTTAATAGTATTAAATAGTAATCCATGTTAATCCAGTAATAGTAATCCATGTTACTTTGTGTTTTTTTAACCTCATTATAATCCTTTTATTTTATTTAACACAAATACATATTTTCAAAAAAAAATAGCATCTATGAATGAACAAATAATTATTGAGGTTATATATTATTGTTCAATATATTAATAAAATGATATTTCATTGTTGTATTATATTTTACCCATTATAATTATAATAAATTATTTATAGTAAAAGATACTGTCATCTCTTTCTCCCATCTGAGCATAACACAATAAAACTACCTAAACATTGTTAGATTTACAGCTGTGACCACCATTGTTAATACTTTCCACTTGCCTTCCTCTTGATTTAAGCTATAAATACAGGATACAGCATAAAAACAGAAGATCCAAAATTTTAAACTGACATGTAAAAAGGAGTCAGAATTTTCTTCTGCAGGAATAAAGATATATGCAATTTCTTTGGTTACTATTTATATAATTTCTACATACACAGAGAGAGCAAATTAATTTATGAAACACAATTTCATTAAATACATTGACTTAAATTTTCTTTTATAGGACCTTCGAGCTCTCACTTTACTGCTTTCTGTGCACACCCCCAAACAGTTGAATCCTGCCCTAATACCTACTTTGCAAGAGCTACTAAACAAATGCAAAACTTGTCAACAGCAAAAAAGCTCATTGCAGGAACAAGAAGCCAAAGAACGAAAAACTAAAGGTTTGTTTTGTTTATTTATTAATCAAATGTATAACCCATCCATCTCACCGTCCAAGTGACTGATGGCAGTCAGTTTACAAGTAAAAAAATTATTTTGGGGATCCTATTTAACTTTTCCTTGATGAATCATGTCTGAAAGTATCTGATTGTTCTGAGAACTATTTAGCTGGAAATATTCTGGGATACCCCCCTATCAAACTGACAAAGTAAGATCAGCAGAGTCTTGCAACAGCTTGAAAACTAAATATTTCTCTGCTTGTTGACAGGAACCCAGTTTATCATGTACATTGAGTAACAAGATGGTGATAATCATCTAAAGCTTGAATGTATATAAAATAACTCTAGCACTGATTAGTTAATTAAACAGATATCTTATTGACAAATGATTGTTAACAAAATTTGGATTGAAATAACTCAGAAATTTTTCATATATCAAGCAGCTGGGAAGCATTTCACTTGGACCTAGAATTTCTTTTATCAGCAAGAATATTTCCTAAGCAGTGTGCTCCAATTAGCTAGCAGGAGGGAGAAATTAGGTTGAAGCTCTCAAACATTTCAAAGCACCTTTGGGAAGAGAGGAGGAAAAATAAATATATAAAAATAATGTAATATTTTTATTCTGCCAGTAAAAATAATTCATTATGACAATTGATATCTGTACTATTTCATCAATATTTATTTTAACTGTACAGATGATGAGGGAGCCACTCCAGTAAAAAGAAGACGGGTTAGCAGTGATGAGGAGCATACAGTAGACAGTTGCATCAGTGATTTGAAAAATGAACCTAGGGAAGCCTTGACTCCAACCAGCACCTCAGATAATGAGACAAGAGACTCCTCCATCATTGACCCAGGCACAGAACAGGACCTGCCTTCCCCTGAAAATAATTCTATTAAGGAGTACCGTATGGAAGTTCCCTCTTCATTTTCTGAAGATATGATGCTAGCTACTCATTCACACCATGGGGAGGAGCAGCTGGGCAGTGGGAGATTTGAAGAATGTAAAGATCTGAAAGAGCCATCAAGCTCCAAGGATTCTCACATTATTGAGGATGATACAGAGTTCCCCTCCACATCTATTTCTGCTGTTCTTTCTGACCTCACAGATTTGAAGAACTCTGAAAGTCAAGCTTCCCAGGACCCTGAGTCTGGCTTATCACTTAGTTGCAGCCATTCCAGAGGACTGTTGAGTCACATGCAGCAGCAACATCAAGACATTTTAGACATCCTTTGCAGGACCATTGAATCAACAATTCATGTGGTTACGAGGATATCTGGCAAAGGAAACCCAGCTGCTTCTTGACAGTAGAGGAGCATGCGTGCTTTTAAAGTCTTTTTTTCTCCCTTTTAAAAATGCTGTTTGTATAAGTTCTGCTTATTTCTGTTTTGTGCTTCAGTTTGTCCAGTGCTTTCTGCTTGAATGGCAAGATGAAATTTATATGCTTAATTGGTCAGGCAGAACTTCAAATTAAAAAAATTATTTTGCATCTACCGTATGTTTTCTTAAAGGGCAATCAAATAATGAATATGTTTATGTAATTCAAAGTTCACTGTGGTGGCTTTCATTTAATATGCCTGTCTTGGAGAGCAGGGACTCTTTGCCCTGTATGATGTAATTGAAATTTAACTGCATTTTTACGGTGTATAATATGGTGTCCTCTGTGCCAGTTTTGTACCTTACAAAAGAGGCAGCTTGCCTCCAATTGCTGTGGTTCTTATTATCAAAATTAAGTTTACTTGTATACTAAACAACCACAAAAAATTGATTCTATAAAGAATCCTCTTTAGCTGTGGCCTGACAGTATACACATACAAATACACACACACACACGAATATATATATATATATATATATATATATATATATATATATATATATATTAGTGCTTTATTTAACAGAATACCTGTGATGAAAATAAAGCACATTTGATGTAAAATTAATTGTTTTATTTTTATTGACATGACCAATTGCTATTCTGTGCACTTCATTAAACTGATTGTGATGACTTTTCATTTGTTTTTATATATGTTGCCTCTGTAGTCCATTATTTCCTTGCCAGAAATAGGAGCTCAGAGAGGTGTGTGCACGCTTCCCAGCTGCTCTCTTCCCTGACATCCATGGACTGTTGAAGAATGGACAGGGCTATTTAGAATATTCTATACTTACCTATATATCCCTGTGAAGTCCCTAGTGAAGCCAGTACTCCTCTGAGTCTCACATGTGGTGATATATTTTACATTTTGGATACTTCTTTTGTCTGTAACTATTTTTTAATAAAGCAATGAATACATCTGAGTGAATGTCAGAGGATGTATCATGCATTCAGAAGAAAAAAATGGAAAATTAATAAAGGATTACAAATACACATTTTACAGGAATTGCATTGTATGTCATCCAACTACATGACAACTTCAAAATGAAAATTAAATATCAGATTATGATAATAGTAAAAGTAGTAGCAGTATATTTAAAATAGGGTTTTCACCCCTATATTGAGCAAATGCAGATAGATTCTGAAGGGGGCTATATAATGTATGTCAGTTCAGTTCACTATACTAGTGGTTAATATGTGCATACCTAAAAGTAAGCATAATTCTATTATTTTAAAAGGTATCCAGATTTGAAGCCAAGAAAATCTTCAGTGAAGATGTAAAAGAGACCAGAAGGAGTGAAATTAGAAGAGGTGCTTTAGCAGCATAATATACCAAAAGTGTTTTAAAGAGTTCTTGAATACTTAAAAAAATATTTGGATATTTATAAATCAAGAGAAAATAGTTATCTTTTTTCTTACCAGAGGAATGGATAAAACGGTAAATAGAGTGCATGAGAGGTTAATGTGCATTTTTAATAAGATTTGTTTAATGCTCTGAATTATTAAAAAAAATCTGTCAAATAAAATTGAATAATAACATCAATGAAAAAATACTTTGTAGTCTTTATTTTAAAAAGCTTAAACTAAATTGGTTTATAATTACACTGTATAAAATAGACATTTTGAATATCAGAAAGTAGTATAATTCATGATTGGTAGCATACCATTAATAAATATTCAGAAGTGTTTGAAATGATAATAATCCTTCACTGATTAAAGGAAAGAAGCATTCAAATAATTAGCCATTCCCTATCCATACATGGAAGAGCGAGGATTATGTCATCAACATTACTAGGCCTGCCCTTTTTCTACCAACTTCATTGGAGATTTTACCTATGATAATGCGTTCTTTATCTTTCCAAGTTCTGTATTTTCTTTTAAAACTACATTTTCACCTGTAATGGCCAAGTGACTACAGCAACAACCAAAAAATATTCCCCCCCCCCCCCCCGGCCCGGCTATTGCCAACAAAAACAATGGGTGAAGCTGTTCTTGGGCGTGTGTGACTGGCAAGACAGCCACTAGCCATGCCTGAGATGAACCATATTTTTCTGCGTAAGTTAAGAGATTTGTTTCAACTTTTCCATTTGCTTTTTAAGTTATCTCCTCTTAGTTCTTCAGTCTGATCATTTGTTAGCTTTGTCAGATCAAAACTAGAATAAGAACTAAAAAAGTCCAGCACTTTCTAAGCTCACTGTAGAGTAAGCAGGGCATCTGCAAATCACAGAGAAGTATATCTCTGCACCTTTTTATCTTAATAACTTGTGAAATCATGCTGTTTCAACACAATGCTGAAAAATGGAGAATTTTTGTTAATACCCAGTTGTAAATAAATGTTAACTGTTTAATACAACTTTAAACAAAAAATTTACTCTGAAATACTACCTTCTGAAATCTTGTCTGTTTACTGCAGCTAACCTGCCCCTGCCCGCCCCTCAACCCTCTGTCCAGAAAAGTAGTCCTAGTTATCTGAAGCTTGTAAAATAACATTCATGTGATAACAGCATGGTTGGTTGGTTGGTTGATTACACACTTTGTAGATCATTGTGTTACAGATTTCTGGGAATGCAGGTAGCTCAGGTTTGCTGTGCATAGTAATTGCGTTCTCTGGGCTTCTCCAGGATTTTAAAGATTTTTTGGGAGAGTTCATAGCAACCAATTAATGGGTGTCTCCCAGGAAGCTGCCTATCACTACCCCGCTGCCCCCCAAATTAAAATTTTACAGAGACTATATATTAGAAGGCAAACCCCACCTTTGAACTGGTGCACTAAGGAACCCTCACTGGGATGGTGCAAATCCTACCCCTCTTGTCTCCCAAAACCAGAGAAACAGTCTGCTAAGTTTGCTGTCTGAAGGAAATTGAAGGAATTTCAGTAAATTTTACAGGTGAGAAGATTAAAGTGCCTGAGCACTAAATGCTTCATTTACCATATTAAATTGTATAGGAATATAAGTATATATAATACATATTTCTCAAATCAAAGCACAAATTTAGATTTACCATAGTGTTGTAAGAGTTTGCCAATTAAAATGTGTTCATTAGAAAAAGATAAACACATGGAGGAGGGGTGTGTGTGTGTGTCTGTGTGTGTGTGTGTGTAAAAGGCTGAAAAATAGAAACTCAATAAATCCAAAAGAAGTGCCAAAAAGAACAAAAATGCACCTCTGAGGTTAACTGGTCAGCTATGTATTATCAAACCAGATAATGAAAACAGTTACACAGTCGATAATTGTACTTCATAACTATCATAGAATTGTTACTTTTGTTTAGCTAAGAAAATACAGATGTGTACACTGTAAATGTATCTCAAGTGGTATTAGACATTACATGAAAAAAGAAGTAAATCTATTTTTAAATTTCCTGTCAAAGTATTAAGTGACTTACTATCACTCTTAGAAATTCCTACCTATAGACATGTCTGTCTTCATGAAACAGAAACACCTCTGTACAATAAATTCTAATTTTATCATGCCCTGTGAGACTGTTTCTATTCATAGCTATTTAGTATCTGGGGGGTGGGGGGTGTTGCTATGTGTCATTAACAGTTTGTTAGGAAATTAATTTCCTCAATTGTTTGTAGAAGTAGAATATGGAATTTATATATTTTTTTTATTATGGACTCTTAAAGAGTCCCACATGAATTCTATACCTGCATAAACCTCTGTTTGAAACCACCTCAAGTTTATCCAATGTTGGCTAACATTCATGCTTTAATATATAATTTTATTAATATTTTATATTTTCTTTTTCTTTGCTAAAATGTAGTTCATAGGACAGTGATGGCTAACCTTTTTGCCGTCGCGTGCCAAAAGGGGGGGAGCACGGGGGGTTGTGCGTGTGCGTGCCCACACCCATAATTCAATGCCCCCCGCGCCCTGCCCTCCCACACATGTGCATGTGCTCCCCCCGCACTCTCCCCGCTTTTGGCACGCGATGGCACGGTTGGCCCATTTTTCACTCTCCCCAGGCTCCAAAGGCTTTCTAGGAGCCTGGGGAGGGCAAAAACAGCCTTCCTCGCCCCCCTGGAGGCCCTCCGGAGGCCAGAAACAGCCCATTTCCTGACTTCTGGTGGGCCCGGAAGGCCCGAAAATCAGCTGGCCGGCACGCACATGTGTGCTGGAGCTGAGCTAGGGCAACGCTCGCGTACTCTCAGATAGGGCTCCGCGTGCCACCTGTGGCACGTGTGCCATAGGTTCGCCATCACGGTCATAGGACATTCATCTAATCAAAGAACAAGTTCAATTGGTGGCAACTCCAAAGTTCGAGCTGTCTCTAAAGCTAAACTCTTCTTCCAAGGCCTAGAAATTGCATTCTAAAAGGTCAATTGAATTTTATTTATTACATTTATTTGCCCCTCATCTCACCACAAGGTGACAATTGAATGTTTCATCTACTACAAGGAATCCTCACATTTCTGTTTTATCAAATATCAGCACAGAAAAAAAATTGTTCAGTAAGGCAAAAACCCATCTATCTCTAGCAAGTGAAAAGGAATAAAGGCCCAGCTGCAACCCATTCTTGGTATTAACATCCCTGAGTGCCTCACTACACTGGCCACGCCCAATTTGCTGCAACTAATTCTGTTTGGTTGCTGTTCTCACCAGACTATGGTATCTTCACCGGTTCTTTAAATTCAGACTTCAGTGCTGGGAAGATTAAGGGTAGATGTTTGAGGTTGATGTCTTATTTTTTGTGGACTGTGATGGTAGAAACATCTTTGATGACGAAGTCCTCTTTATGATCTTTACTTCTTTAGGTCATTTCATGATTACTCAAGTAGATCAGTTTTGGTTCTGTACTATCATTTATGAGAGCTCACTGATTCTGATGGCACCAGACTTATAATACTTATGATACGACTCATATTTCTTGGAGCAGTCTAAGCTGTGGAGAGGCAATAATTCCACACATTCGCTGTTTCTTCAGGTTTTTCTTCGTTTCCACCTCCCAACTGTGCTCCACAACCAAGCATGCAACAGATTCTTAGAATCAGCATACACGGGCAACTTACAATATAATTAATATATAAACAATGCATAAAATTATCATTAAAATATTAGTTTATTTTTTTTAATTATAAAAATAACGTTATAGAATGTCAAAATGTGAAAAATTCCAGTTGTGGGGTTAGCACTTGTCAATACAGGTGGAAGGGAGGTGGTCTTGGTGAAATGGGCAGCCTCACAGTTGTGCAGGCTGTTATTTCTCCCACGTAAGGTCACATAGCCAAGTTTTGCCCTGTTTGCAGGTGGCCGAGATTGGGGGCAGCAGCAGCAAAGTCCTTCTTCCTAGACCCCCACCAGTCAAAATTCTTGACTGATGGGATCGGCAGCATACCTTCTCTGCCTGAACAAACAGGACAGGCTGATGTAGTGGGGCGAAACTGGTTCTGTTGATAGCCTCGTCCTATGCAATGTAGGGATTTATTGGACCCAGAAGCAAACTGGCACCGAGTGCAGTTCACAGAACTAAGTGTTGCATGCGCTCTTCTTTGGGTACCCAGTATGGCTTGCGTGGCTGCATTCTGTATCAGCTGAAGCTTCCGGGCATGAATGTCCAAATGGAGGACCGCACTGTCCAGGCATAACTGGCACACAACACGGAGTAGGGCAAAGGCTCTCCTGGCCACGACTGCCATCTTTTCAAGCAGGAGTTGTGAGTCCAAGAGGAGCCTCAGGTTACTCAATAGGTCTGTCTGATAAACTCCTGGCTACAGAGAGACCCTTCCACAGCCACGCCATTTTACGAGGGTTCAGTTGAAATCTGTTGTGCCCCATCCAGATCCCCACAGCCTCCAGGCACTGCAAGACAACTTTCATTACATCACTCACTTCACCCAAGACCGATATATACAGTATAATTGGGTATCATCAGCGTATTGGTGATACCTTGTCCCATGATGCTGGATGATCTCGCCCAGCAATTTAATGTAGATGTTGAAAAATAACAGAGAGAGTACTGAGCCCTGTGGCACAATACAAAAGGGGTTATGAGCTAGACCACTCGCTCCCTATTACTGTAACACTGATTGGGACCAGCCTCAGAGGAAGGAGGTGAACCAGGACAAAACATACCTAACATTTGAGTTGCGGTCAGCATGGATTCTTGTCCAGTCTTCTTTTGCCAGGTTCATGCTTAAAGAAATTTCTTGACCTCAGCCTTTCACTGCTGCCACTGAGCCATTGCTGCACATTTCACTATGACCTCTTTCTTTCAGACACTGGAATAAACTTATCATGAAGACTTCTGTTGTCTGGAAAGGCTTTGAGGAGGGAGACTCTACATGAAAGTCGGTTTATGCCAGGGGTGTCAAACTCAATTTCATTGAGGGCCACATCAGGGTTATGTTTGACTTCAGGAGGCTGGGTGGGCATGGCCAGTTCAATGCCACTCGTGTCGGGGGCGCCTGTGGTAGCCTGAGCGCTCTGTCATGGAAAACGAGCTCTGTTTTCGCTGGCAGAAGGTTGCAGCCAAAATGGAGTTGGGGAGGGCTGCATGTCGCCCTCCTGAGCTCTGATTTCGCTGGCAGAGGCACCGCAGGCTGGTCCTTCACTGTTTCCAGGGTGGCCCGCAGGGCCGGATCTGGCCCTCAAGCCTTGAGTTTGACACCCCTGGTTTATGCTTTTAATACTTTGCAGTTTAACTTGTCCTAGAGATGTTAGGCACTGTCAAATGTTATTAACGCTAATTAAATGATAGGTCTATACAGAGATTCAGAATAAAAGGATCGGAATATAATTTAAGGCATACATGTAGCACCTGTCATGAACACCTCCAACTATGTGTGTTCTTCTGTAACTGTGTGTTAGTTAGGGAGGAAGCCACACAAGTTCAGAGAAAAGATGCAACTATTTTAAAGTATTTTCAATGGGTGCTCACACATACTTTAAAAGTATGCTTAAGTTAATATATAGAAATTATTTTTTAAAAAAGAAACAAGCTCTTCTTGTAACAAGGTGAGTAAAATGACCCTTGTAAAAAGATCTCAAGCCTAAATTAATTTCACTATACAACTGGGCCAAATAAAAATGAGAATAAAAACCAGATAAAGTACTGTACATTGACAACTATGTTGAGATCACTTCATTTGTTCTTTAATATAATTTTATTAAGATTTTTTATTACAATAATAAAAATTAATACAAAATAAAGAATAGAAAAAGAATAAAAAGTGCAAAAAAGAAAATAAAAGAAAAAAAATGTATTAAAAATCATCACAAGTGTAGTAACTCTTCACTCTCTATAACATTACAAAAAGATACATCTTCATTCCATTTCCCATTCTTTATATATATAAACAACTTCATAAAATAAAGTTTTAAAAATCTCAGCAAAAAATTGATAAAGGATTGTCAGAACTTTGCCCCCCACATCACCCTGCCCTCAATGTCTTAGTTTAACCTGGCTCAGTTGAATTAATTTTATATTCCTTCCTTTTACCTGTAACAATTTTAATCTTTAATTTAATCAAATATTTTTGTAGGATTTCAATTTTCTTCAATTCTTCTTCCTCCCATTACACAGATTTCTTGAAGGTAATCCTCCTTTGTAGATCCAATTTCCAGGTCATTCTTTTGGTTCATCATTTGTATTTCTCTCTCTCTTTTTTTAAATAAGCCACCCAGAGTTACCTCGAGGTAAGATGAGTGGCCTATAAATTTTACAAATAAATAAATAAATAAATCTTCAGCTACTATTTTTGGTATACCATGTAGTGTCCTTATTCAATCATTCTCTCGGTTTGCCATTTGTAGTTCCACTTTTAGTGCTTTTTCTTTCACATAAAATCCATTCCACATTTGTCGTTCCCTTTTTAACACCTTTTGGACATAGCCTATGCATAGAAGTAGGCATCATTACTGACAATGTTGATATTGTATTTACTAATTGCTAGTTCCATTCTTCAAATATCTTCTTTAACGTTTCTGATGTTTATTTTTATTTTATTTTATTTTATTTCGAATTTATATACCTCATCTTCTCCCGAGGGACTCAAGGCGGTGTACAGCCAGATAAAAAACATACAATACAAACATTTATACTTATACAAACATATACTTATACAGTATATATGTTATACTGTTTTGTTTTATTTCTGTAAATTCCAGTACTAACCAACATCAAGAACAGGCTTGTATTTCTTTTCCCCTTCTGGTTGGAATCTTTATTGCCTTCTAAAGTGTCTGTCAGTCATGTAGTCCAATTTCTAAAAGTGTCCAATTTCTAAAATCACAATGTGATTAATTTTTGTTATGATTTAGTGGCCAGGAAAACCAAAATTAATCTATTTATCGTAAGAAGCCATTCTTAGAACTTAATGTTCTTTAAAAGATTCTGCCAGTTATTACAAGATGGCTGATCCTTTCATCTCCTGGTGCTGAAACATTCAGAAAAGTATTGTCCTACAGTCTCTTTGCGAGAAGCAGCTGTCCAGAGTGTATGTAGACAATTTCCCACCTTCTTCTTTGTTTATTAATTTATTATTTTTCACATTTTTAAACTCCCTTCCCCTCCTTATTCAGACAGATTCCAAGGAACCAGGCTACTTCTTCAGTCTTTCTTACAATTGTCAGCTCCGCTTTCACAGAGACATCTTCAGTTCATCATACCTCTTGTGAAAATCTGAGATCAATGCATTTGTGTATATAAACATACATCATACCACTCATCTCAATGTAGTTAAAAAGTAAAGGTTCCCATCAGTCATGTCGGACTCTAGGACACAGTGCTCATCTCTGTTTCTTGGCCAAGGGAACAAGAAATTGTCCAAAGACAATTTCCATGGTTATGTGGCCAGCATGGCTATATTTATTTATTTATTATTTATTTATTTATTGATTTATTTATTTATTTATTTATTTATTTATTTATTTATTTATTTATTTATTTATTATTTATTTATTATCTATCTATCTATCTATCTATCTATCTATCTATCTATCTATCTATCTATCTATCTATCTATCATATTTGTATACCGCCCTACTCCCGAAGGATTCAGGGCGGTGAACAGCCAAAAATAAAATACAAAGACATACAAAAGTTAAAAACTATTTAAAAAACCAGATTAAATAATTTAGGCTCAAAGATTAAAACATCCAATTTATCTAAAAGAGATTTAAAGCCCAATTTAAAAGCCAATTGAAAAGCCAATTGAAAAGAGAGAGTTAGGCCAGACTAGCCTGTTGGAATAAAAACGTTTTTAGGGCACGGCGGAAGATGCGCAAGTCTTGGATCCTCCGCATCTCCAGGGGGAGCCCATTCCAGATGGCAGGTGCCCCCACAGAGAAGGCTCTCCCCCTGGGGGCCGCCAGTCGACATTGTTTGGCCGACGGCACCCCGAGGAGCCCCTCTCTATGGGAGCGAACTGGTCGGTGAGAGGCTACTGGTGGCAGGAGGCGGTCTCGTAAGTACCCTGGTCCTGAGCCATGGAGCGCTCTAAAGGTAGTAACCAAAATCTTGAAGCGCACCCGGAAGACCACCGGGAGCCAGTGCAGCTCGCGCAGGAGGGGGGTAACATGAGAGCGCCACATCGCTCCCATCACTACCCGCGCGGCCGCATTCTGGACCAGTTGGAGCCTCTGGGTGCTTCTCAAGGGGAGCCCCATGTAGAGAGCATTACAATAATCCAGGCGTGAGGTGACAAGGGCGTGAGTGACCGTGCGTAACGAGTCCCGATCCAGAAAGGGACGCAACTGACGAATCAGGCGAACCTGATAAAAAGTCCTCTTGGCCACAGCCGTCATATGCTCTTCTAAAGACAGCCGTGAGTCCAGAAGGACGCCCAAGTTGCGAACCCCAACTGTGGGGGCCAACGACTCGCTTCCAGTAGTCAGCGATGGCGCCAACTGACTATATCGGGACGACGGAAACCACAGCCATTCGGTCTTGGATGGGTTGAACCTGAGTCTGTTCCTCCCCATCCAGATCCGTACGGCCTCCAGGCACCGGGACATCACCTCGAGGGCATCATTGGGGTGGTCTGGGGTAGAGATGTACAGCTGGGTGTCATCAACGTACTGATGGTACTTCACCCCAAAACCACGGATGATCTCACCCAGCGGCTTCACATAAATGTTGAACAGAAGGGGCGAGAGGACCGATCCTTGCGGCACCCCACATACAAGGGGCCTTGGGGTCGACCTCTGCCCTCCTGTCAACACAGATTGCGACCGGTCAGAGAGAAAGGAGGAGAACCACTGTAAAACAGTGCCCCCCACCCCCAACCCTTCCAACCGGTGCAGCATGATATCATAGTCGATGGTATCAAAAGCCGCTGAGAGGTCTAATAGGACCAGGACAGAGGAGCAACCCCTGTCCCGAGCCCTCCAGAGATCATTAACCAATGCGACCAATGCCGTCTCTGTCCTGTACCCGGGCCTGAAGCCCGACTGGAACGGATCTAGATAATTCGATTCATCCAGGTACTGAGGCAGTTGTCATGCAACCACACTCTCAACAACCTTCGCAACAAAGCGAAGGTTGGAGACAGGACGATAATTTGCTAACACATCTGGGTCCAGGGAGGGCTTTTTGAGGAGGGGCCTCACCACCGCCTCTTTCAAGGCGGCGGGAAAGACACCCTCACTCAAAGAAGCATTTATAATCTCCTGGAGCCAGCCTCGCGTCACCTCCCGGGAGGCCAGTACCAACCAGGAGGGACACGGGTCCAATAAACATGTGGTTTATATGCCAAAGGTGCAAAGGAACACTGTTACCTTCCTATCAAAGTGTACCTATTAATCTACTTGCATTTGCATTTTTTTCCAACTGCTAGGTGGGCAGGAGTTGGGGCAAGTAATGGGAGGTCATCCCATTGCACAGAGCTCAGGTCTTGAATTCAAGCTCAGTGTCTTTAACTGTTGAGCCATTGCATCCCCTCTCAATATAGCAGACACTAAAAATTCAAACTCTTAAATGGTGGAAGGAGGAGGGATCCCAGATGAGGGAAAGTGTGGGCAAGCACACACAAATACCAATCATGCAGTTCTCTTATTTCACAAAGTATGGGTAGATCATATACAATAGAATAGCCTCTTCTGTCTACTAGTAGTGATGCTGGTAGGGCTAGCAGGTCTTAGATGTTCTGCATTTGTAAATTAGCAATTACATAATGTCAGCATTAAAACATTTCTCTGTTTATAGGTCAGCTGTTGGGAAACTAAGCAACTCGAGGGATGGATTACAGAGATTGTTTTAATATGGGACAGAGAAGTTATTCAGATTTAACTAATCTGCTTTTGGTGCAATATATTTCTGGATATCTTAACTAGGGGCAAAGAACTAAGTGGCCACCACAAGATATTCTTTGATGGTGGAAACTAGAAATTATTTAATCTTCATTGAATTTCTAAGCAGGTCTTGTTCTTTCCTGGTTACATTTGTTGGCGGTTCCAAGATCCTTACCACACACACACTTCTCTTTTACTGTAGTGATTCAGAAGCAGAAAACATATTAGGCTGTGATCTTGACTTTTAGCATTTTCAGTGTCACAGGTGTAGTTTGTTTTAACCACCTCCATCTAGTTGCCATATATTCTTGGGATACTGCTAGGATGCCAGAGCTTGAGGAAGAGAGTTTCCTATCACCCAGACTTTTTTTAAAAAAATCATCAATTAGATTAGTATATTATGAGGTGCCTGAAGTGAGATCCAGCACATTTAAAGCACCATCTCTATCCCATTTCTATATAGTTCTAAGTATGTGATAAACATTCTTATACACACCTCTTAGAAATGTCATATAAAATAATTAAAGGCTTCATCTGAAGTACCTCTGCTAGGTCCTCAATATTTCCCTAACTAGGTCTGTATCAACCACCATGAAGATTGTATAGATCTTTAGGACACAACATTTGTTTTAACACATAATTTATTTCAGTGCAACAAGAATTCAAGTGAATTTGATAATGAATATTTGTGTAAGTGCCTACTGATACTTTGAATTTTGCTATGAAAAATATCTAAGTAAAAACACAAATATTGTGATGGATTTTGACATACAATACAGCATAAAAACACAGTATTACTGTATGGGGTTAACTTTTGGAAATTATCAACATTTACTTTGGATTTGCTTTTTCCTGAAGTGCATTAAAGTTTAAAAGTTCATTTTGTATATGTCTAGAAATAGGATCTTCATTGTCTATTAGTTCTTTGATATTAATATAGCCCTACCAAATGTAGTTTCTGAATGCTAATTTTCATGGAACTTTTTTGAAAACTTCCAAACAAATAATGTGGCTATCACTCATCCAGTTCAGAATAGCATCATTTCCTACAACTTTCAGGTTTATCCTCTATTACCTTCAGCATTTAATATGATGCCCAGGTATGAAGACCAAATGTGGAGTATTTGTCTCAATGCACAAATCAGATATGTTGTAGTTGTCTACATAATTATGTTGTCTGCTGTTTTTTTCTTTCTAGTTTTACATAATACTATCCATATTTCCTGGATTTTGCAAAATCACAATTGTTTTCATATACTTTATAATAGAAAACTACTCTCCTCATATGATAGACAACATAGCTGCAAGTGGCATGTTGAAATGCACTTTCTGTCTTGGTTTTAGAAGAAAAAAAGTAAATTCTTACGGTCTCAAAAGAAATTAACGTATTTTTAAGCTAAATCCTTTTGAAAAGTTTAATCTCAAAAAAGTTCCTATTTCCCTCTTTTCATATCATTGCTTGAATTATCGAAGTAAATGTAAACCTTAGTAACCACAATTAGAACTGGCAATTCTGTTGCTAATTGCCACAGCAATTCCCCTAAATGAAAATCATAGGATCGGGATGGACTTATGATCTCACTTCCACTGTGGTCATTAAGCAAAGTATCATGTGGATGCAACTTGTGATTTTGCTTCCGGATTCTCCATTAACTTTGCTTGTTGCAAGCCGATTGGGAAGCAAGCAAATGGTAATCATGTGACCACATGATGCGACATTTGTAAATATGCAAAGGTCTTAAATGTGAGGATTGGTTGCAAAGCTTTTTTTAAAACCAGTTCTAACTTCAGTTGCCAAATGAAGTGGTAAGCAAGGATTACCCATAGCTGGGAGAAGTAGCTGCAAAATTTTGATTGATGAGCTGGAAAGGGTCTTTCTTACCTTAAAGCTCTTACAAGGAATCCTGCAGATCAGGGGTGTCAAACTATATTTCTTCGAGGGCTGGATCAGCGTTGTAGTTCTCTGTGGGCTGGTGGGTGGGGAGACGGGACGAATGCCTCCTGCAGCACACTGCTAGCCAAAACAGGGCACGAGGGGCCTGCACATGGCCCCCATGCGGCCCATTTTTCAACCTCCAGCAGCACTCTGCCAGCCAAAAACAAAGGCTGTTTGATATTTCCAGGTTGGCCCTGCAGACCAGATTTACCCACCCCATGGGCTGGATCCAGCCCGCAGGCTTTGAAGTTGAAACCCCTGCTGCAGATGCTTCTGCACAATATTCTTTACAGTGGATGGTTGCAGAAGAGAAATGCTGAGCTAGGACTGCATTTGCTAGCTCTTTAGTCTCCTTCACAATTTATTCTATCTTTATAGCACTTCATAGCATCCATTTCTGCCAAAAGGTATTATTACATTTAAAAGATGGATGACTTCTATTTTTCAGTTTCATATCAAGGAGCAGGTTGACAACTTGAAGCCTTCATACACAAATTATTTCTAAACAAAGATAGAATTTTGCAAAGAGATGTATACATAAGTCAGTTACGAAAAACTTCATAGTTACAAGCATGGATTTTTCCCTTATCATTTGTCATATTTGGCACTTCAGTGCAGAAAAAGACTGCGGGGTTGTCTGTAACTCATAAAATAGTGTGGAGTTTTTTTCTCTTAACTGTATTTTTTTTATTGAAGCATTAAAGAAAGGAAGTTTGGAGAGAAAGCACCTATTAACATGCACACAGTTTCACTGAGAGAGAAAACACTGTAGAGGAAATCTTAAAGGCAGAATAGGAATACGATCAAGATTTTAAACAGGATGCAAAAGCATTACCAACCTTATTTTTATACAACTAAATCATTACAAGTTAGTACTGTTGCCAGATAAAGCACAAAGTATATAAAAAGGCCAGGTTTGACCATTACTAAAAATTGATAGCAAAATATGAAATTCTTAATTTCATTAGCACCACTTTTTCCACCCTCAGTCAAATAAGGGCTTTACATTTTGTTTTGCAGGCTTATAAATGCACCATTGCTTAAGAGAAAATGGTGCATTTACAACTAACTACAAGTGTAAAATGGGTATTAATTCATTAAAACAGAATAATTAACATGGCAGACAGGAATGTCAGTCACTGAAACCTTTCAGAAGAAGCGTGCCCGGATTCTGGAATCCTGGAAGCAGTTGCAGAAGGCAGGAAAGTGCTTTGGCTTCAGCGCAGAAAACCTCTGGGTTTTGTTTTTAAGTTGGGCGGCCTTGACCAAACCGAGCTTTTGCCCTAAATTGATAGAAATACATTAGAAAAATTACAACAGAAGTTAACAGTAACAATTCATCAATTGCCAGGGGTCATTTGCTGCTTTTGCTATACTGAAGATTGTACTACCAAACTAGAAACCGTCAAATATGATCTCTCATTCTTCAATGGAATATTTATTTATTTTTATTTATTTAATTGTTTGTCAACAAGTACAAGGAAGCAAGTGTCAGTATAGACATATACATGGACACCAGTTGTGGGTTGTCCCTGGTTTGGACCGGTTCGCAAGAAAAAAGGTAAGTATAAAGTAAAATTACCACATTGAACCCAATTATTGAAGCTGTAAACTAGTTTCTAAGGAGAATGAAAATCGTATCAGCTCCGAAATTTTAGAGAATGTTATTTAAATATTTATTTATTCATTGAACATATTGGCCACTCATCTTAACAAGGGGCAACTCTGGGAGGCTTACAATATTACAGTGTAGACATACTGCATACAAAAATCTAGCTGCTCTTCTATAAATCTTTATATACCAATTATAAAATTCCTCTTCACTCTCCTTCTCCTAGATACTTAATATTTACCTTATCATTTTTTCAGGGATGTTCTGACGAATATTGACTTGTGCCGCTGCCCTGATCTGAGCTTCAAGTCTTGCATAAATTCCGGCTGCAGACTGAAAGGACAGAAGTCAAATAATCATGTGATTTACAGATTAGTGCTTTATTTCTTACTCTACATAATGAGAGATGGATAGCCTTTGCTAACTGTTTTTTTTTTGTCCCAAGGAGAGACAAGTTAAAAACTGAACTGTAATTATACTGTAATAATACCCAGATTTACTAAACAATGAGAAGAAATCAGTACAGGTAATCCTCAATTTACGGTTGTAATTGAGCCTCGAAATGTTTACATGGTTCACTATATAAGTATGCCTGATATTTACAATCTTTTTGGGGGCAGTTGTTAAGTGAAAGTGTTGATTGTTAAGCAAGCTGGTAATTGTTAGATGAATCCATTTTATCCACCTGCAAACAGCCATGAAGGTGTTGCCAAAAGGCAATTGGACTTTCTTGGTTTTTTTTCCCCTTGAAAAATGTTTTGCTTCTCATCCAAGAAGCTTCTCCAATTCAAAGCACCTTTGGGACAACCATGACCTGAATAATTGAGAACCTCCATAGAAACTAAAATACGGTAAAATCCAGAGAGGCTACTCAAAAGGAGGAGCAAAGGACAACCTAGTTGTGGGTAGTAAATGATGATTTCTTTTAATGTGATGGAAAGACATCCAATATAGCAATGCGACAGTGTCACCAACCAGAGAGGGAGACAAGAAAAGGACTAGACCAAAAGCATCAGGCCGCTCACAGCTGGGAAAACCCCTCAAGGGGATGGGGGGGAAACAAGGAGATACAATCATTATTTTTAGGAATCATTACTATACCCAGCATTCGATGGAGGGTTTACTGGATTATAGAAAGGCAACAAATAATAATTTAAAGGAAAAAAAATCAAATGCATAGCCAAAATACATCAGTGATATTAAATTAGAACAGCAATAAAGCTCACTTCTTTGTTTTCTTTTGATTTTAGACGATCAAGATCTCCCAACCTAATTTTTATTAGATGTCCTGTTATCTCAATCATTCGCCGCTGATCTGAAAAAAAAAAACCACAGAAAAGAAATAGAAGAGCCAGCCCCTACAACCTTTTCACTCTTCAGAGTAGCAATTACTTTATGACAGGAAAATTAAAATGAAATGTAGTAAATGCCAAATAAATAAGTGAATAGCAAACCATATCTAGAAAGATTTAAATGAAGCAATAAGTATTAATATTAAACCCACAGCCCTTTTTCAACAATTATAGTCACAAAAATTGGTAAATCTCTTATATCAGGGGTGTCAGACTCAAGGCCCGCGGGCTGAATCCGGCTCGTGGGGTGCTTAAACCCGGCCTGCAGGACTGGCCTGGAAATATCAAAGTACCGGCCCGTTGGGCCTCTGGAGGCGAAAACGGGCCACGTGCGTCTCCCCACGCCTCGTTTTCACCCTCCATGGCCCCCTGCAGCACTCTGCCAGCTGAAAATGGGCCGGAAAATGGGTCACATGGCCTGTTTTGGCTGGCAGTGTGCTGCAGGAGGCATCCATCCCTTCCCCCCTGGCCTGTGGAGGAGAACTACAGTGCTGATCCAGCCCTCGAAGAAATCCAGTTTGACACCCCTGTCTTATATGTTTCTAGAGATCGATCTAGTAGTAGGTTGCTACCGGTTCTCCACAGATTGGGTGAACCGGTAGCTGTGGCGATGGGAGGCTCCACCCACCTGCCTGGATGCTTCTGTGTATGCACAGAAGTTTCTGGGCATATGCAGAAGTGTCATGCACGCACGCCCACAATCGAACCGGTAGCGACGGGTTTTGAAACCCGCCCCGGATCAATCCATTATTAAAAAGAAAGAATTCACCTTTTCTGAATAACCTAAACAAGGGGCTAGGAAAGGTATTATTAATTTATAATTCTGTCTTAATACCTGAGTAAAATGGGTCTCAATGGCCCAAACCAACAGGTGCATGGGCAATCTTGTGCTGAATGGCAGAACATGAAGTCTAGCCAGTGAGAAATCTTTACTATAAGAGATAGAGAGGTTTTCATTAAAGTAGTTAGTAATGTAAAAAAATCTACTACTGCGCCCACCATTAGAGTAATGAGGACTGTTCCCCCGTCTCTTTGTAGACTAAGAATTTGCTCCTTTGTTTCTAATGTATCTTTCAAAAAGCACATAAAGAATTAGGATAAGGGACCAGAATAATTTAGAACTGCTGTTATGAAGAAAGAGTTAATAACTAGGATTAACTGTGCCAAATATGCTTCCAATGAGTTTTTTTTAAGTTATTCTTTTAACAAATTAAACATAGATACTGACAGGCAAGAAGAACTTTCTTTATAAAGTGGATTTTCAAACATCTTTTAAATATTGAAAGAAAGGACAAAGACTATACCTCAAGGTTTACATTAAAGTGTGTTTGTTGTAAACTGAAATAAATTAAGATTGCACAAATTAAAGTAAGATAATTTAAAAATAATTTTTCTATTTGTCACATTAAAAAATCATTTGGAGAGTTTCTGAGGCCGATCCTCAAGACTCTGAAGAATACATACAGCTGAGGGCTGCAGATTATTTATTTATTTTATTTTGTTTATTTGGAAAATTTTATTGCTGCCTACTTGCTCACAGGCTCAAGGCAGTTTATGGGAAATAAAAACACAATGTAAAAGAAATAATAATAATAATAATAATAATAATAATAATAATAATAATAATAATAATAATAATAATAATGTTTATTCATATCTTACGGGAGTATTCACTGATATTAAGATGTTTCATGGACAGCAGAAAGATTTAATTTCTATCTCACAGAATCTTGGACATTTACACATTTATGCAGGCATGGAACATCACTAGCATTAGTTTATCTATTAAAGTCACAGAAGCTAAGCAGGTACACCTTACCTTCTTCTCTTTGAGCATCTTGATTGAATCTTAGTGATCTGGAAGGATCCCACTTACTCTGCTGCATACTCATTCTAATGAAAAAGCAGATAAGCCATGACAAAACATAGAAGCAAGCAATCAGTCATATTCTTTCTAGAATAATTCAGGGCACTATTGGGTCTGTTTCAAAAGGGACAATTATCTGCCATTGCAGAACTCAGAGGAACTGGATAATTTTAGGGCAGGTTGTGAAGTTGGCTTGCAGCTCCAGAGGAATCAGATAATTAGGATCATTCCATGGGCTTCAGATCTGGCTACAGCATTAAGATAGCACTGCTTACCGGTACATTGGGCACTTGGCAACCAGCAATATTTGTGATGTTTGAATCTTAGTGATCTGGAAGGATCCCACTTACTCTGCTGCATACTCATAATGTCATACCCAGAGTCATTTGTTCAAATGGGCGGCTATATAAATAATAAAATACTAGAGTTTGCTTTAATAGATTTCCTCTAAATTTTAGCCAATACTTACATAAAGGGAGATGTGTCCCGAGAGTTAGGCTGTCAAATAAAAGAAAAAAGGAATACACTAAAAAAGATATTAAGAAAAATCTTTGATCAACTTTTCTTTACTTAAACTATGCAAGCTACTAACCATGGAGGATTTCCCCTGGAGATACTTGATTTTAGGCTCAGAGGAACAACAAACAACCCTAAGTACCGGTAGTTACGAAGTCAGATTTTATATCTACTAACAAAACTAATGATGGAAAGAAGGCATAGCTAACCTCATTATGACTAGTTCTTCTCATTTAATTATTGAGACCTAAGTCTTATTCTAGATCCATCAAACAGAAAGGCCTATTTTAAACTAATTTTTCCAGGGTTGGGCTGAAAATAAAATCAAAGTTGTTGCTACTTTCAGCGAATAACAAAAAGTTATTTTTTATCATTTTTAAAATCATCTTATTTATTTTTATTTATTTTTAATTTGATTTATATGCCGCCCTTCTCCGGAGACTCAGGGAGGCTTACAATGCGTTAAGCAATAAGCAATTTTAATATTTTACACATTTCAGATTTACCTTCTCCAATGTTTTTTCCTTCTTTTGAATATTAGGTGAAGATACTTGCTTTTTGGGATTTCTGATAATTTTTTTGAGCCTCTCTTTTCTTCCTGTTAATTAAAAATAGTGTACACAAATGATCAGTATATACCATATTAGGCTCACTTCATTTGTCATATTCAAATACACAACAATGAATTTAAACAGTTGGGAATCTGTATGTTTGTTTCTTTAAGTACAGCATGCCAGAGTGATATTCTGAATAGGGACAGATTGACATTTGGTGTTTCTAGATAATTAAAATGAAGCTGCATGCCTACACAAAGTGGCTTTCATTATCAGAATAGAGAGAGAGAGAGAAAGATTCTATAATGCAAGAAAGAAAAATACAAAACAGTAATACTGAATTAGTAAACATATAATCTTATATAAGATCCGATATTGAGATGGCTCCAGAGTAATTAACACCTGCTCTTTGCCTATTTTTCTTTTCATTTGGGGGCTTTTTATAATTTTAAAGTTTTAAATAATAATATTCATACTTATTTGATTGTTTTGTTTTATGCTTTGTTGTATGCTGCCCATTCATTTGTTTGCGACATGGGGGGCCATATAAACATGACAAATGGATGAATGCATACAATAATGAATACATATTAAAGTTCTATGGGGTATACTGATTTTTGAAGGTATTTTTCACTTTCTTACATCAATCTTTATTTAGTGATTAGCCCTTGGGCCATATCAAAGTGGAGAGCTCCAGAAACAATTATTACAAAAGTTTGGTAGAAACAATTTAAAATGAAATTGGAATAGGAATAAAACACAATTTAAAATGAAAATAGAGTAAAATACAATCTAGAATGAAATCAGAATAGAATACAATAATTTGAGATACAAATTTAAATATGATTAAAATTATATTACAATATCACCCCTTCATCTACCCAATCAGTCTTAAAACTACTATTAGAATTACATTATTAAATCAAGTGATCTTTCCTGCAATCTACCACATTCTGCTGCACCAACTTTGTTCTTTTTTCCATCAATTTTACAGCAAATTTGGCAATCCATTTCACCAGCTGCAAGTTAGAATCTAACAAACAATGTTGCAAGAAGCACTCTTTCAACTTAGGGGTGCTGGTGTAAAAGATCCTGCCCAGTTGATGTTCCCTCAAATCTGAGTAAAGGGGGCAGTCAAAAATTACATGGGACATTGTTTCAACTTCCCCCTTTCCACATAAACAGACTCTTTCACTTACAGGGATACCCTTATACCTACCCCAAAGCATGTTTGTTTGAAGTTGGTCTAATCTCAATTTGGTAAAAAATCTCCTTATGACGGGAAACAAAGGCACAGTTAAATATTTTTCTATTTTAAAAATTTGTTTATTGGCCAATAACCAGGGGCAAACTTTTACTGCTGTCACCTGTGCAATATCCGATTGTGCACTTATGTCCTTAAATCTCTGTGCAATCCAATTTCAGATCTGCCTATGATCATACTGCTGCCAATTTAAAGGAATACCAGAGCTAGATACCTGCTTCAGAACTCTTGATAACCAATTATTTTTATTACTTGAAATAATCTGATCCATTAGCGCTAGCTTTGGTAATCTCCCTTCCTCCATCTCGATTATTCTTAACCAATAATAAACGGTCTTCAGCATGGCCCTAGTGCCAATCGCATGGACTCCCGTTTCTGCCCTTACATCCCTAAGTGTTATCATATTTCATATTACAGCCAGGAAAAAAATACCTGCTTTCCTGGACACTTCTTCTTCATCACCTACTTCATCCTCTGTGACTTCAGATCCAGTTGTGTATTCATCATCTTCTGAAAGCAGCAACTGTTGTTTCTATTATAGCCAGGGGACAGGAAGGAAATTAATGGATACTACTCTTCTCCATACAACAATAGATGGCTAGGTAACAGGATTTACACAATAAACTAAAAAGAGAAACTGGTTGGTTTAAAATTGAATTTTCTGCGCTTGTCATCTGGTATATGTGTTTGAAAATTATTCCCTATATGAGCCTTAAGGAATCTTGGACGTGTGCATTACCCACTGAGATCTAGGTTTCACTTTCTACCATATCTGAATTTTAAAAATTCTAATTTTCCCACCTTGATTATGATGGAATGGAAGTAGTATGGAGAATGTATGCTATATTATCTATTCCCCTAGCTCCCATAAACACTCCAACAGTCTCATTCCATACTAGTTGAAGTTCCCAAACTAGCATTTTAAAAAATGGTTCTTTGCAGTGCATTAAATAGTCATTAAATAGGGCAGGAATGGCAGGTTTTCTTGTTAATAGTACTTTCTCATTTGAATTAAAAAATATTTTTTTTCCCATCACCAATCCCAGACACATCTTCAACTTATATAACTTTTAGGATTAGTAGATCAAATGAAAGAGCTTCATGAGATTCTTATATTGATACTTTGGACTAAAACATATATATGCTGAAAAACTGGGGAGACAACAAAGAACTTTAGAACATCACCATTCTGCAGAAACTGCAGAAACTCCAAGGAGTAGCCAGTCAAAATGATGGTTAGCCTCTAATAAGTTTACTGCTCTCAGGGAGCTGCATGACACTGGAATCTGGGGTGAGAATAATCAGACATTCAGACAAAAACACTGCCCGTTTATTCTATACATGTCACATAATGGCAGGAAACTATTGTGAGGATTATCTGTTGCACTGTTGGTTGCAGTTTGTCAATTTAGATGAAACAGAGAAGGCAACCCTCTCTTGCCTAGGAGTCCAATGAGCGGAACTGCTGATGATTCATTCTCATATGGGGTGCCACAAGGGTCGGTCCTCTCGCCCCTTTTGTTCAACATTTATGTAAAGCCGCTGGGTGAGATCATCCGTGGCTTCGGGGTGGAGTTCCATCAGTACGCTGATGACACCCAGCTGTACATCTCCACCCCAGGCCACCCCAACGATGCCCTTGAAGTGATGTCCCAGTGCCTGGAGGCCGTGCGGGCCTGGATGGGGAGAAACAGGCTCCAACTCAACCCCTCCAAGACCGAGTGGCTGTGGCTTCCAGCGTCCCGATATAGCCAGCTGACGCCATCGCTGGCTATTGGGGGCGAATTACTCGCCCCCACGGAGAGGGCTCGCAACTTGGGCGTCCTCCTGGACGCACGGCTGTCTCTAGAAGATCATTTGACGGCCGTGGCCAGGGGGGCTTTTTATCAGGTTCGCCTGATACGCCAGTTGCGCCCCTTTCTAGATCAGGACTCTCTACGCACAGTCACTCAGGCACTAGTCACTTCCCGCCTGGACTACTGCAATGCTCTCTACATGGGGCTCCCCCTGGGGTGCACCCGGAGGCTCCAGCTGGTCCAGAACGCGGCCGCGTGGGGGATTATGGGGGCGACGAGGCGCTCCCATGTGACACCTCTCCTGCGCGAGCTGCACTGGCTCCCGGTGGTCTTCCGGGTGCACTTCAAGGTGTTGGTGACCACCTTTAAAGCGCTCCATGGCTTAGGGCCGGGGTACTTACGAGACTGCCTTCTGCCACCAATAGCCTCCCACCGGCCAGTACGCTCGCACAGAGTGGGCCTCCTCAGGGTGCCGTCCGCCAGACAATGTCGGCTGGCGACCCCCAGGGGGAGAGCCTTCTCTGTGACGGCGCCCACCCTCTGGAACAACCTTCCCCCAGAGTTACGGATAATAACAGACCTCCAGATTTTTCGTCGGGCCCTGAAAACTTATTTATTTCAACTAGCTGGGCTGGCTTGAGCTAAATTTTAAATTGATTTTAAATTGGGTTGTTTTAATTACGGCCAAAATATTTAATTATTTTAATACTGTTTTTAAATTTTGTATGCTCTGTTTTTACTTAGGCTGTGCACCGCCCTGAGTCCTATTGGAGAAGGGCGGTATAGAAATTTAATTAAATAAATAAATAAATAAATATGACTTGTGTTTCTTATTCTTTTAGATTCTGCCTAGCAAAACATTTATTTACCTATGCATTCACCTATTTTAGAACAGCTCTCATATCAAAAAGAAAAAAGACTCTCTCTTCTTGCATTACAAATCACAACTCAGCCCAAATATAGTAGATTAAGTGGGGCCCCATTTTCTTTTCTAGTAGGAGTTACAATTGAGCTGCAAAATCATGATTTGCACCACGAAGTGCTCAGGTCATGGTTGACAACAATAACCTACTAAAATTCAATGAAATTATAAGGGTAAGATGTAAAACTGCCTCCTTGAGCTCCTGAATGAAAATCAGGATAAAACTTAATTAATAAATAAATACAAAAGGAAAAAGGAAAAAAAAACCAAAGAAAGAGAAGAACAACACCAATAAACATTCAAGTATAAGCCACTGCAGCCATTGAAATTGCAGAAACTACCTTGTAGACTAGAGCACTTGGGATGGTGTGAAGGAGATGCTTTAAAGCTGAACCAGCAACTTTCCAAATAATGTTCTGACTCTAACCTTTCTGGCCAAAAACTTATTACCATATTTCTATCCTAATATTTGCTGAAGATAGTGGTTTAAGTTAAGTTTCAAAGGGGTTTCCTTGAAAGCAGGACCCTAGTATAACAAAGCCACTAAACATGCAGAAAACTGAAAAGATAAATCTAATGGAATGTACTAACTAAGATAAACATACCAGCTGAAGAGTCCAGTTTTTCAGAGAAAGGAACTAAAGAAAGGGGAAAAAAAGAAAACCAGAACAGAAGTGAGAATTGGAGAGTGTGGCAAGTCTACTGTGAGCATTTTTAAAGGGGTCTAATGCAAACACAAAGGGCAATTCTCCTGTTACAATGCAAAAGAACGGTAATGATTCAGGCATCCCCTCCCCCCCAAAAGGAGTGGTTTACATCAGCAGTGCTGGAAAATGCTAGGATATAATAACAACTCAAAAAAATTCAAAATCATAATTTGCTGCATTAAATTATTATTTGAAAGTTCCTCTTGAGCAGGATTTTGTTCTTTGGTACAAAGTCATCTCAAGATGTAAAGTACACAAGGAAGCAATATTTTTCAAAATACAAACTAACATTTTTTCTTACTTTATCAACCAAATAATATCACAATCATATCTGCACCGGTGATAATAGAGAGTCACCATGCATAGAGTGATCGAATTATTTTTCCGCCTCTGGCAATTTGATGTTTCATGAATGTGCTTAGTGCTCTTGTGCTTCACTCATCTTTTCAAAGTCTACTTTAATGAATTATTCTCCTTTTCAAGCAAGCCTTCATTACATCTAACATAGTAAAGCTTCTGTGAAGGCAGCTAATGAAGGCAGAAGACAGAGTGTGGGAAGGGAACAGAGGGCACTCATTCATATGTAACCGGTTTGATATTGCACAATAACCAATTTCTTTAGCCCAAACACCTGGGTCTCAGCAGCTTTCCCTCTTTGGAAAGAACTTGGCTAACCTGGGATGAAAAGCAGATACCGCTAGGCATCTATGCATCACGCTTGCATCCAATTTACTGGTCTGGCAGAAAGAATTTCCCATACATACTGTACTTACACATTCCCCTAAAGACACCAAGGTCAATGTGCTTCTCTTGAAGGACAAGTGATACAACTTAATGGAAATTTAAATATAGGGGGGAGGGGAAACCAAAATTACTCACAGCATTAATTTCTCCTGCTTTGGGTCCCCATGACGAATTTGGCTCCAGTAAAATATTATATTCAAAACCCTTCTCATCATTCAGCCCTATTCCAGAATTGCTTCAAAAAACAAAAAGAAACAGCTATGTTATTCTAGTCAGAATTCTGCAGGCAGATGACTATCCAGAACAGAACATATTTTTTAAAATGGCAAAATATTAAATCAGCAGACAAACACGATGCTTTATTATGCACAATAATGTTGATTCTAGAGAAGGTTATTTAACTGATGGCATACATCTAGAAATTATTTTAGATAGATAAATTGTAACATATATCTATTTTCTTACCTGTTCTGGTCTTTTGAAAAGGGCAGAACAATAATATTTCGATGCTGAATCAGATCATTCAGTATTTTAGCTGTCTGATAGGGTACATTATCCCCACCTTCACCTCCAGGAGGCAAGCCAATCACATGATCTCTTACTTTACATCCCTTTTATTAAAAAAGAACCGAGTGTAAAAGCCAATAAGACAAATTAAATAATACATAATTATAATGTAGACAATAACACAATCTTTACAAACAAAAGTGATTTTGGCACAATGGTTATAACACTTGTTGTAACATGTGTTCTTTTTGGAAGCCAGTATAATGTAGTGGTTAATCTGTTGGACTATGAATGAGGAAAGTGAACTCAGCTTCTGTGTGTGTATGTGCGCATGCAGGGGGGATGGAGTCAAAGGGGGCAGAATGCTGAAAATAGCAGTGCAACATCATAATGCAATCTTGCCCCCTTTTTATGTATGTGCTGTTACATTGTACTCATCTATCAACTGATGTAGAACTGATGACATGATATCACCTTTATTGTTTTGACAAAAGCAGACAGATTCTGTGGAGATCCATGTTCCAAGTTCTAGCCCCCCACCCCCCGCCACAGAAGATTAGTGAGTGCCTCTCAGCTCCCCTCAAAGGCTTGTTGTTGTGGAAAAGTAGGCCTTGTACTGTATTTAGGTATCTGTGCATTATTGATTTATTGATTTATTTATTATTTTATTGATTTATTTTGCCACCCATCTCTTTGCGAACTCTGGGCACTTGCAGCACGAAAACTTTAAAATCATCGGAGACAAATACTCCTAGCCCAGTAAAAAGAAAGTACCATCAAAGTAAAATCATAGTTATAAGATGGGGAAGGAGAAGGCCAGATTTTTGGGGAGGGGGGGCTCTTAATTAACCACCTCCATTGAGATACTCCCCTGTTGTGGGGCCATTGGTCTGGGCATATTAGGTAAAGGTAAAGGTTCCCCTCGGGGATATGTGCTCGTTGTTCCCAACTCTAGGGAGCGCTGTTCATCTCCGTTTCAAAGCCGAAGACCCAGCACTGTCCGAAGATGTCTCCGTGGTCATGTGGCTGGCATGACTAAATGCCAAAGGCGCACGGAACACTGTTACCTTCCCACCAAAGGTGGTCCCTATTTTGCTACTTGCATTTTTTACGTGCTTTCAAATTGCTAGGTTGGCAGAAGCTGGGACAAGTAATGGGAGCTCACCTCATTACGTGGCACTAGGGATTCGAACTGCTGAACTGCCGACCTTTCGATCGACAAGCTCAGCGTCTTAGCCACTGAGCCACCGCCTCCCACCTGGGCATATTAAATAAAAGTAAATATTAATGCTAATGGTTTAAAAATCATTCAGTGAACCATGCCTCATTACAAGTCATAGTAAAACACAAAAAAGTAAACACATAGACCAAATTTGCATACTGTGGTTGGATGGCATTCATATAAATAAATCTACAGTAGCTCATTAAAAGGGCAACAAAGCCTTGGGACTGGAATGGAGATTGAGGATATAAATTGGTTAAAAACTATGTGGCAGGATGATTTTAAAAGATTTCTTCCAAATACATACTTTTGGAATAGGAGCCGGATCAAATCTAAGAACTTTTTGGTTACAGCAGGGATATATTCCGGTACCAGTGGAACCAAGAGAACTTGCTACACCAGGATAGAGGACTGGTTGAGGATGATATTGGCAGTGTGAAAATTCAGTGCACAGGAAAGTCTGCAAGAGACACCCAATAGCAACAAACATATATATTATCACTATTACCATTCCTGAAGTCTTTTTTTTTTTTTGCTTAAAAAGAAGAGAAAGCTGCAAATCAGACTGGACTCTATGATACATTGTTCTTAAAAATGAATATTTCTTCAAAAATGCTACTGTATAAATTTTAAGACAACTAAAAATATAATGAGGGGGCTAAAACAACACTCACTTGATTACACCTTGTACAGATCAACCAATTAATAGTTCCCCAAAGACGCCAGTATACATCTCGCCATGATTTTAATTCTTCAAAAAGACTCAGGAGATACTCATGGATATCCCAAGATTTATCTCTATAGAGAAAAATGAGCAGCCATTTTAGAGAAATTAGCTTTTAATTCTGACTTGCACAGGTTAAAAAAAATGTAATTCTTTTTGCTTTCACCTTTTGAGTGATTCTCATTGTGCTAATTTAATGATTGGCAATGTTTCATACATCTCACCTGTGTTCTGCTAACATCACCATTTTGTGTTGATTGCTACAGGGTAGGGAGAAAAGTATAAACTCTGAATAGAGTTTAAGTTCTAATAACCTCATTGGCATATCCATATTTATTTGACAACAACATGGAAGCAGTTTACCACTGCTTCCTTCCAAGAAATTGTTTTGAATAAAGCCTTGGCATTTCTTCATTGTCTCCCATCCAAATAGTAACCCAAGTGTGACCCTGCTTACCTTTTGTTTTCAGTCAAAGTAAATTATATATTTGAGACAGTAACAGGGATTGCATTGATCTGCTAAATTATTTTGTTAATAAATCTCTATTTCAAAAGTCATTGTTCCCTAGCCATTGTTCCCTAGAACACCTGGTTAAAACTGGAATAATAGACGGAGTGTAGTTTATAAACTAAAACTTTTCTACAGCATATGTTAAAAGAAGTCAAGATAAAAATACAAAAAATGCAAAATGACGTGTGAAGCACCTTATGTGAATATAGAGTATATTTCCATATTGATCCACATTAATCTTTCCAGGAATACATGGGATTTTTCTTTCAGTATCCTTAATAAGAAGTTTCTTACATAAGTAACACCTGCACAAAAAACAAAAATATGAGAATGATATTACAAAACTGCAATGAGCTATGGAACATATGTCAAGGTAGTGCAAAGCAATGGAGAGCTGTATACCTGTAAAGGGTTGCAGCATTTCCCTTAGAATCTGCATTCTGATACTCTGGATCAAACAGTCTTTCTATCTTCTTACAAAAAAGTTTGCTATTAGTTACAAAAGAAAAAGACTCATAAAAATGAATTATCATTTTTCATTCACATTCTAAATGTTACATTACAAACAGAAGAAAAGTGCTTATAATATTGCAGCATTTTTTTAAAAAAATTGTTGCAGTGATTCGGGTTCCTTGCATGGTATTTTGCTCTTTCCTGTATTTAGTTCTTAATTCTTGATAGAGAGAATAAACTGAACTCGGTTACATAGATTATACTGTTCTGATAGAGCAAGGAATTTGCCCAGGCAGTTCTGAATATTAGCTGAGAACTAAAGAGTAACTCTGCCATATTCAAAGGATTTGAAATTGCCATCACAACAAAATTCACAAGCAGGCAATGAAAGTCCCTTCAATAGTTAATACAATTTGGTAGGGAGATGGCTACTCACAAACTCAAATAAATTCTTAGCCATTTGAACTTTAGCTCAAACAGATTCCTAACCATTTGAACTCAATACAATTTTTGTTAGTTTGAGTATGATAGGAAGAAGGCCACTGTGAAAGTGAAAAACAAAATCCCGACAGCCTCCTCGGTAACTTTTTTCAAGCTAATACCTTCTATCTCAATCTCTTTTCAGGTCTTAGTTTCTTTGATAATTTTTACTGACTTGGAGAAAGTCTAGTAATACTATTCCACTTTTTCAGAATCCTATGAAAGTATGATGCCCAGAACTAATCACAATTAATACATTAATAGTTTCTCAGGCTTGGTACATTTGGTGATTGTGCTATATCCAAGGACAGGACATTTTTATTTACTAATTGATCTAATTTCTATGATTTTGTTGAAGCTCAAACTTTGTTCTGGGAGCTATCATAATTAACTAAATACTGGTCTCAATTGTGCAATTAGTAATATTTCTTTCAAACTAATGATAATATGAATACAAAAGGAAAGGAGACAATGGTAAGGTTTTTTTTTTGCTCAGAAAGTACCTCTTAAATTTATCTCTCTTGTCCTTCACCTCTTCTACTTCATTATGTGTGAATAGATCAGTTATGCGGGTTAGTAGGTTAGCATTAATGCAGTTCATATTGCATGGCGTGGCTACAATTGTACTCATATTCTTGTGGCAATAATTAATACATTTTTCTACCTAAAAAACATAAACATAACTCACTTACTACTGAATAGTCATACAAATATTTCTCACAGCATTTTCATATTCCAAGAAAAGCATTAGGACAATCCAATGACCAGAGGAAATGAATCACTCAGACACTTTTACATACAGAGATTCAAATACTTACTGTTATCTATTAAGGTTGGAATGGAGTTGGGGAAGAACCTGCTGGATTGATCAGTCTGGGGCTAGGAGTGGGTGGAGCAATTCCTATCTTTTTCTGATGTGTATGAACATGCAGACAAGAAACATTTTTCGTAGTTTATGCAAAATTTGGATTTGATGGTAACTACCAGTCAAATAATTTAATTTTCCCATTATCTATGAAATATGTAATTAGCAAGATGACCAGTTCTCTAAAAATAGGAATACTGCACATTCTTTTCTATTTTTTAAAAAAGATGGCAGTTAAAAGTTTGGAGGGACTTCTCTAAGAAAGCAGCTTTAAATATTCCATACATTTCCATTTCCTGCTCTCTATTGTACTTATATGATTTCCAAGTCAAATCAAGTTCAAGAATGCTTAACAAACAACAGACCCTTCTATCTATCAGGAAATAGAATGAATTAGTTCTCTTTTTCCATTTCCATTTTCCATCCTCTATGAGGTACATCCAACTTGAATGAAAGAAAACTCAAGCTCAACCAAGAGAGCCTGATTATCTGATGCCATTTCTTTGAATACTGCTTCCTGAACTACTGTTTCCCTCCAACTTGAGCAATACTTTGGGACTGCAAAAATCCAGACAATAATTAGCAGGGTGTTAAGAGCTTTCTGTATTCCTACACCACTGGCTAATTTTTTTGCTAGTTCAAGCATGGAAATCTTCTCAAGTTTTATGTATGTGCAATGAGCAATGAACACAGAAATTACTAGCAGACGACAAAATCTATTGTTGCTTGGGTTGTTGCTGGATGGGATGTGGTCCTACAAACTGGGATTTTTTTTTTCTTTGTGTCTGGGATACTTCTCCCAAAACTAGTACTGGCCCCAGCCCAGCAATCCCAGTAAGTTTGGTCATTCTTAACAATGGCAAAGATTTTGTACTACACTAATTAATCTTTGAAGATAACTTGCATACAATTGGACATTCATATAGCCTTATTTTTACAGCATTTCAACAGGCATGAAGCTAATTATTTTGGATGATAACATGTCCCACCTCCAAATCTAAACTAGTTTTTAAGCACCTTTTCAAATAACTCTAATTATACATTTGTAAGTAAAAACATAACAATATTGCAAGACAGGGACATGCATATAAAGGATTAATATATTGTCATTTTTGCTTAGCAAATGTTTGGAAAATACAGTCTACATTTTTAAGAGTTTAGAAATTAAGGCAAATCACGATCTTTTTAAAGGTTCTATAAACTTCTGCAGTTCCTGCTTTAGGAAATATCACAGAGAGACTCATCAAGAAAGATTTAATGTTAAATTAAGCTTCTTGCTTAAACCAGCTGGATTAATTGTGCACCATCAAGCTGGTGTTGGTTCTCAGCAATCACATAGATTTTCTCCATAAAAGCCAACATGAGGCATTTCTAATACCAAATATTATTTGATTTGGAATAAAAAGATTTAAGTTTTAAAAAGAAGATATGGAGAAAAAAAGAAGATATCTATAAGCAATTTGTAGCCATTAGCAAAGATCTATTGTACATGACCATAATTTCTCCTGGGTAATGCTGTGTAACTCCCAAAACTGTAATGGAATAACAAGTATAATGGGATTTCAGACCACACAGATCAGCTCTGTGAGCTCTATGTTCTCATTCTAGATGAATTTAGAACACCAAAAATACAGAATGCTTATTGCTATAGTATACTCACTAAAGAATCCATCTTCAGGAATTCAGAGGAAATAAGTATTGAAATGACATTGCTTGGTTCTAAAAAAAAAACGAACAAGATAACAAATTGAAAAGTTATTATATTTACAAATATTGCAAGATAGTCAAAAATCAAAGGAAACATTATAAAAGATGTCTTGCTTCAGAAAATCCACATTCTATAAAAATGGAATAAGAGAAAGTTTGGAGATTTATTTTGGGCCCTTTTATCAACTACCTTGACCTTGTATTATGCTTGTATAATTTAGATTTTTCCATTCTACTTACATCTATATCTAAATAATTAAACTGCTTAATAATTTAAGGCTAAATAATTATTTGCTTCTTACTAATTTTTATCCTAATTGCAGTCAGAAATATTGTAGAGTTTTACAGTTCACATTATTATGAAAAAGCAAGCCCCACAATACAAAGAAACTAAAGAAACTATCTCAAACCAAGATTCAGAATTTAAATCCTGAAGTTTTAAATGTGTTATACAAACACATTCACAGTGTAGAATTTTGAGTTTCAAGCTATCAATCTCTCTTTTTTTGAAAACAAAATTGTCTGTTTTCAGAGAGGAATGGGCTCTCAATATTGAAAGCTGAGTTGAACAGAAGACCAGTTTCAAATTTCCATATATCTAACCTCAGTCCCTTATAAATTAGACAGTATGAAAGCGCATTCAGTTTTTAAAAATGTTTACACTTTAGATCAGATATAAAACTGGATCAGAAACACATTTGAAAACAAAGCAATATTATGGAAAGCCCAATTTCCCCACAAATACCTGTAATTTTGATACTAACATTGCTAACCTAGCATATTATTTTCCACCCTGGAAATAAATCTTTCATGATCTAAAAATAGTTGTGCTTCCTCCTTTAAGGAAAGGAAAGATCTGGAAAGGAAAGGAAAGATCTGGTTTTAAACTGGGCATGGGCAATCTTTATATAGCCAGAACTCTTACAGATGATTATGGTGATGAGAAAGGCTCTGAGAGCCATGGGAGTGATTTGGTGAGATCATCTAGAGGATCAGAACTAAAACTGGTTGTTTGTTCTGTTTAAGGAATGGGGGTGGGAACTGCTGTTGGGTCTTTTTTGACAAAATGGTTGTTAAGCTTAGAAGAAATATAACACATGCATTTTAACCTTTTTTTAAGGTTAGAATACTGCTCCCAAAAATTTGTAGTGCAATGATACAAGACGTGAGAAACCAAGGAAAAATGGGGCCTGTGGATAGCATGCTCCCTTCTATTGCCTACCCTTAGTTTCAATTAAATAAACTGTGTTTACTACACTATGCAAACTTTAACATGTGCTATACAGAACATAAGTGAGAACTAACAACTACTTGAACAATATTTTTTAAAAAGATAAAAAATGCTAAAATGCTAAAAATTGTTTGATTATGTCAGAATCACATTAATACGTCAGAATCACATTAATACCATGAATTTCAGTGAAGGGAAAGCTGAGTGTATACTTAAATCTTCTACTGATTTCTCCTGGAATTAATCTTGATTGATGGTATCAAGAGTGTTCTACCCAATCAAGGAACCACCAAAACTATTTCTACCAACACTGACAGGGCAAACCGCTGGTATATAAAAAGAGAGCAAACCCCACTCTCTAACTAGCACTGATGATGTTACCTAGTTTGATAATGAAATGTCTGCAAGGAAACAATCAAGCTCAGAGAGCAGCAAGGACCGCTTGTTACCCGTCCCTAGCACTCCCTAGCATTTATCTATTTACATACATAAATACACACACAGAGACACACACAGACATATAGAGATGTGTATATATATATATAAACAAACTTTCTCCTCCTAAAATAGGGGCAGATATTTTTCACCATTGAGGCTATCATTATCAATTTTTCACATTCTGTCTTTTAAAAAGGTTATATATAAGTAGTAACCTTTAGAAACCAGACTTTAAAATAGGGTACTTAGAAAGTTCTGCATCAATTTTTAGTATCTTTGATATCCTTCATCCTAAACATTTGCATCAAATCCATGCACTAATTTAGATTAGATTAGTTATGGAGTAAACCAGAACATATCAAGTCATTACCACATTTCTGGATCAAATCCCAAATTTGATTGGGTGGTTTCTGTATACAGAGTGCAAAATAACAGGGCCATAATTTTTTCTCAAAAGGAAACTGTGAATCTATGCATGAGAATGAAGGAGGTTAAATGGGAATCCCCAACTTCTTAACCACTGTTAACAAATTAAATTGTGTAGCACTTGTACTACACTAATTTTGTAAGACATGAATCCCATTAAACTTTATACCTTATTTCAGCTTTCCTTGTTAGTATAGATTAGGCTTTCATCATCAAAAGCAGAACAGGAAAGGAAAATCACCTTTCAAAGCCATATTTGCAATCAGATTTTTGATCTGATGTAGGAGTCAGGTTTTCAAAAAATTTGTGGCAAAAATGAATATATTTTCTTTTACCTAAGGTGGGTATTTCATCAACCTCATATTCCTTAGTGTTCCTTTTAACATATCTTATCAACCAGTTAAAGATGTGAACGTCACAGTGAACTGAAATGTCCACTTCTTCCCAGCGTTGGGCATCCATTGATAGATATTCGGCAAAGTACTTCATTTCAGAAATCAATAGATCTCGTGGGCAAACAAAATCTTCCTTCAGATTTTTTGCTTCATCACACACATGGATCACCATATTTGGCCTTTATTTAAGAGGGAAAAATCATAGGGAGGAATATTATTTTCATTATCTGGAATATTAGAATAATTTGTGAACATTATTGTTCAATTTTAAATTTAGGTACAATTTTACTGTTATGGAAATGTATTTTCTTAGATGTATGCATTAATTGTTTGTATAATATTTTCATGAGACAAAAACATAGATTTTCAAGTTATAATGATATTTTAATGTATGAAAAAAGTTAAGGAACACTAAAGTAGGAAAAGGATAATTGAATACTAAAATATAGTTGGCTTAGTAGACCAGTGAGCTGGGTAAACATGCATTTAAAGCACACTGTAGCTATGTTTGATAAGAAGCAATAAAAGAATCCCACATAATTATGGAGATGTGTAAAATACATCATTACTGGGAAACAGATCAGTATAGCTTCTTTCAATTTCTCCAAAGTAAAATTAAGCAAAGTGAAACATTTATGAACATGCTTAATTTGCTTATGTTCTTTTTTAATTATTTGTTTTTTTATTTAACATAAAAATTCAATTTCAATCAAACAGTGTGTTGTCTGGGTACAATTATTTTTAGGAAATCATAATCAAAATGTTTACATTAGTATTCATTACAATAATATTAATTCTATAATAATGATATTTTACTCTCAACTTTAACAAATCTCCTTTATAACACTGGTCCTTTTTATATCCCGATATTTCTAACTTCTGTTTTTATTATCTAAATTTTCTAAATTTGCTTATGTTCTGTGTGCCTCAAGACACAATAGCAGATAATGCATGCAGACCTGTTATTCGCATACAAATATTTTGCCCAAACAGAAATATATAAACACAGTTGCATTCAATACTAGTAGTTCACTGAACTGCTCTTAAGAACTAGCAAGGATCTGCTAGGAGCAAAACTCCAAACAGCATTTGGAAAAGTCAGGCAGGATGGCCATGCTTGGGTCCTATTGTCTGGGATTCAAGGAATGCCAGTTGGTGAGGCCAAGAAGGTGATTTTATTTCTGTCATAACTCCTGCTTTTTGTTACATTTTCCCTCCCTCTAGAGATCAGGACGGCCCTAACCCTACTCGCTTTTCCTTAAAGGTCCTTAAAAATGCAGCTCCATGTCCAGGCCAGGACCTCAAGTGTACGCAGGGACCTGATTTTTAGTTATTTTAGTAATTATGTTTGATTTATTCTTGGCTGCTATGTATTTTAATTCTTGTATTATTGTCATTGTTTTTATTTTCTTTTTAATTTTATCGCTCACAATTACGGTACTTGTTGAAATGGGCGGCCATACTAACTAGCTAGCTAGCTAAATAAATAAATAAATAAATAAATAAGTAAATAATAGAACTAGGTGTGTAGTCTGGATTTTCATTTTCTCTACTACTGGACACATTTTTTATGCTATCTATTCATTTCCTTCGAAAATTAAAAAATGCCAAAAATATTGTTTGTCTCAAACCCATCCATGGAGCTTTATTGATGAGTGGGAATTTGAATCTACGTTCGCACAATTCTAATCCAATAGGGTTAACAACTAGCTTAATCTCTATTAGATTCCATTGAAGACTGTCTTCTGAAGACAAAAAGCACAAGAAATTGCTGCTTTTAGTCCTTTATTAATTACAAACATGTTTTTAAAAAATTACATCTAGCTAAAGTTATCTTGCTTATCTACTCTATGATTTTTAAAGAAATTCCTATATACAGATTTTTATTTATTTATACTGGTGTGAAAAGCAGAAAAGAAAGAAAGAAGAAAAGAAAGGTAGGAAAAAAGATACCCAAAGTCTCATCCTCTATGCAGATGAATGAAGAAGACCTGGGGGACAGTGAATGTTTGTCACACACTGGAACTTTCACTCCTAGCAAAACTCATTTGGTTAGAAGGAAAAGTTCCAAGGCTTATAAGACCTATTTGCTTTTTACAAACACAATGATAAGGTATTTTTTTTCCTAGATAATTTGTCACAGAACTCCTAAATACTGCAGACCATTTTTGGATATTTCCTCTTAGATAAAATCTGTACCCAAGCAAAGGGAGGCTCGGTATAAATCTGTTGGCAACTACAATACATTGACTCCTTGAGAAAACTGAGTTTTGAAGAGAAAGGTTTCAAAGACTCACTGAATAAAGATGAAAGAGAAAGCTGGTACTGATGCTTTTCAAGTTCACTGTGGAATCAGGAGCAAGAGTCTTTTCGCAACTGAAACTTCCCTTATTGAAAAATGACATACAGGAATCCCATAATTCCATTTGCCAAGATAATCCAGAGAAACAGTATTCCTGTCACGCTGGACTAAACATTTACTTCTCCAACTCTATTCCCCTATAATCTAATACTGTTTTACTAAATCATAAAACACATTATAATTATGTGATTATTAAGGCATCCAGAATTAGAATGTTTGCAAAACTGTAATTAATTGGAAAGGCTACGATACTGTCATCTGTAATATTTTTAGACCTGATCAAATTTATTTTTCACATGGAACACATATTTTGAATGGTTTTTTTTCCTTTAGCAAGTCAATGCTCCCCCACAAAACTCCCAATCCCTCCCTCTGAAATTCCATAAAATATAGAGAAGTATATAAGTACCCAGCAAAAAGACTAAGGTTAATCTAGCTGTTTAAAATGAAACAGCCATCTTCCTACCCTTCAGTTTCATCAGCATTTTCTCCACCTTTAAGTGCAGGGCATTTTTCACTTTCTGAAGAACAATTCCTTGAGGAAGCTATACTTGACTTTCCTTAAATACAAGTGGGGAGAAAAAGCATTAGGTCATAATGTTGAGATGTGTACTTCTCATGTGTGGTAAGCAGTGTTCCATAGTCAAAGGAATGATGTGATAGTTATTTAAATTTTAAAAGAATACTTTTAATGCATTTTCAGGGGGAAAAAAGTCTTTTTAAAAAAAAATTAATACAATCCAAGTAGAAGAAAAGTAAATGGGCAAATCTTTTTAATCTCAGAGTTTATTTGCACTTGCAAGAGAGAAGAAAAATCAGCAAAACTCCATGTACCACTATAAAGTACATGTTGTCTAATATGCTTCATGGGAAAGTAAGTGCAAATGTGCTTAAACAAATATACCACTTCTGAATTATGCATAACATAATGGTCAATGTAATGTGGCAGTTATTTCTGCCCTTGTCAAATACTTCCTTCTTTGCCAATTCCTTGTTAAAATACAAATGAACATTTTTTAAAAAAATCCACTGGAGTGTGCCTGTGTTTTTCTTATTTAACATAGTGCTTCTAATTCAAAAAAAATAAAATAAATGATAATACTAAATCTCTGATTATCGACAGGACAGGTAAAATAGGATTGCTGTAGATTCCCAGTAAGTTATGCATAAAACAAATCCCTGAAAAGAACAGCACTCAATACCAATAACTCTTCATCTATGTCAGGGGTGTCAAACTCGCGGCCCGCAGGCCAGATGTGTCAGATGTGTCATGGGCTGGCCATGCCCATGCCTGGAAGAAAAAGTCATGATACATCACGGGACGACGCGAGTTTGACACCCCTGATCTATGTTATTTGTATCACAGATTTGTCTACATGTTAATATCCTAAAGAGATATGTAATCAGTTTTTGTCTGGTAAATTCTAATTTGCAGACTCTTTCCCTCTCACTTACATAAATCAGCAGGTTTCAGGAGGAGATAAATGATTTTGACACATAATTCTTATGTAGAATCTTTCTTTTCTCAGTTTTCACTGTCTCATCACACAGTTGTTTATAGAACACGCTTCCATTTATCTCCTTCACACTATATATTGTTTTCACTTGCACACTTTCACTCATTCTGCTCTCTAGTTGTGCCTTATTTTTCTAGACCTACGCATATGCTATTTGTGTAAGACTTCATCACCTGATATATATACCACCGAATATATTCAATGACAGTATTTTTGAAATGGTCTCTGAGCACCTTGCATAGTGCTTAGCACCTAGCATTATCTTGAGCAGCAATGGTATCAGTTGCCTTTTCTCAGCCATCCCCGAGAACATCTGAAAGTTTGTCTTCAAACTCTAAGCATTGTACTACAGGTAGTAGTCATTTAATTACCATTTGTTTAGTGACTGTTTGAAGTTGCAATGGAGTTGAAAAAATGACTTAGGACTGCTCCTTACATTTAAACCATTGCAGCATTCCTGTGGTCACGTATTCATGATCTGGACACTTGGCAACTAGTTCACATATACAACAGTTGCAGCACTCTGTAGTAAGGTGATTGCCATTTGCAACTTTCCCAGATGGCTTCTGACAGGAAGAATCAATGGGGAAGCCATTAGGATGTCACTAGTCAGTCTCATGTGATTTCTGAGCAAACAATAAAATTGGGTGTGGTTACATGATGCCTTACTTAACAACTGCACTGCTTAATGATAAATTTTCCCTACTGCAATCCTAAATTGAGGCCTATCTCTATATTACATACCTACTGTATATGCCTTAAATTCTTGGTAGGTTCCTTGTATGGTTTATACAGCTTCCTTGGTTTATAGACTATAAATTGGTTGGCAACATTCCTGGAAAGCACCATTTTTTTAAAAAAATGCTGATAAAGGGTTAATTACAGCTTGGTTCATACAAGTTTCATAAAGCAAAATAACTTCAGCCTGTAAGAAATAATTTGTATGGTTCTGTCCAATACATAACAGAAGTATGATATACTTTTGAGGCCTAATTGTTTTAACTACTTTTAAGGGTAGTTACCCAAGAAGTCAAGTTTTTTTGACTTCTTTGTTTGGTAGAAAATGGATATACATTTTAAGAAATCCAACATTAATTTAAAAAGTCCATTCTGGTTTAATCTGAAAAGTGATACATAGTTGATACATATATATTGATATATATTGATATATATATAAGTGATATATAGATTGACAAAAACAATCTTTATCAACAGGAGAAAAATAACATGCATAATTCTATAAACACAAGAGCAGAACTGATTAAAGCCTACCATTTAAAGAAATTGGATCATTTTCACTAGAGGGTTCTTGTAACTCATCCTGAGTATCAAGAAGTGATGATTTAATATAACCAGCTAGTGTTTCCACAGGTTTCGCACCACTGGCCATTAGTGGATTGAACTGGTTATCCACTGGAGAACTTCCATTGCTTTTCAGCTCATCAAACCTTTTTGCACACTGTCAAAATATAGTAGAGAAAACTATATTTAGTTAGACATCTTACCTTGCCTAGGTTGCTGAGATTAATAACATAATAGAAATCCCCCTGAATCAGGCCAAGATCCATACTGTTTTGTTTCTCACAACCAGATGCTTCTGAGATAATCTCAAGCAAGAAATGGAGACTAATCCTTCTCCTGTTATTGTTTTGCTCTAATTAATATTTAGAACACGGTTGTCCATGTTTGACTTGCCTGGGTCACAATGAGTCAAGAGGAATTGTCTTGGATGGCATAAAAATATATATAATATAGTTTATGTCTATAAATAACAAACTTCCTTTAAAAAAATATTTTTACTATCTGCATATGGCCTATGGACCACAGATTGGACATGGCTGATTTAAAGATACTCAACCTAGATATAACAAAGTTTTCAAGGGGGAAAAAAACAGTTCATAAATGTTTTTCCATGAATTTATTCAATCCTCTTTTAAATGTATGTAAATTAGTGTGTTTCATCTTGTGGCAAAGAATTTTATAGGTTAAGTATCCTAAGGCCAAAAAAAAAAGTTACCTATTTTTTTCCTGGTCCAATTTTCCTTTCAATAAACTTTATTAGATAATTCCTGATCTTAATATTCTGAGAGAGGGAGAAAATTTACCCCTATATGTGCTTTTTATGCAGTTTATGATTTTATATACTCAATTATCTTTCTTTTTTAAAATTAATTTTTATAAAATAAGTTTTTGGCAAAGTAAAAACAATAGGAATTTAAAGGAAAAAAGGAAAAGAAAGTAAAAGAAAAGTGACGAATAGTTAGAAATTTTTTAAAAAAGAGAAAAAAGGAAAAAAGATGTACTTTCCAATATCCTTTACAGCAGTTATAATGCGTGTGTACTGTATTCTCTCTTTACACCAGAGGTCCCCAACCTTTTGGGCATTAGGGACTGATTCTGTGGAGAGAGTGTTTTCCATGGACCTGAGGTGGGGGTTCGTGTGCTGCCTGCATTCTGCGGATGGGGCTTTGCTTGCTTGCGTGGACCCGTTCCTGGACGCTGCGGTCCAGTCCCAGTCCACGGACCGGGGGTTGGGGATCCCTGCTTTACACTTATTCCATGGCTCCCTTCTTTCTATATTCTACCCTTTTTAATCATCAAGCCCATAAATTTCAACTACCTGTATTTTAAGCTAAAGGCCCAAATAATTCAGAGAGTTTCTCCTAAAAAAAGATGTTTAAGCTCTCTGATCATATTACTTGCCTTCTTCTGAAATTTTTCCTGTTTACAACATGGATAGTTTAGTTAGAGGTTTGTCTTTAGGGAGCTGCTGCGTGCCTGAGAGTAGGTTCCTGAGGTAGGATTGGAGTGCTGCCTTCATGTCCTGGCTTCAGTGAAGTAAATTGCCCATATAACAGGCAGGCAAAATGCGGGCATGATCAGGTGCTGGTGGAAAAACACACACTGTGGAAAGAGGTTGGTAAAAAAACTGCAGTGGGGGGAGCAGGAGATGAGGGGCGGGACAAGAGGTTTTGCCCATCAGAGGAAAGGCTTTGCTTAATTCTCCAAACAGAAATTCTTCTGAAAGAAATGTGCGAGTGACCTACTTAGCATACAACTGATCTCTCAGTTGTATTCATAAGCCATAACAGAAATTTGAAAAGCTACATTTAAACAATTTTGTATTATAGTTTATTATGACTGAAATCACCATGATTAGGATATAGCAATTTGTTAAATCAGGAAAATATATGAACTGTGATTAAGATAATAACTAGTATACAGAATATGCTAAAATAGCAAAACTAACATGAAACATTGTTCTAGAGCAGAGGTGTCAAACTGGCAGCCCGTGGGCCAGATGCGTCACGCATGGCTCATGCCCACCCCAGCTCCACGAAGGGAAAAAACCGTCTAATACATCACATGATGGCAACATGACGGGGTGGGTTTGACACCGTGTTCTAGAGCATCATACTTTGCCAACAATTCAAAGTATAAATTCTGAAAATACATTCAGGGTAAGCAACCTTTAGTATCACAACAGTTAACATATCATAACATCCTGACAACTTCTCCAAAGGCTTGAACATATATAAAGGTAGTCCTCAATATATGACCATAATTGAGCCTACAGTTACAGTTGTAAGTTGTTGCAGTTGTAAATCAAGGCATCAGGTGATGTGAATTTTATGATTTTTTTTGTGGTGGTCATTAGGCGAATGCTATGATCATTAAGTAAATCTATTTTCCCCAATGGGTGTTTTTTGCAGTGAACTGGAAGTGCTGGAAACTAGGGAAAAAATATTCACAATTCATGGTCACATGAACACAGGATGCTGCAAATACCTGTAAAGGTGAACCAATATCCAAGTGCCCAAAATGTGATCACGTGATTGTGGAATATATGATAGTAACTGTAACTCTGAAAATGGTTGTAAATAGCTCTGGGGAGGTTTGTTATAACTTCGGAAGATTGTTATGCAATTGGTCATAAGTCAAGGACTACTTGTACATAGATAAGATTTCCATCCCATCATAATCTAGTCAGATGCTTGACAACTTACAAATAAGATAAAACACAAAACATCAAAAATTCTCAAAAATTTGAGAATTGGATGGAGTTGTGGACTAGACCCATGATGGCGAACCTATGGTACGTGTGCCACAGATGGCATGCAGAACCATATCGGTGGGCACGCAAGAATTGCCTTAGCTCAGCTCCAGCGTGCCACCCAACTGATTTTCGGGCCTTCCAGGCCGACCGGAAGTCAGGAAACAGGCTGTTTCTGGCCTCCGGAGGGCCTCCGGGGTGGGGGTGGGGGTGGGGAAGGCCCGTTTTTCACTCTCCCCAGGCTCCAGAGGCTTTCTAGGAGCCATATCGGTGGGCATGCAAGCGTTGCCCTAGCTCAGCTCCAGCGCATATGCGCACGCTAGCCAACTGATTTTCGGGCCTTCTGGTCCCACCGGAAGTTGGCAAACGGGCAGTTTCCAGCCTCTGGAGGGGTGGGGAAGGTCCTAGAAAGCCTCTGGAGCCTGGGGAGGGTGAAAAATGGGCCTACCTGGCCCACCGTGTCATTGCATGCCAAAAGCGGGGGAGCGCAGAGGGGTCATGCGCGCATGTGTGGGGCGCATTGAATCATGGGTGTAGGCAAGCATGTGCGCAATCCCCCCGATTTTGGCACGCAATGGCAAAAAGCTTAGCCATCATTGGACTAGGCTAACACTGGACATAGTATTAAGCCATGATTTGTTTATTAGGCATAATGGTTGACCTCATCCTTAACTTTAAGCCATAATCTATGTTTTAAAAATAACAATAGCTAGATACATTTCAGATTAAACCACCAACTAATAAGACACATTATAGCATAAAATGATTTTGAGCTCAACTATATTATAGGAATAGGATATCAAGGAAAAATGGGTCCTACTGCAAATTTTTCCTTAGCACAGTAAAATTGAACAGGAATACCTGATATGAAAAACAGAAAGATAAACCTCTACCTATCATTTTGCATTTCACAGCATTTATGTCCAAGGAAGGGTGTGTCATATATGTGCATAGGAGATGTATTTGTGTGCAAGTGTGTATGTCTCATTGTCAAAACTTTTAACTGGGTGAAACAATGCAACATAGGACAACAGTATTGAACTAAGATATCTCAAATTGGCTAACTGACAGAATGTGTCCAAAATATGGGACCTATGATCCTGGGGGCATGAAATTTGGGGAGGTTATGGCTGCTTTACTGTTACTGGCTGCTACTGCATTGCTGGCTATTGCTGTAGTCATGTGGTCTTCTTTTTCAACATTCTGTGACAGTTTCCCAGCCAATGTTGCAATCCCTTGTTCCCAGCAGCAGGCACTTCCCTGCCAGGCACCCAGCAGCAGGCACTTCCCTGGAAGGAAGGAAGGAAGGAAGGAAGGAAGGAAGGAAGGAAGGGGAGGATTTCTAATGTTCTCTGCCAGATTCCTATATAGAAACTCACAGGAGGTCAGCAGGAAATCAGAAGTTCGTCCTGTTCCCACTGTTTCTCCCCCACTCTTAGTTATCGTTTTATATTTATATATATTTGAATGAAGTTATTATTAAGGTGACAAGTGGCTTGTGTAATTTTGATTTAATCTGCTATCTTTGTTTCTAATGTAAATGATTGTATACTTCTATAGCTGAAAATGATCATAAAATTTGTATAGCCACCCATCTCACAAAAATAAACTTTTGACAATATTAAACATACCCTGAACTGCAAAGAATAAATATTTTTCCTCTCTTGTCTTAAACTTCAGTTCCAGAAGCAGTTGTTAAAATATTGCTCTTTGGAGAATTTATGTACAAACATTAAATTTACAACATACCTACGATATACATCATAGTAAGCAACATTTCCAGTTTGAACATGCTTAGAAATAATTTTTCTGTTAAGAGTTGGGAGAAGAAAAAGAAGCCTACCTCTTTGGATGAATACCCTGGAACCAATCTTGCCACATTTTCCCAGTTGATAGGTTGAGGAACCCCAATTAAAGAACAAAGAATCATATCCAAAACCATTTGATTATTGTCGTGTGGGACATTATTATTTTCTATATATCCACGGTTCATTTTTTGGCACTGGAAAAGACATGAAAATTTAAAAATTCTCACACTGTTTAAAGAATTTTGGTTTGTCAAATTATATAGTAGCTATTATATAACCTGTAAGGAGAGAGAAGCTTTCTTTGGATAAAAATGCACCCAAAACTAATTGTATTGTTGCCATCAGGGTGAGCATAGGAACATCAGTGTCCCTTGGTACCATCTTGGAGAGCTGAGGATTGTCCCATCACATTATTATTTCCTATTCCAATCCACCTCCCCCAATCCTGCCATATCAGGTTGGTATGTTTACTAAAGGCTACTGTATGAACATAGAAAATAAAATATATACAAAATCTGATATTACTATAGCAGCAGTTTATCAGGTAGTTGAATTACTGTGGAAGTAAATCAGATAACAATCCATGAATTTCAGTAGTACACATTTTAAATCATATACCATATGTACATTACTAAAGCAGGTGCTCTGTTAGTATGCAAGTTTTAAAAAATACTCAGAAAGAGAACACTGACAATAAAAGATGTGAAACATTAATAAAATAAAACATTTGAAAAGTTTTTGTGCCTTCAGTTTTCTGACAACATTGGAGAAAATTCCGCCACATATAGGAAATGTCCTAGTATTAATATTTACCTAAAAAAACTGGGGATATGATAAACTAAGCAACTGGCAGTCAGTCAGACTTTATTTTGGTCAAGACCAGTGCAGAACAAAACAATTAATGAATTGTTTAAAGAAGGAATATGAAGGAATGAAGTTGGGATTCACATCTGCTCTTTTTAGAATTAGCTGCAGTCATAGAGTCAAACTTTTCCCCCTCACTTCCTTCATGCATTCAAACATTCACTCATAGATTTACTCAAAGGCATCCAAGCCAGTGTTACAGGCGCCTGTGATAACTGAGCCACATCTTGGCATTTTCAAGGATGTGCGGAAGTACAGAAACAACCTAACCCCATCCAGACAGCTATTACAAGCAGGCAAGAGAACTATCATTCAATTGCCAGGATCACAACAACCATCATTCATCCCAGATGGGAACCCTGCCTGGAACGAAAGAGTTCTACCTTGGGCTCAGCAGGAACTAGAAAAGGACCAACCATATTGAAAGAACACTTCATCCCAATGAGTGCACAGACTTTTGGGGAAAGGCATAGGTTATATGTCACTTTAGAGATTACGAGATTTTTTATGAAATGAACATTATAAGTATTAAGCAACAGAGTATTAAAGACATCTTTAAGGACAAATCACTTTACAAAGTTCTAGAAAGGGGGAGTTGACTCAAAACAATAGCCTATTGTTGGGAAAGGCAATTAAGTAAGATTTGCTACACCATGGTGTATCTTTGGAGAGCAGAGAACCCTTAGAAGGGGGACCAAAAATAAAAAGCTAATACCATAGTACAAAATATTGTCACTATTGCCACCGTAAACATCTCTAATACAAACCATTCACCCAGACCCATTATTTGACTATAACTAAAAAAACTAAGCAATTGGAGATAAACTGCCACATAATTATTTAGAGTACAGGTTTTCTTTTCTGTATGCATTTTAAGGATAGGAATTCCTCTCAATCTAATTATTGTCCTGTACTTTTGTGAAGAAATATATTCTCCCTCAAACAATTTAAGCCTTATTTGAACATGGAAATGATAAAAAATTAAACCTTGTAGTAAAATGTTTATTTTTTTAAAAAAATTAGATTAGTGATGCTAAATATAAATACAGAAAGCGTTATATGCTGGAAACAAAAAGTCTTTCTCAGTACAAAAGCTGAAAAATGAAGCATCTCATATTATACATCACTATTTAGCTAGTTTACTTGGCTTACCTGCAGTTCTTGCAGTAACTACTTAGCTGTAAGAAGCATCTTTCCAATGCCTAGAATATCATTAAGTTCTCATCCTTCATTTATTTCCTGACAGTCCTAATCCCCAATTGCATAAACAGATGCAAAAAAATGAAATATTAGGAAGGAAGAAGGACACAAATAGTATCAATTACCTGAAGTACTCTTCAAAAGAGCCAGTGTTCCTTGCAAACCAATAGGTAAATTCCTGTAAATTTAAGATATAGATAAAGCATTGCACAAACCTAAGCAACAATAATACATGAGAGAGAAGTAAATTATAACTTGAATGGAAGCAGAACCTCAGTGTCAACTTTATCACACATTTTCAGAAAGCAAATCATTCTGTTCAATTCTAAGTTTAGAGAATACAGCATCCTAAACTTGACCTATCCTTGCTATCAAGGCATTTTTCCCCCATTCTCTGAATCTTCCTTCATCTCTTCATCCTCCCCATCCCCTTTTATGGAAGACAAGAAAGCCTGAATCACTCCAACCCATTGAAAAGCAGCAGCAACCACTTCATCCACACAAAATGGAGAGAACCTTCCAATCTATACTTTCTTGGGATATCAAACACACAAGTGCAAATATGCAATCCTCTCTCCTCAAATCCTGAGACTTCTCCCATTTTGTTAGTAAGAAGTTATATTTTTATTCCAAGGAACACATAAACATTCGAGGCAATACAGATATTGCTCAAATATTTTCATTTTTTCAACTTTCAACCCGTGAGGATTATAAATAATAAGAAAGCTAAGCTAAGTACCAATGGTAATATCTTTGGATTCAATCCCAAAACATTTTGAGCAGCCTTAAACACTACTGGCACTGACAAAATTACCACCAGTCAATTGCAAAAGGCAGCTGTACTTGTGACTACCTCTAACACTAAAAAACAATATCTACCTATCCCAGGACAAAAATGCCAAGTCTGTCTAAACATCTGGGTGCCTATGCATCCAACTGTATATATATTTAAAAATCTCTATAGGAATTCATTTATTGAATTCTAACAATAGCTTCATAACATTTCCTCTTTAGGAATTTTACTATTAAAAAACATTGGAAATCAAGAGACTCACAGTATTATTTTTTTAAAATGAACCTTTTTAGATACACCACTATCTAAGATACCATGCAATCAAATGCATCATGAATTAGGGAAGTTGCTGCTGCTCCATCCGAGTCACTTATAGTAAATTGGGAGGCAGCGGAATTGTGCCATTTTTATAGCTCCCACTCACTCACCCACCCGCGCTTCTCGCCCATCCACCTGCTCTCCCTGCCTCCTTAGCCCTTTGACAATCCGCTGTCTCTTAATACCGCCCTTTTCTGATTGAGAGAGAGAGAGAGAGAGAGAGAGAGAGAGAGAGAGAGAGAGAGAGAAGGGAAGGGAAATATTCAGTCATTCATACCCTAATTAGCCAATCCACGCGCCTCCCTTCGCTAAATCTCTCCTCCTCGGGGTCCCAACGAGCCTATAGCAAACCAGGAGGGCTAGCGCACGCGCGCCTCCTCCTTTTCGTTTTTGTCGCAGTGCAGCGGCTTTCTCTGCTCGAGCCTTTTCTCTCACGCTTTCTTCCGCCCTGCGCTTTCGCGTCTGGTCTCCTAGCAACAAGCGACAGCGCCCTGTAATTGCAGCCCAGATCATTTTCTTTCAGTCAGGGCGCTCCCTGGTTGAATGGAAATGGAAGAGTGGAATAGGAAGGCGTGATGGGGAGGGGTTGATTGCGAAGGAGAAGAGCAGTTTAGAAAAGGGCGTAGAACATAGATTAGAGGTAGACTCCCATGCGCCCAATGACATTTTTGCTGTATCGTCACTTGCTCCGCTAATGTAACTCAGGCCAACCTTCATTAAACATATTGCTATCAAGATGCAAGATGGATGTGGCCTTGCAGCTAGAAGTTAACCTATCTTACCTTGGTCTTTTTTAATGGGTACTTAAAATTTACCTTGCAAGTCAATGTTTGTTTTCTTCAGTTAGAAATCTTATCGAGCTACCTATGTGGCAGCTAAGAGCAAACACAGGCCTGAAAGCATATAAATCATAATTAGAAAATATATTAACCCTATTTTACTTTTATATGCTACCATCACCCAGACTCCCTTTAAAATTTCTCTTGACCGAACATTTTCCACCTGACCAACCTGCTCTTATATGACAAGTTTGGGATTGTGTTACGATTATTGAGACTTTAGTGGCAGATTTGCCAAAATTCACCTGAGATCAATTTGATTTGAGCGAGGCATAGTTCTGGTTATGAAACTCTTGAAGGGAAATGCACTCTGCATATGCTCCAATGTTTCTTGTTCCAAGTAGCAAAATGGAATAACAAGTGGGGATGCACCAATTAAATTCCAGATGAGTGGATAGTACTAACTCTCAATAAGGTAGATGATCCTCTCTCAAAAGTGCGGAGCAGATCTTCATCTCACATTAAAACTATTGTGTGTGCAGGGCAATCTATTTGCAATTACCTTGTTTTATACTAACTACTGAGAAATAAACCTTTTTCTAATCCCTATAGCTTCATGCTAGCTTCTGCTTAGGGATCACTTTACAATGTGATGAAGTAACTGGGAATTTATCTATTAGCTTTTCTATCACAAACAATTCTAGGTGGGCTTTTATATTAAGACGAACAGTTTTTTTAATATGAAATAATTGAAAGGGAAACAATAATAAGGATATAATAAATAATACTAAAATATGATATACTGATATACTAGATTCTGTAACCATTAGGTTCCTGTAATATATATATATGCCTTTGTATTTGTATCACACATATTATGTCTTTATATTTTTATCTCCTGTAACAAACATATTCTGTTATTAGGCCTCTGTAATGTATCTAGTATTTGTCAAACATATGTCCCTGCCATTTGACCTGAACCCATATCAATCTTCTTCCTGTTTTTTCTTGTGCCATCTAAGAGCATGGTACGTAACTCCAAGGGATAATTTACATCTCAGCCCTAATTTATGTTTGATCTGGATAAGCTCCTACTTTGCAGAACCAGGGGGCCAGAATTGGGTACTAAGCTGATGTCTCTGAGAGTATAAAAGGACACCATACCTTCCCCAAGGTGTGGCTATCTCCTCGCATGCATTGTATCTGTATGTTCTGAATATAGTTCCACCCAGTATTTTGTTTTTGGCCATAAATAAAATCTGGTGGTTTTTTTTGCAAGCCTCGTCTTGAGTCTCTGTCTTTGGCATTCTGGTGACTCAAGTATATTTTGGGACCTTACATAATGATACACGCAAAATTAAAAACAGGGAGAAAATTCAGGCAGGTCATTAATATTCCTGAACTATTTTTCAAACAGTTTCCCTGGAGCAGTTTTTGTGGACATGGCTGTCAAGCTTACAAATCTTAGTCAAGTAATAGAAATCAGGTCTAGTCAACTGGAAGGGAATCCATGACAAAAATGAAATTGTGAAGAATAAGTGCCGACCTGTCATTTTCTCAAAATGAAATTCATCTCATTTCAGCTAGAATAAAGCACAGAATAAAACTATTGGAATGTTCTAACTTTGGTACTGAATGGGAGATAATCTTGCCTGATATAATTGTGTCTGAAAAATTTTATACACATAAACCAGATTATCCAAACAAAACTGTTTTAAGCAGTATTGGGCTGAAGAGTTTCATGACTGGTCTAGACAACAGATTTTGTGACATTTCACCGGCAAATGGTGTTCAGGGCTGACACCTTCAGATAGCAGAACACCTTGCCTGAAGATTGTCACTAAACCCTGAAACCCAACTCTGCCCAACAGATACTGTTAGTGAAAGTCTACACAAGTATATAGAACTGTGCTTATTTATTTACAGTGAGAGGCCCAAGAAACAAATACATGCACAAATAATATTCTATATCAGTTCATTTTTAATTATAAGAAATCGTTTCCAAAGTTCTCAAGCTATTTTTATTGAGAAATATGTTCACATGAATACACAAGTGCATTAGTAAATCTTCCCTGAAATAAACCAATCTACAATGGTAGATAAAAAAAAAAAGGGGGGGGGGAGAGAATCTTACATGTATGTTTGTAAGCCTTTTGCAAAGAGTAATATCCATATGGTATACAGTATTTATATATTAAATATATGACATTTATTTCAGTTCTACATAAAATCCTTTCTCAAATCAAATATTTTGCAACTATCAGCATGAATTTAAATTTTACTAAATGTTAGATTGTTACAACATTTTAAAAACATTTTTAAACTCTATTAAAAAATAGATCAGTAAGCTTATAGTTAGCTAGTATTGTTCAGAAAAAAAACCTTTTTGCACATTAAGTTTTTAAATACTGCACAAAAATAAAGTGCAAGCTGAAATGTAAATATTGTTTTAATAAAAGTTTTATAACATTGTTCTTTTGGGCAAGTGGGGTGTGCTTAAAACTAAAAAAGTTTTCAACTTAGGATAAAGCCGCATTATTTGTAATAAGTTGACTGACTACTAATTGGACACTGCCTACAAAGTTCTAAGTGTTTTGTTCATAAGGAACAACATTCAGAATGCTTTGAGTATTCAATAGGAAGAAACAGGAATTTGGAACACGCATATTGCTCTCTTTTTAATTCAAGGATCAGAAATTGTGACATTGGTACTGATTCCAATTATCATGCAAACTACAGTTTTTTCTTTGGAATCAGCTATCCAAAACGCTTCTTTTTGGAGATATAAGTAAGTTCCACCATAGGCAAGTCAGTTATGGAGATCTAGCAATAGCGGTAGCTATTTCTGAATATATGATTAAATAACTTGGTGATTTGTCTTTATTGGAATGGCAAAGAAGCATATATATTCTAGAACAGATCATTTGAATTAACCTGTTCTTCTGTCTTGAAGTGTAATTTAGAGTTAGCTTTATTTATGTATGTATGTGATTTGATTTCCATAGCCGCCCATCTCAGCAAACAACTCTGGGCAGCTCACAATTCAAAGCATATATTATAATTATTTTTTAAAAAAAACAGTTTAAAACAATAAAACAGTAAAAAGCATTAAAACAATAAGAAACATTAAAATGCTTAATTTGAAGTATGTATAAAAGCAAGATATCTGGGCCTTTAACAATATAGGCAGGAGGTGGGCCCTTGGCACATGTAGCACCCCAGACTCAGGATCATAACCAGGTTTTTAGAGCTTCACAAAAGGCTAACAGGGTTGAGCCATTATAATCTCTGAAGTGAGGATGTTCCACAGAGCAGGGACCACTGCAAAAAAAGCTCACCTTCTAGTCTCTGGCAGCTGACATTCTTTGGCTGACAGGATCTGCAACATGCCCATTCTATTTGACCCGGTTGGATGGGTAAAGACTTAGAAAAAAAAGGCGATCTCTCAGGTCTTACGTGTGAAATCTTTATATAATGTACTGTTTCTTTCATTAAATGTAATAATTTTTACAGCAAATTATTAAAATGTGGCTAATCTATACAGTGGAACCTTGGTGCTCATTTTTAATTGGTTCCAGGAAATGTGATGAGTGCCAAAAATGATCACAAGACAGCTGACACAAAGTTCTAGCTTGGTCATTGAATACCAAACAAATGATGAGTACTGGGACAAATTTTTTTGCATCAGATGTGTTGAGTACCAAATTCAATGAGTTTCAAAGTAGTGGAATACCAAAGTACCACTGTACTGTATTCATTAAAATACTATAAAAAGGGTTATGTACTGGCTTTCTAAAATTAGTGAAGGAAATCTTTTAGTTTCTATGAATGAATAAAGCTGTATTCATTATATAAATGAAGATGTCAGACAGCAGGCAGGAATACATTCTTATGAACTAGGGTGGCAGCAGAGAAAACCTGACTTCAATTGCTATTAGGCAAGCTCATGTCATTCATAGGCAAACTCTCCAGGTAGCCTAAGTAAACTTGCAGGTTTATGTAAAAAAACAACAGTATGGACTGATATTACAATGTATCTTTGGCAGGAACCTCCATATAATATCTACATTAGAGTTGAAGGAAATGAATAAGTTACGTTAGATGCCTGCCCTGCTCCATATATTATTGCTTCCAAGTCAGAACTAGTTTTAGCTACAGTTGAAAATCAGAGTTTGACAAATTACAGGAAATATTTTTTTTCTGTCTGAAATAAGAGGTTGAGTTTAGCTCTTGGTGTCTGTGAAATGAATAATGTTACTCTTTTATAAAAGTGTTTAATGTATTAAAAAGCTATGATGTTCTTACTGTTGCAAACTGACCGCAAATTGTAATTAGTAGAGACAATGTGTTATGACTTGCTAAAAGCTCCCTTGGAGACAGGAACCTACACCTTGGGCAAGACCACTATCAGTAAGAAAGGAACGTCCGCGCAAGGTGAAAAGTAAAAGTAAACATAATAAAATAGTTGTTGTTAGGCAGGAAATGTCAAGATCACCCTTTAAAGTGTAAAACAACTTGAAGAATGACTTAGGAGAATAAAGGGGAGTTGGGAGGGCTTCTTTGGCGTGGCGTGCATTGTGTAGGAGTATAAAATGTGTATGTAGCTTGAAAACTGCTTTTTGCACTCTTTAAACTCAATCCATTTGGAAAGGGTCTAAGAGGCCACGCTTGCAATCGCTTTTTATTTTTCTTCATTTTATCTCCAATAAACCTTTGATTTTGTGAACCAGACTTGTTTATGAATTGTGAGGATTAAAATATTTGGGTCTTATATCTCAGAGTGAACAACCAATGATCCTGAATGTCAGAATAAATGGGCTGCTGACATCTAAAAAAAGCAATAACTTTTTGTGGCTTAATGTTTTTCTGCAAAATCTTATAGTATGCCTGATTTATAGTAGAATGGTTGATCCTAAAGCCAACCAATTCATTGTTAAAATATTTTCATTAAAAAAAAAAAATTGATTTATATGCCACCCTTCTCCGGAGACTCAGGGCGGCTTACAATGCGTTAAGCAATAGCCTTCATACTTTTGTATATTTTTATACAAAGTCAGTTTATTGCCCCCACAATCTGGGTCCTCATTTTACCTACCTTAGAAAGGATGGAAGGCTGAGTCAACCTTGAGCCTGGTGAGATTTGAACTTGCAGTAATTGCAGGCAGCTGATGTTAATAACAGTGCTTTTAGTCCGCCGCGCCACCAGGCTCTGGTGGCGTGGCAGACTAAGGGAATTTCTAAGGGAAGGCAGACTAAGGGAATTCTAAGGGAATTTATTTTTGTATAAATCAATAAAATCAAAGTGAAGTGGTTAGGGTGCTGAGCTAGAAGCAGGGAGAATACTTTTAAATCCCCATCTGAGACCTGGGTAAACTGTTAGATTTTCCTAATCAAATGTACCTCTCACTGCACTGCATAGATATATAAATTTATGCAGTAAAACAGCAGTTGTATATAGACATACAGTAGAAGCTCTGGTCACGACCATAATTCGTTCCATAGCTTTGGTCACAATCTGATCTGGTCGTGACCCAAACCTAATTTCCCGCTCACAAAAAAAAATGGCACAGAAGGGAAAATCGGCTGCTGCCATGTTTGATTGCCACCAGAGTATTGTTTGGGACCAGATTCAAAAATTTTGTGAATTTTTTGGTCAGAACCTGATTTGGTCGTGGTCAGAAGCGTTTGTGACCAGAGGTTCTACTGTACATGGAAGTTCCACTGAACAAGTAGACAGACATAAGATGGTGTCAGCTTGACAAACCATACATAGCTGTGCTGCAAAAATCCGGATGTTGCTATATAAGCAGCAAAAAGATACACAAAGCTCTGTACTTGTAGTCAGCAGACTTTTGCAGCCCATACAGTATATGATACGCCTAGTATCAACAGAGAGAAAAAAGTGTAGGATGGTTTCAGAAATAATCAAATTGTGCATTCAGAATTTGATCGTGTCCTGTCCAGATTTGAGCCCTGCACACAATTTATGCATTCCTTTCCCACTTTTAAAAATTATGAACGACCCTAAAAGAGCTTTTGTTCGCATGAGTTATATTTATCAATATTTACCTTATTAAGTATTAAAACTGACATATTCACTGCTGCTTTTCACAATTGTTTGATGGAATTTTAATACTGTATTATTTTTCAACATGCTGTAGGCTGGCAAATAGTTTTGATTTTGCAAGCAACTTAGATCCCTAGAGTATTGGGATCCTAAAATCACACTTGTCTAATAAATTACTGGAAGGCAAATTCTAAAAAATTAAGTAAACTGAAAAATAAAAATTTTAAACTACTGGGAGCAAAGAATAAAAGAGCCATTATCTTTCCCCACAATATGTCACTTTCAGATTCTTTATTAATGTACTGTCTCTGTATGTCATTCCAATTGCAAGTAACTTTGAATAGCTTACCCGCCAAAACACAATAATTGGATTAAAAATATAATGAACAATATATCCCCAAGGAAACAGTCAAAACAGCAATCAATGATACCTCCAAAATGGACCAGAATTTATATTATTCTCCAAGCTCATCTTGTAAAGCCAGGTCTTATCGGTCTTCTAAATTCTTAGCAAGATTAGGGCTACTTTAATCTCTGGGATCGTGCTATTGCAAAGGAGAACAACTGAGAAGGTCTGCCACTATGGACTTAATAGTCACCCTCTGTAGGGGTCAGGATCTTATCATCTTAAATCTTCTTTTAATATAGTAACCCGCTTTGCTCTAATGCCATACATTTAATAGCGACTATGTAATTTTATTCATCATCATCATCTCAAGAATCTGTGTACATGCATACACACATTCTTAAGGGATAAATACATTGTGGGAGAATGCATTAGGATGTGTAAAATACCATCTCAAATGATTCCATGCCCCAATTAGCCTTATTTTACCTAAATCAGAATATACAAATGTATATTTATCAGAATATATTTTGTGTATTACCTTTTGGGTTTCAAAAATGGTCAATTATAGCAACCAATGCAATATAAAGATGGGTGGAACATAATACCAATAGTAGCACATATTATAGTCGTAAGAGTGGTTTTTATTTCAAATTGATATCCTACTTTTACTGTGAATGTAAGATTCCTAAGAGAAAACAAGGCTGTACTCAAAATTCAATGGAATTTAATGTTTCACAGTTACTCTAAATGCATGATAAAATCTTCACTAAGGGTTAAATCATTATAAACATTTGCATTCTGGCTCCACTAAAGCAAGTATGGTTCAGAGTTATGATTCATACTAACACGCAGAGATATGCTACTTTGTTAGTTAAATAGGTAGCCCTCAATTTACAGCCATATTTGGGACTGGAATTTTGGTCGTTAAGCAGGATGGTTATAAAACAAGACATAATGTGACTGTATCACTTAGTGATCACCTCTTGCTGTTAAGCAAATTTTACTCGTCATTAGCTTAGAACCCATCCGAATCCAAGCTATTCTGGGCTTGGTTCCTCCCATCCCCAAGTCTCAGTAAGATAAGGAATTGCCTCCAACTTCCCTCCATTCACCCATCTCTGCCCTTTTGGCTGCCCTGCACTTTTCTTCCTTTTGTAGCCCGAATCCAGCTCCATATAGGTCAAGGGTGTAGGAAAAAGGTGGACTCCCTCCTCTCTTTTACCTCATGAAGCCAGGTCCACGCAGCCCAGCAGTTAAGCCAGATATGCCTTGCCAGCAGCAGAAACAAGAAGGTAGAAAAGGTGAGCTGGGGCACAGAGTGCAAAGTGACAAGCAGCCAAGAGTAGAGATGGGGATGGGGGAGGGAGAGATAGCTGGGTGGGAGTACTTGCGGTGCCCTTGCATTCCTAAGTGCACAAATTCTGATCATGTGACCACAGGGGTGCTGCTACAACCAAAACTTCGAACAGTGGCTGAAACAGTGCCTATACTGAAGTAAATTCACATATGATAATGATGGTTGCAAATTCAACTTCCCAAACTTCCCAAGTAATGAAACCTATCAAATTCAAGACTATTCGACTTTTTACTGAAAGTGGATAATCCTTTTTATTAGAATTCAACACATTTATAATAGTAAAATAACAGAAAAATCAAATATTTTAAACCTTGATTTGAAGGTCAGTTACAATCGGGAATCTACCTTTTTTACCACCAGATGCTAGTTTCAGTAGGCAAGAAAAACTGATTTCAGGTACTAGATCCATGTCAATATCTTTACTTAAATTTCCTAGCATATTTTTGGAGGAAAACTGGGGTACCAATTTACATTGCAGAGTTTCATGCAAACCTACAACCGTGTAAATAATAAAAAAATGTGTGCAAATGATTATTCAGGCCTGACCTACCTTCAGTCTAATCCTAGTTTTTCATTTTTCTGGCTTTCAGCTACTAATCATATCAAATTAGAAATTCAAGTATTTTAATTAGAAATTACTGCATTGCTTCTTCACTAAATGAAAAGAATAAAAGAAAATACTCTTAAGGCCCTTAGCAAATTGACTGAACATAAATGCTATGGTGAAAAAAATATTTCTACATTAAGGTACTCTCATCTGAGTTCTTTGTTCTGTACTGTAATTTACCTGGTACAAAACAGTTTAGAATTCTTAAAAAAAGATTTGTAGCAAAACTGCAAATAAAGTGTGTGTAGAAGAGTTTTGATTTAAAATTAAGGATGTCAATTTGTATTTTTCAATTTGGAAATCCATTTATTCTAAGAGAGAGAAAAAATGAGTGTATAATTTTGTTGTATTGTAAATTCAAAATGTTTTAAGTTATCAGCACTACAGAACTCCAAAGTCTATATATTTCATCCAATACATTTCACCCTGAAGTTAGTTTGTCACTTATCAAACCTTCTTCAAAATAAACTTAGATTTTTATTCTGTCTATTGCAAATGACATGGTCTCAGTATAGTATTTAATGTGATTTTTATGAGGAAAAGTTTAATCTTCATTCGACTTTTTACTGAATCAATCTGGCTTTGTAAGCAACACCTCACATTTTGGATACATAAGCCATGTTCAACACGCTTACTAGAGCAATTACTACAGATTTACTAAATAGAATGTTAAGTGAAATGACATAGTTGGCATTTGCAAGTGAAGAAACCAACTACAGAAAAACATGTATTTATCATTTTTATCAATCACTAGGCTCAGACTGCATGTGACATGACATAATTAACACACAGATATTGCCAATTTATGCTGAGCTTGAGCCTCTGAAGTATTCTTGACAGAACATGTTTCAGTAAAAAGATAGAGGGAAGTTGTCACATAATTTATCTGGAAGAACAAGTGGCAGCATAGCATTTAACATATAACAAGTAATTTCTAATCCAAATCAAGAGGATTACATCAGGCTTCAAATGCAATGCTATAGAGCAATTTTTAAAAAACCCAGCTTTCATAATGAAGCATATAAAAAGAGATCTATCAGTATATATCCTAGAACTACAATTAAATGGACTTTTTGCTTGTTTTTTTAAGCATATTACATATATTTGTTTCTATTTAGTGGAGACATTAGTTTCAACCCTGTAAGTTTTCCTATTGCTAGCTATCTCTCTGAACCAGAGATTTTCCTTATATCTCACAAAAATGTTGTACAAAAATGACGGACAGAAGGTATAGTCAAAACCTCTGAAAACAGTTTTTCTCAATACACCACAATGCTACTATATGGAGAAGATTCTTTAGACTTCAAAAGTGGCTTCAAGATAGAAGGCTATCTGAAGCCTTAGTGTTGGCTTCTTCAGATCAGAAGTTGATATTTTTACTCTATAGTCACCAATGTTTACAATCACACAATGGACCTTAGCATACTTTACCCAACTGCCTAATGTTCAATGAACCTAAGAGGGTTTACAGCCAATGACAAACTTCCCTATGACTGATGTTACCAGGTATGAATAGCACATTACCTGGATACTGTCAATAACTGTTTTGCTGCTTACTACTGAATGGCTACCCTAAAGTATTATTGGTGGGTACAGTCCAATGCAGTCCAATTGCTCTGATAAATCTTCAAGCATCAAAAATCTTCTTTATTTCCACTAAGAGGAGGAGAGTTTGATCTGAGAGGGGTTTTGTTTGTTTCCACAAAAACAGACTCAAAAGCAGCCTCTTGCTCTTCCAAAACACCAGCAGTTGTGCTTTCTTGACCCAGAGAGGTATTGCTGACTGAGGATTGATGCTCTGCAATCTTCTCTATCTCTAAGGTTTTTTTCCCTTTTCTTTTACCAAGTATTCGGACATAATTAGCTGGTATGAGTCCTGTTGTTTGACCATCACGGCTGGCCAAAAGCCAGCCACGTATCTTGGGTTGTCGTTCTGGTAAGAAAAACAAAACACATGCAATTACCAGAAAATTTTTATGTAATGACAGTGACCTAATAAAATGTATTAGAGAACTTAGGATAGTCAAATTAGATTTATATAATTCTCCTAAGCTTTTCAAATTGCAATGAAAATCTATTTGAAGAAAGATTTAGAAAGATTTAATGTTTATGGTTAGCAATAGTTAAATTAGCTAAAATTAATGTTTAAACAAAATTATAGGACAGTGAAGGTATTTTTTTTAAAGGGACTCACATATCTCAACAACTAAATTTCTATTAGGAATAGAGGTCTTTTAGCTAGTCAAACCCTAACCCCATGATGGTGAACCTATGGCACACATGCCACAGGTAGCACACGGAGCCATATCTGTGGGCACGCGAGCATTGCCCTAGCTCAGCTCCAGCGCATGCCGGCCATCTGATTTTTGGGCCTTCCGGGCCCACTGGAAGTTGGGAAACGGGCTGTTTCCGGCCTCCAGAGGGCCTCCGGGGTGAGGGTAGGGGAGGCTGTTTTCGCCCTCCCCAGGCTCCTAGAAAGCCTCTGGAGCCTGGGGAGGCCGAAAAACGGGCTACTAGACCCACCGTGCCATCGCGTGCCAAAAGTGGAGGATGGGGGGCATTGAATTGTGGGTGTGGGCACACGCGTGTGCAACCCTCTCCTGCGCTCCCATTTTTGGCACACGACAGCAAAAAGATTAGCCATCACTGCCCTAACCCATTTTAAAGGTTAGCATAGAAACTGGCAATATGCAGAATTTTCAGTGCACTGCAACTTATAAGAATCCCTGTAACTTATACCAGTTGTCATATTTAATGGAGATTGTCCCTTTTGAACACATTTCAAGGGTAGTACAGGTAGTCCTCAACTTACAACAATTCATTTAGTGACCGTTCGAAGTTACAAGGAGATTGAAAAAAGTGACTTGTGACCATTTTTCACATTTATGACCATTGCAGCCTCCCCATGGTCACATAATCAAAATTAAGATACTTGGGAACTGATTCATACTTATGACCGTTGCTGTGTCCCAAGATCATGTGATCCTCTTCTGTGACTTTTTGACAAGTAAAGTCAATGGGAAGCCAGATTCACTTAACAACCATGCTCCTAACTTAACAACTTCAGTGATTCACTTAACAACTGGGGCAATGAAGGTCATAAAATATTTCACTGAACAACAGAAATGTTGGGCTCAATTGTGGTTGTATGTCAAGGATTACCTGTATATTGTCAAAGTCAAAACGGGATATAATCAAGGTGTGAATAACAGCCAACCAGACTATAGAGACTATAGCTGGTAAATCATATGTACCAGGCACAACTGCATGGCACCATAACTTGCCATTTTTGCCATCTACAAATCCAACAGCAGAAGATCAAGGTATATTCCCATACTATAAACTTGTTCTTTGAGGGGCAGCGCAAGGCTGTCCAGTTTCCTGTCCTCTTCATCCATAGTACCTCTATCTTCCAGGTTTCTCTCTCTCTGTGAGTTATGACTGAATTTACACAATACTGAATGGCTATTTCATAGAGCTTAATGCTAAAGAACAATATGACTCCTGGATTAGTGACTGCTTGTATCATTAACCCCACTATAAAATTATAAAGTTCAGAACTTGAGAAGAGCAGCATTACATGAACAGAAAGTAAGGAAAAGGTACCAAACCAGTAGGGAATAGAAGCAGTACAACCATGATCCTTAAGAAAAATATAGCCAGATTCAAAATAGATATGTTATTGGTGAATTTAACTAGGCATCACCAATTTGCACCCCATTTCCTGTTCGTGTGTGTGTGTAATGCCCTTTAGAGTCCGACCTTAAAAGCAAAGGTTGTCTTGTTTTTTAAATATAATCTAAAAAATATTTTTAAACACACCCACTGCAAAATGGTTGCATTTAAAAATATTAATGCTGGATTGTTGCCTAAATGCAATTTTGTTTCTGATTACTTGATCCCTTCTGGATAAGGAAGGCTTGGGGGATCTGTTGCAGAGTTGTTGTGAGGATTAGATAACTCAAATCAAATCAAATCAATAAAATTACACTATGTATCTGATGGTTAAAGTTGTTTATATCTACTTAGAGTTGGACTACAGCTGTGCTGGTCCTGTAGAGATGACTGGGGTTCAATCTTGTCAAGTTATCTGGGCAGAGTTCAGTTACTCATGAGCAGGTCAATAGAGTCCTTGGAAGGTTAGGTTCTGCCACCTGTGGGTAAAATCCATGCCTCTCCTGCTGGAACCTGACCTCCCAGGAGGTAGCATTAGCTGGGTACAAAGCCTCTTTGGGAGAGGTTGCTGGACCTAGCTGTACTCAATATTTTTTCCCCCAATCTCCAACCTCCCCCTTTTGTCTGAAGATTTATTAAATTTCTATGCCACCCATTTCACTTGATACAGTGATTGAGCAGCTTACAGTATAATAAAAGGTAATCAAATACTAAAAAATAATTAAAATTAGAATAATTGAGTAGACAAAATTGAACAGAAAAGCTAAAACCTAAAATGATGGGTGGCTTGGTGGTGGAAATCTTCAGGATTCCCAGCACAGCATCCAATCCTGGACCATAGCTGAAATTATGTTAAGATTCCCTGCCATACCATGATCAATGCCAATTTTGGTTTATTTTCCTAAACAACAGCTTCACACATCAGCTAAGAATTGCTCTGGTCTCTGGGGAGAAAAATTTGGGAAAAACTAGCAATCCAGCAAATCCTCTGGTGGCTAGCTAAGACATTGATCTGGGATAAAGAGCACTGCTGGCAACAGTTTGGGGTATCATCTAAGTTATATGCTATGGCTAGCTTCACACAACATGCTCAACCCCATTGCCAAATTAAAAAAGCAGAGTTCTGAGTTCACAGAAACATTAAATCTTTAATTACCCAACATCATTTTAACTTAATCTCACTTGTTACACAAACCAAGCCTCTTACACAAGAGTAAGCCTCTTTACCTATTCTCTTAGGTAAAATATTTCATGGTTATTTGCAGGACCACATTTTTCCAACTACTGTTTCTGCCTGGCTCAACACCTAGTGGGAGTGGGAGGAGGGGGGGCGCACACACTGGGACCCATCCATTAAGCAGTACTATCTGGCAAGGACCAGGATGTGGGTCTTCTCTATTGCACCCTGTTCTCTGGAACATCATACTCCTTAAAAATTGTTTGGCTCTGAACTTGCTGGCATTTCATAAATTGCTGATGACATGGATATTCCTCTAGAATGCAAGTTTGATTGTAGATAGATGAGCCCTCATTGTGGTTTCACTGGCTTTTCTGCGCTTACATGATGTCTCATTGCTCTCAGGTGTCACTTGTTTTGTTATTACTTATTCTTTCATTCTGTTAGTTTTTAATCTTGTGTTGGTTGCCCAGAGTTGCAATTGCAAGATGGGCCACTATACAAGTATACAGTAATAAATAAACTGATATTAAACTATGTTTAGCGTGTATATTGTAAGCCACCCAGAATCACTTCGTGAGATAGGTAGCAAACAAATATAATAAATAAATAAATAAATAAATAAATAAATAAATAAATAAATAAATGTGAATGCATCCTTAGCTACCCTTTTAGACAAGTTTATCTGGGCATATTCCATTGAAAATATGGGATTTAGTTCCAAATAAATCTGGATGGAAATGAACTATTACTATGAGAAAAAAACTGATATAAACTAGTAGATTTGTGGGATGTACTCGAAGGAGCACAGAATGAGTGGACTGGAAGAGATTTTACGAAATTAATGGAAGGGGCCCAAATATATACAGATAATCCTCAATTTATGAGTATAATTAAGACTGGAATTAGTCATAAATTGTGCTAGTCATTAAGTGGGTTACAATGTGACTGCACTCAATTTTACTTTTATGCAAACATGGAATTATTAAGTCCATTGTACCTGATGGGGTTTTTTTGCTAAAAATCCAAATGCCAAAAAATGCAACCATGTGGCCACCCCCCCCCCCCCCAGGCCACATACTGGTTGTCATAATTTTGAAACTGGGTCGTAAATAGCTCTGAGGAGGTCCACTGTAACTTTGAACAGTCACTAAGCGACTGGTTGTAAGTCAAGGACTACCTGTATAACTTCAAGCCTCCAATTAATATACTGACAGTCAACTAATCTTAATAGTGCAAATCCAGAGACTTCTATGAAAATATGTGAACAAGGACCTTCTTTATTGATAAATATTTGCAAGCAAGTGCCTCTGCATCTATGAGATAAAAAAAAGTTTTCTCCTAATTTCTCATTAACTATTTAATTGATCCACAAAATAAATATCTTTTCAGTTTTGATTTCTACACACTGCTCAGAAATTTGAGAATGCTGGACTCTTTTAAAACAAACTTATTTTACCTTTGGGTGCCAATTTTAACATTTCACCTGCACGGAAAGAAATCTCTTCTTCTGAAATAGCATTGAAGTCATATTCTGCTCTTCCAACAACATGATCATCCTCTCCACTGGCCCAGTCACTGGAAACTGTTTCACAGAACAAAGATTAAGTAGTTCAATAACCTTGCTGGTGAGTGTGCAATCCCTGAATTTATTGAGAGGCATGATGTAAGAATAGTCTTTAGAACTAAATACAGGAAATCCACTTCAAACTTTTGCAAGCCACTCTGTAAATAGTTAAAAAGTTAGAAATGTAAAGTTTGCACAATACATGGCTAATATTTATGGTATATAAATGAAATGGAAACAAAACTCCGATTTTTATTTTTTCCAAAGTTGTCCAAACAAGTAATATAGAAATCTGTCTCCAAATTCCTCTGTAAAAGACTGGATGTAAATTAAATAAATAAACAGATTAAAGTTTAATATCCATGGAGTTATGCCTATGAAACTTAGTCTCTTTTTAATTTCTTGCAAATTCTATACAAATCCATTAAAATAGTTCAGATCTCCAGTATTCCTGATCTTGATCACCTATTTTTAAATCTTGGAAGCAGCTACATTTAAAACAATCAATTTGATTTTTGAAAAGCTTTGCAGAAGGCAAGAAAACCACTTGAGATCCAGTTTATTCATAGTTATACACTAAATTATGCCAGTCCTAGTAATAACTTTTAAAATTAATTAATGTTGGCCTTTCCCTGTCATTATCAGTCATTTTAGGAAATGATTTTAATCTCTCCCAGTTTTTATTTTATGCTTTTATAGCTTCTCTAAAATGCTTTGTGATTCCTAAACTATGAAGTTGTAAATAATTCATTTAATAAATAACCTATTCCCGCAATTATAGAATCATGACATCAAGATTCTATTAACTATTCATAGATGAATGCATTGGTTTCTACACACATACAGACACATATAGACCTTGACTTAAAACCATAACTGAGTGCAAAATTTAATAAGTGAGATATTTGTTAAGTCAGTTTTGCCCCATTTTACAACTTCTCTTGCCATAGTTGTTAAATGAATCACTGCAGTTGTTAAGTTAATAACCGGGTTGTTAAGTGAATCTTGCTTTCCCATTGACTTTGCTTGTCACGTCATAAAAGGGGATCACATGACCCTGGGACATTGCAACCGTCATAAATATGAGTCAGCTGCCAAGCATTTAAATTTTGTTCACGACCATGGGAATGCTGCAACAATCATAAGTGTGAAAAATGGTCATAAGTCACTTTTTTAGTGCCATTATAACTTTGAACAATCACTAAATGAAGTGTAAGTCGAGGACTACATGTGTGTATATGTGTACGTATATACAAGAACATTAAAAATTCTCTGTGTGCGTATGTGTGTGTATACACACACACAGAGAATTTTTAATTGTTTAATTATTGTTGCATCCTTAAAAACATTTCTAACTTTTAAAACTTTTAATTCTAAAATTTTAACTAAAATTTTAATTTTTTAAATTGTAAATGTTAAATTAAAATGAGTCTCTTTATGAGGGAGATGAGTGGTTAAGGTTAATACACACACACACACACACTGCTCCGAGTTCCTCTGAGGGAGATGAGTGATTTAGGAATGTAAAATGTAAATAAATAGAATTAAAATAAAACAAACACACTTGTCATATTTGTCACTAAAGGCTGTCTGATTCAGTTTTTTAATTTAAACAAGATTTGAAGCAGTTTGCAAACCTTACTCATTCTTAATACCCCACAGCTGAAATATCAGAGGACAAAAGATAATGCTTCTATTTCAAATCAAACAGAAATCTTCTTTACCTGTTTCATCATCACTGTAGGTAGATAGTAGTTTCCATATAAGGTAGGGGCCGCCTAAAACCACAGCAAAGAATAGGAAAATGGGCCAGGATTTTGCAGAGTTAGCTGCCTTATCTTCCGGACCTATGCAGGCCACAGTTCCTTTGCTTTCTGCCCACAAATCATCATTCTCTGAGCTCCATCTCATACCCAGTAACCTCTGCAGCCATCTGTAGAAATACCTTATAGTTCTGACTAATGCAAAGGCTGAAAACACCTTGGTAAAATGTATTTTGAGCCTGGAAAAGTGATTGGCAACATCCAATACAGCTCGGAAACTGTTGTAGACAGCTGAAAATGTAGCATCCATCATCATGCTGACAGAGGCAAAGGCATGGACTATGCTTTCAATGGACTGAAATGCACCCCGGCTGCTTTCCTCAGCTTGCTGAACAAACCGACTGGTAGGAATATCATCCATTCGAAAACGACTGTAGCCCAAGCCACCATATCCATAATTATATGGGCTGTAACTTCCATAAAAAGAATTCCCATATGTGCCATAGCCTGAAGAAAAAGAGCTGCCGTATGCAGGTCTGAAGGTATTCAGAGCAGTGCTCCCGGTCTGTTGTGAAGGCCTTGGCAGAATAGGAGGCGGAATACGAGTGAGCGTGGGCTGTCCAGGTCTAGTCACTTGACTGATTCCTACATCAGCAGATCTAAAATTCAGAATTCTTCTGTTAATATATAGGATAATTCTTAAAGGTAAACATAATCATAACCACTCCGTCTATGTTTACAAATTCATGCTAACTATGCCTTATGTACCATTTTTAATTGCTCCTACCCAGTCAGAGGATTTAAAATTCTTTTTAATATAAATGTTTAATAAGCAAACAAATATTGACTCAGACTTTTTCAATATAAATTACTTCTTCTAGCAGGAAAGTGTGAAGGAGTAAGACTGAAACTTGACACTGACATAAACATGGTCACGAATGAGTGTAAACCCCAGGACAAGATTAAATGCATCCTAGAATACTGAAAAAACTAGCAAAAGCTCTGACAGAATACTTATGTATTAGCTTTGTGAAAACCTGGAGAACTAGTGAATCAGTAGATGACTGGAGAGCAACCATCCCTATATTTGTAAAGGAGAAAAAGGAAGATTCAGCTAATTACAAATCAGTCCATCTGATATTTGATAAGATTCTAAAGCAAACCATAAAGAGATAAATTTTGAAAACAATGCAGCAATTACCACACAAGTTAGCATTGGTTTGTCAAGAACAAATTTCACTTCATTCTTTCGATTAGGTGATCTTAACAGATTGTGGAAATGCTATATGAATAATATACCTTTACTTTGAAAAAAATACTAAGTAACATAGGTCATGTTAATTTGCAAGCTAGTTAAGTGTGGGCTGAATGGCATTATAGTAGATACATTTTTGACTCAGGAATTATACTCAGAGAATGACTCATCAGAGAATAGTTTGGCATCAAGTTGGGAGGGAGATATCAAATTAGGTACTATAAATGCTCAGCCCTAGATTTTCCAATTTTCAAATTTTTCATTCCTGATTTACAGAAGTTTTATTTATTAAATTTATACTGTACATTACGTTATATATCCTTAAGTTGAGGATCTTCAAATTGTGTGGGAAGACCAATTCGTTAAAAGATAGAAATACAAATCCAAAAGATTGTTAGGTGGAGAAATAGGCTAAAATTAACAGAACAACAAGTAGGTGTGCTGCCTGCTATTGAATATTCTTGCAAATCCTGGATTTTGGGGACAGCAGGTCTGGCTGTGTTGTCTCATCTTGGATATAATGGGCACTAAGGCCTGGCTGACTCTCTTTAAGACGTTTCTGTTGTTCTCTCTCATTAGTCTTCCCTGGTATTTGCAAAGAAACTCTTGTCATTAATTAAGGATATTATCACTAATAATTCAATGGTTGTCCCTTTTCTATTTCTTTTCGCAGAGAAAAGATGCAAGGCAATATTTAGGTGGACTGAGATAATCAATCATGACTGCTGTTAGGAGGCAATGTGGGATAAACTATGTTTGTTTCTCCCTCATGTACTCTCTCCACTAGAAGATAGAGTGGAAAAAAGAATGCACAGGTTGTATTTTTGTTCCATTAAGATTAATTCACTGAAAGTGATGCTTGCAGGAATTTGTTTTCTTTAAGTTCACCTTAAGGAGAACTTTCCTTCCTTCCACTGGTGTACAGAATAGGAGAAGAGAAGAATACCCTTTAGTCACAAGTGCTTCTTTCTGCTACTCCTCTATCTGGCTTTTACTCTCACATGAGGCATAAGAAACAATAAAAACAAACAAATTAAAGGTAAGGAAGAATGAACATGAATTTACTTTAAAAGTAAAAAGTGGATTAAATATAAGGAAGTCATAATGTATTAATTTATATGTTTTGTTCTGGTTTCATTTACTTTTTGAAATATACCAACAGAGAACTGAAATGCCAATGTGATCTTTGGCCCAAGAAAGTTTTGCACTGCTGCTTTAAAGTATTACAAATAGATTGTTCATTTTATTTCAGAATTAGTTCCACTGATACTTTAGTCCCAGTAATACTTTCAAGTAAATAAGAACTGGTTTTTAAAATGATTTTACGTAACAAAGGAATTTCAAGTGAGTAGTGTTGCAGGTTGAAATCAAAGGTTAATTGCACAATTGTTTGTTTTCATTTCTACCCATATATATTACAATATGTATCTGAAACAAAAAGGCAAACCAGACTGGCACTTCCAAAATGTCCCAAAAACCAAAGTTATTTTTTAAAAAGAGAAAACAGGAGAAGGGAACATCTGATTGTAGCTGGACTCAAATATATGTTTAAGACTGAGGGCATCCAAGGAGTGATCAGGTTTCTTTTGGGCAAAACATTGTATACAAATTTCAGCTTCTTAACTAAATGAGGACACATTTGTGGGTGAACCAATTTAAATAGGTTCTATTCCTATATACATAGATGAATGAAATTAAAAATCTGAAACAATTCATTCCTTCACAGAACAATCCTTAGACAAGGTGCTGTCTACTTTATGAAATGAATAAAGGAAAATTGTGCATTTATATGATTTTAGACTGCCACAGTCATGTGATTCTCACTTGTTTACAGTAAATAAAACGTCCATTATATAACAAAAATATTCGTAATTGTCTTAAAATTGGAGCACATTAAAACCTAAGCTATTCAAATATGATATCCTAGTGTAATCTCTGCACAGTATCTTTACAACAAAATTCTATACACTGACATAAATGTTAAGACTGACAAAACTTAGTTGTCTCTCAAGTTAAAGTCTGGAAAGAAATGCAGCATATGCAGGTATATTATGCAATCTTAATTATGTAGAGAACATAGGTAGGAAGCAGTAAGAACTGCTCTACCACACCTGTTTAATGGAGAAGAAGGGAGAAGTGGGAGGAAAGCAAGTATGTCCTAATAGGTGTAAACCAGCACAGTATGCAATCAACAAGCTGTTGCATTTTAAGGAAGGACAATCCCACTGGAAAAACCATTTTAAATTAAAATCAAATTAATTTTCAGAGCAAAATTTAAAACTGCACAAAACATAACCCACCAACTCAGCATTCGTTCAGATATACTCACACAATCCAGACAAACATGCAAAACTGAGAAATTCCAAGAAAGAAAACAAACATTTACAATGAGGCCATGTTTTAACCTCCCGCCCCCCGAGCAAAAAAAAAAAAAAAATCCTTAGAAGTAAACCCGATTGAGGGAGGGGAGAAGAAAAAAGAAGAACGCCTGAATTCGTGGGGAAAAACTATTTTTGCCTTGAGTTGGAGGACAATTCGTGTAAAATACAAGTAATGAAATTTGAGGGGGGGGGGGAATCCTTCTTCATCTGCTAGACTTCCACTAATCCTCCGTCCTAGAAGACGGAGTAAGACAGTTGTCCCTCTTTTGCACCCTCATCTAACTTAATAACCGAGTGAATCCGGGGCGGAGGTTTAGAGAGCAAGGGGGTCTCCAAAAAATATTTTTTTTCAACGACCACCACAACTCATAGCTTTGAACGAAAGCACCTAAGCATGCGCAGAGTGCTTTCTTTTCCCACTAAAAAAAAAAAACCCTCCCCTCCCCCCTTTCCGTGGATGGTCCCGTTTAAATAGTAACAATTAAGCTCCGAGGTGGGCCAGCTCTTTCTTCTCCTGGGCTCTTTTCCTCGCCCGCCTTGCACCCGCAGCCACCACCAAACTTACAGGCGCCGGTTCTCCCACGGCTTGGGAGGAGGCGGTTGATTGGCCGCCATCGCCACGCAGGAGACCCTCGGTCGAGCGCTGCTGCTCCTGCTGCTTTGGAGAGAGCCGAGCTATCGAACTTACGCCAGAACCGCGCCGGCTTCCTCAGCTCGCGCGACGAGAGGGTTCGATCGACTATTTCTGCCTGCGAAGCGTGCTCCCTATTTATTCAAGTCAAAGAGAAGCGCGGAAAGGAAAACCTAGCAGCACTTCCGCAAATATACCTCCACGTTTTCATCGCTCCGTTGCCTTAAGTTTTCTCATTTATTTGAAAACGACATTAAGGCAGGGGTGGGCAAATGTGGCCCTTTTACAACCTGTGGACTTCAACTCCCAGAATTCCTGAGACAAACCAAGCTGTCCAGGAATTCTGGGAGTTGAAGTCCACAGGTTGTAAAAGGGCCACATTTGCCCACCCCTGTATTAAGGCAACATTTGACAATTAATCAGTGGAACAGCTTGCCTTCAGAAATCGTGAGCGCTTCATCACTGGAAGGTTTTTTAAAGAAGAGGCTGGACAGCCATTTGTTCGAAATGGTAGGGTCTCCTGCCAGAGCAAGGGGCTGGACTAGAAAACCTCCAAGGTCCCTTCCAGCTCTATACAATTATCTTTCAATTCTATTTACATGGCCGTCCGATATACGTCTTTCGTAGGGCTAATAAAGCCACGTTTAATTTTACTTTTTATTGGGACCCTCCACTCGGTCACTTTGGATATTTTACTTCTGAAACAGCATTGGGAATGTTTTGCAACGTTCAAATAAAGCGGCTGGCCTTTAACACTTGCTTCTCCATTTGGACTATTTTCTTCCTACCTACACCATTTAAAAAAACTCAATTTTAACCACAACTTTCTTTGCTTGAAAAAGTTGTTTTGTTTTTTTTTACACTGTGCATAGTTACTTTGATCATTAAGTCTTTAATTTTAAAAAAATCAGCTGTATTCCAGAGGGAAAAAAATAAAAGTGTTCTCTTTCAACAACTCAAGAAATCTCCTTTCTTTCGTTCGTTTGTTCTTTGTTCTTTCCTCTAAGCCAGGGTTCTCCAACCTTGGCAACTTTAAGCCTGGAGGACCCCAGCAAAGCTGGCTGGGGCATTCTGGGAGTTGAAGCCCTCCAGGCTTAAAGTTGCCAAGGTTGGAGAACCCTGCTCTAAGCCACTTTTTTTCTTTAGTCTCGGTATGCTATCACCGGCCTTCATCAAAGCGTTGGAAATTCAAAGAAACGGTAAAGATCTTGCATCCTTGCACAGTTGTGCCCCGGAACAATTATTCTCGTGAAAGCGTTTCCTTCCCATCCGGAAGCGAGGAGCAGCCATTGATAGGGACGTGAGGGTGTAGCAGCTAAATAGTTCCCCCTATTCTTCCTATTGACATAGGCGAAAAGGTAGGCGATCGTTGGCCGTTATGTTCATATATATATATATATATGTATATATTTTAGCAGCGTAGAAAGGCTAGGTAGGCTAGGCTGATTCTTTAATTTCTTGCGGCAAGATAAAGGGATAGAGCCAACAATACTTTTATTCGGATGTAAGTCACAGTTTCTGTGCGATCATTTGCGTGCTCGCTAATATATGCTAGCAGCGCTGACTATACAGGTTGTATTCCAGGATGCCGGTTGAATTGCCATTAATATACGTCGCCCAATGTAGGGCTCTCCGAGTTTATGCGACCACTAATCCCGGCCGTCCTAGAGGAGGATGAGAGTTAGACAGATTTTCTTTTCCTATATGCCAACATCAGAGATCGTGAAAGCTTTAATCTAGCCACATTATAAACACAATTGCTCTTCCAAAAGATCCTCAGCTCTTTTCTCAGTAGCATGTTGAAATCCATCCAGCCTGAGGGACCTTTTATCTGGCGCTACGTTGTCAGTAACTTTATATTGTCTACCTGTATGGTTTTCTTAGAAAAATAGCAGCATGTTTTATGATTACCAATAGAAGAAAATATATTACTCAGAATTGAACTATGTGGTGTCTGCGTTTGGTTGTTTGAATACAGACATTTCATTATCCTCCTAGGTCAGGGGTCAGCAACCTGTGGCTCTGGAGCCGCATGTGGCTCTTTCACCCCTCTGCTGCGGCTCCCTGTCACTCAAAATATGCATCACAACAGCCAATGTGCAACACCCACCATTACATGATTTATTGAGCTTTTCAACCCCCGGTAGGCCAACCATGGATAAATCCAAGAAAAGAAAAGTTTCAGAAGAAAACAGAATGTTTAATTCAACTACATATGCTAGTTTTGTGGCTGCTCAAGAAACAATCAGGCATGGAAAGGGTTTTGTGGCTCCTGGCATTTTCTTTTCTATGGGAAATGGTTCCAAATGGCTCTTTGAGTGTTTAAGGTTGCAGACCTCTGTCCTAAGTAATATCAGTGCTAGTTTGGTTTACCATTGCATTCTTTCACACAATATGAAATCACACCTCTGCTGTTGTCATTACAGCGATCTTCCACTTCCAACACCTTCCTACATCATTGCTGCCTGATATAGGTGCCTGCTTGTTTTTTTCTGGGGAGCTAAGAACTTCTTTCTTAAATAATTCTGCTAAGATTATGTACTCTTGGCATTCACTCCTAGCATTATTTGCTCATTCTTTCCAGGAACACTATCACCATGCTGAGATAGCAAGCAGGACCCAGGCTGGGAAGTAACTAAGAAACATTCTTGCAAAACAGTTGTAAATCAAACATTGAACAACACTCAAGAGGGAAGAGAAAAATATATTTTATTCATTTCAATCCTGCTTTTATAATCTGACATATAGACTGAGAATTGGAATTTATGTGAGTATATACTATATATACTACTCTAAATACATTTACAGTATTTTCAGTTTCATTGTTAATTATTAGAGATTCAATAGATTAGATTACAAAAGTAGAAAGGCATGAGCATACGTTCCTGTTTTTAAAAAAATATCCCCAAATGTCAAAACATGGAATAAAATGTTTTTCCAAAGATAATTGTATGAAAATAGGACTGAGATAAATGCATTTGTCTTTTAATCTTTATCTTAAGATAAAGCATAGCATTATTCTTAAGCTAAAGTCCTTACTACTCTTAAGTTAATTTAATAAAAATTTACTCTTGAGAGAAAAAAACATTTAGGATTACACTAATATCCAAAAACCAGAATTTTGCTTCTAGCACAAAATCAATGGCTGACTTAAAAATACATTGTTGACTGGATAAGACACATGTATAATTGGAAGATGCAATTGTGCATCTTCCAATTATAACTCTCATTACCCCCTAAAACTGTATGAAATATAAAAAGCATGAACATAGAAAAACTAAACAAAGTGAAAGATGAAATGAATTGACTACACACTGACATCTTAGACATCAGCAAATTGAAATGAGAGAAGAGAAATCAAGATTCAAATTTTCACTTGAGGCACAAATGATTGAGCTCAAATTACCGGTACCTGTGGTTAAGGTGTTGGCCTAGAAAACAGTAGACTAAGTTGTAGGCTTCCCTTAGGCATGAAAGCTTGCTGGGTGACTTTGGCCAGTGACTCTCGGCCCAATCCATTTCACAGGCTTTGTTGCTGAGGAAATAGGAATATTTGATTTAGATTAATTAGCTGCCTTGAATTATATATAAAAAAATGGGATAAAATCTAATAATAGCAATATTATAAATATTCGGGTATTTTGTGAAAAAAATGTCTCTCTCTGTAGAAATCTATAATGTTGGGAAAGATGGAAGGAAATAGAACAGGACAATCAGCAGCAGGGTGGTTGGATTAGATTACGGTTTTGATGAGTACACCATTAGAAGACCTGAAGGGCCACCTTGAGGATAGATCATCCTGGAAAAAGGTCTTTTTATGCATGACTAATATAATTGTTAGTTCCATAACTTCTCTGTTAATTTGTCCTTTCTAAATGTTTGTTATCATGATTTTTTCTTAGGAACAAAGGAACCTTCCATTTATTGTCAGACCTTTAGTCAATTGAGCTTAATATAGTCCGTTCTGACAGTAGGGGAAGGAGGAACTGCATGTAGCACATGTATACTATTATGGTCTTCCTTGTTCCCCTTTCCATTGCAGTTATTGTACTGATTCTGTAAATAACTTTTTCCCCTGAATACAGGCTTCATCAACATGGTTTTACTGGCAGAAAAAGACAGACCTGTTGCTCAGATGTTACTGAATTCTGGAACTTGTCCCCGCTGTATTTTCAGATTCTGTGGTGTAGGATTACAGACTTCCTACAGGCAACCTCATAAGGTTTGATTAAATTAGAATATACAATGTTGATGAGAATTATTTTCATGAAGTGTTCAGTCTTCGTCACACCTCTTTTCATAGCATCTTTCCTGAAAGTTGAAAGGAGATTTGGAGTGAACAGGATCCAAAAGGTTTTCACGGTGAAGGAAGACATGAAAGCAGTACTATTTATTACGTTGTGCTAGGGATCCTGAATGGAGGAAGAAGATGAGAATTAATGCTAAAAATATCTATCTCAGAATCCAGCCAAAGAAATAACCAGACATACCATCATGAAACCAATAGATTAATAAACTGAAAGTGATTAAAAGTCAGTAGTGTCCCATTTATGACTGATGGCAATAGCTTACTTGAGGTCTTTCAGCCTATTTTCTTCTCGCCTCTCTTTTATTGTCACCTGCCCAAAAGTCTACACCCAAAATTATGATATTCTTTAATGGAGAACTAGAGCATTCATTCTTCTCAGTGTTGGTGTTATGATCCCCAGCATAATCCTATGCAGGTTTACTCAAAACTAAAACTCACTGGCTTTAAATTTACTTACAAGATCACTGATTGCCTGACATTAGTTTTGTTAAAAACTCTTGTTCAGATAAACAGAACCTGTAGTTTTCAGTCTGAGACATCCCTTTAATGATAACTTGGTGCTGTTTTCCCATGTTGAATGCAAAACCATATTGACAGATTTCTATTTTTGTTTTGTTTTTTGATCAATCAGGATTTATTTCATGAGCTATGCAAGTTTCTGGAGAGCAAAAAAGATGAAAATATATTATCTTGTGAAATGGCTAATCCCCCATGTAAAAAGATCAAACTGGAAAATGCTAATGGGATTAAAGATCAAAACCCAAATGGAAGCCATGAGCTAAACAACATGGACAATGATGGAAGTGATGCTCCAGCAATTGAAAACTTAAATCCAGTTGTGTGCAATATATGTTTGGGGATTCTACAGGATCTTTGTGAAATAGACTTTGTCAAAGATGTAAGTGTCAGCCTTATGGAGCTTTATTTTCAGTTTTTCAAAGAATAAAACCAAATGTAACATGCAATATTGTTGTAAACATAGCTGGTATTCATATAGGATTTCACTGAACATTTTGTTGCTCATACCTATCTGAGAGTAAATATCATTGCTCCCAAACAAGTGCACAAAAAATTTAGACAATTAGTTCTACTGCAGTTACAGTATCTTGGATAATTCTAAGCAAGCAACCGATTTAGGAAAATTTAGAACTCAGTTGTAGCCTTTTATTTTTCTTGGTCTAAATTATTTCAGGTATTTCCTCCTTCCTGATTTAGGACCTACTTGTGTTCTCTAAGCTGGTAAGCACCAGGAAGCATAGGCTTCGTTGGGTAAAGTATTCTTCCAGAAGGGCAATTTTGTGGATTCTGACTGATGTGTCTGCTCCTAGCTTACAGGCTCAGGTTCAGTGTCTGAGTCACCATTTAATAGCTCCTACATGATCAATAGTCCTCAACCAGCTGGCTTTTCTCACACTTTTTGGTTGCTCAAGCATCTTTTGGGATAGAGAGGAATACCAAAAGAATACAACATCAACTGTTGTAGAAATGAAACTTCTTGAATTGGCAAAGATCGGTATAATAAAATATGTTCCTTTTCTTTGTAAAGAAAGCAATGCTTTCTGCAGCTTCAGAACTGCTAAACAAACATGCATTCTTTAAGGCAAATGTGCGTCTAAGTTGATTATTTTTTCCCATTGTTTTTTGTGTTCTACTAAACAATATTTTGCAAGAACAATATTTGTAGTTCTCCTGCCAGGTTTGGTTAATCTGTTCAACCTCTGAATTGGTTGTGGTGAGACATTTTTGAAATGATGTAAGTTTTTACCCCAATTATAAAGCCAAACTGGTGAGAAGCAGACAGTAGGTACTGAAAGAATCTACTGAAAGAATCAACACATTTATTCTAAGGTAAAAATGCTAACTCTATAAACAGAATTATTTTGTAAATAATATTACTCAAACAGTTTTCTAGATTGCCCTATATGAAATAATTTGTTCTGGGGATATGAGTTGAAATATGGTAAGTAAATATTTTAAATAAATCTATATTTTTCAGGTATGCCATAAGATTAATTCTTCTGAATATCAGTTTTCCAGTTTTGTGTTTTCAGTGTCGTTCCCACCACAACTTTCAGTCAGAGAGGTGGGTATTTCGCAGATACTTTTATTTATGCTTCAAATTGGCCTTCAATGAGAAAGAAAGGATGTTCTTACATATTACCTTGCTTTGCATGCTGGGAAATTCACTTTGTTAGGCAGATATTGAACAACATGGATTGGCAGTAGTTAGCCAAAATGGTGGATCGATGGTGGAGCAAAGTGGAAAATCACTGCTGGCAGTTTGGGTTAGGTTGATTTGAAATTTAGCATTTCGCTTGAGGATCGTAGAAATACTTTGGCCAAAGGTCACCCTATGTATCAGACAGACCTTGATTTTTATAAAAAGTAGAGAAAACTTGGTCAGGGTATTTTCAGCCAGTTACTGAGAAAAAAAAATATCAATGCTCTTTCTTTCTCATGCTCCCATCTCTTTTGTTTCTCTACTTTTTCCTATGTACGTATCTAAAGCATGCAGCATGCCTGCTGGTGAAAGAAGAAATGGGGTGAGTATTTTCTCCAGACAATCTAAGGACCGCAATAGCATTTAGACTTATATACCACTTTACAGTGCTTTACAGCCCTCTCTGGTTTACAGAGTCAGCATATTGTCCCCAACAATCTGGGTCCTCATTTTACCCACCTCAGAAGGATGGAAGGCTGAGTCAACCTTGAGCTTGGTGAGATTTGAAGTGCCAAATTGAAGGCAGGAGAAGTAGCCTGCAGTACTGCACTCTAACCACTGCACCACTATGGCTCATATGATTTAAATGATTTAATTATGATTGAAACAGCAGTGACCTTGGTTAAGTCATGTAACAACTGATTGCTGGGCACATGATTAAAGTATACTTAAGTGGTCAAAGTTATGACTGGTTCTGGATATTCCGTCATGGGTCAATGTGTTTCTACTGTCACTCTGGCAAGTGTGACAGATGTTGTCAGTCCTGTACTGTATTCTACTTATTTTTAGATCCTTGAATTATAATTGATCGTTAATAGTCACTTTATTCTAGTGGATAAGGCACCAGGCTATATAGCAGGACGCTGTGAGTTCAAGTCCCCCTGTAGTCATGAAAGCCAGTTGACTGACCTTGGACCAGTCACTCTCTCTCAGCCCAACTCATCTTCCAGGATTGTTGTGGGGAATATAGGAGGAAGGTGTGTTGAATATATTCACCGTCTTGTGTTATTTGTAAAAATAATAAAAGTGGGATATAAAGAAACAAACAAATGGATTACAGAAGATCTTGTTCAGATGGTAAAAATATGGGTCAGTTTATTTTTTATCCTAAATTTCACATACTTCAGAAAACACTCTCTTTTTTACAATTTAGGAAACAGGGCTTGTCAATTGGAAAAGATGACTTTGTTCAGCTGAAAGAAGCTTACAAATGGCTTATCCATCCCCTGTTCTTGGAGGAGTTGGGAGTCCCTGCTGATGGAAAGGTAGTATATACATAAACCATTTACTCTGCTTTTGCAGCAAATGTAAAACATAGAACATTATGGGATAGCCCATATTATACATTGCCTCCATCATTTTGCACTCCTAAGATTATGAAGCTGAAAATCTCCACTTGGTGTTGATTGAATTTTATTCTTTCATTCATATATTTAATATTTTTAATATCCTTAACCATTGATTTGTTTAGAATATTTCACACCCTGGTTCCAAAATTCAGGCAAATAATTTTCACTTCTGCAATACTTAGGTGTTTGTAAAAGAAATTTGTTTTGAAGTGTTACAATTTAATGTAACTAGATGACCTCATTAGGGATAATTCTTTTCCAAGTATCTTTTGTCCCATTATATAACAAACAGGAAAAGAGCCTTTAATATTGTATTGTGGAATGCTCAGTCATGAAATTTGTGCTAATGTTACATTTATTTTGGTATCAGGTCAAAATTTCATTTCTCTCTGCATTTTAAATTGTTCAGCTTGGCCTACCATGCTTGCATTGCCTTTTCATATTGTTTTGTTGCATTTTCTGGCTGTAAAACTTTTTAATAAAGAACAGTCGACAAATAACCCAAATAAAGAATAAATTTAGTATTAACCCACAGTATAGTTGCTTCTCTTTTTATAATGGTAGAGGGAGCAGTGGAGATGAAAATTAAAGAACTGAAAGACTTAAAGGGACAGTTAAACCCAAACTTCTTTCATAGAGAGTAAGATCATTTGGGTTTGTCAGAATCAGGAACTATGATTGAAACTTTGAACCAATTCAAATTATTAAGCCAACTGTAGACCATGGTTTCATATTCTGGCTGGTATTTCATGGTTTATTGGTATATATAAAATCATTCTGATTTTCTTTGGTAAAAGGGAATGAAATGGAAGCATCCACAAGCATTGAAGATATCCAGTAATTATTGCAGGAAATTCTCAGAAATGCATCTGAGAAACATGCCTATTTCTTAATGCAGTTGTATACATGTCTTTAACATGTGCAGTTGTATGTCTGAGGGCCTTGTGTAGATCACTGCCTCCTGCATATGCTTTAATGACTTGAATCTGTTACTCACATTTTGCATTTGCTGAGCAGCAAATACAGTTCTTGTTTAATATTAGTCACATCAAATCTATTCCTGATGTTAGGCTTCAGGTGATTGGACAGACTGAATTCAATCTATTGAAGAAAAAAGTGATATGGAGGAAATCAGTAGCAATTAAAAACTAACTTCTATCTTTGTGATTCAGAGCCTCTTTGAAGTGAGTGTTGTATTTGCTCATCCAGAGACAGATGAAGATTGCTGTTTCCTGTAAGTATAATAACAAGCAATGTTTTATGAGAGCAGAGACAGGTGGTATTGGCTGAACATTCTAGATCTCCCTCCAATATTTGAGATATCTTGAGCAAGCTAACTCTTTGAAATAGCTAATAGACAAGCTATTTTGCCTGATAGTGCTGCTGCTGAGGGCTAGGTGCCCTGCATAATGTCACCATGCTTGGGTTGCATTCCTTAGGATAACAACAGAGTAAGTGGCACTCAGGTATCACTTACTCTATTTCCAATAGCTCCAATAGCTGATTTGATACCAAGAGAATCGTTTAAAGTGGAGTGGACAGGATAAGAATGTAACTCTACTCACTCATGCTTCTACCCTTCATCTAGTAAATGTCTTCCACTTACAAAAGAGAAAGCCCACAAAATCTGGGGAGTGAAGTGGGAAGATAGTTTTTCTAATCAAGAATGAAATGCAAGGATCTGAACTGGGATTTAAGTAGTTCCAATTGAATTGATTGTCTCATGCTTGTATTTTGCTTGATTATAGCTCTTTGATCTTCCAGTCAATAGAAGATAGCAATAGCAATTAGACTTATATACCGCTTTACAGCCCTCTCTAAGCAGTTTACAGAGTCAACATATTGCCCCCAACAATCTGGATCCTCATTTTACCAACCTCGGAAGGATGGAAGGCTGAGTCAGCCTTGAGCCTGGTGAGATTCGATCTGCCAAACTGCTGGCAGCCAGTGATCAGCAGAAATAGCCTGCAGTACTGCACTCTAACCACTGCGCCACTGCGGCTCAGATATTAGAATCTTCTGCTCTTTAGCTTTTTAACCTCTGGGCAAGTGTCAGCAGGAGCTTAATAACACAAAGCTCCTCAGATTGGCCTTAACTTTGCTGTGATATTCTGCCAAAGAAGCAGAGCCTTCCAGTTCCATGGCCAAAGGAAGACTGGCAAACTTGCGGCCCGTGGGCCAGATGTGTTACATGCTGGCCACGTCTACCCCATTTTAGCAAGGGTGGGGGGGGAAATAGCAATATGTCATGTGACGACAATGTGACAACGTGAGTTTAACACCCCTGGACTAAGGAGCAAGAGTTGCCTGACTAGATAGAGATGGGAAAGGTATTTTCAAAAGTATCTATCTTCTTGGCAATTGTTCTTAATAAAAATGTTTTGACACCGGCAAATATAAAACATTATACCATTGTATTCATTATTTATTTGTTAGAAAACGTAATCACCTGTTTAAAGATATTTGACTGATTTTTGTTGTTTTCATTCAGAGCTTCAGTGTGTCCAAGCTGCTTCAAACCAGCAAAAAATAAACAGGTAATTAACTTTAATTTTATACAGTTACCAATACCTGTGCTCCAAATCTGTATCTCACAATAGGCACTCTGATGCTTTCTAAATATTTTGATTTTGCTGGCTGAAGTTACCTGAGTTCCCATTCAAGAACATCTGGAGAATAGCGGAGTACTTACTATGGCTTCAATTTTTAAAATATATGTAATTTTAAAAACAGGCAATTGCTAGTTGCAGGTTTCTTAGTTGCCATAGTATGCTTGTTCTTGTCTTTTATCATTATTTGGTGTGTATAGTTTTTATTTATTTTTTTAGCCGCCCAGAATTTGAAAGATGTCCAGCCATATGAAATAAATAAGAATATGTATGAATCATGTTAACACTGATATAAAATATGAAAGCCAGTTTGGTGTAGTGGTAAAAATTGGGAGAGAGAATACTGGGAGAGCATGAGTTCTAGTCCCACCTTGGACATGAAGCCAGCTGGTGATCTTGGGCCAGTCACTTTTTCTTAGTCCTAGGGAGTGGGCAATGGCAAAACATTTCTAAAAAACCTTGCCAAAAAAACTGCAGGGACTTATTTTGGCAGCGTCTGAAAATCAGACACAATTGAATAGAAGGAAATAAAAATAAAAATGAGTAAAGTATAGGGAGGCGTATACTTGCCAGGTAAGGTTGGCACCCAATACAGTCTGAAGTTAGAATTTGTAAAACCTAATGTAAATGTAAAACTTTTCTTCTATAATAAAGCACCAAGCTTAGAACAAAATAAGGAAACAACAAACAAAAGGGATACTACTAGATAAGCCATTGAAAAATGGCTTCCTACTTGGCTAAAATAAATCAAATAGAAAGAATAAGGTTTGGAATGTCTGATAACTTGGGTAATAGTTTACTTTTCTCTATAGTCAGTCTTCACCAGAATGGCTGTGGTAAAAGCTTTGGATATGATTGATGAAGAAGAGTTTCACAAGTAAGTAACTCCTGAGTTTAACTTAGAGAGAGAGGGAGGGAGGGAGGGAGGGAGAGAGAAAGAGAGGGAGAGAGAGAGAGTATTTCACAACACAAAGATAGTCAAGCGGCATGTTGGCAGACACAGAAAATAGTGCTTTTACCAGCAGTCATCATAATTTTTTTAATAACAGGAAAAAAGGCTAACCTTGTATTTTTTCTGATAGTGATTTGTGTGATACAGCAGCAGAAAACTATTGATGTAGTGTGCCTGAAGTGAAGTGTTTGGGAAGGTCTCTCATGTTTGCTTTGCAAACAGAATAAACAATTATGTGCTAATAAGTATTTCGGATTGGTAGATTTGCAACTAGTTAGATAGCTGCATCCAAAGGGTATTCATATATGGTTCTTCAACAACCTAAAAAAACCCAATCAAGTAGGCTTCCCAGAGCTCTTTCCTTGGCCCAGCACTATTCAATAACTTCATAAAAATATAAAAGATGAAATCGAAGAAATTATTATTAGATTTGCAGATGATCCCTAGTTGTAAAATTATATATATGAAATTATCAGAGGGTCATGAACAACTAGAAAGATTTGGCAGCACTGTTGCAAACTTCTTTAATAGTATCTTTATTTCAATATTCAGCCAACATAAAGTTAAAAAAAAACAGATACTATGAGATTAACAGCTCTAACATGAGAAGAGTAGGCCTAAAAATATTGAAGACCATGACGATAAAAAAAGGTAAATAAAACCAGAATCTGTACTGTGCTATTAAAAAAAAAAGAATAAATCATGGCTACGAAAGCTGTGAATTTGGGCAACAGGAGTCTTAATAACAGTTTAGGTATGTGTCAAACATGAATTGCTCAAGCTAACATTTAATATCCAATGAATTTTGCATGCTCTATGTAGAACTTGGTAATCTTCTGCATTTGAGGGAGCTGAATCAATAGGGCAATGTAAAATTGGCCCTTGTGGCTGAATACACTGGTGAGTAATGGAAGAATAAAGGAACTGCAGATAACTTTGTAAAAATGATTAGGAGAGAAGGATGTGCTCGGTGGGGTTGATTTCCTCGTCACTGAAAGGCTACAGAAATGCCAGGAAGGAGATCTTCCTTCCTTCCTTCTAAGAAAGATGAAGGAGACATTGCGGTCAGCAATGAAGACTGAAGGACCTGCTATGTGTAGTATTGTGCATCCATTATATGCAGCTGAAGAAGCCTACTGTCCTGCTCATGTTCCTCTGATTATGGTAGATGAGCTCAGATTTTGAGTATTGTATTATCAAGGTTAGCAATTACCGTAATTTTTCACCTGCTTCTGTTTCTTAGATACAATATTGGACTTTTAAAAATTATTTACATTATAAAATGTTTTTGAAATATTTGAAAGAAAGGTTTTTTTGGATACACGTATCTATTTATTTTGCACAATGTTTAACTTTTCCTTCAATGTTTCTCTAGTGAATTGCCCTTTATATCTTCCCTAATACAGGAACTATCCATCTCCTGCAAGTTCGCCTAAAACTCCTTGCACAGCAGTTGACGTTCAATGCAACAATGGTGCCATTTTTGTGGCTGGTGAGAATAAATGTTTTTCTTTAATAGAGGTTCATAAGATCACTCCTTTTTAAGATTACTGGGCAAGTGTGCCCTTTGCTTAATAAGAAAGGCCCACTCAGTTGTTATTGGGACAGAAACCCATATGATTATATGAACAGTGTTGTTCTATGGGGAAGTATGATGGTACAGCCATTGAGAAATGAGTCAGTCTTTAAGAAACTTAAAACTAAGTGTTGCTTTTTTTTCAGTGACATTGATCCGCATTGAAGGAGATTGATATGCAGAATATATAAATTTGACTTCAAAATGAGAATTTGTTGTTCAAATCACAGTATATTTCTGGTTAAAATGGGCTATTAGGAAGCAGAATTTATATTTGGCAGTTTTTCGTAGGCCAGGATTGTACTCACTTGACAATTAATATCACTGGAAAAGCATCTCGGAAAATAATTGGATCAGAATAATTGGATGAAATACAAATATTTATCCAGTTGTTTTTCAAAGCAAATTTACGTTATGGCCTTCGTTACTCATGGCTTCATAAGGAAGAAGTAGCTTAAGGAGCAATTCTTGAGGGATCTTCTAATACATGTTTTATGATAGTGACTTCCTTTTCTGTGCACTCAGCTTCTACTAAAATGCTTTTATTTGTAATACTTTTGCTGAACTAAGAGTTAATAAATATCATAGCACATTTTTTCTTTTCTCTGTTTTTTTTTGAAACAGGAAGATATAATAAATATTCAAGAACTCTACCTCAGACTCCCTGGATTATAGATGGAGAGAGGAAGATGGAATCATCTGTAGAAGAATTGATCTTGGAGCATCTCATGCTTGCCTTCAAAGCAGATAGTGAGTGTGTGCATGCATATGTTTACATTACTTTAAATAAGTTATGCAATATGTATGCACCGATGAAAAAATGCAGGAAAATTGTGTAGGCAAGTGACCCAACATCTGTTTAATGTAGAGCAGGGGTGTCAAACTCGATTTCATTGAGGGCCGCATCAGGGTTTGTTTGATCTCAGGGGGCCAAGGTAGGTGTGGATGGGGTAGGCGTGGCCAGCTCAATGTCACTCATGTCGGGGGCGCCTATGGTACCCCGAGCACTCTGCCAAGTGTGCTCCCAAGCTATGTTTTCTTTTTCTTTTTATTAAAAAGTTTTATCAAATATTACAACAATTTTTCCCCATCCCTCCTCCCCCCTTCCCTCCTCCCCCCACCCCCCCACCCCCCATCCCCCCTCTCCCTCCAACCCCTCTCCCCCCACCCCGGACTTCCCAGAGCAAATACAGGGTATAACATTTAACAAACATAAACTAAAATATGCTAACTTTCTGTAGGCTCTTAATTCCCTCTTGCTCTTTAACTCCCTTTCAACTAACAAAACATAATTCAAAAAGAAAAAGTTGATTTCATTCATAAGCTATTTGAAGCTTTTTAGTCTGATATTTGTTTTGAATATAGTCAATCCTTCTTCTCCATTCCGATATATATCTTTCATTTGAATGGTCCTTCAAGTATGCCGAAATTTTGGCCATCTCTGCTAAATTCACTACTTTTAGTGTCCATTCTTCAATAATAGGCAAGTCTTCCTTCTTCCAATACTGCGCCACCAAAAGTCTGGCTGCTGTTATTAAATTTAAAATCAACTTAGTCTCTATAACAGTACAATCTGTAATTATATCTAACAAAAAGAACTGTGGAGTAAATTTTATCTTCTTTTTGAGAATATTTTGAATAATCCACCATATTTTTATCCAAAATGCCTTAATTTTTTTACATGTCCACCATATATGATAATACGTGGCATCATCACATTCACATCTCCAACACTTAGGTTGCACACTTGGATACATACAGGCTAGCTTTTTAGGATCTAGATGCCATCTATAAAACATTTTATAAAAATTCTCTCTTAAATTTTGGGCTTGCGTAAACTTCACATTTCTAACCCATATTTTTTCCCACGTTTCCATCATTATTGGTTCTTCAATATTTTGTGCCCACTTTATCGAACAGTCCTTACCTAACTCCGTTTCTGAATCTATTTCTACCAATGCATTATACAACCTTTTTATATGCATTTGACTTTGATCTCTAATCTGTTTTACCAAGTTCTCCTCATTTTCATTTCAATCACTCAGATTCGGGCAGGTCTGGACTCTGACGGGATAGATCCAGCGAGGGTAACGGAGACAGGTCTTGAGACTGTTATCTGGGATGAGTTTGATCCTGTGACCCCAGATGACGTGGACAGGATTCTGGGTAGATTGAACGCGACCACATGTTTGTTGGACCCGTGTCCCTCCTGGTTAGTGCTGGCTTCCCGGGAGGTGATGCGAGGCTGGCTCCAGGGGATTATAAATGCTTCGTTGGGTGAGGGTGTCTTTCCCGCCGCCTTGAAAGAGGCGGTGGTAAGGCCTCTCCTCAAGAAGCCTTCCCTGGACCCGGCAGTATTGGCTAATTATCATCCAGTCTCCAACCTTTGCTTCGTTGCGAAGGTTGTTGAGAGTGTGGTTGCGTGACAGCTACCCCAGTACCTGGATGAAGCGTCGTATCTAGATCCGTTCCAGTCGGGCTTCAGGCCTGGGTACAGCACGGAAACGGCATTGGTCGCGTTGGTTGATGATCTCTGGAGGGCTCGGGACAGGGGTTGTTCCTCTGTCCTGGTCCTGTTAGACCTCTCAGCGGCTTTTGATACCATCGACCATGGTATCATGCTGCACCGGCTGGAAGGGTTGGGGGTGGGAGGCACCGTTTTATGGTGGTTCTCCTCCTTTCTCTCTGACCGGTCGCAGTCTGTGTTGACAGGGGGGCAGAGATCGACCCCGAGGCCCCTTATATGTGGGGTGACGCAGGGATCGGTTCTCTCGCCCCTTCTGTTCAACATTTATGTAAAGCCGCTGGGCGAGATCATCCGTGGTTTCGGGGTGAAGTACCATCTGTACGCTGACGACACCCAGCTGTACATCTCCACCCCGGACCACCCCAACGATGCCCTTGAAGTGATGTCCCAGTGCCTGGAGGCCGTACGGATTTGGATGGGGAGAAACAGGCTCAGGCTCAACCCATCCAAGACCGAGTGGCTGTGGTTTCCGACGTCCCGATATAGTCAGCTGGCACCATTGCTGGCTATTGGGGGCGAATCATTGGCCCCCACGGAAAGGGCTCGTAACTTGGGCGTCCTCCTGGACTCACGGCTGTCTTTAGAAGAGCACTTGACGGCCGTGACCGGGAGGATTTTTCATCAGGTTCGCCTGATTCGCCAGTTGTGTCCCTTTCTAGATCGGGACTCGTTACGCACAGTCACTCATGCCCTCGTCACCTCTCGTCTGGACTATTGTAATGCTCTCTACATGGGGCTCCCCTTGAGGTGCACCCGGAGGCTCCAGCTGGCGCAGAGTGCGGCCGCGCGGGTGGTTATGGGAGCAACATGGAGCTCCCATGTAACACCTCTTCTGCGCGAGCTGCACTGGCTCCCGGTGGTCTTCCGGGTGCGCTTCAAGGTTCTGGTTACCACCTTTAAAGCGCTCCATGGCTTAGGACCTGGTTACTTACGGGACCGCCTACTACCATCAACAGCCTCCCACCGACCAGTACGCTCCCACAGAGAGGGGCTCCTCCAGGTGCCGTCGGCCAAACAATGTCGGCTGTCGGCCCCTAGGGGGAGAGCCTTCTCTGTGGGGGCACCGACGATCTGGAATGAGCTCCCCCCAGAGATACGGAGGATTCCGGATCTGCGCACCTTCCGCCGCGAGTTGAAGACGCTTTTATTTCATCAAGCTGGCCTCGCCTAAATCATCTCCCTTTTAAGTGTAAATTTTAAATTTTTAATGTATTTTAAAATATGGGTATCTTAAATTATGGGTATTAATTCAGCCAAATTTATTTAATTCATTGTATTCGATTTTAAATTTTGTATATCTATGTGTTTTATTTCATGGCTGTGCACCGCCCTGAGTCCTTCGGGAGTAGGGCGGTATAGAAATTCAATAAAATAAATAAATAAATAAAATAAATAAAATTTTGCAAAATACAAATTTTCTGATCTTCTCTCCATCTAGCTTGCAACTGTACATATTGAAACCATGTTTGAATTATCCTTTCTTCTCTTAGTTGATTCAAAGATTTTAATTGTAGTATACCTCTTTCCTTGTTAAGAAGCCTTTGTATGTAATCACATCTTGTTTTTTCTTTTACATTTTCTTCATATCTAAACAGATTTTCATTTAACCTCCAAGACCTCTTAAATCCCATTCCATACTCTAGTTCCATCCAAACTGGACTATGATCCGCTAAAACTCTTGGACAAATCTTCGTCTTCTTCACCCTAGAAAAAAGATCATTAGTAATTAATATAAAATCAATCCTAGAGAAAGATTGATGTCTATCTGAAAAAAAGGTAAAGTCTTTTTCTTCAGAGTTCCTCTCCAGATATCTCTCAACTCCATATCATCCATCATTTCAAAAAACGATTTTGGCAATCTAGCACACTTTGAGATATTTTGCAAGAGCCCCTTCTTATCTTTTTTAGTGTCCAAAACTCCATTCCAATCACCCAATAAAATGCATGATTTATCTGAAGTTGCTGCACTCTTAATTCTTCTTGACACTTGGCTGCTGCTCGGGTCTGTCTTTGATCCTTAGGTTCTTCTATCTCCAAGGCTTGAACAGTAGTCGAAAGTTGTATTAAATCTTCTTGAGTAATCAAAACTCCCCTTTGGGCCTGTGCCAGCAATTCTTCCTTCTCCCCCTTTCTTGTCCCCTCTACTTCCGTCTTCCTTCTAACTTCTGGGGACTGTGGGCATCCAGCCTTTAGTACATTGGTGTAAAAATCTCTTGCCTTCCACACTGAGTTAAGACGATATCTCTCTCCTGAATAGTTCACCACTAGTCCAGCTCGAACCTCCCATCTGTACTGTATCTGTCGGTTTCTCAGTTCTTCCACCAGAAAGGCATAATCCCTTCTGGCTCTCAACATTTTGGGGGGGGATTTCTTTCAGTATTAAAACCTCCTGCCCCTGCACTTGAAGTTTATTTTTAAAAGTGACTTGTAGGATTTCATTACGTATTCTCCTTATTGTAAAATAAACTACAATGTCTCTTGGTAGATGTTTCTGTCTGGCAACCCATGAATTGACACGGTAAATTTTGTCAATTTGCCATTCAAGATTTGCTTTTTGATCTCCCATTATCTGTGCAAATGCTTCGAAAGAATCTCTCTCAAATTCTCTTGCTTATTTTCTTTGAGGCCTCTTATTTTCAAAGCAAATTCCATATCTCTATATTGTATCATTATCACATCGGCCTCAACTCTTTCCATCTTATTCTGGACATCTCCCACTTTATTTTCCAAATTCTCATTAGACTGCTTAATTTCTTCCACTTTTTCATCTATTGCCTCAATATGGCCTGCCAGACCTTGGACTGTCATGATAATATATTCTCTAATTTCCTGATTACGTTTTTGAATGAACTCTTTAATTTGAGCCGTCTCCTCAGCAACATCTCGAATTTTATCCTCAAACACCGAAGTAATTTTTTTTCTATAACAGAGGCTTGTGTTTTAAGGGCTTCCTGCAACATTTCAAGTGTTAATATTGGTGGTTCCGTTGGAACAGAGAGAGATTGCAATTTGGACGTTTGAGCTGGTGAGCTCCCAGCACTTTTAGGAACAATAGTCTTTATTTGTTTTGAAGCCATTTTTAATTTCCAATTTAAATTTATGCAGCAACCAGAACAACAAATCCTCCAAATCCAGAGATTTCCAGTCTTTAAATGATACCAATGCTTTTTTATTTATTTTTTTAAAAACACTGCTATAGTCTTTTTAACTTTTAATCTTCTTTCTTTCCAAGCAAAAATCTCTAATTTTAGACCAGGGCTGCCAGCGCTAAACGAAACTTTCCTTTTTAACTTTCGCTTTCACGCCCCATTAAAGCTCAATCGCCATCTTGGTTTCACTTTCTCCCCTTAGTAAATCAGAAGAAAGTAATGCACATTTGGAGTTAAAGTTTAGTACTTGCAAATCTGATCTCTCCTGAGTTTGCTCAGCCTGCTTCCGAATGATGTTTTATTCCAAGCGTTGTTTGCAGGGGTGGTCGCGGTGTCTTCTTCTGCTTAAAGCAGAAACGTCCCGGATCCGGAGCTCTGTTGGGCTTCCAGGGAGCTCTCACCCTTTGAGCCCCAGAATTGTTCTTGGGGCTTCTTGAGGAGCTCTACCTGCACCCGTCTGCTCTCTTCCTCCCCTTTTCCCGGGGAGAAAGTTTTCAAGCCGCTAGACAGCTGATTTGCGCTGTTCTAGCGGCTTTACGAGATCGCGGGGCTGGCGCTCGCAAAAGGAGCGTCTTTGGCACGTACAGTGCCACCGGAAGTCCCCCAAGCTATGTTTTCATCTGCGCGGCCTCCTGCAACTCTCTGCCAGCAAAAACAGAGCTCGGGAGCACTGCCCGTGGCCCTCTCAAGCTCCATTTTTGCTCACAGAGGCACCACAGGCCAGTCCTTGGCTGTTTTCAGGGTGGCCCCGTGGGCCAGATCTAAGCACCCTGCAGGCCAGATCCGGCCCCCGGCCCTTGAGTTTGACACCCTTGATGTAGAGCTAAACTCTGATTTGTCTTGATCATGCCGAATAGCTTGGCTTACTTATGGATTTCCAAATTCAGTCAGTGTTTCTTTCTCCTGTTTTTAAGGTTTTAATTTTTCATCCTCTGGAAGGGAAGATGTGGATGTGAGAACATTAGGCAACGGTAAGTTCAACACTTGAAAATATCCGAAATGGGGGAAAAAAATCAATTGACGATCCCTTGACCAAAAAAAAAAAGCCATTTCTGAGATCATGGGAGTTGGAAGGGGCCACTTAGGCCATGGAGCCTATCCCACTGTTCAGTGTAGAAATCTGGACAGCATATCTAAAGAAATTCATTAGGAGAAAATTTCCGACTTAAGTACATTTATGTATAAAAGATCTTCATTCAAACAGTATTTAAAGCTAAAGGTGATGTAATTGAACAACAAAAACGGAATGTCTGTGGAGATTCTCAGTCATCCAGGTCATGGTTGTCCCAAAAGTGCTTTTTTAAAGAGGGAACTTTCTTGTTTCAGTAAAGAAGCAGGAAGTCCAGTTGCCTTTTGAAAAAAGCACTTTACTTTGAAATAATTTACTCAAAGTTAACAAACAAATTAACAAAATTTGCCGACCACATCTTCTGGTCCTGTAGCCGTATAATTATCTTTGTCTTGTTTGTCCAGAGCACATTGTTCCAGCAGTTCTGGTCTTTGCCTAGCAAACTTTAGTCTTGCCCTAATTTTTTTTTTCTGGAAAACAAAAGCTTTCTCTGTTCAACTTCTTTCTAATGGAAGTCTCATGCACTTTGCCATTGATAGCAGCAAGCAAGATAGTACCTGAAGCTTCTATGATGAAATTCTAGGGTTCTTAAAAACATTTTGTGTTCTGCTGTAGGATTGAATTTACTGGGACAGCCTGGCCTGGACAAGTAGGCAGTTGTGTGAAATATTTTCTACTTGTAGATGATCTTCTGGACAGTGGAATTATTGATGTCCATTTGGTTGGTAATCCTTTGAAATCTCTTCCCAGCCTCTAGGCATCTATAATCTTTTTGAAGGCTTCGAGGTGCTCTTTTGATCTAGACATGGTGGTACCATATATTTCCCCAACAAAGAGTAAATTAAACTGAATGTCTGAGGTTTAAGCAGGGTGGATTTAATTTAAATCGAGTTGATTTAAATCATAATTTAAATCATAATTTAAATCACTAGTAAAAAGGCTTGATTTAAATCAACTCGATTTAATCATAATTTTTAAAGAGCAACTGTCATCTCTGCTACTCCTTTGACCCACTGTTGACTCACCGATAGTCCCAGTGTTGCAGAATATACAGCCTCATGCTACATAACTAAGCTCCATTTCATGCTGAATAAACTAAATTATTTATGTATCTTAAATAGAAAATTATTTTATGATAGATTTTTATCCCAAAAGTTTTTTATTAAAATAAATTCGATAAAAATCAAAAAAATCCGATTTAAATAAAAAAAATCTGATTTTTATGATTTTTTTAAAAAAATCATTGATTTTTATCCACCCTGGGTTTAAGTAAAATTAGTTCCTCCTCTATAACTGATCTAATCGTTTGAACCGCCCTGAGTCCAGTGGGAGAAGGGCGGTATAAAAATCTAATAAAATAAATAAAAATAAATCTGGTGCACCTGATTTTAATTTTAGATATTTTAGATATTGATAAACCTAGGCATTTACTAAGTTTTTCCCTTTGTGAACTTACATCTTGATATATTTTTATATAGTTTGCTGAAAATGGATATTTTTCAATTGTCAATTTTCTTTTTTCCCCATGTCTAAATCTGAAAACTAGTTTATAATCTTAATTTGTTTTCTTCCCATCTTTCTTTCTGGATTGCCACCATCATGATTACACCATTGTTCATAGGAAGGCCCTTTGCAGTTGAGCTGGTTAACCCTCGGAAAGTCCAGTTGACTGCAGTAGAAATGAAGGAGCTTCAACAGGTATAATGTTTGAAGGTTGACCTATAACTATTGTCATGTAGATTGGGATGAACGAAGTCAATTAGAGATTTTCTTGCAAAATTACCTATAAAGCTAAATTATATGGGGACTAATATGATCTTCTCCTCTTGGAAGGTATTAAACAGTGGCCAGATGAAAAATTGGCCCTAAATTCCATGGAGAAGGGAAGGCTATCGTAATTTTATACATTATCATCTTAATGATGTACACATCCTGCCCTAGCATTTAAATTGTATATACACATTGCTGATTTCATAACTCATATGGCAAGAATTATTTGATGATATTCAGGAATATACATGGTACTCCTTGTTCAGCTAATTAAGAGTATAGTGCTTTATCTACCCATCAGATTTTAATTGCAAAATAATCACATATAATTACTATTTTTTATTTTTGAAAAACACTTAGAGGATCAACAGTTCTTCAGACAAAGTCCAAGTTCGTGATTTACAACTTGTCAACAGGTTAGTTGAATTTGTTAGATAAAACAGGTTTTATCTGAGGTTTTTTTTAGCATATTTCCATAGAAAATGGAAAATGGCACTGGCATAATCTACAAAATTTACTGAAATCAGCAGAAGAGACTCTTTTAAATGGGAGGGGGGATATCCTGAGGGGCTTTCAGGCAATGGTATGTGTTCCCTGGAGTAGTGATACTCACTCCTCAGTGGGGAGTAGGAACATAACAGAAATACATCTCTTTCCAAATTTCTAACAGTTAAACTGATTTCAGCTGTCCCGGTTTTAGTTTGATTTTACTATTTTGATTAGTTGAGTTCTGTTTTGTACTTGTTAACTGCCTTCCATGCTTATATAAGAATGATTATAAATTTAATAATAATGAGAAAAGAATAACAATAAAACCAGTAACACAAGATCATAAAAAAGTCTGTAATGTATTTGATCACAAGCATGAGTTGGGAATTTTGCTTCTCTTTTTCAGATGATCAGCATATTTTATTGATTTCTTGATTAAGCAACATATCTCAAAGGTCCTTATATTACAGATTGCAGATTTTTGGAAATCCTCTGCTACTGCAGATTTTCTACTTTTGACATCAGAGATATGCTGCAGGATGGAGGAGGACACATTTTTCCCATCTAATATCTGATGAGACATCTTCTGCCCATCGTAAGTTTGTGGCTGTTCTAATATGTTGTTTGTTTTTCTTTCAGAGAGGCCATTGTACATATGAAAGAAGGGGAAGAAGAGAAGACCAAGTCCTACAGTGCCTTAATATGGACAAAGAAAGTGATCCAAAAGGAAGACATTACGTTCCTAGACTCTATGAAGGTTGCATGTCTGGGGTGGTATTTATCATTTGTTTGCTCGTTTTTAAATCCCATACAAAGATTTTTACAAGCCCCATTATATTTAGCTTTCATCAAACTCAAGATGAAAATCACTGTACCTTTTTTTAGTGGAAAACCACAGAATTCATGCAATGCCTTTGAGTGTAACATTTTTCAGAAGTGTGACACTGACAATATAGAAGTTATTTTCTGTAAGATGGATAATGTATACATTATGTTGGGTTATTTAATGAACAAGTTACTCTAGGATGTGAGGTGTTATAGTCAAGTGTTTAACACAATTAGCAAGAAAATGTCTTGCTCTGTGTACACTGGGTGAGGTATTAAACAAAGTCCAAGCTATCACTCGGCCATAAAAGGCATTGGATATATTTGCTTGTTCTATCCTTTGGACCAGCCATTTTCTGTAGAAATACATCTGAAATAAATTAGAATAATATATATCCATCTTTCTATAAGTAACTGTCAGACATAGAACCATAATGCAGGAAGGCTTGTTAATTCTTGTCAACGGGTAAGAACATCAGGAAGAAAAGACCACAGCAGGGGATTATGGGAATTGAAATCAACCCATTTGGAGCAGTCTGATTGGGGAATATTGATACCTATTTAGAAAGAAGATTAATTGGAACAATGCTTGATGAATGTATTTATTTGCTTTTAGTGATTTGGTACTTGATCTACTATGTATCTCTTTAAAAAGTACATGTACCATATTATTTTCCCTCAACCTTCATGGCAGCAATATTGGCAGTTAGCATTAATGCACAATAAATATTTCTTAAAATGTAAGGATTGGAAGGGACATTGGGGAACATCTGATCCAACATTTTGCCCAGTATAGGAATCTACCACAGCAGTATTTTGAAACCTTGGCAGCTTTAAGATATATAGATTTCAACTGCCAGAATTCCTTAGCCAGCTTGCAGATTTTTGGGAATCCTCTGCTACTGCAGATTTTCTACTTTTGACATCAGAGATATGCTGCAGGATGGAGGAGGTTGGGGTGTTCTGGGAATTGAAGTTCACACAACTTAAGGTTGTAAGGTTGAAAAACACTGTACTACTGTATGACCAAGAGGTTTCTATTCAAAAACTTCCAGCAAAGTCCATCACCTCTTGTGGCAATCTGTTCCATTGTTGAACGGTCTTGTTGCTAGATTTTCTTCCTAATGCCCAACTGAAATCTGATTTGTAATTTATATCCATTCTTTCTGTGCTAGCTTCGGGAATGTCTGTGAACAATTTTACCCCATCTCTTATATAGCCTTCTGATTGCCAAAGTTATATTTTCTCACAGTCCTCTCTTCTCCAAGTTACATGTACTCAATCCCTCCAATCATTTTTTGTAAGTTTTTCCTCCCAGGCCCTCCTCTGGACATAATTCTAGTATCTGTTAAAATGTGATGCCCAGATGTAATATTCTAGTTTGGTCTCCATACAGAATTACTATATTTCTGATACCATCTAGAGTTTTATTTGCTTTTTTTCAGCTAAATCACACTATTGGCTTGTGTTTATCTTCTGATTCACCAAGATACCCAGAAGGTTTTCTCATGCACTGTTTCCTAGTATATTTTCTTCATGGCCTGTACCCATCTATGTCTTTCATTTTTCTGAACCTAATGTAGAATTTTGTATTTCTTCCTGTTGGAAAACAAAGTTCCCATTTTCCAGCTTATCAACATTTTCTGGAACCTTCATACTATCCTCCAAAGGATTTGCCATGTTCTCATCCTCATTATTGGTTTGTCAAGGTTACTTTGTTATCACTGTGCGTGGTAACCTGGAACTGGTTTCCATTGGGAATGGAATGGAATGTAGAGCAGAGCTGAGCTGAGCTGAGCAGAGCAGAGCTGAGCTAGAAGGGGTCTTGGAGGTCTTTTAGTCCAGCCCCCTGCTCAAGCAGGAGAACCTATACTATGCTGGGGAAGATGTCTGAATGGACATTTGGATTTTATATCTCATGGGTTTGTGATCTATGTAATGTTATTTTTTATCTGAAATTCTTGACCAGGACTTAAAGCTTGATCAAAAAACTCCATTACGTGTACTTCATCGGCGGCCATTAGCTGTCAGGATTCGTGTCATCCACAGCATGCAATCAAAATATATAGACGAGCATCATTTCCGTCTTCACTTGAAGACACAAGCGGGGACGTATCCTTTCGGAACTGAAGTGCCTCAGTGGTGAGGAATTCTGTACTGAGCTCTTCAATAAAAGGATAGTATTAAATATGGAAGAACTAACATAAATCTTCAAGTATAGTTTTCCTCAGAGCAGGAAAATGTGTGGAGTACGCATGACTCATGTTACATTCTATCTTTTTTCTCTGTCCTCTTCCCCCAGAAGGTGGCATGCTCTCTTCTACCCCCCCCAAATTTTGCTATATCTTGTCATTTAATTCTACCAGTGTATTTGAGAAAGAATGAGAAAGAAAGGGAGAAGTGCGTATTCTGAAGTCTTATTTTAAAATCTATTCTAAAAAGCTCATCTTTCTCGTTTCCTTATCGGCAATTTGTTAGTTATGTTAAAGAATTTGTACATGGAGATTTTGGAAGAACCAAGCCCAATATTGGTTTCCTGTTGAAGACAACTGCAGACATCTTGGAGCTGGATGTAGAAGTGAGTAATCCCTTTTCTACGTCTCTGTAGACAGAAGGATGGCACTGCCACCATTGGTCTTTCCAGTAGGAAATTAAGGGACAAATCACAGGGGATTTGTTTCAGATCTGGCAACCTGAGTTTAATCTAATCTCTGCAATCTGTGTCATTTCCTACAGTATCTCATCTCTCTTCAAAAGTTTTCCTGTTAGACTGAGAGAATGCAAATTTAGTTTTGTGTGTGAAGAACCGTAGAAGCTCATTGGGATTAAAATTTTAGTTTAAACTCCAGACTAGAGCATAACAATCAGATCATACCCCAAGTTGGTTTTAAATGGCTTTTCATCCAAGTTTTTAAAGGCTAATCAGATGTTAACTTAAAGTATATTGTCACCTCAACTTTCCCCAGTCTGGGAACATACAGTGTATTAACTACACTTGCTGTAGTTATTGGCCTGCACTTTCATGTTGGTCCCTGGCGGATGATGAAAATCGTTGTCTCATACTTGGGAAACCAAATTTCATCGTTTGTATTTAAGCCATTATCTGAGGTTAAATATTCTGCAAACAAATGAGTTAGCTATGATTTAATTATTTTTCTTTCTTTTTTTCTGCAGTCCGTGGATGTTGACTGGCCACCGGCTCTAAATGATTAAGAAGCAATTTTAATTTTCAAGAGGGGGGGAAAGACTTATCCATGGCAGGATTTAGAGCACTGTGGGAAATATTTTATAGGCTAGCTGGATGACTTTCCTGGATTTTTTAAAACCAGTTTAGATCATGTTGATCTGCTCAAGATTGATTTGTTTTTAATTCAGGGGATCCCAGCCGCTGGGCTAGGCCCCACTGCCAGGCTGTGGTCTATTTGGAATTGGGCCCCATGAGTGGCTGGCTGGAGCGCATGAATGGCGGACTGCTGGGCACTTGCACACATGGATGCTGGCTCATTGCTCGCACTGGCCCCACTGCTTCTTCAAGATCCAGTTCCCCCCCCCCCCCCCCCCCCAAAGCTGGGCCTTCAAGCCACAAAGGGAACCACTGTTTTAATTTTTAAAAATGCCTCAAATTGATTTACACATTTTAGAAATAATGCATTTCATTTTGACCTCATTACCAATACAATATAAATTGGTACCTATATAGTATGGATACAGATTCTCAAAGAGAGAATAATTTTGAATTTCTGTGCCAAGGGGAAGAGTAAAAAACTAAAAAGTAATGTTGCATGACAACTCTCAACAAACATTTAAAAGCTTTTTACAAGAAAAAAAAAAGAGGAAAGCCCATTTTGCCTAGCAGTACTTGTTCAGTTCAGTTCAATTCCACATTTCCTTGTGCTTGCATGCCTTAAAGCAGGCCTCTCTTGCTAAGTGCTTTCCAGACGTGTTTGACAATTTGACTAGAATTTCCAGTCATCAGCACCATTATTGTTGCTGGGAATTTGGAGGTTCTAATCCCAGTCATCTAAGGAGAGGCCACTTGGGCAAGGCTAACATACATACACTATTGGAATCCTTTTGGTAAATTCAGCTACTTCATCTGCTTCTCTTCTTATCCTGCCAATAGAGCAGCACATAGAAGAAAGCAGTTCATTGAATATAGCAAAATTTAGGAATGCTATTTATGCATAATAGAATTCCAGATCCAAACCAGAAAAAAGCAATAAGATACCTAAGAGAGAACCCTAATAATTCTTGTGGTTGAGCACTGTTGAATACTGAAATTTGCAAAGTTGCTGAGCCATCAGCATACAATCCCAGTAAAAACATGTTGCTGATTAGTCCTGTATAGGTTTACTCAAGATGTATGGCTGTTGTTCCTGGGAAGGTGTCCCTGTGCTTCATTAGAGGAAATAGTAAGCATGATTGCATTCAGAGCAACTTATATCTGAGTAAATGGGGTTCACTCTTCTCCCAATGATACATGGGATTGCTCACACACATGCATTCACATGCCAATATGGACACAGGCTTTCAAAATACATCCCCCTAAAGGAGGATGTGTTTTCCCTTTTCAGTATTATGCTAAAAGGAAGAGGAACCAGTTCCATAAGACACCTTTGAGGTTTTCAAGGAGCAATGCAAACATTGTTAAGGTCACAGCTCCCCTCATCCCCCAGATCATGTAAAGTACAAAGAAAGTTCTGATATGAAGTGAAGATTTTGAACCAAAAATGTCCAGAACTTTTATAAGAAAATAAATTGTTTTTCTTTCAAAACTTCGTGTGCTGTTGTGTTTCTGAGATGTATGCACCTATTCATTAGATGCAAATAAGTAATATAAATCAAGGCTTGAAAATTAACCAAATTAAAAAGAAACTTAAAAATGACCTGTAAAGCAAAATCTTAGTTCATGGATTTTATCTGTGCAGTATGGCATCAATCCTCAATTTACGAACTTAATAGAGCTTGCAAACATCAACTCTTAATGCAATTCCTTTAAGCTATTTTTTAGTAAACTACATTGCTGTGCTCCAGTGCAGGATTGCAATCTTGAAAAAAATACATATTTTATTTAAAAAGTTGCTGACTGAAGCACTACAGGTAGTCCTCAATTTACAACAATCCATTTAGTGACCGTTCAAAGTTCAAACGGCACTGAAAAAAGTGACTTACGACCTCTTTTCAAACTTATAACCATTGCATCATCCCCATGGTCATGTGATCAAAATTAGGCCGCTTGGCAACAGACTCATCTATGACGGTTGCAGTGTCCTGAGTTCATGTGGTCCCCTTTTGCCACCTTCTGACAAGCCAAGTCAATGAGGAGGTCAGATTCACTTAACAACCATGTTACTGACTTAACAACCAACTGCAGTGATTCTCTTAACAACTTGTTTCCCTTAGCAACCTAAATTTTGGGCTCAATTGTCATTGTAAATTGAGGACTACCTGTATTTTATTTTCAAATGTGAAGCAATGCATTGCCCTACTTAATACAGGTAGTCCTCGACTTACAACAGTTCATTTAGTGACTGTTCAGTTACAAAATGACTTATGACCATTTTTCATACTTACGACCATTGCAGCATCCCCATGGTCATGTGATGTACATTCAGTTGCTTGACAACCAACTCACATTTATAACAGTTGCAATGTCATGCAATCACCTTTTACCGACTTGCCAACCACAGTGATTCACTTAACAAATGTGGAAAGAAAAGTCATAAAATGGGGCAAAATTCAGCAAATTTCTCACTTAGTAACATAAATTTTGGGCTCAATTGAGGTCATAAGTTGAGGACTACCTGTACACTTTGTGGCAATCTTGAATCGTGAGGAGTAGTGGTTCAGTTTTATGCAGGAAACCTAAGGAGAAATTCATTTTAAAAACAATATAGTTAAATAGCTGGCTATAAAAAGAACTTCCCTGGCAAAAGGGAAATGGGAAGCACAAATGAGATCAACTATCTTGCATATAAAATTTCAAACTGAAGTCAGTAGCCACAAATTATTGCCCAAATAAAATCACAAGCTGTAGATATTCTCCATTAATATTCAGGATTAAACCATGAGAATATAAATAAATTCCATTACTCCAAAAGATTGTAGACAATGCTCTGAAAAATAGTAATTTGTTCATTAAAAAAGCAATAAAGTTCTAGAGACGTAAGTGGAATTGGAATTACAATATAAGGATGTTAGTAGAAGAATTAAAAATAAATTAATACTAAACACGAACAGGTTAGACAAATCCATTGAAAATAATATATGTATTTCAGAGATAGTTTAGAAAACCAAATTTATAGCATTTCTAATAAAGAGGTGTGGCTATTTTTTGAAATAAGTGAGTTACAGGCAAGAGACTACTAAAGCCAGGGATTATCCAGTTCTTGAGAAATGAAGATTAGGAACTAATAACAGAATTGGGAATAATCTTAACTACAGGGAACAATTAAATACAAGTTTCAGCAGCATTTGAAGATGCTGAGTTTATGATGAAAAAATAAATATAAATATGGAAAAACGGGGAAAAAAGTTAATTGGCTTATGTTCAATTAGTAGTGCTAGAATTTAGTGTAAAAATTTACCTGGCTTTAATTGCTAGTCTGGATTTTGAAACTGCTATAGTTTATTCTGAAGAAAGACGGGGGGAGGGGGGGAGAGAAATTGTGTAGGATGAAATGTCAGTAGAGTAGCAAATTTAAGAGCTTTGGATGGATGGAAAGAACCTTCCTCCCCCACATTTTACCTTCATATATATATATATACATATACATACATACATATATACATATACATATATACACACATACATGTAACAAATTTACAATTGTATGTGTAATATATATGTGTGTATGCGTACACGTGTATACATACACACACACACACACACACACACTTAACAGATTTCAATAGACACCTGCACATGTTTCTTACTAAACATGACTGGGCAGTGTGCAACCAATAACTTATTGTTAAAAACAATATGACAACCATTAAAACAAAACACTATTTTTCGGAGTATAAGACACACCTACCTTTTTTGGTGAGGAAAAGAAGAAAAATCTCCCTCTGCCTCTGAGCAATTTTGCCTCATTACAGCAAACAGCCTGCTTTACTTTCATTTTAGTTTTCAGCATAGCTTGATTAGCACAAGGAAAAAAAAATCTGCTTCAGCAATTTACCTCTGCAGCAAGCAGCAGAACCCTGGGCAAAACAGCTGAGAGCAAACCAGTTGAGAGTTGGGAGGCCAATCCAATCAATTTATGCTAATTAGCCTGTGCTGAAGCTGAAAGGAGCTGTTTTTTCTTGCTGTTTGCTTGCAAGGAGGTAACTGCTACGAGGCAGAGGCCAAAGGGTGGGGTCCAGTGAATGGGTGGGGCTACATTCGGTGTATAAGACACACCTAAATTCCCCTGCCCCTTTTGGGGGGAAATAGGTACGTCGTATACTCCGAAAAATACAGTAACAAAACAAGCTAAATAATCTCTCCATTATTTTTCTAAACCAGGAATTTGTTATACCTATTCCCTTGCCGTAACTCCAGTTTTGAGGTGGTATGTAAAATAAAATAAATAAATAAATAAAAATGAATAGGGCAATAAGAGAATAAAATCCACAAATCAGATGACTCAAATCTCTCATCTTTTTAGAACTATTCCATAATTTAAAATGTTGGTTTAAGTTAAGATGATACTATACAGTTCCTGCTTCTGCTTCCAAAAGTCCCTCAATAGAAATTAGGTTCTATGAAGCTCATATTTTATTATGTATTTGCCACTTCCTCCAGCCATTGATTATCTGGGTATTTCAGGTCAACCTTCAGCAAAGTGGAGGCATCTAGATAGAAAACTAGCGGTGTAGCTCCAATTGTACCCTCCCAATAATGTCCATTATCTAGAGGCAACTTGACTGGGAGAAAGTTAACCTGTGTAGTCATAGCGATGTACTGTATACTTTTAACAGAAATACGTGTCTACTATGGGCTAAGATATCTGGTAAGAGAGATGCTTATTTGCCAAGCGTAGATCAATTCTTTTTATTTTCTCTAAGTAGTACTTGGGACATGAATTTAGAGATGCTGCACATCACCAGTCCTATGTTCTGTGTTAGGGCACATGCCTTCACCATGATTTAATAAGCTTACTTCGTGAGAAAGTTGTAGAAACTCAGCAAATGCTTTTGTAGTTTACAAATGATCCAGTAAAGGGTTTGCCTTGATGAAGATTCTGAACATTGTCTCACCCCATGGTAAATCCAGTTTTTCTTGTTCTTTACCACTTGATAGGCAGACCAGCAAAATGTATGTTGTAACATTTGTTTGGGGATTCTCATTTACCCACCCTTAACAAAAACCAGTTATTGTATCTAATTTATAAATGGTTGACTGTAACTATAGGATGTGAAAAGAACCTGTAGATGTCACTCTAGATCTGTTCTCTGCTAAAAGGATAATTACCATCTATAGGTATTGTAAGAAAAGACAGACTAAAATCAGGAGTCTGGTCGCACCTTTTCACACTAGCAAGTTTTATTAAAAGGCTCAAGCTTTTATATATTTACTACAGCTTGAGAATGACATCCTGCCCTTATAGAGGAGGTTTTACATGACTTCTTCTTCCCCCAACTGGTTTATGATATGTAAAAACAGAGAAATTCCACCCACACCCACACCTACACAATAGGTGGAAGTAGGTGGAAGTCATGTAAAACCTCCTACATGAGGGCAGGAGGTATCATAAGCAATCTGGTCTGACAGCATAAGAAAAGAAGATGGACGGTATATATCAAAAATAGGCCACAAATACAAAGAAACCTATAGGTGCCTTAGAGCCCAGGATAATGATTACGCCATTCTCCACTATGATCCTACTTAAACGCACTCCCAGTTCAACTCCAAGATTCCTTTTAATGCACTTGCAGATCAGGAAAAGCTCTTTGGCTCCATAAGACTGGTGCAATTTTGAAAGGCTGCTTTTCCCAGCCAAATGTATATTGAACTGGGTTACACCTGATGAGTTAAATGCTCTCTCGCAATTCTAAGAGACCTTTTCTCCACCTGAAGTTAACCATGGTATTAACATTCCTTGACAACTGCAATTCCCCCCCATTCATGCTTGTTTCGCTTGCGCGCGTGCATGTGCAGCCCCATTGCAAACCGGTAGTAAAGGTAGTAAAGGTAAGTAGAACCCACCCCTGCTCTATTCCACACCCCCCAAATGATTTATTTGCTCCATGTGGAGGGGATTCAAAGATACAGCTGCTCTGTATGCATAAATATAGAAATATTCACAAATATTTCTATAATTTGGCTTAACTGATGATACCTGAGATATTTAGAGGGAAGTGGCTTGAGGTGGTAATGAATGCAAGCTAGGAGTTCCTCAAACTCAATACAAACATACCTCATCCTGTTGTTCTGGAATCATTCAATTGCACATCTATCTCATCAATTTACCCATTTTCAGAATCAGTGTGCTGGGTGAAATAAATTATGTGAGGAGGCAGGAATTAAATATACAGGCTGTCTGTCTAAGCAGAGACTGTTCAAAAGCTCTCCTTGACGGTCTCATCTTCCTTGAGAGGATCAGTTGCAATGTTCTGATGCAATATTATTTTTCAGAAAAGAGGAAAATAACTTCTTAGTGACCTCTGGTAACTGTTTCTACATTTATTTATTTAGGATAGCTTGTCTTCCTGGGATTTTCAAACTAATTTTTCTCTCCCCCTTTTCTTACCCCCTTTTCTCTTTAGCCACCCTGGAAATTATAATCAA